TACGGCACTTATAGCGTTGGCATGTGCTCCTAGAGCTCAGACAATTATGTCACTTGATTTGAATTATATGAAGGTACATAATTCTTATTGTGTGTTTTTATTTCCCGAATCTATTGAAGACTTCAGTCGTGGGAAAAGAAAATAATTTTTGTGTTAAATTTGAGCATTTTAGGAAAGAAAGTTTGTGTGTATATCATACATTATTATATTATATCAAGTTAACGGAACAGTTGAGACTATCTGATCAATTATTAATTTTCATATGTAACATTTAATGCAGTTACATCAAGCACTATTGCTAGATGGCTAAAGACAGTGTTACAATTGTCAGGCATTGATGTTGCCATTTTTTAAGGCCCATTCTTTTCGTGGGGCCTCGGTATCGGCAGCAGCAAGAAGTCAGAGATGTTCAATTAAAAATATCTTGAATACAGCTGGTTGGAAATCGGACAATAACTTTTACAAGTTTTATTATAGACCTATTATTGAAAATGAGGATCTGTCTTTTTCTACAGCTGTTTTTTCCTCAAAGTGACAATCTGGATTTATTATTTTTGATGAAATATGAATTTTATATTTTGTTTGATATAAAATATTATGGATTTGTCAGATATTACATTTGTGTTTCTTGATTGGCGTTATGTGTCTTTTCATTTTTCTAATGACATGGAAATATTTGTTGCCGATCTTTAAAGATGCTATTTATACATGTGAAAGCTGAGGCTTTATGAAAATACTGTCCCCCTCATCCAAGCTTTAGTGATGGATGAGGGGCAGTATTGGAATAAAGCCGGGAGGCTGAGCATGTATAAACCCCCCATTTTTGGGTGCTACAAGTTTTTTCTTTTTCCTCCCAGTTTATTTTTTATGTACGTCAACAAATTTTTTGGGCTTTGAATTATGATTTTCTGGGGTTGACATGGTCGCGCGCATGGTTTTGTCATGTTTTTTTACGGTTCGTTGAAGCGGCGTTGTGGACTCGATGCGTTAGGATAACATGCTATTTATACATGCTCAGCCTCCGGCTTTATTCCAATACTGCCCCTCATCCATCACTAAAGCTTGGATGAGGGGGGACATTAACCTTAAAGTGTTAAAGTGAAGTACAACTGTCAACTTACAGTGTTTACATGACTGTATTTAGTTACAGGGCCTTAATGAAGTTCTTGCTTTGTAGAAATTTAATACTAATATAAAATAAGCGAAAAAAGTATACCCTCAAATTTCCAGAATTTTTTTCATAGTTGAAAGGTGCAAATGTCTATTTACAGACAAACAACTTGGAATTATCATTGGACACCCAGGCTGTTTGCCTGTCAGTAGCTTGGTCTTCTTAGACTCTCAGCTCTCAGTCATTTCTCTCTACTTGAGTACAGTGGCATGACTTCATTGTTGCATTCACTGACCTAAGGTAAGTGATGCAGTGTAATATTTGGCATAGCTATATAGAACTATAGTAAATCACCAGTTAAAAACACTGGCACGATGAGGGCACAACCGGCAGTACAATCTGAGAACTGGACTTTGAGATTAGATTAGTAGGTCAAGTGCAATCCTCGATCATGACTGATATTTGAACCCCTATATAACCAGTTGAATTTTTGTGTAATGATCTTGTCCAACTTTATTTGGAATTGTCAATGATTCATTAAGAACATCTGTATTATATACAACAATTGACAAACTAAGGCAACTGAAACAAATTAATCCGCCAAAATTTATCAAGTATGGCCAGGCTGCATTGACAATTGCTAGTCCATTTGCCATTATCCCCATTTGCTTAATGAAGTTAAAATATTGGATAAATACAAATATCTGACTTACAAAAATCTCTGAATTAATTACATTGAAGATTTAGATTATCAAGATAGCTAAAATTACTATTGGTTTTTATATAAAAATAGTATACACTGTTAAACATATAAAAGGATTTAACATGATGCGTTTCTATAGTAACTAGCTATTATTGATTGTAAACAAGAATGAATGACAAACAGGTGTGGCACTATCAATATACATAACACATTACACTCATATGTTTTAATAGGCAATAAAGGCAAACAAATTATCAACTATTATAAATGTATTGATTGAAAAATACCTTTTTTGGTTTATCTATGATATATTTGAATTTATGAAATTTATAGAAACATCACATTTAGTATTATCATGCAGAAGTTAAAAAATAACAATTAAATGTTAATTCCAGTTTGAAATGACCTGCAGCATGACCCACAAATTTTTGGAGGTTTTTCGTCAGAGCTAACCTTTATGTCACAGTCTGTGAAACATATTATAGTTTCACTTGATTAACATAAAATGAAAAAATGTCAAGAGTGGTTAATAAGAATATAACAAGACAAGGGATGTAACATCTGATTTCAAGTAAATACATCGATAAGATCTCATATAAAGGAAACCCTAGTTTTCAAATTCTATAACTTAAGTAATAATAAAGTAATTGCCTTTATCCCTCTAGAATTACTAAATACTAGTGAAAATCTGATCCCATTTGACCTTGACTTAAATCTTCAGAAAGCAATGTCAAGGACAAGCTCTCTATATAAAGAGATGTCACAACTTCTTTACATCTTTTATTGTTGATGAATAATAAAACTTGTACAAACTTTTTTACTTTAACCAAATGTAACTGAAACTAAATATGTCAGCAATTAAAGGTTAGAAAATCTATATTTGACTCATTATGATTACAGATACAAGAAATTGACATGTTTCTAAGACTTTTTTACCTTACACTGTTTCCTTTTTATCTTTCAAAGTGTAGCAGTTAGAATTGAAAGAGAGTTAAGGGAATAATTCTGGTTGATTAATTAATGCAGGATCAGACATATTGTCAGCTATATGGGATAACAACAGCTGCTTAAATACATGCAGAATATAGGTGACAGTTGTATTAACTATAAACTCACATAGATTCTGACCGAGATATTATAATTCTGGAACTTTCAGATATTTTTATTGCTCTACAACATCAGTATTTCCTTATCCAAATCATACACTTGAAACATATCTCAATGAAAAGTAATTAAACTAATAGACTCAAATTGGAAACAGTGAAAATAAAGTATTGTTCGGTCTTGGAGTTTAAGTGAACTTGTAAATGAAAAATAATGTCTGTATCAATAAGAAACTGCAAAATTCTCTGAATAGGGAGCAGTACACAAAATTTATCCTATAAACAAAATTAATTATATAAAACATAGATCTACCCACTGAGTAGACAACAAGACTGTATATATGGTAGACTGAGGTAACATTTTATTAAAAGTTTGACCTCTATTTTCATGTACCCTTATAAATTACAGGTAATCCCTACAACACCAGGTGGCCAAGGTATTTAGATAAGTTTCCATCTTTAACCCTGGTCAGTGTAAGCAGGCAGATTGTCACCTTGTATCAGGCAACATGATAGGTACATGACCATGTTCATATCAAATATTAGATTGATACCACAAGTTGATTAAACTTGTCTATGTGATACCATGGTAACATTGACACAAATGTAACATTTTTTTTCTGTACTAGGATACATTTATAAATTGTACATGGATGTTTTATGACATATTCATTTGTCATAAAAAAACAACAGTAAACCAGATAATAAACCAGGATATATTTTATCAATTTTATCATATAAAATATGAGACAGTTGATAGATAGGGCACCCGCTATTCATTGTATTCTCTATCATGTTTCATACTCCACAGATAAACTTAATTTTATAAACTGCAAGGAAGTAATTTCTGTGGTGGAGATGAAAAAATACTGCAAGAATTTCCTCAAAATGTATTTTTTTAAATGTTCTGTGCAGAACAATGTCTTGTTTAACTGATAAAATTTGCAAATAGATATTGAGGAAAAAAAAATCCTTAAAAAAGAATTGGCTATCTTTATACAATAATTAAACCAAAAGCTGTTTTAGAAAAAAAAGTTCACAGATAATTTAATAACAATATTACCTTTTTGACCCTCATACCTAATTATAACTAGCTATGATGTAGCTTAGGTAGCAAAAAATCTGGTACAGCAAATTTTTATAGTAAAGGTAAGGATATTATTTATGTTTTTTCTAATTAGTGAAGATAACTATGTGACAACAGTCAGACTCAGTTTTGTACACACCTTAATTACAGACAGTTATAACAAATGTAACAATTAATCATAATGCAAACATATATAATGTATTTACCAAGCTTACTGAATTGTCCAAATGAAAATAAAAACAATTTGTTGAATTTGCACAAGGCAATAAAGTGGATTTTGCTCCATCAATGGCATAATTTTTCAATAAAATATAGGGGCTCTTGCATAACAAAGGGCCAGTAACACTAGACAGGAAATTATAATTTTTAGTCTTTTTTTTTTTATCTTGAATGTTTTCTAATTTTTATAGAAGCCCATTACTATTAAACAATACAAAATATTAAAAAAAATTCAAAAGATATTTTCTTAGTTTTTTTACCTGTATGTTACATGAAAACAGTCAAGGAAAGGCAAATTTGACACCAGGACATGATTTATATAGCTTAAGTAAAATCCCAATAAAAAAATGCAACACATCATACATTTTTTTGTTTGTTTGTTTTTGGGTTTTACGTCACACCGACACAGTATAGGTCATTTGGCGACATTCCAGCTTTACTGGTGGAGGAAGGCCTCAGGTGCCCCTCTGTGCATTTTTTCAGGCACGAACGGGCACCAGAGTAGAACCACCGACGTTCCGTAAGCTAGCTGGATAGCTTCCTCACATGAAAGAATCCAAAGTCCCTGTCGGGATTCGAACCCACAGCAGTGAGGGGCAAGTGGTTTGAAGTCAACGACCTTAGCCACTCAGCCACAGACACCCCCCTTTTATTAAACATTATCATCAACCTATTTTGTGTATACTGCATTTCAGTTTTTTCTGTAAGGCTTGTTTTTTTAACCATAACCTAATATTATAGTTTATTTAGATCTGTTTTATTTCATTAAGAACTCACCTATTTCCTCAGTACCACCTCTGCATATTTTTGCTGCTGAACCAACACGCCCCAGTGCTTCATTATAAGCCTGTGCGGTCACTGTCACAGCTTTAAGATAGAAAACAAGTAACACACATTAACAATCATATGTAGCAAAAAATCTCTCATTGTTCAGCCAATTAAATGAGAAAACTATAAGATATAAATGATTCATTTACAGACATTAATACCTACATAGGAAAATATCCTCATTATCGGCCCATTTATATTGCAGGGACTAACATTTAAAAGGGTGGTGCTTGCAAACTTTCAAATTATAGGAAAAACCAACATATTAACGTTACTAAAACAAAAGAAATGCTAAAGTATGACAAAGTGATAACATCTTAAAGTCAATAACAGAACAAATTAATTTACATTATTCCATAATTTTTTGATAATATCTATCATTTCAATATAATTTTTGTATTTACTGGTATTGATTGTACTTTAAATGAAATCTCCTGGGAAGTTTTTACTGTTACTCATTTAAGATTATGTTTTGTTAGTATTTACATGTATCTTATGTTATAAGGTGTCAAAATTAGTGAAATAAATATTTTCTCTATAGGTTTTATATAAAAATTAAAGAGTTATTAGAATTTTATCAATATAAATGTTAATTGCGATGCAGTGATCTTAGAACTAACAAATTACTGATACGATACGTATTGTCAAGGTCTGAATAGCGAATATCCGATTATCCAAGTTATCATTACAGCACTCTCATCTCCGTGAGAATGCAGATTGAAATTTTGACAGCAGCTGAATAATTTGCTGTAACAAGACTATTTTGTCATTGTTATTATAAGATGTAATTGTAATATTTCAGAAATTGTCTTCTGACAGAGCCATTATTTTCCAACTGTGTGCTGTCATATTTTATAATGTTAAGGACATTGACTAGAAAAGGTAGAAATCCTTCGTTAACATTAACAATTTTAGTTTTGTCATTTTAACACTGAAACATGAATTGAATAAAGTCTTCAAGATAAAATAAAACATGGTCTAAGGTGAAATTATTATATGTGAGCATTCTGATAATTTAATAAAAGCAAAATTAGATGTCTCTGTTATATTGAGACAATTAACATGCTAATATATATTCTAAGGTAAATTAAATCTTACATTTCGTGAAAAGATGATAAGTGTAAAGTAAAAGGTTTTGCAATGATGATTTGAATAAATAAAAAAAAAATGTATATAACAAAAGGATCTAATCACTAATTAAAAGGTTTACCAATGATGTGTTTCTATTAGAGTTAATTACCCTCATCATAACATTTCTTTCATTCATTTATAAAGCTTATGACATTTCTAAAAGAAACTGATACTGGTGATAAAATTACCTTAATACTTGACCATTTTGTGTCCATTTTAAACCGGGTCATAAAATTAGAATAAATGCTGATTTCAACCTTAAGTTAAAGGGATATTTCAGATGTCAATTACCATAACGATAAGACAAACTAATTTTACACCTACATATTTTGGGTAACTATGATGAAAGAAATGTCTTTGTTTGTATTGACTTAGTTGAATAAAAAGTAAAACTTACTGAAATACTCTTATAATTTATTATCAGAACTAAGATAGATTATCACATTTTATTAAACGTCCCACGCCTATCATGACCAGATGTAATATTTACATATAGGATAGTTTGAACTTGAATTTGTCATCAATGTATAATACTTCACAAGCGCTTTACGCCCTGTTCTGATAACATTGTTCAGTTCTATTATACAATTTTAACACCTATCTCTTAAATAATAATTTGAAATCCAACTTATCATGAAAAACTGATTTAATGAAATAATAATTTTCTCTCTTTTTGAGATGGATTTATTTTCCAGACTGACTTAAATTTTTTGCATCAACTTCTGGAATTTCTCAACTTTAGAGTGACCATGTATGACCTTAATTAAATAAATACATACATAGACTTTACCCTTTTTCAATAATGTATTTCAGATATTTGTTCTGAAATTAAATCTTACGTTGTTTTGTCTACCTGACTTCCTTTCAGAACAGCATATTTTAATTTTATCACTACATTATATCAAAGTACAAATATTTGTACATACAATTTACCTACAAACTCACTTTCTCTCTTTTAACCAACTGTCTGAAGTGACTGTAACATATTTATTTATTGTAGATACACTTATAAAAGTAAATAATGTCTCCAATATCAAAGATATCAAAACAAAAATAAAAATAAGAATGTAGTTGTTAAGTTCTGAAACAATACTTCCTTTATGTAAACATAGTCTTTAAACAAGATCAGTAGAATGTTTTATAATCTTTAAAAATCTATTTATCCTTGTAGCCTGTATTAGTCTACCAGTTGTTTTTAACCTCATTTCCTTGCATTATTTTGAATTAGGATTTCATTTGAGCTACTGTATCTTAATATTCAGGTTAAATTGTGCTGTATTAAACATAGCTCCCATCCCATTCTGAAAGTTCTATTATTGTCATAATTTTGCTATACCATCCATATTTTTTTTTGTATAATGTGACAATGTCATGATTGATTATTTTACACATACAAATATTCATTTAACAAAATATTTAGCTTTATTCAAGTTTCGAGAGAAAAATCTAGAAAAGACAGAATCCAGAGCTTGCTATCAGAAAGTGGAATGGTTAAAAAGAATGGTAAGATTTGATGAACTAAAGCCTTAGTACTAACCTTGCAATGCTTTATAATAAGCCTTGCCTGTCAACAGTATCTGTCTAACACCGGAGTTGAAATTTTCTATCAAATTCTGAAATATTCACATGTTTATAATAACATGTCCTAGTAATAAACTATAATAGTATATATATATTAAATTATATTTCCCCCTTTTATTGCACGGAACTTTTTATTAACAAATAGAAGTTAAAAGTATGTAAATTTGACATTCAATATCTTCAAGAACTTTTTTTTCATTCACAATTTTAGCCCAATGGTCAAACTACAAAATTAAATAATTATCAGATATTCTGAAATATTATGTATTAGATCTAATTAAATAATTTCAATTTTAAATATTACGAAACAGAAAACGATAACAGTTCATTTTTAATATACTATACGAAACATGTAAATATTGTGGTTTGAATACATTGTTCTTAAAATCGATTGTTAATATCGCGTAGATGAAGAATATTAAAATATAAAATGATTACCTTGTAAATTGCCTCCGTCAATTTATGTACATCGTCCGTATTACTTTTCATTTTGAATTAATTCCAATATTAACTTAGTTCCTTAAATCCACATTTATTTGCGTGTTATTTGCGCGTCCGTCATCTGTGAAGTTTAACATCAAACAACGAATGTTCGTGTGCTAACTTTATCTGCCAGATTACAGGTGTGATTACCCGCCATACGTCACAGGGATGTGAGACATTCAGTTACTTCCCTTTTACCTGTATATCGCTAAACTGCGTCGGATTTCTGAACTCGATAATGCCCCTTGTTTTATTGATCAATGCAGACGACGAATTGAAATGGGTGTGGTATGTCAATATCGTCGCTTTTCGAAGTAAAACTTTAGAATACTTACAACTATTTATTTCAGATCTTACCGGAGTCAAGTACTTAAGACTATTGGGAATGAGGTTAGAATGTAACTATGGTAACACAGTTTGTGTTTATTTAGTAAAGAGCTTAATTACACGAATTACTTAGTTCTGTGTCACTTGCAGTAGATATCAAATTTGAAACATTGTCATTAACTCACTAGCATATATTTAACTATGTGTCGATATATGTGCACATATACCTAATTGGCTAGCTCTATGCAAATTCTTCTTAGATTTAATTCAAACCTTATCATAGTTCCATTATCCAAGAATTTCATCCCTTCACTTAAGATAATAGGAACAAACGTAGCCGCAGAATATGCGAAAAGTTAGTAACAAGTGATTTGGAATAGAGGGCTAGTTGAAGGTAATAAGTTTCCATCTAAGCAAGTGAAGTTTGATGAGTCTAATAAATTGTTTGCTTATAATAATAAAGATGGCACATGGATGGTAAGAAGGAAGCTGATTATGTGACCAAACATTTGGAGGCAGAAACAACTAAAATTTAAATTTAATTTTCCTGAAAATAGGACTAGCTAGGTCTTTTCACAGTCACAAAAATCCATTCAATAAACATCGCAAATGAGTTTTCTACATCATGTACAGAAATGAAATGTCTAAACAGGGTTGTGAGTGCGAGAGAGTTCAAAATTCTTTGATGGTGGAATAGTTAGCAAAATGTGTGAAGCACATGGTAAAAACTTGATTAATAAGAATTTATGTTTGATAATACAAATAATGATTTAGTTTTCTTCCAGTAATAAACTGTTGTGTTTTAAAACTGTCCTGAAATTCATCAGATAGACCATAGCCTAATTTGACTAAAAAAAGTGGTCATGGTGATAAAATTGAACATTGCCAGGTTAGGGAATAAATTATTCCAAGAAATAAGAATTATCTGTAGTGATCTCAGATGTGTAGTTGGTGTTGAATCCTTACCTTGATGTGGATTTACAATACCTGCATAGCAATGAAAGTAATTTATGTACATCGTCCGTATTACTTTTCATTTTTAATTAATTCTAGATATTCCAGCATGCTTTCACCATCTAACACCGTGGGTAAGCAACTTTGGTCACGTGACCACAAGTCAACGTAAATGGCCAAAAAAGCTCGGCGCAGGAAAGTTTTTAGTGACGAGCCGATTTAAATTACCGACATGCGTATCGTTTATTAAGTTATTATCAACACTTTTACACAATAATGTGTACGTTGTCATCGACAAATTGTAAATATTGTTTGAATGTTCTCATAAAATACAAAACGTTAGACGACACCAAATGCATTTTTTTAAAGCATCGGAAATGCCGCGGTCGGTAGGCTATGTAGCATAGTTTAAATCGGCTCGATAGAAAAACAATCACTAAAACTTACCTCAGCCGAGCTATTTTGGTCGTGTACGTTGACTTTTGTGGTCACGTGACCAAAGTTGCTTACCCGCGGAACTGTTCAAATTTTAGCTATCAATTTCCCATACATTTTCTGTTCTCATTTTTAAAGCCTGCTAATTGATCATTACTCCAATGGTCACTGGATGTATTGTTCGATTTGCTCTGTAAGGCTTTCTTTAGGGATTCTTATTTTCTCTATTTTATCGTCACATCAGCGTTGTTTGTGCCGTGTGGCGGCTGTAAAATGTCGCTCCGTACATTCAATCAGAGATGTAATATTTCCTATCCTTAAAGATCGTTCAGCACGACATTATTGTTGTGCTTGTGGTAATTTAGTTCTTTCTATTCGGTTATTTTCTTCTTGAGTGGTTCCAGTATTCCTCACTTGAATACTGTTGGATCACCCTAAGGATATGCGGTCTGCTTTTTAAATTGTCTTTTGACGTCTTATCTGTGATATGCAGGTTTCATAACCTCTGATCCCCTTCCAAAATTCCATTTCATTTAGTTCCGCCCATTGTTTTCTCGTTTAGGGCAAACGCATATTTTTTTACTTGGGGACCATATGCCGCTTTTCATGGAATGGCACTTACGTGTCACATTGAAGGTTCCATGATAACCGTCATATGACCACATCTGCGGATGTTTTAAAATTAAAAATTGCACCAGTTCATGTTAAATTCTGCTTAAGCCGGTGCTAGAGGGCGTGGACAGTAGTTTGAATTTGACAGTACCGTCCATGAACAGGGTCAATCAAACCGAGCCTGCAACATTTTCAATTTTGCCCTGTTGGGCTTTCTTTAGGGATTCTTATTTTCTCGATTTAAATACGAGTCTTCTTCATTTGACTTTAACTTGACATTATATACTAGTATGTGTGTTTAATATTCTGAATGTTTTAATTCACTATCTTTTGTTTTCACACAATTCATTTAAAAGATCAACATTCATTTAATGTCCTTAGGACAATGGTGTCCATATCAGCATAAAACTGCATGAATGTAAAATTGTTTGATTTACATTTTCTATTTACTCAAATACAAACAAGACTATAGTTAATAATGTAATTTGTGTAGTTTTTATTTAGTTTGAGCAAAAATTACTACATAGCATCTTGATACAAGAGTAGTGCTAAATCATGTTTTATATGACATGTTTTACGTAAATGTCACTTAATTTTTTTTCCTGATTAAGTATTACAACCTTTATTGCAAGTCCCTGCCTAATTTCAGGCAATGTGGTAATTGCAGGTAGAACAATCATGGTAACATCATAGATTTCCCATTTGAAAATAAAGTACCTTAGCAGTGATTGTTTCCATGCATCCTTACCCTTCTTTACTATGGAGACATCATATGCATGAACATATATGTATAATGGCTCTGCTCATATTAAATGAGAAATACGTTTCAATTTTAACTAAGAACAGTAAAAATTCTGCTGCATTTTATACATTCTAGAACAATTCAACAAAGTTTAGTTTAACCTAAGAACATAGGGCATAACATGTTCCAGCTTACTAGTAATCCATGACATCTATTCTAGTACAGAAGCATAAATAATAAGTAAAACATTTTATAAATTTTTGTTTTTATTTTTACTACTCTTTCTTTCTTAACTCCCTTATACATGAATTGTAAGAGAAAGAGACATAAAAATTGTCAGCTAAATCATGAAATTGTTCCAAACAAGCATAAAATACATGTGTATCATACATATTTGTATTCAAAAAGAAATATTACATTAATTTAACCTTAAACCTGTTGAATTTCTGTCTATTATATCAAGATGAAAATTAAAAGTTAGCCAACATTATAGAGCCTTGTAGGACTACATGGATTGCCTGGCTCTATACTAGTGGCTAATACTCAATGGTTTCAGCACAGTAAGAGTTAAAAGAACAATGACAGACATCAATACAGTAGGAATTAAAAACCACTATACATTTAATATACATATATTTAAGGTGAAATATGTGCTAGATGCCACATGAGAAAATAATAGTGGTTAGTAGTTATACTGGATATTTTTTAAACAATATTGAAAAATCTGTCTCAAAGAAAGTATCATTGGATATGCCATTTTTGTGTAGAGTATAACAGTACATGGACAATTCTCTGATAAAAATTCAATCCCCACAACACTATGTCTTAATTTCCCAACCCTAAACACCACTTTAATGCTCACTCAATAAAGAAGTGGCAGTGAAATAAATTGGCACTGTGAGATTATAATCTGATGGCCTTTTAATTATAATATGATACAATAAAATTGCAATAAAAGCAGGTTGGTACATCTAAATACATTGTATTGGAATGATAACTTTCCTGGCTGTAACAAGCTTCATAACATTTGCAAAAACATAAGCATTAACTTATATAACCCCTAAACTGTATCAAAGCAACAAATAAACACCTTCAACTATCCCAAAAGTACAGAAATCCTTATGGTGATATGTTGTGTTACAAACTTTTCAATGAAACTATATTCTACCTGTGGTAACACTGTACCCAATGTCACAAATTTACCTAAAATTACCAATAGAAATAATACATGGATTGTGTTTTCTCTCTATTTTGGAATTTTTATAATCAATTTTGAAAATAAACTGTGAAAATTCTTCCTGTACATTTCTTGATAAAGCTTTTACAGGCTCCTTATTACAGACACCTCATTTACAAACAGTTAAAACATAAAATCAATAATTGTACAAAAATCATGGTTTTCTCACATGAACACAAGTGGGTAAACAGTTATAACTAATGATCTGAACCATTTTCATGTGGTTCTTGTTTTATTGACCCTCCTTCTACTTTCTCCACTTTAATGCTTGCCATATCTCCAAGTGCTGTTGTCACTGTACTTGCCAAGTTAGATACAAACGTCTGCGTCTCCATCAACGCCGACAGATATTTACGGTTGTTTGATTCTGAGCTACTTGTGATTTTTGTTTGCACTGACAGTTCATGTTTCACTGATTTTAAGTCTGATGTCAGCTTAGCGCATGCCTCTTCTTTCTTCTTAAGTTCCTTCTTGACTTGATCTATAATGTAATAACATCACAATATTTTAATCTTACACAGGAGTGCGACAATGGTAAACTTTTTTAACAGTCTCAATTTTTCCAGCATAACAACCTTAGCAAATAAAATTGATGTCAAAAGATAGTATCTTATACTGTCCTTCAAAGTTCTGTTAAGATGATACAAAAGTGAAATATATTATATGATCAGTGTATAGATTTACTGCTAAACTTACGCACTGAATGTATATGCAGCATTACTACCTCATACATCATAAAACACATGTAATATTTACCTCTCTCATTCTCCACCTGTTGTACAAGCCTCTCTGTTTCTGCCATTGACTTTTCTCCTTTACTAAGTCTCTCTAACAGACTGTCTATATCTAACATGGCACCATTATACATCACCATACCTGACAGTGTCTCATTATCACTCTTAGATACCTTCCTCTTAACTGGTGTGTTAGTTGGTGTACCTTCATTCTTCTGATTCAACATACCATAGTTACCTTAATAAAACAAAATTTTATACAAAAATTTAATATCCACATATTATTTCAACTAATTATCAGTCAATTTCAGACTTTGCTAAATGCTCCAGACCATCATACATGACTGACAAAAATTACCTAGTTTCAATAAAAAATTGTTAAGTTTTAGTTCAGATGTTGGTTCTATTGCAACATATTCCACTTATTAGTAACTGAGCTTGATTAATGCAGAACACATTTTAATTGGACACAAGTGCTTCTTCTCAACAATCATCATTTTGTCCGCCCTATCATTTTCATGGGAGGGCTTTTGTCTGCCCTGTCATTTTTTGTCCATTTCCTGGGTAATTTAGATACTTTTAACCATTTTTAAAGTAGATAATGAATTTTTATGCAATATTTTCTTTTAATTTCTTCTTTCTAAGACTGAACAAATTAAGATTTTCCAGAGAAAGAGAAAAAGCTGATTCATTGCCAGAAATAAAGAAACAACAAATACAAATGTATAAAGTACTTTGATAAGAGTTTTAAATGCCTTATATACATGTACATCGTAGTAAGAAGACTTCATTACTTCATTAAAATGCTACTTTTATTATATATGTATGGGTTTAAATATTTTCAATATCTTAAAGATATACTATGCTCAATTTTCATATTAGAAAATATTGATAATTGCTACACAGTCTCTTTGTAAATATTAAATAAACATGTTTTGACTCCACACAAAGTAGATATGTTATGTTAACATCTCAAAACACTATAGGTGGTCATAATAAAAAAAGTCATTAAAAAACTTGCAGTTTTATAAGAAAAGGCCAACTTTTCTTGACCTGTAATAGGGAATGCAGCTTCCCATACATAGTTTAATCATTCATATATTCAAATAAGACACATTCAGTAAGAATTTTATAGATTTCAATAAATTTCTGTGATTGGAATATTTTACTCAAGAATGAGCATAGCATATCTTTAAAAGATTAAATAGAAAATTCCTAATCTAACCTTTCTTACTTTTTGTTGAAATTTTAATAATGGCACAAAGAAGTTAAATAATAGATTATAACAGCTATAGATAACAAGTTGAAGCAAAAATATGTGACACATTTGTCTTGGCCTTTCACACATAAAATAGTTGCCCCTTAGTCTTTAAACTTGAACAAAAATCATACCAAGGGCAAGTTTATCTAGGTCAACTTCCAGTTCTTTAGGTTCTAAAGTCTTCTCTTCATCCCCTATGGCCTCATCAGTTAGTTTACGATAGTTGAACGTATCTCTGGACACTACCTTAGTAATTAACTTCTTTACCTGAAATGTCAATATTTTAATTACATACTTCACTTGTAGATAATTCAGTAACATTTAGATAGATATCTAAGTCTATCAATTTGATCAATAAAAGTGTATATAAATTTCTCAAGATGAATTAGTATCAGAATTCATCCTCATAAATTTTAAACAAGAGCACTGCAAAGGCAGGGCAGTAAACTCCAAATGTAAACTTGTTTGCGTAATGAAAAAAACTTTCAATTTGGGTAGAGACTCAATAAAGGAAATTGTCTGAAAATTTTTCTTAATTATCCTTATGATACTATATGAATTACAAAAAAAAAAACTGTCACTAGGACAATGCAGTTGATTATTCTCATGGTTTAATAGTAAAACAAAGAGCCTGGATAATGTAAGTTATATCAAAGATGAAGATTTCATCCACTTATGTATCTTGGATAGTCACCAAGATATTTTTTCAGTTCACAACAGGTGAGAATTTGTTCAAAATCAAGGCCAGTGTTATAACTCTTGGACAGTGATCTTCAATTATGAATCAGGGGACATCAATTAAAAGAATTTTAAGTGGTTTTTAAAGATACATTCTGGACAAACTTTCATTAGAAATTTTTAATATCAAGGCCATGAATCAGTCAAAGTCTATGGCAGAGTTATAGACCTTTGGCAGCGATATCTGTCTATAATGACATGACATGATTTTGTTACAGAGCTTGACTTACCTGGGCTCTAGATAGAGACAGTCCAATAGCGTGCATGATTTCTTCCATATCTTTATCAAGTATATACCCACAATGGTTTTGGTCAAAATATATACAAGCAAGTAAGAGATCTGGTTTTACTGTGAGGTATTTACGTTTCTCTTTTTTCTTCTCCTTTTCTTTATCATCTTTATCTTTCTTTTTATCATCTTCTACAAAATCAATCACAAAATATCTACATTGCAGTTGAGTTATAACATCCAAAAGAATAATAGCCTTATCTATAATATCAGCAGTTTAAACTTATAAATTCATCGTTTAATTTCTTATTTTGAAAAAGACAAGTAAAGTGGATTATGTTTGAACATCAATGGGTTAAAGTATATAAAGCATGCAGTTTACAAAAGTTTTTTTTTTAATTCAGAAAATGAATAATTCCAAAAGCTTGTATATAAGAAATATGTTGGTATATTTCTTGAAGTGCGAATGGCGCATGAAGGAAATAATTGCTAAATGGTTAAAACCCTACTTTTAACAGCATCATAAAATCTTGATCTGGAAAATTTAATTCTTTTTATGTACACTACTCATGACAATTAAATTACAGAAACATTTTATGTTACAACTCTTTCTATAATCAACTTTAAGATTATGGAGATTTATGGAAACAGCATAAGATTAATCTGTGCAGTCAGTTAAGAAAACAATATCATGTGCTTTATAAATCCATAAAAAAAACACCAAAAAAAAAACCAATAAATAAAAAGCCCTCACTTTTCTCGTCTTTATCTTCCCTCTTATCATCTTTCTTGTCTGGACTATCCTTCCCATCTTTCTTCTCTGTTTCCTCATCCTGTTAATTTATCATTATTTATTATATTATTATCATTGAACTTGATCTTTATATAGAAATGTCGCTGTTGATCAGTGATGTAATCAATGAATTACAATATATAAATTAACAAAAACCTTTTCAAAAACAATCATCTTGAAAGAAAAAAAATTAATTGCATTTTCATTATAAAATGCTACATTGCCTTTAATACATACATATGGTACATTGCAGAAAGACAGTGTTTCCTTAAAACACAAGTATTTCGAAACAATATTAAATTTATCTTACTTTTTTATCTCCGTCTTTCTTGTCATCTGTTTTCTTTTTCTTAGCAGCTGGCTCCTGTAGGTAAAGGATCAACTTTAATTCCAATAATTCAATCTTTATAATCTCATAATAACAATACCTCTAAAAAAAAAGTTTTTTTTTGTTTAGTTTTTTTTTTAAATCGGGTCTTATGTTTGTTCTTGTTTTCTTTAACCACAATGTCACAAGTTTACTTCATTCAAGTTTCAAAATCAGCATGTTGAAAATAAGTAGTTGCCTATTTCTTCATAAAAATTATAAAGCAGCGAAAGGTTCTACATATATAAATAATCATACATTACAATGAATGTAAAAAATAATTGAAAACTTTTTTTAAGAAATATGACTCAGTTTTAGAGACCTAATTGAGGAAAATAGGTTTCTTATTACGTAAAAAACAAATATGCAAGACTAACTTACATCCTCTTTTTTCTTATCTTTCTCTTTTTTCTCTTCTTTCGGTTTCTCGGGGGCAGCAGACAGACATTTATACATGGTGAAACCAAAATCTCTCATTAACATCTCATTGAACAACTCCGCAAATAACGACACCTGGTGAGTAGGTAAAATATGTCGAGACATGTTCAACGAAACTAATACAGTATTTGTAAATACATGGAAATATTTCATAAAACAATCAGTTTATCAAAAATCCTCTATAATGTAAATATATTGTATATAAAATGAAAAATATCATAAATACAAAGACATGAGAAATATCATAAAAACAAAGACCATCTTAAGTAAACAGAACTAAACATGGCTAGTAAGTGGCCAACAACTGTGTGATATTAGTATTATTTTAAACACAGGACTGACCTCAAATGAATGTTCTTTGTTATCCTCAGGCCTGTAATCTAACAGAACACTCAGTGACATGACAGAACAATCAAATTTGCCTCCCTTGGCCGAGGCATTAGGATAGACTAATATTGACTTTTTATCTGGTAAAGTATATCTTCTCTCCAAAGTTGCTTTTTTGCGTTCCTCTTCTTTCTTTTTCTCTTCTTCCTGGCAATACAGAAAACATCCTTAATTAGTATTTAATCTAATATTCTAATTTCGTAGAAATTTTGGTTTTTCTTATTATCTTTTTGTTCACTTTATGTGAAATTAATATTACAATGCAATTTTATTGGAATAATTTAAGATGCCTGTATGAATGAAACCATTAAAAAATTTACAAGTTATGAATTATACAGTGCAATAAAAAGTTGCAAATTTATAATGAAGAATGGACACAGAACAATTGTTTTAAGTTTCCTGCAATAATAAACCACACCTCCTTTTTCTTTTTTTCTTCATCTTCTTCAGTATCCATCTTTTCTTCTTCTTCTTTTGGTTCCTCTTGCTGAAATACATTATAATTTTTACATAGGCAAAGAAAATTGTCTTACCCTAGTAAAATAAGAAATTATCAATAGAAATGAAGTTATTCTTATAAATATATCTTATTATGTCATATCTAACATTTCCTAGTTACACTGTATCTCATAATAGTTTACTATTGTACTTATTAAAATTACTTCACCTTAGACAATACAGATCTGTTAACACATAGTATGTATAATATACTAAATTATCATATTTCTTACTACAATATGTGACACTATGTAAGCCTTTTACTTTATTGCAGAATAAAACATGTAAGGTAATCCAAACAAAGTTGCAATTGCCACAAAAACCCCCCAAAAAACACACATCATAAAACCTACAGGATCCTGAATTTAGCACATGACACAGAAATGCTGCTGACTATTTTACTTTCATTTAAATTTGAACTTAACCTTTCACAACACTATACATCTTATGATAGCAAATATTTCTATAAAGTACAAAACACTAAAATCCCTTTATGTAAGACAAAATCTGTACATCTCTAGTGACCTTGACTTTCCTTATAAAAAACAGACTTATAACATTTGTAACACTTAGCTCATAATGGTGAACATTTGTAATAGAATCCCTGGATTCATGATGACTAAATGGTCTTTATAACAGATGTGCAAAATAATAGCATGAATCAACTGAATCATCGAGTTCTTAAAGAAGGAAACAAATACATAACAAAAACAATCTGTTGTAGGAAACATAATACTATCATTACAGTAATTTACTGCCAATTTATGAGCTACCACCGACACAGTCTGTCAACTTTTTTTAGTGATGTGCGTGTCTTTCAGTGGGATTTGTAAAATATTGTTAGTTTAATGTAAATTAATACAAGTTTATGTTTTATTACAACATGTTTCAACATGACAATAGTCTTACTTTTTCCTCCTCAGCTTTAGTGGCAGCATTTTCCTCTTCTAGTTCCTGCTCTGTTTTAAGCTGTTTGGTTAATCTTGCTATCAACTGTGACTTTAATCCTTTAGAACTTAAATTTCTACACTCTAATTCCCTCCGTAAGTCAATTATCTAAAATATCAAATTTCAAACATTACTGCTTTCATTTCTTTTTGGGAAAATGAAAGTATAAGTCAAGGAAAAATCTATTTCCATCATTTTTTTAGAGTGCAGCATGGGTTTTGCAGATCGAACATTGAGCCCAGACTGTAGAAAATCCATCAAGAGGTATTGTCTGACATTTGACCTTCAAGGATGACCTTGACTGAGCAGGCATAAGGGTAGCATGGATTCTGCAAATGACCTTGTTCAAGTGGACATTTGAGCAAAGTTTGAAGAAAATCCTCTCAAGGTTGAAGGACTCCTTAGTCCTAGAGTGGACACGAAAAACCGACGGACGGCCGGACAGCCGGACGGACAAGCTGATTCCAGTATACCCCCCTTACAACTTTGTTGTGCGGGGGTATAATGAAGATTTTCTTTTAAAATATATAGTGTATCTTATTATGTCATATCAAATGTTTCTTAGTAATCTCATAATAGTTTACTATTGTACTTATTTAAATAACTTCACCTTAGACAATACAGATCTGTTAACACATAGTATGTATAATATACTAAATTATCATATTTCTTACTACAATATGTGACACTATGTAAGCCTTTTACTTTATTGCAGAATAAAACATGTAAGGTAATCCAAACAAAGTTGCAATTGCCACAAAAACCCCCCAAAAAACACACATCATAAAACCTACAGGATCCTGAATTTAGCACATGACACAGAAATGCTGCTGACTATTTTACTTTCATTTATAAATTTGAACTTAACCTTTCACAACACTATACATCTTATGATAGCAAATATTTCTATAAAGTACAAAACACTAAAATCCCTTTATGTAAGACAAAATCTGTACATCTCTAGTGACCTTGACTTTCCTTATAAAAAACAGACTTATAACATTTGTAACACTTAGCTCATAATGGTGAACATTTGTTATAGAACCCCTAGATTCATGATGACTAAATGGTCTTTATAACAGATGTGCAAAATAATAGCATGAATCAACTGATTCATCGAGTTCTTAAAGAAGGAAACAAATACATAACAAAAACAATCTGTTGTAGGAAACATAATACTATCATTACAGTAATTTACTGCCAATTTATGAGCTACCACCGACACAGTCTGTCAACTTTTTTTAGTGATGTGCGTGTCTTTCAGTGGGATTTGTAAAATATTGTTAGTTTAATGTAAATTAATACAAGTTATGTTTTATTACAACATGTTTCAACATGACAATAGTCTTACTTTTTCCTCCTCAGCTTTAGTGGCAGCATTTTCCTCTTCTAGTTCCTGCTCTGTTTTAAGCTGTTTGGTTAATCTTGCTATCAACTGTGACTTTAATCCTTTAGAACTTAAATTTCTACACTCTAATTCCCTCCGTAAGTCAATTATCTAAAATATCAAATTTCAAACATTACTGCTTTCATTTCTTTTTGGGAAAATGAAAGTATAAGTCAAGGAAAAATCTATTTCCATCATTTTTTTAGAGTGCAGCATGGGTTTTGCAGATCGAACATTGAGCCCAGACTGTAGAAAATCCATCAAGAGGTATTGTCTGACATTTGACCTTCAAGGATGACCTTGACTGAGCAGGCATAAGGGTAGCATGGATTCTGCAAATGACCTTGTTCAAGTGGACATTTGAGCAAAGTTTGAAGAAAATCCTCTCAAGGTTGAAGGACTCCTTAGTCCTAGAGTGGACACAAAATTTAATGAGAGACTGACTGACCAACTGATGGCTCTACTATCACAACAGAATATGGTCCACCACATTAATATGTTGTGAGTATAATAAACTTGTTTTGCATAACTGACAATACATATTATATATTCACATATCAAGTTTCTAAAGAGAGAAAATACCCTGCATGATCAAAATTAAATACAAATTATTTTCATGACAAAGATGTTTTGTAAAAATGGTGGTTATACAAATGTATGTGGAATATGATCAATATCTCAGTGAAATAAAAATTTACCTTCATAGACTTGGGATCCAGTTCAGAGAAGTGGGTGGGGTCTTTTTTCTCACCAAGTGCCTCATCCATACCTTCCTCATCCTCATCCTAAATAAAACAGTCAACAGACAAAATATTAATATTGCTTACAATGAAATGAAACTCATAAACAGTGTTAACATGATTATTAAACCTTTCTCTCTATGGCTGCTCAAATATTTTAAGATTAGAAGACAGAATGATGCAATTTAAGTTTCATCTCTGACTGGTACAAAAATTCACTGATCCATCACTGGGGATAAATATGGTGACTACACAGACTTAAAATATGTAGTACATCACTTTGGTATAAGATGATCATCTAACAGTAACACAAACATGTAGCTTATAATAAATCAAAACTAGGTGAATAAAGTACGCTAAATAGAAATCCCTCTACTACAATGCAAGTCCTTTCCCCTCATTTCCCAAGTCTGTTTTTCTGGCAGGCAATTTCTTTCGTACAGAAAGCAACAACAATAAAAAAAATAATAAAAAAGAGAAAAAAACTGGGGGAAAAAAGAGAAAAAAAAATGTCCATCATGATGGAAATGCACCAGCATTCCAAGACCGGGAAGCCTATCTCCACTTGATGAAATAGTTCATTGTTCAAATAATTTGAACCCCAAGGTTTGGTACTATCAAAGCTATTTGAAATAAAACAAAATGATTAAATTTTATGTTAAATATGGAGAATATGATCTGCCTGAGCATCCTCTTTGCCCTCCAGCTGTGCCAGTTTTTTCTGAAGTTGTTTTTTGTAAGCAAGCTGTAAAGTCTCCCATTCAAGGTGAGTAGGCTCGCAACTCCAAACATCTGGGAGGTAGATAACACTGGTCTCTACACGAGCTGCAACTAATTTGCCTTTGTGCGTCTCCTCGGGGCGAAGGTAACGCACCTCAGCTACACGATACCTGTTTAATTTGGGGATAAAAATATCTATATCAATAGATATGAAATGTGTGAAGCAAATTATAAATGTGATAATGATACTTGATGGTAATGATAAATGAATGATTCCTTACATGATTATATAGTAGCAGGACAAATTTTGAAGTAGAGAAATACATGAGATATAATCACTGTTCAAAAAGTTTGGTCACAAAGAGAAAAGAACATTTTTTATATAAAAAACTTTTTTTATTTTTAGATAAGCCCTTTGTTTTGTGAATAAATACCAGGAAGAACATATAGGGAAAGTTTTTTACAAGCTATCAAAATGGTATAGAAGTACAACAACCAATGATATGTGAATTCACATGCTTAAATTACCGTATGATATAAAAGTCTAGTAATATTCCCAAGTTCACAAGTACTTGTATAGACTTAACTGATGTCATACATACATCATGCTATTTTATTATCTGTTTCATAATGACAAATGCAAACAATGACAAAGTTATGTAAAATGGATTTAAACCATAGGTGCTAGTATCAAAAATAATTTTCTTCAATACTATTTTACTTTAGTAAAAACATTTTATTACTTTATCTGATACTTGCACCTGTGAACGTAATATTAATTCACTCTTCAAAATTTACTACAATAAAATTGTATGTTTATCTATGCTATTTATTACTTCTATATCTTTTCCCAAAAATTCACATTGCTGAAATAATTATTTTCTATCTATCTATTCAGCAACATATTTATCACCAATGCCTCTACTTGTTAAATCCCCACTTTCTAAAGGATCAGAATATACATTTACAAATAGCATTATTATTTACAAACATTTATACTGCTCCTATAAGAGAGGTTTAACAACTCAAAATATTGGAGATAAATTGTGTTACAGATAGATACTCAAAAATATCACAAACCATAGACTTCAAAAACCTAGTAAATGAAAGGTATTTGAATTGTAAAACAATAATCTGTGTCAAGTATTTCTGCAAAAAATGTATTAGTTTTTTTAGGTTACTAGGTATTGTAAACACCACTATCACTTTTTATGTAAATGCTCAATTTCAATCTGAAACTAGGGTAAAACTTACCACATAAAACATATTGTTTTATAAAATTACACTTTTAAATGTAAAAATGTTAATTTAGAATAAAATAATACACCATATATGACTAATCAATAACAAATAAGTCAATATGGTTTAGTACATGAATGGCTTAATGGCCTTTCTTTTATTTATACAGGTGTATGAGCAGTTACAGTAGATATTAGGTACTGAATATTGCATCATGTATAATAATTAAAGAAAGAAAAGGTAGACAAGTTATGTCATCCTATAGCATTAGCATAATTTGAAGCTGTTATATCTCCATTCCTTTACTCTAAAATAGGTATAGTGTAGGTGATTTCTATCGCATTTCTTGTTATTTTCAATTTCAATTTTGTCTTGTCATGCTGTGCCTAATCTCTAGCAAAATGTTGACAACATGCTAATTTACTTAAGACAGCTTCTTGTTGTACAGGCTTAGTGTCTAAACCTTTTTCAGCTATTTTGGGAAAAGACCCCTGATAAGAATTGGGAAAAAATATTCTGCATTTTGTGAAACTTGAGATATTTCAAAAAGTTAAACAAGAGCACAGCATGCAGTGTTTATGCTCTTCTCTTAAGTCAAAAGTTAAAAAAGGGGCATAACTCCAAAAATGCTTTCATAATTATGCCCCTTGTATTATAAGCAAATATTCCAAGTTTCATGTTTATACCATTTGAATAATGGCCTACATCAAAGACTTTGCACAACAACAACTATATTGACATGGCTGCAAGACTTTTTCTACTTAAAAACTTCTTACATATATGTTTTTAAGTTTTATAACATGTTTACTGTGATTATAAACATATCACTTCTTTAGTCGAAACAGTTCAATGTTTTTTAGAAGCTGAAACAGTTAGAAAATCAAATTGTCAGGAATTTTTTTTTTTTTAAATTGGGAATGAAAGAAAGAATATTTTGAATTAGGAATGGGGCCTTATACCAGCCCCTGGTAAAAGGGTGAGGATGCCCTGTGCATAGAATGAAAAACACTTTAACATGCTGTTCTAAGTAAATCTGTATGATGTCATCTTCTGATTAGCAACAATGCGCTACATAACAAGATGAAAGTGAACTAGGCCTGTTGTCTTTTTGTTAAAGACACCATGCTGCATGACAACAACAAAACTGACAGAAATCACCCTCCATAGTATAATGATAATGACAATGTAAAGAAAACATGCCATTTAGTTTTATCTCTATTAATTTAAAATATTATAATAAGTATAAAACTGAAATATTTCTAATAAATTATTGTTTCGGAAAAATATATCTATGGTAGATTCTAAATATTAGTCCTGCATTTTGTCAACAGGACAGTTCAGTCCCTGCTTGTCAATGCTGATTAACTGATTCATGTAGCCACTCCAACAGTATGATAGTATTTTATGTTTTTATTATCCTATATACCAGTTCCAAGCAGTACTTTACTTTAAATACAAAATATTGTCAATCTATTTAAGAACCTATTAAAACTTTAAAACCTTCAGTTAACAATTTCATGTTAATAACTCTAATGTCTAAATGAATTTAACATGAAGAAATAAAACAAGTGTGAAGGGAAATCACTCACCATTGTGTACATGAACTTAAATTAATTCCAGTCAAAGCCTTTGTTGTCCTGATAGCAGTTTTGATGAGCACCTTGGGGTCTTCCTGGGGATTGGCACCATCCAGTGAGGGAGACCAAGGCCCTCCTATAGCTATAGGTTCATTCTTTCCCTTTACTCCAACAAGAAAGTTGATGAGGCGTGTTGGGTGTACAAAGTTTTCCTGCGTGTTTTCTGGATCCTGAGACAGTGAGCATGACTTGTGGTATAACTCATCTAGACTTGGACTTGATATCAGCATCACCTAGTACAGTGAAATATCATTTTTATCAGTACATGTATAATGTAAGCAAACAATGAAAAGGAAAAAAGATTAAACATAACTCTTTTACTTTTGTTTGTTTGTTTGTTTTGGGTTTTACGTCACATCGACACAGTATAGGTCATATCGCGACGTTCCAGCTGTACTGGTGGAGGAAGACCTCAGGTGCCCTTCCGTGCATTATTTCAGGCACGAACGGGCACCCCGAGTAAAACCACCGACGTTCCGTAAGCTAGCTGGATAGCTTCCTCACATGAAAGAACCCACAGCGGTGAGTGGCAAGTGGTTTGAAGTCAACGACCTTAACTCTTTTACTTGCTATGAAGTATTTCTAAATGGTATGAAGAAATGAGACTTTTTGAGAAAACAAAAATTCATACTTTAATAATGAAAAAGAAAAGATGACATGTTGCTTAGTTATTAACTGTAATTTAACAAGATAATGATTAAGAATGCTATATTTACTATTTATTTAATCTCTTGGTCATGAGCTATTTCTAGTTAGTAGTTTGTTTACCTTGGCACTGTAAAGATGGTCTGCATCAGGCGGGTCTAGTACAGCTGTGTTTTGTCCAACTCTATCTATGTCTTTGTGCATCACATGGAATGTACATGCCTTCCCAAGCTGAAAAGGTCTGAGGAGAGGAAAGGCCTCGTGCCATGGGAATTCAGCATTGAAGAAATCACTAGGAATGTACATGTTGCTGTATCTTGATTTCAAGGACACAACACTTGCTTCTTTCCTGAAATATTAAAAAACTTTCATGTGATTTACATCTAGTTACATATGATTCGAACAGGTGAAACAGGTGAGTCAAGAAAAACTTCTGATAAGGTTCATACACTTTGAATTCTGCTTAATTAAAATTGGATGCTGGTCTGTCTCTGAACTGATTTTATAGAACTTTCAATATCATTGCTGGAGATCAAAACATTGAAAGAGCATTACCATTAATAAAACGCTTCTCCAGCTGTTAAACACATTATAGCAGTAAAATGCAGAAACTTTTTGCCACATACATAGCTTCTGAACTGGTTAAATTTAAATTCAACAAACTAAACATTTTAATGCTTTTCTACCCAACAAAACAAGACATGCTTAATAATTTTCTGGTCTAATCTAAAAAGTAGAGAATATTCTTACATTGTGAGTATTACTTTTGGAACTTGAACAACATATCTCGGAATAATTCTTGGTCTACGTCTCACTGGTGACCTTGACCTTCTAGATGATGATGGAGAACCTGATTTACGTGGTGACCTTGACCTTTTCCTCTTTTCTTTCTCTTCTGGTACATCTTTATCTTTCTCTTCAGATTTTCTACGTTCACGCCTTTCTCTTTCTTCTCGTCTACGTGTTCGTTCACGGTCACGTTCCCTGTCAAAACTCCTCCCACCGGATCTATTTCTGTCACCTCGACTTCCTCGACCTTTAAATTCAAATTTTGTATTGGTTAAATGGTTGATAATCTTTTTATTATTTTTTCAAACAGGATTTGTTTCCCAATTTACATATTTCCATTATATCTTTCTCATTGACTTTTCAGAGATTATACTGGATAAGTTCATGACATTAATACAAATTTTTGAATATTCATATATTTATAAAAAAATAAAATAAAGTAATATGATATTAGATAGTACAAAACATACTACCTGTAGCAGTGTCCATCAATGCTGGTGGTTTGCTTCCAGGTAAACTACCTCCTCCAGTCTGAAAAATATATAACTAGCATTAAAGACATCATCAAACTGTTTTATGTCATCACTAAACTTACTTTTCATGCAAAACTATTCCATATATACATATAATAACAAAATAATTCTAGATAATTTGAAATAAATATTGAAAGTTTAGTATTTGAGTTTTTGCTATCCTTTTTTATCATCTGATATATTTATCTTAACATTCTTATCTGTACTTACCTGATAATTCAGAACTTTCACACTGGTGGCGTTCCACTTGAAAGGCATATTAGCGTTGTATTGGGCCTCTACCAAAACTCTGTCTCCCACCTTTGGCATTTGACCTTTCACACACCTTTGCAGAAATAAAAGACCTATACCTGTTACTTTTTACTTATAATGTCCATTAAATTTGACAACTATAATGATGATTGATGCTTTAATTATTTTAGAAGTGTATGTAACTAAATATAGTGTACAACAGTGTTTAAGCATTAAACACTGGTATTTACATAATTACCAACCTGTTCTCTCAGTTCTTGGCTGCACATCAATTAGTAACAATTAATAGAAACTACTATATTTGTATAACAAGTTGTAATTGTGTATGGAAAAGCATATCATATTAAAATCTACATTATATTGTAAGAGCCTAAATATATGTTTAAGATGGATGGTAGATAACATGAATGACATTATGAAATGCATTAATGATTATGATTTACAGTCCAGAGCCTACAGATATAATTAAGACTATGTATTTTTACATTTATTCATAAAATTATATGATAATAATTTACTTGTTATGCATATATAATAAGTTGTTTACTATACAGGTTTGTTTCTTATATATATCTTGTTTAGAAGATATAATTCCTTATACTGGTTACAAAAACCACGGACATAGCACACAAAATGTATTGGCCTGACGTTTGCTACAACCTAGTTTCACTGTAATTACAATATATGAGCGCAAAGCTTACGTAGTTTGAAAAAAGACATCTTCATCAACAAAACCAAAGTTGTCATGTAGTTTTGTAACAGATCCTGTGAAGACTCGTTGTTTTGGTTGTGAAGCTTGTTGTTGTTGTGTTTTCAATGTTGGGTAACTGATAGCACCCATGTTTGCTGATGCTAGAGACGTTGGCATGGCAATACCTGGCTGAGGTAGCATTGCTGCTTGTTGCTGCATTGTCTAAAAAACATTCATAGCAAGGTCTGTGAAACACTCTTCACAATGTAACATAGTTACTTGAAATTATAAAACTGAACAATAGTGATCAAACAAAACTTGTTTCATCTTTATCAAAGTCTGCAGTACCCAATTTTAATTAGATACATCTACATTGAAGTCATTATACACAGGGCTCGAGCTAGTGGGCGATTCGGGCGAAATAGTCGCCGAATTCCGTCTGACTTCGCCGACATCCTACATGAAAGCGAAAATGAAGTCGCCCGATTTTATTGATCCATTATTGAAAATTACCAACAATATCTGTGAATAACATGTTGTGTGTGTTTGCTTTGTTTACCCTCGCCGCCGGAAAGAGGGACTGTCATGCATCTCAATCAGGCGAAATGTCATTAATCCGTTTGTTTGCCAACATGTCATAAAAGTCTAATTAGCAGACGCTCGAGGAACAATTAGACTCCGCCCACGGCGAGATTACCGATACGTGCGAGAAACCAATCGTAATTCACGTTTTAATCGAGGCGACATTATTTAACCAATCATTAAATCGCTAACATACAACTACCTGTAACAATTATTTATGATGGACGTATCAAACGTCAATTAAATTTTCACTATCGAATGATTGTCAGAATTAAGAGGACCGCTCGACATGTAACTGTAACGGTAATTGTAAATGAAAGTTATGATAGCCTTTTTTGTCGAGGAATTTAATTTGATAAAATTAACGGCGTATTACACTGTATTTATTACAAATGAAGTGAAATTAAAGATCGTTTCTTTCGTTATCTACTTTTATTTTCTTTCGTTATCTACTTTTATTTTCTTTACAACATAAGTGAATATGAATATAATGTCCGGCGCAAGCTTTTTAATAGTAAATCAGAAGGGAATAACTGTTAATCCACCCATGATATGATCCATGATAGGAATCAACTATGGCTTTTTTTATCTTCATTTAATAAATAATGCAATGGTTGCATTACATGATACTCATTCTTATTACTTGTTTCAAACTACTTTTAAACAGAGACATAGTTAACAATAGTTATAATAATAGCTATCTATATCTCTGTTTTAAATTAAAATTGAATATTCTGTTGTAACACAAATCCAATTCATTTAATAAGATATGTACAGTGAGTCAACATAATTGCAATAACATACAACAAACATCGATAAATGAATTTCCTCACTTCTCCCTAAAGTCTCCCCACTTCTCCCTAAATCAGCTGGAGGGAGAAGTGACTTCTCCCTAAATTTAGAACCTAGCTTGAGCCCTGATACATATACAAATGATACTAGGACATTTTTCAAAATTAAACAATCTAATTACATTTTAAAGAATACATGTTTACACGTCACAATCATGTCATATTTCATAACTTCAAAAATAATTTTAATAAGTTTCTGAGATATCACGGCAATTAAGAAATCATCTGGTTTAAATGATAACTGTTTGAACGTTAGTGCTTATAGACATTAGATTAAGGAATGCCGAGTGTTTCATCACATGAATAATTATTTCTGATAATGTCTCAGATATTAAAAATCATAAACAATATTACCTGTACCTGCATCGTGGCTGCGGCCATTTGTTGAGCTTGAAACTGTGACTGTAGATTTTGCTGGGCTGCTAAATTATATACTGCTTGGGTGGCAACTCCTGGAGTCAACATCTGCTGAGTCATACCCACACCTGAAAACTCTGAAAGTAGGTCATCCTGGTTGAACACAACAATGAACATATAAATGTTAAAAAACAAGATAGAAAAATCAAGTTTACAAAGGCCTTTCCTTATTTTCATAGTATTAAAATAAAATCAAACATACCTGTCCCAGTTCTAGCCCAAGGTGGATTCTTCCCTGCTCCAAACTGTGCCATCTTTTATTTCTCTGAAAGAATATGTTGCAGCAACAATAATGTTGTCTTCTCTTTTCCTAACAACTTTATTAAACTTTATTAAAGTTAAATAAAGAAGTAAGAAATGCTGATATGAACTTTGTTTTCAACATTCTCAGTGCTTGATAGTAAAACAAGCACCTGGATAATATAAAGATACTTTAAACGATTAAATGCTCAATTGCAGATATTTGGCATGTTGTTTTATGTCTGTAATAATGATAATATTGATATGAAATATATGGGTCGAAACGTCCGAAGGCCGAAACGTCATGTAAATTTGTACAAACGTGTTTCTTGTCCAGCATCCACAAGTTAATTATATAGGATAAAAATGGATACAAAGAGTCCACTTTAACAAAATATTTCGGTTCTAAAAATGGAGAGGATATCTACTCCAATTATCTGCCTCAAAATATTATAAATTTATCACCCATCAGAAAATAATTTCATTACCTGAACTCAAATAAATCAATATTAATTTATGCTATAAACGCATATAGTAAACAGTAGTACGAAACTTTGATAAAAGTACACATTTACAAAAAAACACGTAGGGTAAAGAAAAGAATTTATAATTTTGTCATACCAAAAATAAATGATAGCGAGGAAATTATGGTTTAACAACTTATTTTAAACGAAAATTAGATTGAAGACCACAATATTATTTCCTGCACCAAATATAAGCCAAAAATATCCCTAATATGTTGTAATGATTGACCTACAGTAAATTAATGGTCATATTTGCTTTACTGTTTACATAGTAATCAGATGAAAATAATAATTGGAAAAGTATGGGAAAGAGAATAGCTACTTACCGTGGACGACAATTACAAGATGAGACACGGAGCACAACATGTGTCACACAATTAACCTGAACACTAAATTCTAGACATCTGGACTAACCTGTACTGTTGACAAAATCTAGGGGACGCAGGGAACTTATAATTTAAAAAGCAAAAATTTATCTTTAAAACTTTGACAAGAAGTATACGACGTCTACAATTTTAAAACATGAATGGCATGTAAACTTATAAATGTCTCTGTTTAGTAAATTCGTTACTTACATTAATATATTTTCATTTATCAGCAAGAAAAACTCCCAAGTATTCTGCTAAAGTAAATAAAAAGTAAAAAATTTCCATGGTGCAAATCACCGTTCATGTTCCATTGGCTAGCACCAGCTTAAGCAGAATTCAAAATTTAAGAGTATTGCCAGTGGTACAAATACTTAAATATCATTGGAAACATTAATAACCATTGGCACCACTGGCTGACAATTTAATCTGAATGGACTTAATGTTTGTGTCATTAGGAATATAATGAACATTAAAATGGTACCAAATCATGTGAACTAGAGGAACCAATTTTCATTGTAATTTGTGTTGTTAGAAATATATTCTATCCTAAATTAAATTTGTTTATTTGCAAATCTACATTTCTTTTACATTTTGTAAATGTGCAATATTAGTTCAGTCTAATATGATCAATTAAAGTTAAAAGATTATCAACACTGCGCTAGTCTGGATGCGTTCAGAGAATTCCCAGTGGTACCGATGCTTAAATTAAATATATCAATGGTTATCATTGATATATTTAATAATTTTAAATCTAAAATAACTAATTATTTCGTGTAAACCGTGACATTTTTGAGCTGTTTTTTTGATTAGTCCGTTTATAATTAGATTATTCATTCTGGATCACTAGTCATTCGAGTTTTGTTGTCTAGATATCAAGTTTAAAAAAAATCATTTAAATGCGAATCTGCTGATATTTCCCTTAAATTCAGTCCTAAAAACAAACAATTACAGATAGTGTGATTATATTAGATTCAAAACGTGCAGTTAATGACTACCTGCCAAAACATAATTATTTTGGTGATCCGGATTTTTTAGTATTTCCTAAGAGTGATGATTTTGTAAAACTAGTTCTGGCAAAATGTAGAGGTGTTTTGATGTATAAAAAGACTATCTAGAGCAAATAAAGTACAACATAGACAGGTTAAAAAATATAGATAAATAAGTATTGTTATTTATATTATAATTTGGTAATTCATGTATGGCAAAAGCATGTTTTTTTGTGATACTGTTTTGACTATAGGTTGTAGATCATCTGCTCAGATTTGTCAGAGAGTTACTAATGCAATTGCATATTCAATGTATGATATTTATGATGGAAATGCCTAATTAAAATTATCTAGATGATCTGGCAAGTGTTAAGTGTTGAAAATTTAATGGATGCTTGGTTTGCGTATATTAATATTCTAGCTGTTTTATTACAGAAATATGGAATTGCAGAATCATTTAAGAAAAGTAATCTGAAATGATGACATTTTAAGGGATTTTATTTCATAGTAATGATTTTACCATTAGAGTAACTGATGAAAGGCTGATAAAAATTTGTGATTTCATTAAGTGGTTAGATAAAAGTACGCTACCTTAAAAGAAGTTAAATCTTTGGTAGGAAAATTACAATTCATTGGTTATTTTAATTTGGTTACGAGATGACCGCCATATGAACACATCTGCTGATGTTTCTAAATTCAAAATTTCACTATTTTTATGTTAAACCGAACCTGCAATTTTTCAGGGATTGATAATACGAATCCCAGGGGCACGAGAACGTAAATAATTGACAGTCTCTATATGCACTACACATGAAGGCAACACTGTGACTTTTAGCAACATTATAAGTTTCAACATGTACTACTATGAAACTGAATGAAGATAAATCAATGGAAGCAACTGATGTTGTAACCTTGAAATAGTAGTTCCTGGGAAACCACATTACTGCACTCCATCTATCGATGGCAGATGTTTTATGATGGAATTGCCTACAATAATACACAGCGAATTTCTGAAATTACATATAACAGAATTAGATATACATGTACAAAAATATTAAACATATATACCAGTATAAATATAAAAGAAAGAAATCCTTTTAAAAAGTACTATAAAAAGAATTATCTTTTAATTACAACAATCTAATTGATGACAAACACAATGTTTTATATGAAACAATTTATGAATCCACACTCTAGTTTAAGAAGAATGTAATATACCCCTTGATTAAAGGTCTAACAGTACTTGAATTCATACTGGTAATTTCACATGACATTGAAAACTATGACTTACCCAGTAATTACCCATCCCACTGAAATAGAAAAACAGAATCACTAAAGAAAACCCAACAAGGCAAAATTGTAAAATGTTGCAGGCTCGGTTTTATTGAGCCTGTTCATGGACGGTACTGGAAAGTGCAAGTTACCGTCCACGCCCCCTAGCACCGGCTTAAGCAGAATTCAACATTTAAACACAAAAATGGTGAAATTTTGAATTTAGAAACATCCGCAGATGTGTTCATACGGCGGTTATCATGGAATCTTCAATGTGACACAGAAGTGGCATTCCATGAAAAGCGACGTATGGTCCCCAAGTAAAAGAATGTGTGTGCCCTAAACGAGAAAACAATGGGCGGAACTAAATAAAATGGAATTGTGAAAGGGGATCTGAGGTTATTAAGCCTGCATATCACAGACAAGACGTCAAAAGACAAATTTAAAAAGCAGGCAACATATCCTAAGGGTAATTATACAGTATTCAAGTTGGAATACTAGAACCACCCATGTTGAAAAAGGCCAAATACAAGAAACTAAAAATACCATCTACAATGTATACACAACAATAATGTCGTGCTGAACGGTCTTAAATTCAAGGATCGAAAATATAACATCATTGATTAAATGTACGGGGAGACTTTTTACAGCCGCCACACGGCACAAATAACACGGATGTGACAATGAAATAGAGAAAAACAGAAACCCTAAAGAAAGCCCAACTCGGCAAAATTGTAAAAAAAATGGAAGTTCCTTTTCTAAACTCTTAGAAGTAAATTTGACAGTGTAATTTTATTCTCAAAGGAATATTGTAAATATTCTTTATATTCATCTGAACGGCAATTCTCCATGAGCTGTTATATCAGAATAAAAACCTGACCTAAAAGCAAAAGTAGCCATACCTCTTCTGAAGGAATGAGTGAAATAATTTAACCTGTTTGGGAACTTTTCTGTGTTAAAACAGTTTAAAAATGAGAATAAAACCTAGTTTTCCATACTTAAACAGAAAAAGGGGCAAGTCTATATCCCTAGGAATAAGACGCAACATATCATTATAAGTTTTCACCGGACACAATACAGGATGTTCTACCTTTACTAATGGTAGCAACAAAATCATTTCACCATATTGAATCGTTTGAGACAACTTAAATTAACCAACAAACCAAAACACCCCCTTCATTGTTTCAAGCCAAGTGCTATGATATTCTCCTATTTTAACTGTTTGTTTTCTGTTTGATAGATAGTTTGAAACTAGAGCACATGCATTTTCAGACAACCATATGCCTCTAGCTTTTGGCCTGTAAGATCATGCGGTAGACATGCCTTGGACAGGTCCATTAGGATTGCTGCAGGTCCATTAGGATTAGGAACCAGGCCTTATGGTGAGTTAGTGATAGTGTTGTTTGACACACAGCTTTTAGGAATAACTTTTCTTTTCTCTTCAATCTTTTTTGCTTATCTTTAAACATTAAAATGTATAGTATATTACTTAATGCGTACATATTTACTTTGATATTAATTAATTAATCTTTACTTTATGAAAATGACCAGTGTTGAGCGTCCACGATAATGTTTCAAAAACTATTGACCACAACCTTTCGTATATTGTATAGATGTGTTGTTGTAAAATTGATTTAAATTTATATATATATGGGATAGAATATTATAAAAATATATTAAAAAATATCAGGAATTGGCGAATTGTTGTCACATAAGAGGTTGAATTATGGTAAAAGAGGATTGAAACAATTGATAAGTGAATGCTAGTATTTTTATTTCTAAAAAAAAAAAAAAAAACGCTAATAACGGCTTTAAAACGTTGAAATTATTTATAGTAAAGAAAATAAAAAATTAATAATATAGTAAAAATTTCGTTTCATTAAAAAGTTCTTATAACGCTCACATGTATAGCATCCGGGGACTTTAAAATTAAAACGAGGCTCCAGTTTCGTACGGGAATTTGGTGGAAATTTTGTAAATAGTAAAAACAAAATAAATATGCTCTTTAAGACATAAAATGCATTTAATTGAACAGAAACTTGAATTGTATTAATTTTTGCGTTTGTTATCAGTATAATTTTGCAAATATTATAAGAACTGTTCTGTAGATTGAGAAGTTCCATAAAATTAAACGCAAAACTAAATTGGCGAGAAGTTAAATACCGATACTGGCAAATTATACTCATATTAAATAGTAAGTCTACAGGGTACAGGTTTATGTTTGAATGTATTTTATAGAGATGTGACCTTCCCATTTTTCATGGACTATTTACTAATTAAATGGGATGAAAGTAGGCAAAGCCTATGCAGGCTTCGAAGAATTTTTCTCTACCCCTCCCCTAGCTAACAAATTGTGCGCTTTAGTGCCCTTTATTATATAGACGATGGTCGCCCTTTATGACAGACATCTATGAAATATCGGATTATAAAATCGGGCAGTTTTGCAGTCGAAATATTGAGACTACCCCTATCCCCCCTGACTACCCTCCCCTTGCCGGTGAAAGTCAACTCGGCCCTATACCAACTCGAATCCGGTTCAGCTCGGCCCTAAAACGTACTCCGCCCCCAATTCAGCTCGGCCCTATTCCAACTCGGCACGGGTCAACTCGGCCCACTTTTTAATTATTAATATTTAGGGTTGTGTTATCACTTTTTATTGTTATTGTTGTAATTATTTACAAAACACGGATTGACAGTTTCAGAACTAGCAGCAGACAGGCTTTTCTTATCAGTAGAATTGCGAGTAAAGATAACCAACCGATTGCGTATCTCACTGTATTTCTGACTCGTGGTAGGTTAAACTGTAAATTTAAATACCTTCAGTGTCAAACAATTTGTTGAAATATATACTGAGAGGAAGCTAAGATCACCAGCTTTTAATTGGTGTAACACAGGGCTCGACATTAACGGTTGTCCGACTGCCCGGGACAACTAAAAGTTTGGTCCGGGCAAGTTATTTTGAAAAGCACTTGTCCGACAGGGCAAGTGAAAATAAAAAGCATCATTGACAAAATGCATGTACAAAATGAATAGAAATAACATCTTTTCATTTATAAACATCTTTAAAACAAAAATACACCATGAATCATTATCAATAATGTGAATATACTACGGTCATGTACATTTGTTGATATAGGAAACGGAAGCAAAAATATGAGCATGCGCCGCGGTAAGGTAATTCCCCGTTCTAATAATAGACTATATCTTATTTTGTACAAGGTAATTCCCTGGTTATGCTGTTGTTTAAATTTTGATGTTTGCATGTAAAGATATCATTGAAAATGTGTAAATAATCATATTGATCTTTAAATATAATTGTTAAATAAAGTTTTTGCATTTAAAATGATTTATTGTTTAATCTAATATAACAACATAATATGAACTTAGTCAAGGAAGACTCGTTTACGGCTGTTGACTTGATGATTGAACGGGGAATTACCTTACCGCGGCGCATGCTCATATTTTTCCTTCCGTTTCCTATATCAACAAATGTACATGACCGTAGTATATTCACATTGAATAAACAGATGAACCGATGTTTTAGAAAAACTACTAAATACAAAAAATATTTGTGTCTACGTATTAATGTATGAGCTTGTTTATTTTTTCTGATTTATACATTTTTACCATTTTTAGGTCAGGACAAGTAAGTCTTAGGTCAGGGCAAGTAGTTTTAAAAACTACTTGCCCGACAGGACAACCTGATTCAAAAGTTAATGTCTAGGCCTGTAACACATTTTAAAATCGGACATTTACTCTCCCCAAACTAGCGATTTAAACACGGCTAAATTGGCATTCTTTTGCAAGCGAAGGGAAACTAAGGGAAACAAGTCTTGCTTTTTCACTCAATATACCTCGGTTATTTACGTAGTTCGACAGAGAGAGTTTATAAATATAAGACAAATAAATAAAAAAAAAATCTAAATATACTTTATTTCGGGAGAAGTACAATGTATAATTATATAATAATAAGATATTTCTTATTATTCATTTACCTTAACAACATGCAAAGCAAAGTTAATACGTAATATATCTTTTTGTAAAGTGGGCCGAGTTGACCCGTGCCGAGTTGACCCGTGCCGAGTTGGTATAGGGCCGAGTTGACTCTTTTCCTACCAACTCGTCACGGGTCAACTGAGCCCTCAATAAAAAAAACAGCATTAAACGTATTAACATTTTTTATTACTTGCATGTTGTGAAGGCCAAAAAAATGTTATCAAAGATAAAATAAAAGATATCTGGTTTATTATTATATTATTGTACTTCTGCAAAGTTTAAGTCTATTTAGAAGAAATTCGTTATATTTTTCTTGCAGATTCGTTAAAAATTTATATACTACAAATGCATTTTCTTTGATGCATTTTGTATGTTAAGTAATCTTCAATAAAATATGAAATAAAAATGTGTTTATTATCATAAGCTTTTAATTAGTTGCAGGAGGTCATTTATCAAATTTGAATGATTGCATCAAATATAATTATCACCTACTTAATCGGTACCCTTCGCTGAACATACACATGGTAATTGATTGGTTATAATAGCGGATGAATAAATTAATTTAAGAAAACATCTTTCCATGTTTGTGAATAAGTGATTAAGTCCATATATTAATTATTCCTACAATATTGAGTGATAAAACAAACCAATATATTAATATATAAAATTGAAATGGTGGCTGAGTTGACCCGTGCCGAGTTGGAAAATGGCCAGGCTGACTTGAGCCGAGTACGTATAAGGACCAACCAAGCTGACCCTGATTCCCCCTTGCCTATAGGATGGTCCCCTATGCCACTGTTCTTATAATTTCCAGCAAACTGTACAAATAAAAAGAACTTGTATTTACTACTTTAATATGAAATAAAGTGCTACCAATGGCGCGGAAAGCTCCTATAAATTATGATTTTAGCCAGGGTCTTTCAAATAGAATGGTCTAGAATCAGACCTTTTTTATGAAAAAAGATGTCTTGGTTGAATCCAAGATTAGGTTATTTAAGTAATTTTGTAACCAGTTCTACCTGTTAATATATTCTTTAATTTCGATTCTGGCTCTGTTGAGAGAACTTAACGTAATTTATGTTTAATTAGGATGGCATCTGGTGGTTATGGACGTGGTGGCCGAGGGGCAGCTTTACTGCAAGCACTTAGTCAACCAGCAAGAAAACCTGGTGATAATGGGCAAGATTCAACTGAAAAGGTAAAATTTCCTCCTAAGAATAAGATTGATGAACTGCACATAAGTATGTATAATTGTATAGTTTAATCTTGAGTAAAAGGTTAAGAATTTAGAATATTTTTAAATAAATTGGGTTTAATTGAATTACATCGGGTTATACACTTAGCAGATCTGCTAATAGGATAGATAAGAGAACATTCTTGATCAGCTTTTTAAAACGGCATGCCTTCAGATTTATTTTAATTTTCAAGGCAATTTTTAGAATTGATTAAAAAGTTGAATATTGTGAAGTGAACAAAGAAAGTAATTTACATATTGCAAACAGCACTTAATATCTGCAAAGAAAAGATACTAAACGTAAGTTAGAATATGCAAAAATAAACCTTAAATGTATTAGTCAGGCAGCAGAAATATGGTGATACATACTACAAATTATGTCATTAATTACATATAACATGATTGTGAATATTTTTTACTTTTCTTTAACTCATTATACGCAGTACATTTTTCATAAGGTTTTATTTATTAAAATAATTGGCTCATCTGGAGGTTTTCATCTCTAACATTTTACAAATCTGAATTTTGTCTTCTTTATTTTTAATGTGAAAAATTGCCCTTGCTTTTATTAACAAAAAATGATATCTTTTTAATAGACACAGCAGTCATCAGGAACTCCTGCAACCACATCTGCTCCAGCCCCGATGGGTAGAGGTGCTCTACTTGCAAGTGTTTTGAGTCAGACCCAGTCTTCCCAGCAGCACTCACCAGGTACCTATCTCATACATGAAACTTTTTGTTATATTTTACTGTTGATACACAAAATCTAGTTGTCACCAGTAATTGTGGTTTTGAGCTAGACTGGATGCTCAAGCTGATTTCATCTGTTATCTAAGGTCTTTGTAAACTGTGTCTTGTAGGGAAAAAACTTTTCATAAGCTAATTAAAAGACTTCCATAAAAGTTAGTCACAAAGTGACAGGGTGAGCTTTTGTGATCGCTTTTCGTCCGGCGTCCATCCGGCGTCCGTAAACTTTTAATTTAAATGACATCTCCTCATAAACCACTAAGCCAATTTAATCCAAACTTCAAAGGAATGTTCCTTTGGTGGTCACCTTTGAAAATTGTTCAAAGAATTTAATTCCATGCAAAACTCTGGTTGCCATGGCAACCAAAAGAAAAAACTTTAAATATCTTCTTCTAAAAAACCCAAAGAGCTAGAGCTTAGATATTTGGCATGAAACATCTTCTAGTGAGTGTCTACCAAGTTTGTTCAAATAAAAGCCCTGGGGTCAAAATTGGCACGCCCCAGGGGGTCATTGATTTTCCCCTTTATGCATATATTAAAAACTTAAAAAATCTTCTTTTAAAGAACCCAAAGAGCTAAAGCTAAGATATTAAGCATGAAACATCTTCTTATGGGTGTCTACCAAGTTTGTTCAAATAAAAGCCCTGGGGTCAAAATTGGCCCCGCCCCAGGGGGTCATTGATTTTCCCTATATGCATATAGTAAAAACTTAAAAAATCTTCTTTTAAAGACCCAAAGAGCTAGAGCTAAGATATTTAGCATGAAACATGTTCTAATGGATGTCTTCCAAGTTTGTTCAAATAAGAGCCCTTGGGTCAAAATTGGCCCCGCCCCGGGGGTCATTGATTTTCCTTATATGTGTATAGCAAAAACTTAAAAAATCTTCTTTGAAAAAAACCAAATAGCTAGAGTTTAGATACTAAGCATGAAACATCTTCTAGTGAGTGTCTACCAAGTTTGTTCAAATAAAAGCCCTGGGGTCAAAATTGGACCCGCCCTGGGGGTCATTCATTTTCCTTATATGTGTATAACAAAAACTTAAAAAATCTTTTTGAAAAAACTCAAATAGCTAGTTTAGATATTAAGCACGAAGCATCTTCTAGAGAGTGTCTACAAAGTTTGTTCAAATAAAAGCCCTGGGGTCAAAATTGGCCCCGCCCCGGGGGACATTGATTTTCCTTATATGTGTATAGCAAAAACTTAAAAATCTTCTTTTAAAAAACCCGAATAGCTAGAGTTTAGATATTAAGCATGAAACATTTTCTATTAAGTGTCTACAAAGATGGTTCAAATAAAAGCCCTTGGGTCAAAACTGGCCCTGCCCCAACTGTGTCATTGTTTTTAACTATATGTGTAAAGAAAAAACTTGACCAGCTAGACCTTAGATGTTTAGCATGAAACATCTTCTAATGGGTGTCTACCAAGTTTGTTCAAATAAAAGCCCTGGGGTTTAAACTGGCCCCGCTCCGGGGGCCTATATACAGGTGAGCGACTTCAGGGCCATCATGGCCCTCTTGTTTATGAGTTGTGCATGACCTTCATACATGTAGTCATTATGGCCATAATTATGTAAGACTTTAAATCTTTCTACAGAACTTGCAGAAAAATTTCTAGTATTGAAACACTGCAACATTCAGGTTCATAACTCTGCATGCATGGTGGGTTTTCAAAATCAATTGGTACATATGACTTACATATGTAGACCATGTGTCATGTGCAGGACTCGGGTCAAATGTTTTTTTTAAAAACTAATGATGGATTCCACTAAGTAATATAACATAATATTCTGTGTCATAGAGGTCCTATAGAGATTGGGATATACTCTTGTCCTGCTGTAGCTATAGTTAATTTTATTAAAGGGAGGCCTTAATTGTTTTCATTGGCTCCACTACACACTTGGGCCTATGTATTACTATTAAATACTTACTATTAAATACTAACACACTTTAGTTTTAGGTTGCCTTTTCCTGATATTTATATTTTATTTAATTTTACCCATGAAATATGGTGATATATTAGTCAAATATATTTCATATTTTTTAAAAATAAATATGAGATATAAATATGAAAGCGGGCGGAGTCAAAACTTATATTAATTTCAAGGGACTTCTTTCGTCATTTTGTTCGAAAAAATCTGATAAAAACAAAACAACTTTTTCTTGAATTTTGTTTTGAAAACTATCTAGAATGATAGAAAATGGTCTAACAAAGAAAATTAATCGCAACTCCAATATCGTTAATTCAGTAATTAACGCTGTACAGACGTTTAAAGAGTTGTTTACATGACGTCACAATGTAGTGCCAAACAGCGCGTGCTTACGCATAAATTACTGCGCGCTGTAAAATTGCAGTTGGTAGCAAGCAAGGGCATTCGTTACCATTTTCTTTGATAATGAAATTAAATAAAAAGGTTATTTTTTCGTTTTTCGTGAAATATGGTATACATTTTCACTCAACATGATAAAATGCCACATATTTTCACTCGCCGTACCGGCGAGTGAAAATATGTGGCATTTTATCATGTTTCGTGAAAATATATTCCATATTTCACTCAAACGAAAAAATATCCTCTTAATATTAACTATCTAAAAAAAAAACCAACCTGATAGATAATTGATAGCGTGTAATTATTTTTATAGGTGGAGATGCCCCTGCTGTTCCTAGACCAATGGGACGAGGATTAGCTTCTATGCAGGCTTTGTTAAAAGCGTAAGTACTAATTGTTTATACAGTTCAAATTATCCAACTATTTATCATCATGTGATAACACTTGTATTCATGATGATTAACTTATTTCTGACATACTATTCCAGTATTGTGAATTTTGTTAGATAGATAAAATTGTCTTTAAATGATGATATACATGTAATATTTGTATTTTAAGATCTGGTCAGACATTGCCCCAGACAACAGCTAGAGGAGCTGCATTCATGACACAGCATGCAGAGACAACAGTAGCTCCACATCCTCCCAGTCCTCCAAGGAAGATAGTAACTCCACCCACTCAACATTCTCCAGTTACTCAACAGCATGTATCTCCTCAAGCAAGGCATGAGGTAGCAGGCACAGAATCTCATGGTCCGCCAACCAGTGGTCTTGCTAGAATGTCGTTAGACAGAAAACCAGTTGTACATAATTCTGGGGAAGTTGGAGATCCGTAAGTTTTAAGTTTTCAAAAGCATGAAACTTTTGTCTCTTTATTTCTGAAATTTGCATTTCATATTTATTAATATTGCAGGCTTGCCCCTTGAACACCCCCCCCCCCCACAAAAAAAAAGAAGGAAATCCAGACGGTTTTACAGTTTTATACCACTTATGCTCATCTGATAAGCTCTCTTCTATTATGCTTGTATAGATACTGAATAATTTTTCAGAAAAAGTATTTCATGGGTTCTATTTTAATTCAAGATTGTTTATGAGAAAAATGACTTATTATGTTGCTCAATTACTTTGATAAAATTTGAGAATTAATCAAAAATGAATTATTGTTGTTTTAAGTGGCATATATGTTAACAACTTGTTATGTGGCTATATATTCAGATTGAGACTGTCTGCAAATTATATCAGAATACAGTGTAAGAACAAAGGTGTCTACCAATATCATGTAGATTTCCGACCCAATATTGACAGTAAAGGGATGCGTATAAGGTTCATAAATGAACACAGAGATGTAATTGGATTTACCAAAGCATTTGATGGGTCCATCCTATATTTGCCCATAAAATTGGAACAGCAGGTGAGTTAATATAAGAAGATCATTATCACAGCTTAATAATTTTCTAAGATTTGTTTCCTGTGTCCTTATAGGTGAGTAATATTAATTTATGTATATATTTAGATAAGTAAGAAAGATATGGCAAGCAAACACTGATTCTGTTACTTAGATTTTATTTAAACCAATGGTTTCTGTATTTACCGTTACCTTCAAGGCCCATTATATTCCACCAAAATGCTTTAAATTTCATTTCTCAAAAGCTCTTTATTTTTATGGCAAAAAATAACTAATTTGCCAATTACCTGAATCAATTTTTGCTTCTGTTGATTTTTGGCAATTTGTATAGTAATAATAATTTGGTATTTTGTATGAAAGTCAAAATACTACTTTATTTACATTTTGCTAATTTTATGACAAATTATTTCACACTTAGCCCTATTTTGTTGAGGTGATAAGCATCAAACATGCTTTTATATCATTATTTAAATGTGACAGAACTTTCGTTTGTCTCCACTATTAAATGAAAGAAAAAAAGAAAGAAAAAATTCTGAGACAAGGTTTGTCGTTTTTGGCATTCTTTAGGGATTCTGTACTTTCTAATGTAAAGATTTTAGAAAAGAGTGACATTTCGGCATGAGACATTAGGTAATAAGGTATTTATATAGTGTTTAGATCACAAAAGGGTAATTGAGTTTGACCTACTTAAAAGTCAAGGTCAAGGTAATAACTTTTTTCAGTCTTCAAGTTACAGAGTTGTATTTTAATGTCTTGAAAACGCATTATTGGTATAGGTGTTCCCATCTATCAACTTGTATCTTTTTTGCTTAAAAGTCCAGTTAATGAGAAATAAAAATATGGAAAGTGCCATTTTGTAAACTATTGATGTGACATTTACCTCTTTCTGTATGATGATAATGTTATCTCTGTGGCAAAAACTCCAGTTTACTGCATACTGATTACTGTGTTAAAGGAAATAAAACATCTTTCTGTGACTGATATTCAGTTTTTTTACAACAGGAAACAGTTCTGCACAGTGAACGTCCAACAGATCAAGCCAAAATTACAATTGTGATAAAATTGACAAAAGTTCTCCAACCAGAATCTTGCCAACAGCTCTACAACATTGTTTTTAGAAGGTATGTTATTTGAAGAAATTAGATTAAAAGAATCAAATTTAGATGTTTCTGTATGCTCAGTTAGATTCAACATTAGCTGTTGTGTTTCATATACCTGACATGAAGAATAAGTTATATTTTTTGATAAATTTAGTCTTTGGTATACTTATGACATTTTGTAGGTTCTAAATTTTAATATTGACTATACTAGAACTGATAAGTGTTTGTAAATGTATTTCAGAATAATGACTATATTAGAGATGGTTCAGGTTGGCAGATATTACTACAATCCTCATACACCTTCCAGTGTACCACAACATAAGTAAGTTCATTACTCTTCTTTATCCTCTCATACCTTGTATCCACATTAAATGTTGAATGAAACCAACATAAACAAAATTATACCATGCCATCAAATGTTACCTATATTAGGTATCAAATTTTTATTTGCCCGTTTAATTTGTAAACAAAATGACAGGCATTTATGTTACCAGGTGTAACCAGAAATGAAATCTTTGATTTAAAACACATTCATTACATTTTAGTATATTATTTATGCTTACAGGTATAAAGAAATTAAAATCATGCTTACCTTTATGAAGTTATTTGTTTGTTATGCTGTTACTATAAAGTATTGTATATACAGGTTGGAAGTATGGCCAGGATATATTACAGCAGTAGCTGAGCAGGAAGGTGGGCTCATGTTACTGGCTGATGCCTCACATAGAGTCCTACGAACAGAGACTGTCCTTGATGTCATGTAAGACAAATTTAATGTGCAACATCTTTTACCAAACACAGTCATTTTATACAAATCATTGCATATGGCATGTTTTACTTAAGAAGCAATTTAAAATTATAACAGATCTTAAGTAGAGTGAGTGATATTTTTGTACAAGTAGTAACTATGTTTTTGTTAATGCCAGAAAGTTTCTGTCAGTCCTGACCTGTTTTGAATGCTACTTAATAACATCAAACATTATATGGTTAAATACAAAATTATTGGTGGCTGTAATATTAAGGCACTTGCTGTTATGAACATCTTACATCTTTAAATTTTTTAATAAGACATTCTCTTAGATTATCAATTGAATGACATACTGGATGTTGAAATTATATTTTGAGATTTTGATTTACTTAAATTTTCTATTTCTTGCAGGACTAACATTGTGAATAAGAATGCTCAGGGATTCCGTGATGAGGTGATACGCACGTTGGTTGGTACAGTTGTACTCACTCGTTACAACAACAAGACATACAGAGTAGATGACATTGTGTGGGATAAGACACCAAGGCAAACTTTCTCCACACATTCCGGTGGAGAAATGTCATTCTTAGAGTACTACAAGTAAGTGTTTGTCATTTATTTCCATTTCAATGTATTTTTTATTTATCTCTTTCAAATGAATTTTAATATATGATTACTGAATTGGAAATCAAATAAGTTTAATAATAAAAAGAGAGAAATAATAATGTTATTATAAATAAAGAATTATGGCCTCCTTGTCGAAAAGTTGAAAAGGTAGTTAACTTCAAATCCATTGTATTTAAATGCTAAGGGTTTCTATCAGGTGAGAGATCATGCATTCTATTATGGTTAGGACATATTAAGGTAGGTTATGGAAGGTTGATGGTTGTACATATGACTAAAGTAATGCAGAGGAAGCCACCAGATGTAATCCTCTACTAGTGAACCTGTAAACACAGTGTTGCTCTGACTATAAAAAGAAAATTTTCAACAATAAAGATATGTTCAATAACAAATTGCTATATTTCAGAAAAAACTATAACCTCACAATCCATGACCATGAACAACCTCTTCTGCTACATCGACCGAAGAAAAGAATGGAACAGGGCGGGGTAGGTATTTATAATGGACGTAGTGAGAGTGATGTCCAGTTGTGTCCATAAGCTGCATGAAAGAACTATAGAAATTATAGTCCATATCATTTTCATAATAAACTTTCTATTATTGAGCATAATAAAAGTTGCAGTACTTAAAAGAAATTATAAGTGTATTACAACTTTTATGTAAAATTTCTCCTAAGAGACTTCCTTCATGATTTTCTCTCTTAATCTGATAACAGCACATGACTTAGTTTACTTATGATCATCATGTATTACAGCAACCAAGAAAACAGCCCGAGGTTATTTGTTTGATACCCGAGTTGTGTTACATGTCTGGTCTCACTGATGCCTTAAGACAGGACTTCAGAGTCATGAAGGTAGCTTATTCTTCTAACATATATGTTGTCTTAAGCTTTAACATTTTAGGTCACCAGGGATGACTTAATACAAAAAATCTGAAAATTAAATTTGTTTAACCTATTGGTCAGATTTTGATAAAATTAGATAGAAATGATATCATTAAATAGAAACAATGTAAAAGAAAAGAGTTATAAATCTGTTTCTGACTACCAAGATTTTCAAATGACTATTTTGTGTCCTGCTTTACTTATTTATTTATTATCTGTGTCAAGTGTTACATGACCATTATTCTGAAATTTTCTGATAACAGCTTTTGTAAATAGGTTACTATTTTAAAAACTTTTAATATCTATATTTAGGATTTAGCTTGTCATACAAGAGTTACTCCAGAACAACGGAAATTGACAATGAAGAAGTTTATTGACTCAGTGAACAATAGTCCAGATGCAAGGGGAGAACTTGATAAATGGGGTCTTCAACTGGACACTAACACCTTACAGGTATGTGGTCCCTGTATTCTATAGGTTTTAAACATGAGATTCACTGTCAGTAGCATATCAGTAAAATGTGAATTGAGCTTGATAAATTTCCTTGTACAAATTTGTCATCTTGTAACTTATATCAATTATTTGTTTCTGAAATCAAATTCAGAGAAGTCTGTCATTTTCTATAATTACAATGTATATGAAAACATTTATTTTTATTTTGCTCACCTTGTATTCAAAGCATTTAATTTTCTTGTGAATTAGAGATGAGATTTTCATGTTGTCATTATAACAGTTTGATGGTCGTTTGTTGCCACAAGAAGAAATAGTGTTTGGCTCAGGTAAAGTTCCAGCTGGACCTAATGCTGACTGGGGTCAAGCTACAGGTCGTCAACAAGTTATCACAGCCGTTGCACTGCAGAACTGGGTTGTCTTATATACAAGAAGAGATCAGGGTAAAGCTAATGACTTCATCAGCTGGATGTTAAAGTTGTGTCCACAGATGGGAATAGCATGTAATCCACCAACAAGGTTTGAACTGCGAGATGATAGGGTAGAGACGTACATCCGAGCTCTCAGGGAACATATCAATCCAAAAGTAAGTCTTTAAACATTTCATATTTTATCGTCAGATCTTACAAAATTTCAGCAGACACATATTGCATTTTTTAAACATTTGTATAAAACATTCTTATGAATTTAATAAGTCAGTATTTAAACAATGCTGAGGATCTAGAGAAAAAAACTTGGGTTTTTAGCTCGACTTTTCTATGAAAAGGGGAGCTATCCTACTCGCCCCGGCGTCGGCGTTAGCGTCGGCGTTGGCGTCACACCTTGGTTAAGTTTTTCGTACCACCCCACTTTATTTCAGAAGTATTACAAGTATGGCTTTGAAACTTACCATACTTGTTCACCATCATAACCTCCATCTACAGACAAGAGTACATAACTCTGTCAAGGTTTTTGACAGAATTATGGCCCTTTTTTGACTTAGAAAGTGTATTGAGCTTGGTTAAGTTTTTTGTACCACCTCACTTTATTTCAAAACCATTGGAGGTATTGCTTTGAAAACTGACCATACTTGTTTACCATCACGACCTTCATCAACAGACAAGAGGACATAACTCTGTCAAGGTTTTTGACAGAATTATGCCCCTTTTTGACTTAGAAAATACATTGAATATGGGTAAAATCCACTTATTGCCTTAACCCTTTGAGATATTGCTTTGAAACTTTTAATGCTATTTCACATCATTACCCCCATCTGTACGCAAGAGAAGGTAACTCTGTCAAGGATTTGTTTTTAAAAATTAAGGCCTTTTATCGACTTAGAATCTTGGTTAAGTTTTTAGTACCAGTCCACTTTTTGACTGAACTGTTTGAGATATTAATTTGAAAGTTGGAATACTTGTTTACCATCATGGTCCCAAAACATGGGCAGGAGAAGGTAATTCTGTTAAGGATTTTATTTGAATTATGGCCCTTTTTGACTTAGAAACTCAGTTAAGATTTTCATTCTTGTCCACTTGTTGACTTAACCATTTGAGATATTACTTTGGAAGTTGGAGTTCTTATGTGCCATCATGAGACCTATCTGTAAGCAAGAGAAGATAACTCTGTGAAAATGTTTCTTGATTTGTACTTAGAAATTCCTAGTTAAAGTCTTGTGTGCCCTTAACTGTCAAAGTTTTGTTTTATAGGCAAGCACTAAAAAAGTCGAGCGCGCTGTCCTTCTGACAGCTCTTGTTTTAGATGACTTTTCTCATACAAGAAAATATTACCAAACATTTTTCATGAAAAGTTATCAACTTAATAATATTAAATATGATATTTTCAGCTTCAACTGGTTGTTGCAATTTGCCCTACCAGCAGAGATGACCGATACTCTGCTATCAAAAAGACATGTTGTGTTGACCACCCTATTCCAAGTCAGGTATGTTATATCTGGAAGTCTTGCATTTCAGCACAGATTTGGTTACAGTTAAGTGCAAACCTGACACGATATGTATACTATACAATAACTGGTGCCTTGAGTTACTATACAATAACTGGTGCCTTGAGTTACTATACAATAACTGGTGCCTTGAGTTACTATACAATAACTGGTGCCTTGAGTTACTATACAATAACTGGTGCCTTGAGTTACTATACAATAACTGGTGCCTTGAGTTACTATACATTAACTGGTGCCTTGAGTTACTATACATTAACTTGTGCCTTGAGTTACTTTACAATAACTGGTGCCTTGAGTTACTATACAATAACTGGTGCCTTGAGTTACTATACAATAACTGGTGCCTTGAGTTACTATACAATAACTGGTGCCTTGAGTTACTATACAATAACTGGTGCCTTGAGTTACTATACAATAACTGGTGCCTTGAGTTACTATACAATAACTGGTGCCTTGAGTTACTATACATTAACTGGTGCCTTGAGATACTATACATTAACTGGTGCCTTGAGTTACTATACAATAACTGGTGCCTTGAGTTACTATACAATAACTGGTGCCTTGAGTTACTATACATTAACTGGTGCCTTGAGTTACTATACAATAACTGGTGCCTTGAGTTGTTAGCTGATAATTTATTTTAGAATGAGTTAACAATTATGTTACATTGGCCCACTAAGGTAAGTAGAGAGATCATCAAATTTGTCCCAGGGTGACTGAGGGCAAGGCAGAATTTCTCTGTGACAATCTCTGGCATGAATCCTAATGGTCATATGTCTCTCACCATTGATTTAGAAATCATGATACTTAGAAATTTATAATTATTGTTTAGTGAGCCAAGAATCTGGTTTAGAAGATATGACCAAAATTGTGTTAAAAGTGGCATGAAAACCAAAATTAAAACAAAATATCAAGCTATTTCAGATCAAACTTTTTATACCCCCAAAAACGAAGTTTGGGGGGGTATATAGGAGTCACCCGGTGGTCGGTTGGTTGGTCGGGCGGTCGGTCGGTCCAGACGTCCGTTGCATTTTCCTTGTCCGGAGCATAACTTGAAAACTAATGGTTGGAATTCAATATAACTACATACAATGGTCAAGCACATTGAGAGGAAGTGCAGTGCACAAGAACCATAACTCTATCTTGACTACTTACAGAGTTATTGCCCTTTGTTACTTTTCCTTGTCCGGGGCATAACTTGAAAACTACTGGTTGGAATTCAAAACAACTTCATACAATTGTCAAACACAATAAGGGGAAGTGCAGTGCACAAGAACCATAACTCTATCTAAAGTAATTACAGAGTTATTGCCCTTTGTTGCTTTTCCATTGCTTTTTTTTGTCCGGACCATAACTTGAAGACTAATAGTTTGAATTCAATATAACTACATACAAAGGTGAAGCACATTGAGAGGAAGTGCAGTGCACAAGAACCATAACTCTATCTTGACTAATTACAGAGTTATTGCCCTTTGTTACTTTTCCTTGTCCGGGGCATAATTTGAAAACAACTGGTTGGAATTCAAAACAACTTCATAAAATTGTCAAACACAATAAAGGGAAGTGCAGTGCACAAGAACCATAACTCTATCTAAAGTAATTACAGAGTAATTGCCCTTTGTTACTTTTCCATTGATTTTTTTGTCCGGAGCATAACTTGAAAACTAATGGTTGGAATTCAATATAACTACATACAATGGTCAAGCACATTGAGAGGAAGTGCAGTGCATAAGAACCATAACTCTATCTTGACTAATTACAGAGTTATTGCCCTTTGTTACTTTTCCTTGTCCGGGGCATAACTTGAAAACTACTGGTTGGAATTCAAAACAACTTCATAAAATTGTCAAACACAATAACGGAAAGCGCAGTGCACAAGAACCATAACTCTATCTAAAGTAATTACAGAGTTATTGCTCTTTGTTACTTTTCCATTGCCATTTTTGTCCGGACCATAACTTGAAGACTAATGGTCGGAATTTAATATAACTTCATACAATGGTCAAGCACATTGAGAGAAAGTGCAGTGCACAAGAACCATAACTCCATCTTGACTAATTACAGAGTTATTGCCCTTTGTTACTTTTCCTTGTCCAGAGCATAACTTGAAAACTACTGTTTGGAATTCAATACAACTTCATACAATTGTCAAGAACATTAAAAGGAAGTGCAGTGCACAAGAGCCATAACTTCATTTTGACAAAATACAGAGTTACTGCCCTTTGATACTTTTCCTTGTCAGGAGCATAACTTTAAACGTACTGGTTGGAATTCTAAACAACTTCATACAATGGTCAAGCACAATAAGAGGAAGTGCAGTGCACAAGAACTATAACTCTATCTCCAGTATTTATAGAGTCATTGCCCTTTGTTCCTTTTCTTTGTCTTTCTGGACTTATTACAGAGTAATTCAATTAAACTTCATCAATGGCCAACCACATTGAAAGGAAATGCAACATATAAGAACCACAACTATCTTTAATTGCCCACAACCATAACTCTATATTTCAATTCTTTTACAAGGTATTCTGTTACTAGTAACATCCTCATTTCCGAAGCAGTCTTGTGGGGGTATTAATCACATTTAGTGATAGTTCTAGTTACTCTAGTTTTCAAGGAATTTTCACATATGCAATGATCTCACAAATTTATTATTTAAGGTTAGCTTGATGAAAGAATCTTTTAATCATAAATATAATTGTATACAGGTGATCATTGGAAAGACAATTGGTGATCAGAAGAAGATCAGATCTGTTGTACAGAAGATAGCCCTTCAAATAAACTGTAAACTTGGAGGAGAACTCTGGGGTGTTTCCATACCATTTGTAAGTCATTTTGTTAAAAACATTTTAAATTTTTGAAAGACTAGCAGTAATTTTAAGAAAAACTTTCATCCTTATAGATATGTCTATTTTACTTGTTACTCTAATGTTGTATAAGATGTATCTCATAGCTGTAGTGATAGAAGTCCTGGTTATATATTCTGACTAAATGCATTGTTGATATATTTTAGAAAAGCATAATGGTGATTGGAGTTGATATATACCATGACTCAGCAGGGAAGAAACAAAGTATTTGTGGGTTTGTTGCCAGTATGAACAGGAACTGTACACGCTGGTTCAGTCGATGTCGAGTACAACCAGTCAGCCAGGAACTTGTTGATGGCCTCAAGATATGCCTAGTGTCTGCATTAACTAAATTCCATGAAGTAAGTTTAGTAATTTGCTGCCATTTTCATTGTCGTAATTATAAAAGATTTTATTTATGGAGCAGTAAAGAGTTATAGATTTCAGTAACTGAAAATATTTGACAACTTTACAAATCATTCTACAAAGTTTTGATCAATTGTCCTATTTTAAAGATTTTAGATAAAAAAATAGACTGCTGTGGCATTGTGATGAGAATGAGTTTTTAAAGACATCTTTTTATTTGTAGGTGAACCACAGTTTGCCTGACAAGATTCTGGTATTCCGTGATGGTGTTGGTGATGGACAGTTGAACACAGTAGCTGACTATGAAGTTAGTCAACTGAGGACATGCTTCTCTAGCTTTGGGGAATACTCCCCCAAACTCTCATTTGTTGTCGTGCAGAAACGTATCAACACTAGGATTTTCCTAAATGTAATTATTGCGATATTTTCAACATTATTATATTAAATTATTTTGAAATGTTAGTGCAAGTATTGTAGTCAGGGTCATCCTGTTAAGATTTGAGACTTACAAAGTTGTGGAATTTATTGTTTGACATTTTACATCTATAGCTTTGATAAATGTCTTGAAATTTTTATTAACAGAAAGGACGACAGATGGAGAATCCCCCATCAGGAACAGTGGCAGATCACACCATCACTAGGAGGGACTGGTAAGTATTTCTGTAATGATTTAAAACAAGGGGAAAAAATGTTATCGGATGGTGAGATATGTTTTTTGCAATCTCACTCAATAGGAAGAATTTCAGTATAGTGATTGACCCACTGTTTGTGAATCATTGCTCCTCCTTGATGGTTAATAACTAAAGACAATGCTATTTATATTGTTTGATATTGGAAAGATTGATGCTACTTATGAAAAACAAAAAAAAATGAACACTCACTGTTATTTGCTTAACTGCTTTGAAAATAATAGGACTATCTTACTTACACTGATGTTTGTATAATGCTTGGTCAAGGTTCTGGCAAACACTTTTATATATCATTAACCTCCATAAACTTCACACATGAATGTGGGACACTTTCAAAAGCCCATTACTTTTTGAGTTCTTTTGTGAGAATTATATTGGTGTATGTCAGATTAAGAAACTTCCTGAAGAATTTATTTATAATTTGATATAAACATTTATGCATTATTTGGTTGTTATAATATATTAGGGCTGGGAACGAATAAGGAATTTCATGTTCGAATATTCGTTTTCCATATTCGAATATTCGTTTTTACAACATTTGTTCCAATATTTCTCTTTGACGTACACGTATCCGAAATTGATTTGCGTGGAATACTATACTACTTTAATATGCTTGGAATAATCGACGATTAAAAATACATTTATAACTTCGTAAAAGTTTTTTATTTTATATATTGTAAATTGACAAATATGTTTACTTTTGAAATAAATTCATAATTTGATTGCCTTTGGTTCAGTTAATCTGACTTCTGATCATTTGTCTTATTAATGGGAGGTAACTCATGTGATTTAATTGACAGTAATATGAATCTCCGTAGCCTCTTAGCCCCAATAACACATAATTATATTGAAACTTATCTTGTATAAAATATTTTTTTATCTATTTATAATTTTAGATAAGGTTTAAAATATTCTGCAGATACATTTAGCTATAACGCAGTAAATATCACACGGAGTCTAATTTCTACGGAATAAATATATTCTGATGGAATATAGACACTTACCATACTGATTAATGCGTGTCGATTTTTTCGTCTTCACAAAATTTAAGACAATTATTGATAATTTTGAAAGATTATAGCACAGAAAACAATAAGTAAGATTATTAAAATCGGAAAGAATTACATTATAAACTGTTAAACAGGTAAATTGCAAACAGTGAAACGGGTGCCCTTTTGATCAACTAGACCCCAAAGTTTTCACAGTTAATTGGCGATAATCGTTGACACGCGCCATACAAACATGTGAACACCTGGTCAAGTAAAGGTCAATGGTTTAATTTACGATCTCAATTGAAATTTGAAAGTAATAACAAAAAAAAAAACTTTTTTTTTTTGACTATTCATATTCGTTTTTCAATGTTCGAATATTCGGTAGTGTTTCGAATATTCGAATATAATTCCCGGCCCTAGAATATATACAATATTTAATTAGTTAATTGATTGTTTACAGGTATGATTTCTTCCTGGTATCACAGCATGTACGTCAGGGTACAGTATCCCCCACCCACTATATTGTTGTCAGTGATGACTCCGGTATGAAGCCGGATCACATGCAGCGTATGGCCTACAAGATGACACATATGTACTATAACTGGCCAGGAACCGTACGTGTCCCAGCACCTTGTCAAGTAAGTGCTTTATATAATTCTGTATATATTTGCTGATACTGAATTTACAAAAAAAAAAAAAAACCCAACTGCAAATCATAAATTTTCAGAGAAATATTGCAGTCTAGAAAATGAAGAAATGATAAAAGCTCATATTATAATTGTATGGCCACATTGACAGTGAATAGTTCAAAGAATTTTAAGGTACTCAGACTTTAAAACTACCCAACAGAAAGTTTTCTGAAGACATTTCATACCTTGCATTCTTGTTAAAAATGTAGGATTTAAATCTTTGAAAAAAATAATTATTTATATTAAGCTACATTCCCATGTTTGATTTCAGTATGCACACAAGTTGGCTCAGCTTGTTGGTCAAAACATTCACAAGGAACCAAGTCAAGAGCTGTCAGATAGACTGTTTTTCCTTTAGACTTGTATCATGTGTACAGAACAATCCTCAATATTTGTTCTCAAGTTCAAGGATCTCAGGGTATACAGATGTGTAATAACCCATTAAAAAACCACAGCTCTCAACTAGCACTTGTTTACTGTTCAGATAGGTACACACTCTTATAATGTCAGTATCACTACTAATTATTTAATCTTCTTAAATTAGTTGAAAGTGACACTCATAAATGTCTTAATCTGATATTTGTTTTCAAAACTAGAAACTAATTTGCAGCAAGGTGATTAAAGCATTAAACTATTTCAAGGTCTGATCGAAAAACTTCTCTCTTAATACTCAAAAAGGAACACTAACAAATAGTTAAAACAAATGAAAGTTGAGAGTTGCACCTAGTACATAGTGTACATAGACATTAACAAATCATTTACCAGTACAGCTGTCATTGTTTTATCCAATCAAAATGCAGCAAATATGAAAGTGCAATTCCTGTTTTAGTGTCTTATGTGTAGAGTAAGAGAGAGATGATAGATTTAGTGATATAGATTATCCACTATATGTATGACATACATCAATATCAAAATGGTGCTGAAACATGAAACAATATTGAAATATATTGTGTCAAAGTAGATGGCAGTGGATATGTGTTACAGTTTTGTTTGTAACTGACTAGTATGTTTGAAATTATGTTTGTACTAAGATGAATCAGTAAGGTTTGACTGAATTAGTGCAGATGTTTTATTGATGTCATAAAAGTTCATGCAATTGATACTATTTTTTGTGATACTATTTTTTGCACCATGTCTTAATTTAAGTTTTTTCTAGGTTGTTCTACAGTACATGTAATTATTTTTGTCATAAAGCTTGAGATAGCATTTATTTCATTATCAATTACTGTTAACTGAGAGTACTAAGCAATGTTAACTTACACTGTAGCAGTGAGCTGCTCTTTAACATGTTTATAATGGTATTTCCAAAAAAAGTTTCGCTCATTTAATAGATTCTGTTTTCAAATAATTTGTAAATTTTCAAGTAATAACGACAGGCAGTTGTTTTATCAATTTGATGTGACACTTTAGAAATATGTTCACAAGTTTGTAACATCCAGAATATTGTGGCTAACCATTATTTTTGTTTATTTGTTTTGTGATATATATATGTATATAAAGTATATGTTACAGAAATGTAGTTTAGCATTAGGGAGAAAAAAATGTAATCTCCTCATTTATAAACAATATGTTAGTAACTTAGTTTGTATTAAGGTTGTTACAATATTTACATTTTGTATACTTAAATATGTTTATCAATTTCATAAATATGATTGTGGACAATCTGAGTAAACATTAAGATTTTTTAACATTTGCAACTCCATGTAAATTTGAATTAAGTAATTTATTCAATATACATTAGCTTGTAGTAGTTAAAGCTATTAGATAACAGTATTTCATTCAAAATTTTGATAAAACGTTTTAGAAAGACTCTTCCATTACAAAATCAATGTGGAAGGAATTAGAATTTTTTTAACATTTATGTTTCAACAACTCCAGAAAATTGTCTTATGACAGCTCTCATTGGTAAAAGTTTCATCAAAATTTCCTCTCACCTGGACAAAATAGTTTAATCTGGCTAAGACTTTTTCATATAATATCTAATTAGTAGTAGTAGATATACATAGAGTCCAATAAAGAAAATTTTCAACCAGTGTAATGTAGAGATTTAACCAGACGGTCATATGTCTTTATTTTGTTTTACTTAAACTGTTAGGTTAATGTTCTTTCAATAAGACAGGAAAAGCTTAAAGAAATTTCTGCTTTTAAAGTAAACAAAGTAACTTAAGTGAAGGAAATACACCTTCTATTATCTAGTCATAATGTAGAGCTATACATGTGTATCATGTACGAAGATATTGATTACAAAACACACACAGTACTTATGTTGTTTTATATATTATTATTTGTGATGTAAGAGGGAATCTCTTTTATACTCTGTGTTCTGTATCTTTAACACGCATTCATTTTGTTTTATCTTGTTACTATTGTTTTATTCCATTTTTGATTGTTTCAAATATATATTTTTATGAATTGTTCATTTAGTAAAAACCATTACTAAGTTTAAAATATGCACAATACTTTTTGTCAGTAGTTATAAATGTTGTCCAGATGTCAAAACTGTGCATTCTTAAAAATATCATAAATGCCAATTTGAAGGAAATAGAAACTTTCAAATATCTTCTCTGGTTCTACCAGAATATTTTTGTGAGTGATACATGATGACTTTCATCTTATACCTACATCAGAAATGAAAAATAAGAAAACAATTGGAAAGTAAACAAGTATTACAGAAATAAGGACTCATTTTTTCCCAGACTTTTAGTGAACATGTAACTTTAAATATGGTTTTACAAAAGCATCAGTTGTGATTCTTTAAGATTAGTTAGTTAAACAGTAAAATGGTAACTGATAAACAAGGATGTTTTAACTATATGTAAATTAAGATTGCACATTCTACATGTATTTGGTTTTATGTTTTCATCAGCAGTTTATTATTTTGTATATAAATAGGCAGCAGTCATTATCACTTGTAAAATGTTCATTCTTATTGACAGGTAGTATTTTATGATTTCCAGTTTTTATAAATAAAACATTGAATTTCATCACAAGGGCTCATAAAGCATTGTATATAACCATTTTCATTTTATCTTATTTATGTAAATAGTTTGCATATGTTAAATTTGTTACAGAAACATATTTTTTAAAACATGCAAAAAGCATTTTATAAAGAAATATTAAAACACTGTTGATAACTAGTCAGCTTTTCTTGTTATTGTACATTTCTACAGCATAATCAGTCTTAAAGATTTGAATTCCTTGGGGAAAATGCCTCATAATGTCATGCGCAACACCCAGGCCCCTACCTGAAAGGTCAAGGCCACGCTTAGAGGTCAAAGTTTTAAATGGTTTGTTACAGGGTATGATGACAAGAAGGACCCATGCAAAGAAAATGTCATTGTGAATCACCCAAATACCTTGGTCTGAAAATATTACAGACTTTACACGTAATATACCCTGTAACAGACCATACCTTGTATTGATTTGCACCTTGAAATAGTGATATTAATTTGACAAATGTTGACACAATGAAATACACATGAATTATTTTATTATATTTCTTTAATGAATTTAATTGATCATATGCAGATCTAGCATTTATCAAGTTTTTGCACTAGAAGTCCAGATCCGTACCTCGGACCGCCTCCGTGGTCGAGGGGTTAGAGTTGATGACTTCTAATCCAGTTACCTCTCTGGCGTGGGTTAGATCCCCAGGAGATGCTTTGGTAGTTTAGCACAGAGGAAGGTAGTCTAGTACTGGTGTAACTCTCTAGGAATGATGGTTAGGAAACTATCCGCCTATATGACCGAAATACTGTTTGGGAAGAGGCGTAAAATGAAACAAACCATACCTCGGTCTGTTCATGTAAAACTTCCCTTAGGCTGGGGACGTTGGTAACTAATACAAATTCTTGTTCATTGTAAACTATAAATGTTTCCCAAATTTTGACTTAGAAACTAGGATTTTTTGCATATTATTGAACATTAAACTATAAAAGACAGCCTGTTAATAAAAATAAGAGTTTTCAGTAAAAGCTTAAAATATTTGATAACAAAAGTGCAAGTAATTAATGTATTTATTTGTATTTAAACAAGAATGGGGCAATATATGCACAGATGAAAATTTGAGTAATCAAAAATTATTTTTAAAATAGAATGGGAGACATTTTTAGCTCACCTGTCACAAAGTGACAGGGTGAGCTTTTGTGATCGCTTTTCGTCCGGCGTCGGGCCGTAAACCTTTACTTTAAATGACATCTCATTAACCGCTGACCCTTGACATCTCCTCATTAACTGCTGAGCCAATTTCATCCAAATTTCACAGGGAATGTTCCTTTGGTGGTCACCTTTAAAAATTGTTCAAAGAATTTAATTCCATGCAGAACCCTGGTTGCCATGGCAACCAATAGAAAAAACTTAAAATATCTTCTTTTAAAAAACCCAAAGAGGTAGAGCTTAGATATTTGGCATGAAACATGTTCTAGTAGTATCTATCAAGTTTGTTCAAATAAAAGCCCTGGGGTCAAAATTGGCCCCGCCCCGGGGGTCATTGATTTTCCCTATATGAATATAGTAAAAACTTAAAAATTCTTCTTTTTAAGAACCCAAAAGAGCTAGAGCTATGATATTTAGCATGAAACATATTCTAATAGGTGTTTACCAAGTTTGTTCAAATAAAAGCCCTGGGGTCAAAATTGGCCCGGCCCCAGGGGGTCATTGATTTTCCCTATATGCATATATTAAAAACTTATAAAATCTTCTTTTAAAGAACCCAAAGAGCTAGAGCTAAGATATTTAGCATGAAACATGCTCTAGTGAATGTCTACCAAGTTTGTTCAAATAAAAGCCCTGGGGTAAAAATTGGCCCTGCCCCAGGGGGTCATTGATTTTCATTATTTTGTATAGGGTAATAATCTTCTTTTAAAAAACCAAGAGCTATTGTTTAGATACTAAGCATGAAATATTTATGCCCCCGCCATGTAATGGCCGGGGCATATAGTGTTACCCTGTTCCGTCATTCCGTCCTTCCGTCATCATCAGTTTCCGTTCATTATCTCCCCAACGGTACAACACATTCAACTCAAATTTGACATATGGATATGTCATGAGAAAATACAGGTCAAGTTCGAATTTGGTCATGGTTCGATGATTTTTGGCAGAGTTATGCCCCTTTTACTTTGAAAATAATATGAAATTTTAGTTTCCGTTAATTATCTCCCCAACGGTACAACACATTCAACTCAAACTTGACATATGGATATGTCATGAGAAAATATAGGTCAAGTTTGAATTTGGTCATGGTTCGATGATTTTTGGCAGAGTTATGCCCCTTTTACTTTGAAAATAATATGAAATTTTAGTTTCCGTTCATTATCTCCCCAACGGTACAACACATTCAACTCAAACTTGACATATGGATATGTCATAAGAAAATATAGGTCAAGTTGGAATTTGGTCATGGTTCGATGATTTTTGGCAGAGTTATGCCCCTTTTACTTTGAAAATAATATGAAATTTTAGTTTCCGTTCATTATCTCCCCAACGGTACAACACATTCAACTCAAACTTGACATATGGATATGTCATAAGAAAATATAGGTCAAGTTCGAATTTGGTCATGGTTCGATGATTTTTGGCAGAGTTATGCCCCTTTTACTTTGAAAATAATGACATTTTTTGTTTCCGTTCATTATCTCCCCAAAGGTACAACACATTCAACTCAAACTTGACATATGGATACATCATGAAAAAAATACAGGTCAAATTTGAATTTGGTCATGGTTCGATGATTTTTGGCAGAGTTATGCCCCTTTTACTTTGAAAACAATATGAAATTTTCAGTTTCCGTTCATTATCTCCCCAAAGGTACAACACATTCAACTCAAACTTGACATATGGATGCGTCAAAGGAATGCGCAGGTCAAGTTCAAATTTGGTCATGGTTCAATGATTTTTGGCAGAGTAATGCCCCTTTCACTTTGAAAATAATATGAAATTTACAGTTTCTGTTCATTATCTACCCAACAGTGTTACATATTCAACTTAAATTTGACATATGGATATGTCAAAGGAATGGGCAGGTCAAGTTGGAATTTGGTCATGGTTTGATGATTTTTTGGCAGAGTTATGTCCCTTTCACTTTAAAAATTATATAGATACATCTTAGGAATAAGCAGTTTAAGTTTGAATTTGGTCGTGGTTCAATGATTTTAGACAAACTTATCTTTCCTGAATGTTGGAAAAATTTTGAACTTTCAGTTTCAGCACTCATAGTTTTACCCATTATTTTGGCTACAAATATGCAATATGCTATTTTTAAAAGGTTAAGACTGAATAATTTCAGTGCCTTGAACATTGTATGAAAATGGTTTGTGTTTACATTGAAAAGTTTTAAGGGCTTTGAACTTAAAATGAAAAAAAAAATTAATGCACCATCTGAAATTTTGGCTGCATGCGGGGGCATCCGTGGCATGATGACACATTTCTAGTTTCTAGTTAGTGTCTACCAAGTTTGTTTAAATAAAAGCCCGGGGGTCAAAATTGGCCCCTCCCGGGGGGGGGGGGGGGAGGGTAAGGGGGAGTCATTGTTTTTTTCCATATGTATATAGTTCAAACTTAAAAAAATCTTCTCAAAAAACCCAAAAGAGTTAGAGCTTAGATATTTATCATGAAACATCTTCTAATGGCTGTCTACCAAGTTTGTTCAAATAACAGTCCCTGGTTTAAAATTTGCATTGGCCCAGGGACCTATTTACAGGTGAGCGATTTCAGGGCCATCATGGCCCTCTTGTTAAGAATTTTGCTTTTAAAAATGTTATATTTTGATAACAGGGATGTTTAAAAAAATAACTTTAGAGTGTCCTTCAGTTCGTCTGTCTGTACATAAAAACTGTTTCCTGTGATCACTTTTAAAGAACTTTTTCAACAAATTTACTTAAAATAGAGACATACCATATGGTAAGTGAATGGCCAATGGCCCTTCAGAATGTTGCTGGGGTTCTAACCGGTAGGGGACTTATGGATTGCTTGCAATACTATAATAATTCCTTGTTGACAGAGCTATTTATTAAACTTTGGATTTAAGGAAAGCTGCGTAAAAAATCGGACTATTTTTTTAAAAAAAAAATAATTATGGTTCCAATGAGACAAGTTATTCCTAAATGCCTTGGAGCAAAAATTATGTTTCTTGATTATTTATAAATACGGCACATTTATTTTAGTTTGATTGTGTAGGAAGCTATTAGCTTATAGATATACTTCGAATCTGTTTCGGAACCAACCAGTACTGAGCAACGAATGTAGTTTCTTGCCTAAGGCAAAACGACTTGCCTCAAAGGAGTTTGAACCCATGTGGTTAGTGATCATTGTATAAACTGCACACAATGTGGTACTATGACATGTTTATTTTATATGGAGATAGCTAATTTTAAACATAATTCATACTTTAAGGCATGAAATTTGCAAACATTTCTGATCAAGGTAAAGTACGAAATAATGATTTTTCTATACAGGGTTAGCTTTTCGAAAAGGAAAACTGAAGACAGTAACAGTAATATCAAGAATTTTATTTCAGTTTCACAAGTTACTGAGAACAATTATTTTGTTAACACATCTTAAATATCAATCAAGTACAGCTCCACAATTCCAGGGGAAGAAAGAAATAAGCATTTAAAGTTTTTAATGTATTATATTTCAACATTTTATACAATTGGAAATAGCTATTCAAAGTTGTGATTATTTAACACAATAAATGACAACATTCCAAATATATTGAATGAATGTAGATTTAATACTTAATCTATTGAGCAAGTTAAACAAAATCATATTATGTGAGTCTCTGGTGAGCATAATACTGTTTTATTCAATAAGTTCATTAAATTAAGCATTGGATCTACATGAATATAATATTCTTTTTATCACATATTCAAAAAGTGAAAAGTTTACCTTTCAAAAGAGCCATTTTTCATTGAAATGGCTCTATTATACTCCTGTGGCGTAGTTTATGTGATAAATTTATTTAACAAGAATTATGACACAAATGGATGCTCCCAAATATAGCTTTGACACACAGAAGAAATATCAGCAGAAAAATCATAACCTTAACCTGCTGAATTTCTTCAATGAACTTGTTAAATTTCCAATATTGGAACAATCCATTAATTTTGATTTTTTTCCATTGTTAAAATGGGGGGGGGGGGGGGTGCCAGTTATTAATTCCAGCAATGGAAGGGTGACAATGGCTCTATAAACCAAACCCATCTATAAGGTATGTGTCCATGTATGGACTACACCACCAAATACCAGATATATCAATCAATAAATGAGCCGCATCATGACAAAACCAACATAGTGCGTTTGCGACCAGCATGGATCCTGATCAGACTGCGCGGATGCGCAAACCCATTATGTTGGTTTTGTCATCACGCGGCTCAAATAAACTAGAAAATGAAAAACATAATCTATATTTAGCCTTAGTAAGTAACAGAGTTGCTGAATGGCAGAAAAACAAACAGGCAACTTTAAACTCCCACAACATTTTAAAGGGAGCGCAACAATGCCTTCAAATAACAATTGTGCAATTAACTTTTATGACAATGTATTAATATACAGTTATTGAAACACTAACAAGTATTTACATGGATGAGCACATCAGATGAATAACTAACAATTTTATCACATTTGCTGTTCCTATCACAATAAACATATATAAATTACATAGTCTCAATGTTACCCTTTGGGATAGAGAAAACACAATGTTTAAGGAAATAATGTCACTTTGCAAAGATTGAATCAATTTAAACAGGAGAGGAAAATGTCTTTGTATCATCTTAACATCATTCAGTTAGTAACCTTAGCATTAAAAGGTTTTATAAAGAGGTTTTTAGAAACCTGTACCAGTAAAAAATTGTTTACATTACCAATAAGTCACCACAATAGATAAGTAATTTGGAAATATATTACAGGGTGTTCACTAGCCATGAAATCCTGAGGGTCTTACCGACTTCAAGGTCAAATCCCCATGATTTTAACAGACCCTCCAGTTAAAATCGTGAGGGCCAAATCAGGCTTTTTGGAAATTTGAAGGGTTAAAGAGTCATTTCAAGGGTCAAATGGACACCCTGTACAATATTATAGTACAAGACGGATACAGTAAGATTTTTCGAAAATGTTTTCTCATAAATATATAGTAACTTCAGAGGTAACAACTAATTCATACAAAGTCTTTGTAATATGAGATGAATTGAAGCGCTTCAGCTGTTTTCTTTTTCTCTGTCTTCTGCACAGGAGTAAAAATAACTTCAGGTCAAGTTAAAGGATAGATTTGTTATACAATGTTTTGTATAAAACTACTGTGATACTGAAGCCAGATGTAAACTATGTATAGTTTTACATGATCAATGATGCAACACTTAGAATAGAAAAGTTGACTAATAATGTACATATGTAAGAAAGTCAAGTGGTTTATGATATGATTATTACAAATGTTCCCACTTTATGAATGTATTTTACTGAAAACAAGCACAACAATTTGATTGGTGGCTACCAGAGCAAAGTTACAACATGGTCATTTATATTTTAATTCAAAGTCTACAGCACACAAACTTAAATTCAACCTAACAGTTCATAAATAGATAATAAATTGATCATGAAATAAGGAATTCAAAATCTTTTCTTCTTTAAACCTTTATCTACAACATGTTATCAATTCCAATCTTCTTATGTAGGTAAATGTTATAAATTCATTCTCAACTATGCTGCCATTGTTCACTAAACATCTGCATACATATTTCATCATCATATTTATGTTCAACTCCTTATTTTAATCAATAAGCAAAACTCTTGTTACCTACACTTTCACAAGTACAAGACATCAGCAGCACTTTTAAAGCTTGACAAACATTCTTCATACCAGTATCTGTCAACAACAACAACAACAACAACAGATAAGGTGAAAGCTATTATGACATGATATGTCAACTAGTCATTAACAATAAGCACTGTGAGAAGTATAACTATAAACATTCACTTACAACACAAGCATTAAAGACTTGCTATAAATCATAATGTATTTGTGTTGATGTAGTTGTCTTATAAGCTGCAAGGTGTTTGGCACAAAAAAAGTGTAAATGGTCAGCTGTAGATATATCACACCTGTCCACTACACAGGATCAATGTGTTTTTAGATCATTCCTGTCTTGATAAGTAGATACATACAAGGATGATCTACCTGTAGCTGGACTATCTTGGATGTGTGACGTGTCCATGTCTGTTCCAGCATTGACCAGCTCTTGCATCATTCAGCTACAGCGTGTTAGCATGTTGTGAATGTATGTTTTATATCACAGGCATGATATAGAAGCTTGCTGGGAGATTTTATCTCATTAATGAGAATAGATTAGATGCTACAAAACATGAAATAACTATCAGCTACGTCTCAATGATGTACAGTACACAGATATATACGAGTCAGAACTACCAGCTGCCAATTTTACCTGAAAATAAACAATCAATTGTATAGACAAAACCTGTCAGTAGGACGAATTGCTCAACTATTCTCAGTGTAGGATAGTAAAATAAAGAGCCTGGATAATGTAGAATATTCTAAGTTCAAAACTGGCCATAACTTTGTCAAAATCTGTTAGTTATGGGCCATAAATAGTAAACTGTTATGCTTTCAACCCTTAAGTTGTTTTCTGCATACCAACTTGCACACAAAAATTTAACCAGTGCAACTATGGTGGTGACTCTAACGCAGGGGTGAGTACAATAGCTCTCCCTATTCTTCGAATAATTGGGCTAAAAACACACAACAAAAAAAATCTTAAATCTTATCATATGAAAATCAACTAATTGGAAAAGATGCTAATAATAAGTTAACATTAAAATATAAACTATTAAAACCTCAAAAAACATTACATAGAAACTATATAGAGACTTTTATACAACTGTAACAGCATTTTCATCTATTTATAGGTTATACTCATTTCTTTTTTAATATATAAAACAAATTCAACAAATAATCCACAATATATATTGCCCCAAGAGACTATTGCAACAGCTTTTCAACCTTTTACTGATATGTATAATGTACATGCTCTAATTTGAATCAGGATATGTGCATTGTTAAGTGGTTTCAGCATCAGTAAGTTATAATATAGCAGCCAACAATGTTATCTAGACAGACTTCCTGTGTGGGCGCCAGCTGGCATGTTGATATACTGATGACACTGGTCATAGATTATCACTAATACAGTTCAAAGAATACCTTTAATGCATTAATTATAATCTGAGGTACTGAGTAACATAATCTTTAAGTCTTGTTATATCAATTTTTGTAAGTATAGTTGAAGAAGAAAATACTATTTACCCTATAGGGATGGAACGCTAATGAAGTTATTGCACCTATTCTCTGCCCTATAAAACCATCATGGTATTTGATAGTACTGAGAGTATCCCCAGACTGATTATACACTCCAATATACTGATTCATTGATCCACTGTAAAACAATTATCATATACCTTGTTATAAACTGTTCTACACAAGAAAAAATCAATATATTACAAAGAGATAACGACTACTTATCACTGCACAAACACTAAATACAATACGCAATTTAATGACAAAATTTGCTATTTAAAATTTTGTAGATTCATTTCATATAAATACATCTAGATATAAATCAATCTTAGTCTCTTATACAATTAACAATAATAGAAATGTATTGAACTATTTTCAATTTGTTTGAAGACATGTATTTAATAAGCTATATAAACAATGTATTTAATAAACATGTTTGAAGTCAGCAAACTTTTACAATACGATAAATCACTTGATAATTAAATGTTTCACATCCTTCTGTGTCCAACCAAAAGTTAGAAAATATAATAACAAAAATATAATAAGAAATAAAAGATATACCAAGCTAGAACATCAGCTCTGGGATGTATATCAACACTGGTAAAACTGGACTGTAGATTCATACATCTTACACTCTCTGTAAACCGTGGATCCCAGAATCTCAGATCTCCAGAATTACTGAAAGTAACATTGTTTATAAACAAATTCATTACCAGATAAACTGAGTATCAGACCTGTGCATCCATACAAAGTTAAAGTATTCTGGCAACTTTTATTTATCATAAATTAGTAGTGACATTCATTTTTGGCTAATTGGTTGCTGAGTATTTTTGTAAGTCATTCAATTACTATATGCACGACTGTTGAAAAAACATCCTTCTGCACAATTATTTTTACATATAATATGAAAGAAATGGAATGTACAATCAACACAAGTTTATTTTCAAAGGTTTGTTTAATGATGAAAACCGATATTTCCATAAGAGTCTTCATCAGGGTTTGAAAACATAAATGAATGAAAACTTCAATGAATAATCAAGCAGACGTTATTACCCTTAAGGATGTAATCAGGTTAGTAGTTTTTACAATATATTGTGTATTAATATGAAGGAGATATACATACCTTGCTGTTACAATTTTGCCTTCAGTGCCTTTCTGTAGATGAACTTTTACTACCCATCTTGTATGCTCCCTCAATGTCATCACTCGACTGTGAAATATGTGATAATACAAATTGTATGGTAGATATTATAATACAAGTATGAGGATATAGTTTGGTAATAAATTGTTAGAAAACATTTTAAAAGTTTACTTTATTTGTTCAATATGTTAACACAAATGTACCCTGGCCAGCTCTTCATATGTATACATAGGTTACAAACATCACTAAGACAAGTTCAGCATGTCCCTGTATATCAGTTTTACATTAATTTAGCTTCAATTTTTTTAACATCCATTAAATTATAACATGGACACTAGCTAAAATTTGCATAAATTCAGCTATAATTCAATTGTAGGTAAGAACCCAGTATTTATTTGTTTCTAGTAAACATACCATTCAGTTGGAGCTAGTCTCCTATCAAACAATCTTACAGTACCATCACCACATCCAGCTATCAATAATGATCTACCCGACATATCTGATGCCATACATGTGACACAACTGTCTGCTCCTGTTGGTATATCCTATAAACAAATGATAAAACAGTATTATCACCTAATACAGGTATGTCATTTATTTAACACCATAACTTCTATTTCATTCCAGAGATCTCAAATTATGTCTATAAACAATATTCTTAAAGGTAACAAATTTGCAGAAAGCTTGTTTCGCATATATAAGGTACTTTTAGAACATGCATATTTTAACACTTGAATGTATTTATGTATTGATATAAGCCATAGAAAAGATTACCTGAACTTTAAATTCTTTCTGTGAGTCCCAGATCCTGATGAATCTAACATCTCCTGAGGTAAGTAACATCCCTGTATGTTGTTCCCAGTAACTCACTAATCCTGACCCTATCAATACATGAAGAATACTACATACAGTCACCTTTACAACCATGTGTTGTGTATTCTAAATCATATATAATATTTGTAAAAATGTCATTGATGGAAAATTTTGCACTGATATTTCAAAAGCTGAGTATCGACAATATATCAATTTCAATAGCTTATACATGATGCTTAATATACTGTTATTTATCATGGTGTACACAAGCATGTTTAATACATGACAAACACAGAATACCAAAAGAATTTTTTTGGTTATCATATCATACAGACCTCTGAATATTTAATCCAGTGTTCAAACTAGACAAGAAAAATAGATAAAGTGGCATTTTCACTTCACAATAAGTATGCTGAAATTTTCACAAAACATGAAGACGTGGGTTTTAAAATGTCCAGATATTTTTTATTGTTAATTAATATTGTATCAGTTGTTGAATTTCAATGATATATAAATATCATGATTTTCAATGACAGCCCTATATATTTACACACATAAAAATTATAAAACTCAATGCAAAAAGCTCAAAACATCTTTATTTTCAAAACACTGCCATCCAGTTATAACACTAAGCTCATTTTGAATTACAAGAAAATATAATTAGATCACAGAGATGGTTCCTGTTCTACTAACACTTAATGCTTCTATACTGCTTAACTAACTGTATCCAGTGTACTAAACCAAAGGAGCTATAGAAGCTGATAAAAAATTAATGTCTAAAAGATCATATTGCGGACAAAGCCTGAATAGGAGACAAATATTTAAAGATCATATAATTTCCATGATGCAACTCTTAAAATGTACTATATGAATATCACACATTTATTAATTTATGTTTTATATATAAAGGTTTACCTCTGTTAAGTGGTAACATCTCACTAACTGCCTGGAATGCAGTGACTAACTCAATATCAGATTCTGAGTTGTAATCTCTCCATATCTTCACACATCCATCATCTGTCATATTAATATTATACATTAATAGTCATCTTAAAAAAAAATCTTTTGTGTTTCTGAAACCAAAGTTCAATTTTTAACATTTCCAATATTTGGCACCATTAATGGATGTGAAATTTAAAAATAACAAAACTAAAATGAAAACATATCAAGTGCAGTAAGAGACTCCCTGAAAATACATCAAAGACACTATAATACATTAAGAATTCTCCATAGATAAGCACTATATAAAGACATTACCTGATCCACACATTAACAATGTGTTATCATGAGCATTTATATATTCCAGAGATGTTATTCTTGTATGACGAGGATTACCATTGCTCAGATAGCCAAGTTTCGGACCTTGTTCCCAATCCCAAAATCTGAAATAAAACAAAAATCTGTATCATTAACCCATTACTTCATGAGCATTTTGTGAAAAATGGCTGTTTTCATTGAAAAGTCTCCTGTTACAAGTTCAAATTGCTATAATACTATAAAAACTGCTTCAACACTAATCAAAAAAACCGAAAAACTGGTCACTTTTTTTAACAACATTCCTCAAACAAAAACAAGTGTTGGGGGCCTAAATAAGGCATTTTTTCACCATTTGAGACACAAAAAGGGGGGGGGTGAAAAAGGCGTTAAAAGGCGTGTATATGAAGTAATGGGTTAAAGAACGTTATGAAAGAGAATGAACAGACAATAAGCTATAATATTCAATGTGCATATATGAACTATATAGAGAACAGAACTATTTTAATGATATTATGTTATTTTTTGTTGTCTTTTTAATGTATCAATTTACAAAACATTTCAAAATCATTTTCATAAAAAAATCAATATGAAAACCATCTATTTAATTCACAATTTAGAAAAATATGCACACCAGACTCATCTCAGTTTTTAACTTACATTTACAATTAAAAAACGTAGAATTCCTTTTACTCTTTAAGTGTCCCATAAATTTTCTTTAAACCTTAACAGATCTGATGCTATAAGCAACAAAAATATCATCAATGATGACCTTATTTTTAAATTTTTCAAACTGAATAATAATGTAAAATCACTGTTACAACATTGTCCAAATAGTAAGATATGTATTAGAGGAAAACATGAAAGTAACTAACGCTACACCATCCTTGTCAGCTACAGCCAGTTCCGACTCATATGGATGGAATTTTATCACAGAAGGTACACCTACATTCCTATTCACAAAAATCTCGTTGTCCAGTCTGTTGAAACCTGTAAATAAAAACATTTTCTAGTGTAAGAAAGATGTTACATCTCAAACACATTCTTCTCTTACTTGAAACAGATATTTCTACTTCTGGATATAGTAGTTTGAAAACTGATATGATTTTAGTATTAAGTCTGCAGAATTTTACTTACTTCTTACATGTCAATGTCATTTTTCAATACATGAAAATGTTGTTTTATTTTCATACACAACAATGTGTCTTATTTCCATTCATGACAATGTCTTTATGTCCATACAAAACAATGTCTTTATTTCAATACAAAACAATGTCTTATTTTCATACAAGACAATGACTTTATAGTTGTTATAAAACTGTACTAACCAGCCTTAACCTGTTCCTCTCGTGCCTCCTCTTTAACCTGTGTGTTTCTGTCAAACCTGAAATTCCTCTGTAGGTATGAATTACTCTCACTGTCTTCTTCATCAGACAATCTCATTATAGGTTGTACAAAATGTTTACAACTCCACTCAAAGAATTCTGTACTGATATTCTGTGCTTGACCTTTAATATCCTTATCATCATCCTTGTCTTCAATCTACAATAACATACTTTAGTTTAAACGTCTTCAATCTACAATAACATACTTTAGTTTTAACACATTTATTTAAGCTTGATTGCGAGACAAATTCTTGCAACTATCTGAGTTCTCTTCCAGGAACTAACCAGTACTGGTGTCATTATGAAGAAACATGGTCTCGTGCCAAGTAGGGCTAGAACCCATGATTACTAATTTTGAGAAGCAGACAGCTTAACCACTAGGCCATCCCTCCCCATTTAATAACATACTTTATAACATAAAGTAACCTACACAGTCTCCCCTTTACTACAAATAACGAAACACAAACATATATTTCGCCTGGTAGCGCTGCACAATAGCTACGAGAGACCAGTTAATACACCAAAACCATACAAATATATCAATATTTGTGACAATACATGTATACATATGATAACGCAGTGACATTAACAGTATGTTAAAAGATCTCTCAATAATAAACATCCGCGTCATCAGAAAACACGACGTCCAGGAAAACAAACAGAGAATGTTACTTTGATAAAACCTGTGTCCAATTTAACAAGTTCAGTGCCTTCCTCAGCGGCGTGTGTGGACTTCACACGAAAATATTAAATAATATAACATGAATGGCCTAACAACTTTTCAACTAAAACATATCCTTATAACAACATTTCACCAAAGTTTGCATTTAATAACCACTATTTATTTATTTATTTTTAAATTTATGAACTAGAAATTTTTAAAGCACGTGTTTATTAGCCATGGTGCACGCTAGAAACTGATACCTGTAACTCTACCTATCTCAATTTATCATACCATTCATTTCCATTGGTCAGTTTGTAACAAAACAATCAAACATTGGTCAATCTTTTACTCATGTGACTTATTCAATCGTAACGTGCAGACATAACTTTACCGCTATACTACGTAACGCGGTAAAGTAAAGAATAATTACATTAGCAAAATTCTTAAGCTTAAAAGTTTATGAAACAGTGGTCTTTAATTCAGTAAGAGCAATCATCCTATGAAGTTTGAACACTGTTGGTCAAATGGTTTTCTAGTTATTGGATAGAAACATTTCATTTCTTGAAGTTTATGTGACCTTGATCTTTGAACACCTAAGTTTGAAAAAAAAAAGGGATTTTCTAGTCAATAAGGGAAACCATCTTATGAAATTTGAAGACTGTAGGCAATATGATTGACAACTTATTGAGCAAAAACAAAGTGGCCAATCAACTGACATATGCAAAAAAATATTCCAAATCTTCTTTGAACAGCAAACAAAAAACAAGGAATGTATACTCAACAATATTTCTTCTGTGATATCATTAGAGATTGTTTATTTTGTGCAAATATTTAACATATTATATGAAAAGTGGCTTAGCAACTGTATATAAGTTGAATATAACACAAGTTTTTACCATATTTGGCCCCTTGTCATACATTTTTCTTGATCTTGAAAACTGTGCTGAGTATGTATATGAAGATTGTGGGTTAAGTACAATGCTGGAACGAGATGGAGATTCACGTTTCTGGTCTGTTGACTCCTCAAACACACTACTTAACTGAGGTGGTGTCCTGAAACAATACAAACAATCTGAATATAAACTAGTAACTTGTACAGTTAAAAATACTGTACATACAATATTAAAGTTATAAAAGTTTAAAAATTCCCCATCTTCACATTGCCAATAAAAATAGTAAAACTGTTTCTATATCCAGTCAGAAAAAAATTTGTGATTGAAAGTATCCGCAACACTGGAAGCAATGATAGTCAACTTGATTATAATTGTTTCACTTACCCAACAGAGATATATTTATTAGAGGGGCTGGATGGAGCAGAATGTGAGCTATTTGTGGTGTTTGGCATGTAACGAGGTTTGCTGTTGGTTGTTACCTACAAAAAAAACAAAAACAACATAGTAACAAGAGTGGCAGGAATGTGTGCTTGTTGCAGATTATGAATTGATACATGACATTTTTAAAAAAATCTTATGAATAACCTTTTTAACAAAATTAAAAAGATAGAAACCGCGCAGTCTGATCAGGACACATGCTGTTCGCTTACAAACCCTATTACAAGTAGAGAAACTGATAGCGAACAGCATGGATCCTGATCAGACTGCGCAGATGCGCAGGCTGGTCTGGATCCAGGCTGGTTGCAAACGCACTATGTTGGTTTTGTCTTGACATGGCTCAAATCAATTATTTTTTTACATGCATGAACAATATCATTGAAATTAGTATTTTACTAACATAAAGAAATTTACGGAACTATTATATAGCACTATACATCTGATAAAAGTAATGAATATAAAGAACATATAAAGCTGATTACCTTTGACTTAACAAGGTTCACTAGACATCTTGCCATATCTGAAACCTGTGTCTCCGGATCAACAGCCAGCTGTAGTAGAGATTTCCATACATTGGTGTAAACATTGTTTTTCAAGGACATGTTAGATATAGCATTGGAGGACATGGCTCGTGGAATCCTAGATGATGATGATGATGGTAACTCTAGGCTCTCCATAGATGCAGCAAATGCTGAGCCTGGAGTCGCAGGTGGTCTTGGAGCTACTGACGTGGCTGAAGCTATTGAACATGAAAAAATATTGCAAGTCTCTTTATCTAATTTGTACATTTAGACTTAAATATATAACTGACACAAATATACATCTAAAACTAAACTTATTTACATAGTGAAATATCTACCTGACCATTTTAAATAGTTATAACATGCATATATTGGAATCACTTGAATCTTCAGTATCAATTAATCTTTTTTAACAGATGGGTCTGAAAAAATCAACTTGATTAATTTGCAATAAGTTTTTTACTATTTCAAGAAATGAGTGACAGTTTTGCATACATGTGCTAAGGTTCTTATAGAAAGTGTGTAAATGGTATATTTTCTTAATGTGAGCTAATGGTAAGTAATCTTAATATAGTGATGGGGAAGAGCTTACAAGTGGAGGACAGGAGGGTTCTGAGACTGCCTCGTGATGATGACCTCTTCAAACTATTAGAACTGGAAATGCTGGTAAATATTCCCTCTGAAATATCAACATGCTACATACAATAATGAAAAGTGCCTACATATGCAATAAACATGCAGGTAAACACTTGGAACAATTATAACAAGAACTACTTAGCATGCTCCTTAAGGAATTTTTAGGAAAATCAATAAAAAAAATGTTCTATTCTGTAAATCTATCAGTCAAAGCTCAAAATAAGTATTTAGCTACGTATAGCAACTGTTTCCACAGACTTATGCAATAATAATGAATAATTGTGTCTTTATCATTAAATATACTTTTCCTTCCTCCTTACCTTTTATGAACCAAACAAGTTTAAGGTCAACAATTTATTATATAAAATTACTTTAAATTTTGATTTTTTACCCCCGAGGAAAGGTGGAAGGGGGGGGGGGGGTTTAAATAACTGAAGCTTTTCTTTTTCCATCCTTTTGTTTGCAAGTAACTAAATAAATAAATAAAGTTAAAAACAAGGAATGTATCCATAAGCAATGGGTGCTCCAGCAATATGACATTTCTACCTCCAAATACCACCATGATCTGGGTATATATGCAAGACACATCCTACCACCCTGGTGAAGACATCTGCCAAATAGTTTGATAATACCTTTGACCTCAAAAATGACCTTGACCATGCAGACATAAGTCTTGCATGTTACACATTGTCTGACAATGGTGAAGATATATGCCAAATATTTCAACAATCCATCATGGATGATCAAAATTGATTATTCTGTAGATTTAAAACCAATTTAATGTACAATAATTCCAAATATCCTTAACACTTTCTTAACTGCATTTCCTTCTCATGAGTATTAAAAGAAATATATTATTTTTCCAATTAATTTGTAGTTTTTCTAATTGGTGCACTATTTTGTATATCTGAACATCAGAAAGTGAAATGTGAATAATAACTGGAAACAATATAAGAGACTTTTGGTGATAGAGGGAATGATACAATTGGGTTATGAAATGTTGACACTCATACCAATTGATGCCGGATCATATATAACTTTTTCAACATTCAGTTCTGAAGTCTCAATTATAATAGGCCTCTTTAGTTTTCGTTTAACACGATGATCTAAAATTAAACATGAATGGTTGCTTGTAACTCAGAACTTTTATACCAAAACTTATAGATTTATTCTTGCATATCAGACAGTATTTTCTTCAGTTTTACAACCATGCTAGAAAACCTGTGTTATTATATCCCCAAATAAGACATGTTGCACACTTTAAATGATGTCATTTCCACTCTTTTGTGAATGACTTGTGTGCTTAGGATGACCTCATTTTGTTGTTATGAATAAAGTTGTAAGTTCATACGCTACTATAGGGATAAAGTGCTTCATGAGGTACAATTTAAGATATCAGATCTTTTTTTTAAATTTCTTTTTTAAATATGATTAATATGCAATATGCTAGAAAAAGGATGAAACAAAATGTTGTTGTCACACATGTGAAAAATTATCTCTTGTGTTCAACAGAAACTCAGCAAAGCCTTGTTACTGCCATAAACAGTTACCCTTGAGCTAGATATTGTGGTCTGTACCAGCAGCCAGTGTAAAATGGCTGTATCTTCACTATCGCCAGTTTAAAGATCAACAGGTTTCTCTTCCTTCTTATTCTAAATATGACTAATGTAACAAAGTTTAAAGTCCAGTTTTAGTGATATCAACTTTCACTGAATGTAAAGAATCTGGCCAAAGGAAAAAAGCCTGAATAAATGTCTTCCTATCATTTAATCCCTTAGAACTTGGCAGCCTTTGTAAATGCCTACATAGTACACATATTTTTAGTCATGCTACACAACAATAAAACATGATCAATCTTCACTAGATACATTTACAATAATCACCACTATGTGAAACATGTTGAGGCGGCAAGCCTGTATTATTTCAAGCTGATAGCTTCCTATTATGTATGAGTCATATATATACTACTGTACAATATACCAAGCATGATCATAGTGAAATCATCTTATAACAAATATCATTTAATCAATCAAGTTAAAGATACATGGGATATACATAACAAAATCGGGACAAGAACTTTATAATATATGCATTATTCATTGGACTGACAGTTGGGATGATGTTACTACGCTAAAATTATAAAGAAAAAAAAACATACAAAGTAGAAGAATTTCAAAAGCAGTTCACTACACTATAAGAAAACATGACAAAATATTTGTCATAAAGAGCAATCATCAAAATGAAAAACATGGTAGATAGATGAGTGAGTGAAATGCTTCAAATAGAAAATGAATTTCTATAAAGTAAAATCAGAAACATTTGGTAACTTTTGAATTGATTATGATAATAATTCGCACCCCAGATAGTCAAATAAATGTCTTTTAAATAAAAGCTATACTTATTCAACATGCTTAATATATAAAAATAACTTTTAGTTAAAAAAAGTAGTTAATAAAAATATAAATTGTAATCTCAAGAACATTATTGTTAACAAGCAAATTTGTTGATCAATAATAACTGGTCTTTTACATAAATCTTTGACTTTGAAACTTTAGGGTTTTTTTTTACAGTTGAGTTTCACCAACAGTTTTACTTGTGAAGGAAGACCTCAGGTGCTCCTATTTGCATTATTTCAGTCACAAACTGGCACCCAAGTAGAACCACCGATACTCAGTAAGCTAGTTGGATAGGTTCTTCACATGAAAGAATCCAACTCCTTGGCAGGAATCAAACCCACAGCAGTGAGAGGTAGATTGTGATGGAGATTTATACTGCAAAGTTGGTTAATTCATCACTCTTAACATGTTAATTACAATGTATTACTTGAATCTTTTTACTATTCCTAAAATACCAATACATTTTTCAGAAGTTGAATTTCTTGAAATATTTTGGCTCAACTGGAGGCAGTGAAAAAATAATAATAAAGAAGATCAAGGTAAGAGTATGTGATACACAAACATAAATAACTATAGGTTAATATACTTGGTATATTTCTAGGTTAATATAGAATCAAAATTGATTGTTATTAATGTAAACAGCACAAACATAAAAACAGACATGCTTTCAACTACTCTTTTAAATACATGTACTTTCTCATCTATATAGAAATATTCAAAAACTAAGTGCTTTTATTTAAAGCAAAAAAATGGTCAAACAAACATTGCAACTTCTGACCAATGAAAAAGTTATCTTTTTTCTTCATTTTTTTTCTCTGGAGTTAAATATAAACAATAAGCAAACTAAAAAGATGAATAAATGAAAAAAATTCTCCTTGGAAACCTAAGGCGTAGTTGAAAGCATGACCAGGTTGTTAGGGATGTAGGTACCTGGGGACCCAGGGGCTACAAGATTCCACCCACCCGGTGCCTCTCCAGTCAATATAGCAGGTGTTCTCTCTCTCAACTTTTCATCCTCTATCAGTTGGGTAGCTGCTACAGCAAATTGTGTCTCAAAGTGAGAAACTAATCCTCCAAATGCAACAACCAACTCCTGTCATAAAACATCAGTGTTTTCAACCAATAAAAACTGCTATAATGAAATAAACTATGTTTCCGAATTCTGTTCAGCCAGTTTTATTTAATTATGTATAGAAAGGTGTAATAAATATCTCTGGCATTCTCATATTGTAAATAAACTCTTTCAAATAGTTTAACTAATATTACTAAAATATAAGAAGATTGGCATACTGCATACCTTTCTAACAAGTGGACTTCCATCTTGAGCTACATGTACTAGTTGCATACCAACACCTAGATCAATACTGGTAGCATGGTCACTTTTCTCGCTAACGTTACTGATGAATGTACCGAGGGCATACACTGCGGCAGCTCGTACCTCGGGTTCCGGATCAGTTAACAACTTGTAGAGTTTCTCATGTGCCGTGTCTCGTACACCACACCAACGAGCACTGTCAAAATTTGTCCAAACTTTTGCTAGGCATAAAGCAAGCCAATGTCTTAACAGAGGACTAGAGTCTGTGAGCTGTTCTAAACAGATGGCAACAACACTTCCCTGTAATGCTGCCTCCTATAATATAAAAGAATACACTTTATAGCAGACTACACAATGGCATATTCAAGACTGATTGAATTCCACAACAGACATAGGTTATTTATATACATTGCATATCAGAGATTTATCTACGACTGTAAAAGAGCAGGCATATTCCTGTTAGATTCAAACTGGAGTCTAACTAACAAACCTAAATTTAGATATTTTGCATGTGGTGCTAAAATGAAGTTTACAAAATGTTCAACAGTCAATGACTGCTACACTGTTTAAGAACTGTAAAATCATGAAAATATGTTGGGTTTTTTCAACATAAGAAATTTTACCTGTCCTTGTCTATATTCATTCACCATCATGGCCAACACAAATGCTGCCATAGTTTTCTGTTTAGCCTGAAACATACATAGAAATTAAGCTTGTAGTTTACATCCCTACCACACAATAACTTCCTAACCTAGCATTATGACCATGTATAAAAGTTTAATGTCACTTTAAAGCATTTCAATTAATATTGAGCAACTGTATAAAATTTCAGAAATGGACTCTTTTAATAGCATGAATGTAATGTTAGTAAGTATTTTACAACTTGGTAAATAACTATAAGACTTCTGTTTTTTTTATCAAGTAAGGTACTGCGAATTCACTTATATTTGTGGGCATGAAATTTCATGGTTTTATCAAAACGGGCATTTTCGTGGGTTCTTAAATTCGTGGATTTTCATTTTCTTGTAAAAAAATTCAGTAACCTAATGCAAAGTAATCTTAAAAACTCAATCGCCGAACATTTTTACTTACAGCATGTACATATCTTTACGTGTCACACAGCGCATGTCAATAAATTTAATCCTTGCCTCTGGGCATAACTCAAATATAGAACAGTTACTGCCAATAATTGGCTGCAATTAACACATTTATGTGACATGATATGCACCTCCATTAGACACACTGCCCCTGTAATTCGCCGATGTAAACATCGCATAATTTATACAACACCCGACACGTTTTAACCAGCGAGTTTAAAAAGTTTACACCCTGAATTGGTCTTACCATATTTGACAGTAACTACACGCAACGTCACAGCGACAGTGTAAATTTACATGCATATTAATTAATCTGAGTATATAACACGAGAAAGTGTGGATCAAGAAAAAGTCGGTGGCGTCTTTGATGTTTACGTAATAGCATTCGCACAACTACAGATTAAAATTCATTTAAACTGGATCATTTAAAACGAAAAAAGAATGTACAATTCATCTGTTTTAGGGATTGTATTTTTTTATAGTTTTGTGTACTTACGTCATTAATATCAAAGACTTTTTTAATTAATAAGAGCAAACTGACATTTTTTTATAAGCGCTAATTATTGGATTGCATGGGTTCCCATATTGACTCGATTATGTCAAGTATTCTAACAACGATCAAGTGTGTATATGCAACGGACATTTGTGACAGTAAATTGAAGACATATAATCGAGTTTTCTTTCATATATTAGTTGGGATAAAATTTCGTCGGATCTTATATTCGTGGATTGACCTACCCACAAAAGCCACTAAAATTTGTGCCCCACGAATAATAATGATTTTACAATAAGCAACAATCATTATCAAACTGAGTATCAAAATCTGCTGGTAGATCTAGTGTTAGATGTGATATATTAAGTTGAAGTATATAAAGATATTAATGTACTTACAGGCATATAAGGATCAGCTAACACAGAAAGGAAGTATTTATGTCCATTATCTTTAACAAGATCAGCTTGGCAGGACTGAAACACAGATTGAAAACTGTCAATTAAAATGATCAAATATAAATCAACAACAAAGATTTGACACAAAGTATTGTTAATACTTATTACATCATATAATTTATACCACTTAGATATTGCTACAGCTGAACTGTTTAATTTAGTAAAAAATATCTTACATTAGCCATGAGCTACAGTACTGACATTAAGCCTAGCAGAATGGTGCATTTAATGTGGCTATTTCTTTAAATTTGATGATTGTTAATTTAGAATTATTTAAGATCCTGATAAGGAGTAAGATATGACATATAGAAAACTGTGTTTTTTTAATAAAGATAATAAATCTGAAACTTACACTATCAACAGAGAGTATTTTAGCCCAGATAAAGACAAGAAGAGGTCGTAATTCCCTTGCATTGCTCTGGAGTAACTTCAGCACATATGGAAAAATTCCCACAGATAAAGCCTACACAATATACAATCTTGATTATTAACATGAAATGACACATTAGAATTTCTTAATCACTACAGAAAATCTTTACTTCTCAGAATTTTTTTTTATATAAAAAATACACATGTTTTTAGATGCATTATTTTATTTCTGGCTAAATGTATGAAATAGTTTTAGCATGAATTAGCAAATGTTTATTAAATATTACCAGACTAACAGCCCATGGACCAAGATCAAGGAAGCGCCCGAGGAGTTCTAAGGCTCTCAATCTGTGCACCTGGCTCAGTAACACCTGTAGTACGATAGGTAACTGCTCTGGTGGGGCACGAGACTCTGCTCCATACTTTAACCAGACATCAAAAGCTGTCAATTGTTCTGTAAAGAATGGACTGTGCTGAAATACAGCCGACTCATCCTCCAATAACTTGGGCAACTGTCTTAAACACAAATCTAATGCTAGGTCCCATGCTTGCCTAAACAAAACAGAAAATACACCTCTTAATCATACACTTCAATTACAATGCTACAATTTGACAGGTGAAATTTTTCTATATAATTGTACAATGTGTAATGTTAAATGTTAAGACTTACTGAAATGCTGGTGTGCCTAAATATTGATGAAATACCTGCAGAAGTTACATCAACATTGACACAAGAGAAGTTTTACATAACAGGAAATAAGCATTCAGGATATTACAATTCATTCCAATAAAAAACAACTAAAGACATCATTTGAAGCTAAACAAATTCTATAATTTATTAAATTTGTTTTATCTACTAAACTTTGAAATAAAGAAATTGAAAATATAATACCCCCACCCCTCAAATTATCAGAAAATTACGATAACAACAGTATAGGATATAAAAGAATGATATACTGACCACATGGGATGTTGATATGTACGTGGTAGGGTGGGTCCAGATATGGGAGTACAATTGTAAGATCTCATGATTCTCTCTGCCAGCAGAAAGTTACGGAACAAACTTGCAACCAATAAATCTTGACGGAATAATCTTTGAAACAAATCTGCAACAGATTTATTTTTCACTTTAAGTTTTGTTTCACACAAATACATATCATTTTGAGTTAGAGTTTAGTTACCTTAAGTTAACAATATAGATATCATATAGTATTTTAGCCCTTACTAGGAGGCCACAGCTGCTCAGATTTGCATTACATTAAGCACCAAGAACCTTGGTAGAACAGAGAACCTTATACAAGCAAACTGGATACCTTCCTCACATACACATGTCAACTTCTCTACAAAAACTCCAGCCAAAAAGTTGAGTAGAAATTCAAGGTCACACAAACCCTTTGCTTCCTCCTTGCTCCAGTTCATGCTGATTATACAAACATATTAATTTCTATGCAAGTTTTATATATTTTATATTTTTACAGCTTGTTTTTGTTGTTGTTTTGATGTGTTTTTTTTTTCAGTTTGAAACAAAATTAAAAACAAAATTTATATATTTCAAAGTCTATATAATGCTTTGTATACCTCTAGGGAGAGTGTTCCATGCTATGGTGTCAGTTATAGCTGTAAATATCCAGTTTAATTCTCCCAGCATTGTTCTTCTATCATTCAACATGCCAGGAACTCTAATATATACAGTAAACAAGTAGTTAAATGTGAATTTATAAATTTTAAAGTCAGGTTAAACAAAAATTATAATTTAAATCTGCCAGAATCCAACTTACTTTTATGAACACATTTTCATTTACACAAATCAAGCATTAAAAAAAAAACAGCATGTGAAAAGAGAGAAAAATCTTTATAAACCTGCAGATGATTTGCTACATAGATCAATAAAACTAATGTGTGAATGTGTAACAGTGTGGAGATGGAGGAGAGGGTGTAACACTTACTTATCTACCAAATCTTGTGTTAGACCTGGTACTAGCTTACTTGTATTCTGTAAGACATACCTGAAATATATAAATCAAAATGTAAAAACCATGTAATAAATCCTGCTAAATATAAACATTATCATACAACATTCTTTTTATCTTAAGGTTTTACAAGGAAATTAACCTTTTTTACCCCCTTCATAAAAACATAAAAAATAACCGATTTGTATAGAATTTTTATGTTTACATATAGTACCAACCAAAAGCTAATTAAGATAAATGTACCATTTTAGAGCAATTTTGATGGGTGTAGTAAGACATGAAGTAAAAAGATCAGCTGGGAGTTCTGAGTTCATGGGTAGTAGTTCATTGGCACCACAAGCTGCTAGCTGTATACAATGTTTTACTGTGGAACTTGTGTTAGAGGTCACTGATTTACCATTCACTGCCTGCAAAATATTACATTTACTTATATTGGACAGAGAAAACAATTCTACATGCAATATTGAAGAATACAAATAACTTACATCTTTGATATCTTAGTGACACATCAGTAATTTAAATTAACTTTTTTATTGTTAGTCATGACATAAGATGGAAACACATAGAAAATATCTCTAACAATAATATTTTACTGGAAAATTATTAAAACAAAATTTTTCCGGAGGTGTATCTTTTTATATATTACAATTTTTTTTTTTTGTTTGTGTTTTACGTCACACCTACGCAGTATAGGTCATATGGCGAGGTTCCAGCTTTTCTGGTGGAGGAAGATCTCAGGTGCCCTTCCGTGCATAATTTCAGGCACGTACAGGCACCTGAGTAGAACCACCGACGTTTCATAAGCTTGCTGGATAGCTTCCTAACATGAAAGAATTCATAGTCCCTGTTGGGATTTGAACCCACAGTGGTGAGGGGCAAGTGGTTTGAAGTCAACAATTGTTCTCAGCCTTTAAACTAATATCAGTGATCCAAAACCAGTGGATAAGTGCAGGTATATACAAAGTACAGATATTGGCACAGTCAGATCTCAAATCATCTAAAAATTGTAAACAACAAAAACAATATTCTTACTTCCGATTCACTTTCCCTCTGTAATGAGAATTGTCTGAAGAGATCTACTATCACTCCAGCATGGGAACAATCATATACATATATAGATGGACTGCCCATCCAAGTTTGTAGATCATAAATAGACAGTGGTATATATTGTGTGTAACTCTACAATTATAGAAAACATGAATGTTTATGATAGTAGAAAATACAATAAAATTAAAGTATACATACATCACTTCATTATAAGACTTTAGTATATCATTTAAGACCAACACGTTTTTATCGAACCATGCAATATATAATGTATAATATACAGTGAAGATATAAATACATACCTTGTTGAATACCCAGATTTCTCCATTCACAGTTGGTTTTGGTACACCATGACCATTGTAATGAAATAAAACTCTTTCCTCCTATAATTTATTACAACAAATTCAAGCATGTATTAATGCAAAATGTATCTTTCACACTTCAAAGAAATCTGTTCTTGTAATAGCAAAATTATTCTTATCATAAATATACTTATGAATAAAATAAGAGTTAGTTTACATTATGAATGATTTATAATTATAATGATAAAACACAACATCTAATCGGTATTTCCTAATATTCTATGGACCTTTCCAGTGTTTACAGTTTTATGTAAATTGGCTAACTTGTTATCCAATTGCTACATTGAGATAATACATAGTCACTGGTTGACCTGGTTTGCACAAAAGAACACGTGGTTATGTTTGTGATATAGTTTGTGAGCAGTTGACCGAGCAATGAATGGAAAAGGTGTGGCTTAATGTTCCACTACGAAAAAACGTAAAGGTCCATTTGTATGTTATGTTAGTGTATTGTACCTTTGCATTTCTACGCAATGATGTACACAGTTTTTTCACTTCCTCAACAGTAGGGTCTAGAGTCTGCTTGTATCTAGCTCTTGGTTGCCACCGCTCATATTGTTTCTGTAGATTAGCACCTATAGCTTCTAGAGCTTTCTGAGGACTTTGTGCTAGTGGATCTAAAAACAACAACAATGCAATAACGAAACAACATGACAGAAATTATGAAATGCTATTCAGTAAGTCACAGGTCAAATTTAAAATATTTCTTTCATCATTTTTACAGTAATGTTAACTTCCTTAAATATAGTTTTTAGGCATGCCCTTTTACATTTAATAAATACTGGATATTAATTATCTACATTTCAATCAAAATAACAGTGACATTAGACAAATGTACTTGAATTTACTCTCTTAAAGTCTTTCAGTTACACATGTGACACTGGCATCTACTTGTAGCAATGATACAAATCTTAATACTGCCACTATGAATAATATGATGGTGAATCATTCCAAAGGCACTGACATCACAGTATACATGTACCAACACACACAATCGTCCCATTCTAGGACTGAGCCTTTATGCTTAATGGAAAGCAAAGAAGTCTACTGTACCATTTTCAAAATAGTACTACTTGGCACAAGACTTGGAATTGATCCCTAAATATGTGGTAGGTCCTTGACCACAATGCAGTTATGGTAGTAAGACATTTTTTAAAATTGATATAGAAAATATATAAAAATAATCAATGTACCAATCCAGCATTCCAATCTAGCACAAGGAGTTGTTTTTACAACATCTGGTGGATCTACTCCAACATTTAGACATAACACCAGAGCAACACTGACAGTCTTCATCTGAAACAATATTGAAAGCTTACATTATTAGGGTTTTTCTGTACAGTTTTAAACAGACTAAGCATTACAGGTTCTGAGATTTTTAAAATGTGTTTTTTGTTGTTGTTTTTTTTAGAAAGTCAATGTAACAAACTTAACCAATGACAGGAGTGCGGACAAATTTTTTTCTAATGCATTTAAACAATTAAGAGTAAGACAGCGTGTATTTACATTAATTTTGACCTATTTATGAAGAAAACTAAAAAATAAATACCTTTTATAAAAAAAAAATTAACTGTCACATCCAATGATTAAATTCTCTCATTTAATTAAATTCTTGAACAACTGATAAACAAATGGCCGCCATACAGTACGCGAAATCTGATTGGCTAATTCAAATGCAAATCAGTCAGAAGTTTCCAATGGAATATCTTTTTTAATGAAATAATTGCCCATGCATCGTCGGGATGTTCGTATATATTTTTTCGTTCAAAAATTTGGAATAAATCTGTAAAGCACTTTACTTAACCAGTATGGCCGATAGGCAAAAATAGGTTGATATTTATGTTTTATTTTTAATTGATAAGTACATTGTTTGAGAGTTTTTGTTAATGATTGAGTAGAAATTGAAAGAAAAGAAGATAAGCTTTTGAATAAAGCTTGAAAAGCAAGACAAAAGACATTTTTTGATTTTTTTAAAATGCTATGCGTTTATGAGCAATAACTATTAGACGTCAGGCTTGACCGACATAAAACTATAACAAGCCTGTAGCGTCTAATATATTGGACTATACTACAAGATTTGTATTCATCCCATATGATATGATGCAGATATTTTGAAACTGTGCGCCTTTTTTCGATTTCATGTGTTATTTACGGAGACACATATCTAGATTAATCACGGTCCTGCATTTTCATCACAAATTTGCGGACATGACTCATATCTGGTATTGACCTTTTCGAAAACCTAGCTAAACACTGTTTTCCGGTACTTTACCGTTTTAGCTCTGGGGAATTACACCAAATGAAGTACATAACACAGTTACGTGATATTTCTATTTTTCTATCATTATTTAACCGTTTAAGGTGAAAACAATTGATGTTTTTGAAAAATATCAATATTCCTTTAATATCTATTGCAAATTATTCAAAAAAATAAATTATTTATAATGAAAATCAATAAAATTCAAACAGACGTAGTGGAATCATCCATAATAAATAAGGTTATTTTCTGCGTAAACTTGTGTATTTACTTTATTTCAGTGTAAGAAATTAGGATTTGAGTCAACTAGGCTGGTTGGACTACCAGATTAGAATATTCACTAGCCCAAAAGACAATTCACTAGCACGATTCATTTGTTCAAAACAGTTGTTTATATTGCCTCTGAAAATACAGTAGCCTGGTCGGGCCTGTTACTGTGAAAAGTTGGTAGCCCGAGGAGAAATTTAGTAGTCTGGGGCTATAGGACTACTGCTAATTTCGAACACTGTTATTTTTTGTATGGAATTATTCAAACAATGATATTTAATTATTTTCTTTTAAAGAAATAACTTTTTTTATTTCAATTTAATCTAAAAAAAAGGCCGAAAACTTCGAATTCGCTATAACACTCCATTAGGCGAATTCCTCAGAGCTAGGTACAGAAAGTACCGGAAAACAGCGTTTAGCTAGGTTTTCGAATTCGTGAATTAAGTCAAACTCTTTAAACATTAATTTTCAGATGTGACAGTTCAATTATTCTCAAAAGGTCATACTTTTTTACTTTTGTTTATGGACAGCCAAAATTTATATGTTTATTTGAGTGTTATTTTGTTCAGGAAAACTTTCTTGCGGAATATGCTATGGGTCTGAGACCATTTTGCGATATGATGCTTTGCCAAGAAGCCAGAGCAACGTCATATAGAATTTCAAGGACTACTGTGTTATCAACAAATGATGGATTACACTAGGGTGTAAATTGTTTACATTAATATTAATTTGAAAGTGAAATGGACAACTATTTTCACATACACGTTCCTTCATTCGCCATGACTGCGTGACCTTTTTTGAACCCTCGATTTTTTCTCGGTGTCGAAGCTCGTTATACGCAATAGGCAAATCCGAGTCTACAACATCGAATTCATCGTCACATAATCCGAACTCTATTTCAAGAGCTTTTGACATATCTTTAGGTACAGGTTGCATAATTTCATAAAAGATTTAATCTCCAAATAAGTGTTAAAATTAATTTTAAGTGGGCATGTGTCCTGTTCGGCCCAGGCGCCATGTTTTTTGTTACTTCCCTTTATTTATAATCTCTTACCAAAGTATTTTAGTTTCTTGTTCAAATTTATATTCTTAAACTATTTATTATGGATACAATTTAGATATTAAAATATTTTTACTGTTTAAAAGGTCGATCTTGCGATGATGACTTATTGAAAGAAAAATAATTTGAATTTTCCACTGATAGATTTGGAGATTATTTTTTTTTGACAGGAAAGAAAATTAATGAATCCAAAGGAAAAGATATGGCCAGTGAGGAGGGAGAAGACATTCTTGCTGATGTATCAGATGTAGAAACACAAGAGGACTGGGAATATGCTGGACTTGAGGCAATTGATAAGGCATGTCTGGAAATATATCCAGATCAAATTAACCCATTACAGGCTACAGCTGTAGTTAAATTTTGGTAGGTTGCCAGACCAATTGGGTGGTGTCTTTGTAAAAAAAAAAATCCAGGAAAATGTGTGTATGATTAATTTTTTGTTGTTGTTGGGGTGGGGGTTGATAAGGGAAATCCTTAGAAAATAGATACTTAAATGGTTTTATGACTGTCATATTAAACCTGACAATAAATAAATACAGTCAACATTGCTTTACTGGTAGTGGTACTGTAATAAACTGAAGTTAGTTTCTTAAACAGTTATACATGTAAGTATCATGTGTTTACCAATAGTCTCAATTCAGTTTAGCTCACAGAAAAGGTTACACAAAGTGCACTTGATGTACATTGCATGTGCACTACAAGTGCAGTAAACCTTTAAGCACTGGACAGTCATGACACTTGACAGTGTTTCAGTGCGTTTGTACAGTAGCCTTGCTAAACCGAACCCTTCTAACCCGGAATCCTTTCTTATCCGAATGAATTGTCCAGTCTTAAATTTATTTGTTCTTTTTTCAATAGTAAAAAAACCTTTCGGATCCAGAACCTGTCTTCTCCAAATTCCAGACAATTTTTTCAATTTTTGTTCATGTTTTACTCTAAAATTAACCTCCCAGGTAACAGATTTTGCCGATTTTCACACTGTCACGGTTCAGAACTGTTCACTATTTATGGGAGAAGATGTGTAAGCGGCAGGATAGCTCAGTCAGTAGAGCTACGGTACGATATTCTGAGGGTCCCGGGTTTGAGTCCCAGTCAGGCTGCACATTTTTCTCACCCTGTGACAATTAGCGCCAAACGTGGGGCGGTGACTGTATAGCTCAGGGTTTAATTTACATTGCTCAGTGTAACTCTGTGAAATTCGAGGACGAATTTCAACATAGCAGGGGAGTATGTCACGCTTCAGAACTGTTCACTATTTAGGGGAGAAGATGTGTAAGCGGCCAGATAGCTCAGTCGGTAGAGCCGCGGTACAGTATTCCGAGGGTCCCGGGTTCGAGTCCCGATCAGGCTGCACATTTTTCTCACCCTGTGACAACACCTACAGCCTGTACTTTCTTTCAAAATAAAAAATCATAAGCATATTATTGTGTTATTCAACAAGTTCAATAAATTTAGTATTAAATCTATATGAATATAATATTCTATTTATCACATATTTAAAATAAGAATGATAAATTGCTAAAAAGAGCCATTTTTCATTGACACGCCTATAGTGTAACGCTAACATTAGCACGCTTTAATGCTATGTTTATATATAGCACAAATGAAGTCACATCAAAGTGTTATTACACTAGTGTAATATCGTTTTAGCTCGACTATTCAATAAGAATAAATAGAGCTATTGTAATTACCCGAGCGTCAGCGTTGGCGTAACCACTTATGTTAAAGTTTTTGTAATACCTCAAATATCTTCAGTCCATTGACATATGGCTTTGAAACTTTGCACATTTGTTCACCATTATGACCCCAACTTGTAGACTGGAGGAGGTAACTGTTTCAAGCATTTTGACAGAATTATGCCCCTTTCTACTTAGAATTTACGTTATAGTTTTTGTAACACCTCAAATATTTTCAAAGTCCATTGACATATGGCTTTGAAACTTTGCACACTTGTTCAACATCATGACCCTATTAACCTGTACTGGTTGGAGACCATCAACCGGACACTTTCGGAACATTTTTCCGTACAGATTTCATAATTTTTAACCTAGAGACCAAAAAATTTGACACAGTTCAGCTAGGTTCTTCTCCTAACTAACAAACTAGTTTCTTTATTTCTGATTTTATTGACACTTATATCTGAGGCTCGACAAGGAGGGTATCAAAATTACCTAAATTGTCTACACTATAGTACCATGTGTCCGGACAGATATGTACATGACGTGATTTAATTCAAATAAATGCTTGGGTGTTTTGATTTTTGATATTTAACATGATATACAATGTGTCAGCAAAAAATACTGAAGTTTTGGATATTCTATTATTCACTCTGTGCAAATGATTATAGCTGGTATATGAGGTCAGGCATTGGTTTCTTGACCCCCAAATTTCAACGTCAACATTCTTGAAATAGACATTGAAATATTACTATTTACGGAGGTTGAAATAAATTTATTTACTTAATTTTAAAATAAATATGCATTTATTGTTGATAAAAAAGTGACTGACAACCACTGAACAAAGAAAATACTAAATTAAGCATTTTCGCGGCCGTCCAAGTTTGGTGGTTATCCGGTTTTGGTGGTCCCCAACCAGGATAGAATGCTCAAAATACATACTATTTATTTTGTATTTACAGTCAAAAATTTCATTCTTTATACTAATATGTAATATATACGTATAAAAATTTAAAAGAATCTTACACTGGCTGCCGGTAGAGACTGTATGTATGTGTATATGCGAGTGTGCATATGTGTGCGTATGACTGTGTATGTGTAATTGTATTTGTGTATGTATTGGTGTGAGATTGTTTTTGTGTGTTTGTTTTACATTACTGTTAGAATTGAATAATTATTATAATGGAATATATTATGTTGAATACATGTAACAACAGTATGTTAACTGGAATGTTTTGTAATTCATATATGAAAGAACATAATAAATGAAAAAAAAGAAAAAAGAAAATGCTTAATTTAGTGTTTTTCATTGTTCAGTGGTTGTTGGTCTATCAGTCACTTTTAATTAACAATAAATGCATGTTTCTTCAAGAATAAATTTATTTCAACTTACCGAAACGGTAATATTTTAAATGTCTATTTAAAGAATGTTGATGTAGAAAATTTGGGCATCAAGAGTGCAATACCTGACCTCATATACCAGCTTTAATCATTTGCAGATTAAACAATATAACATCCAATATTGTACATCATGTTAAAAATGAAAAATTAAAACACCCTAGCTTTTATCTGAATTAAATAACGTCATGTACATATCTGTCTGGACACAAGGTACTGTAGTGTAGACAATTTAGGTAATTTTGACATCCGTGGTTCTAGGTTTGAAATTATGAAATCTGTATGGAAAAATGTCCAAAAAGTGTCCGTTTGATTGTCCCCAACAAGTAATGCAGTCAGCACAGCACAATTTTTGCATTCAAAATTAAATGATATATTTATCACATCAGTTTAGCTCAATTTTATTCTGTGGCCTTGAAAAAGGCGACATATTTTCAAGGCGACATATAGGGGTTACTTTTGTCGTTGGCGTTGTTGCCTGCGTCGGCGTCCCCTTAAGCTTGTCTGGAGCATAAGTCAGTCATTATAAGTCGGATGACTTCAAACTTGGTATGCATGCTTCTTTTAATGACCCGAAGTGCAGTGCACAAGAACCAGTACTCTGCACTTCTTAATTTTTAAGTTATTGCCCTTTGTTAATTTTCATACTTTATTTTTGTCTGGGCCATTTCTCCTAATGTATAAAAGCTATGAACTCGAAACTTCATAGGATGATATATCTCATTAAGAAGAAGTGCAGTGCACAAGAACTGGTACTCTGCATTTCTTATTTTTTGAGTTATTGCCCTTTGTTAATTTTCATACTTTATTTTTGTCCAGGCCATTTCTCCTAAAGTATAAAAGCTATGGACATGAAACTTCATAGGATGATAGATCTCATTAAGAAGAAGTGCAGTGCACAAGAACCGGTACTCTGCATTTCTTATTTTTTGAGTTATTGCCCTTTGTTAATTTTCATACTTTATTTTTGTCCAGGCCATTTCTCCTAAAGTATAAAAGCTATGGTCTTTAAACTTCATAGGATGATAGATCTCATTAGGAAGAAGTGCAGTGTACAAGAATCTGCACTTGTCCAGGCCGTTTCTCCTAAAGTATAAAAGCTATGGACATGAAACTTCATAGGATGATAGATCTCATTAAGAAGAAGTGCAGTGCACAAGAACCGGTACTCTGCATTTCTTATTTTTTTGAGTTATTGCCCTTTGTTAATTTTCATACTTTATTTTTGTCCAGGCCATTTCTCCTAAAGTATAAAAGCTATGGTCTTTAAACTTCATAGGATGATAGATCTCATTAGGAAGAAGTGCAGTGTACAAGAATCTGCACTTGTCCAGGCCGTTTCTCATAAATTATAAAAGCTATGGACTTGAAACTTCATAGGATGATAGATCTTATTGATAAGAAGTGCAGTGCACAGATTCTGCTGCTCTGCACTTCTGCTGCTCTGCACATCTGACTCGCGGAGTTCTAGTTTTTTATGCCCCCTTAGAAGAAGAGGGGGTATATTGTTTTGCTAATGTCGGTTGATCGGTCTGTCTGTCCTTCGGTAGACCATATGGTTTCCGCTGATTATCTTTAAAACTTTTAATCACAGTCTTCATATTTTATCATAACAAGAAGATGACCTCTATTGATTTAAGGGTCAAAGGTCAAGGTCACATGGGCCTGAAATGTAAGAATGGTTTCTGTTCATTATCTTGAAAACTGTTTATCACAAAGTCTTCATATTTTACATATTATTAGTCATATGTAGTAGATGACCCCTATTGATTTTAAGGTTTAAGGTCACTAGTTTAAAGGTCAAGGTAACAGGGACCTTAAATGTCAGAATGATTTCTGATCATTCTCTTGAAAACTATTTATCACCAAGTCTTTATATTTCACATATTGATTGGTTGTAATTAGTAGATGACTCCTATCAATTTTGGGGTCTTTAGGTCAAAGGTCAAGGTCATAGGGACCTTAAATGTCAGAATGGTTTCCACTCATTATTTTCAAAACTTCTTGTTATCAAGTTTTTGTTGTTTTACATTTTAATTGATCATCACTAGTAGATGACCCCTATTGATTTAAGGTCACTAGGCAAAAGGTCAAGGTCACAATAACATTCAATGTTAAAATGGTCAAAGAAGATGCTCATAGTAACAATTATAATTATGATAATATATATTTTATTCCAGCTACACTCCAAGTTGTATAACTTACTACTTACTTATGATAGCTTTCATTCAGTTTCAAATCATATTATGGGTCATTAATTTTTATTTTCCATAATTCAACTCTTCAATATACCCATTTATGGCATGTCTCTATAATGAAATTACCAATAGTATGAGTCAAGGGCTATAAATAGGGGCAATGTGTTGTTGGACATTTCTTATTTTGTTGTTATTGTTGATTCTATTATGACAGGTTAGGAGGTCCAGACCCTCTGGATTATATCAGTATTTACTCCAACAATGGTGATGTAGACAGAGGAATTCCTCCTCACTGGCATTATGTCAGCTATGGATTCTCAGACTTGTATGGAGACAATAGGGTTCACAAGTATGTATAAATAGAATTTTTACCACATATTTTTGAATATTCAAAACACTTTAAACTCCATGCATCAATAATTTGTGAAATTAACACATATGCTATAAGATTTAAGCTTGTCTGACACATTCATATATTATAAAGGAAAACAAATTTGAATCTTTTATAAAACTTCATGGCAGCATGTCATAGAGCTTAGATATATGAAATTAGGTACACATGTATTGTCTAGTGAACATTTGCTAAGATAGTCTATATATATCATCACAGGGTTGTGGTCAAATTTAGGTTCAAGTATCAAAGTCTTCAAATTAAGATTACCATTTTTAGCTCGACTATTCAATAAGAATAAGTAGAGCTATTGCAGTCACCCGAGCGTCGGCGTCCGCGTCGGCGTAACCACTTATGTTAAAGTTTTTGTAATAGTTCAAATATTTTCAAAGTCCATTGACATATGGCTTTGAAATTTTGCACACTTGTTCACCATCATGACCCCAACCTGTAGACAGGAGGAGGTAACTCTATCAAGCATTTTGACAGAATTATGCCCCTTTTTCGACTTAGAATTTAAGTTTTTGTAAAAGTTCAAATATTTTCAAAGTCCATTGACATATGGCTTTGAAACTTTGCACACTTATTCACCATCATGACCCCAACCTGTAGACAGGAGGAGGTAACTCTATCAAGCATTTTGACAGAATTATGCCCCTTTTTCGACTTAAAATTTATGTTTAAGTTTTTTGTAATACCTCAAATATTTTCAAAGTTGATTGACATATGGCTTTGAAACTTTGCACACTTGTTCACCATCATTACCCCAACCTGTAAACAGGAGGAGGTAACTGTATCAAGCATTTTTTTTACTATCAAGCACTAAGAATAGTCGATCATTGCTGTCCTACCGACAGCTCTTGTTGTTTATGAAATCAAAATATGATCATGAAAGATTGTGATCTACTTCTCCATGTAAGACTCTTTCTAGCAATGAATCTCAGTAGAGCAATATTTGGCCATCCTGGCTCTCTTGTGTCAATTGTATTTATAATTTGTTTGCAGGTATAGTGGTTCTGGATTGCCCAGTGGCTATGGTTTTGAAATGACAATGAGATTAAAGAAATGTGGAAATGAGTCGGCACCACCGATGTGGCCATCTGGTCTTATGAACAGATTGGCAAATTACGTTTTCCAGACTGGTAAGATTTATATCTAAGAATACTATTATATTGCATTGTTTAATTTTTTTTTAGTTTGTGCAATGTATAAATATTGAGTAAATGTTGTGTAATGGCATCTTATTTGTTAATGACTTTTTTTATTTGAAAAGCAACAGTATTCTGAATATTGTTCGAATTTTGTCACAATTGTTCAGGGTGAATAAGGCTTATATACCTTCTTCAAAGTAACAAATTATGTATATTACTGTAAGATATATTGTTATAATGAAATTATTTTAGCATGTTTGTCATAAAGTTTTGTATATGTTTGCCTCATGGGCTTTTAAGCCTCAGTGATTCAGTGATGAAAATAAACTTCAAACTTTTTTTTTAATTTATGCAATGTATAAATATTGAGTAAATGCTGTGTAATAGCATCTTGTTTTTTTTATGATTTTTTTTATTTGAAAAGGAATAGTATACTGAACAGCTGTACTTATGGTTCTAAACATTTTATGATTCATCAAATAGGATAGTTTGTATCTAATATGTAGTAAAATTGTTTTTCAAAGAATAGAAAGATGAATGTGTTCTCATTGATCATGAGTGTGTGACATATAAACTAGAACAGCTGGTTGTTTCCATCAGCCATTGTTAGTGTAATTTTAGAAAGTTGCTTGTTTAGAACCACTACTCATTATTAGATCTGTTTTCTGGAGTGGTTTTCTGTACATTCTTTATCAATATTTGCCTTTGTCTATAAAGTTATTAGCTTGTCTGTTTCAAAGAAAAAGTCAAGCTGTTATGATCCCTGCATTGTCCTTGCCGTTATCTTCGTGGTGCAAAAATTTTAATGAAGCCCATTTTTCAAATATTTGAAAGGTTATCAACATGAAACATGGAATACTTGGTGCATTTGTTTGACATGAGGCATAATTCTGAAAGCTTTATTTTTGAAGTTATGCCACTTTTTAACTTAGAATTTTTGTGAAATTGGTTATTGATAGTTGTTGCCATGAACAGCTGAGCATTAACACTGCATGCAGTGCTCTTGTTTTATATATTATAATGATATTTAACCAGGTTTTCCGAAGGAAAAAAATGGTTATTAGATTGAGGTATGTCTGCGGGCGGGTGGATGCGCGGATTCGGGCGTGCGTAAAAAATTTCTTCTGTGCCCAACTCCTCCTACATTTCTCAACGGATTTTGACCAAACTTTCACATAAGCTTTGTCATCAAGTGCCCTGGTGCATATTGTCGGGGTTTTGTGATTGGGTAATATTTGACCTAATTATGGTCCTTTGTTTTTTTTTCCTAATATAGAATATATAGTGAACAATTTCTTCTGTGTGCAACTCCTCCTACATTTCTCAATGGATTTTGACCAAATTTTCACAGAAGCTTTGTCATCAAATGCCCTTGCACATATTGTTGGGGTTTTGCGATTTGATAATATTTGACCTAATTATTGCCCTTTGTTTTTTTTTTCCTTATATAGAATATATAGTTAACAATTTCTTCTATGCACAACTTCTCCTACATTTCTCAACGGATTTTGTTCAAACTTTCACAGAAGCTTTGTCATCAAGTGTCCGGATGCATATTGTTGGGGTTTTGTGATTGGATAATTTTTGACCTAATTATGGCCCTTTGTTTTTTTTATGCCCCCACAATGTTGGTCAGCATATAGCATTGCACTTGTCCATCCGTCCGTCCCGAAATCTTGTGAACGCAACTCCTCTTAAACCTGATGGCAGATTTTGCTTAAACTTACAGGGATAGACAACCTTAATGTGTAGATGGTGGTAAAGGAAGGAATTTTTGCTGCGACCAAATTTAACAGAATTATGGCCCTTTGTTGATTTTTTCACTATATACTATGTAGAAATTTTGTGAACGCAACTCCTCTTAAACCGGATGGCAGATTTTGCTTAAACTTCCAGGGATGAACAACCTAAATGTGTAGATGGTAGTTAAGGAAGGAATTTTCGCTGCAACCAAATTTAACAGAATTATGGCCCTTTGTTGATTTTTTCACTATAATTTATTATACTATGTAGAAATTTTGTGAACGCAACTCCTCTTAAACCGGATGGCAGATTTTGCTTAAACTTCCTGGGATGAACAACCTTAATGTGTAGATGGTAGTAAAGGAAGGAATTTTTGCTGCGACCAAATTTAACAGAATTATGGCCCTTTGTTGATTTTTATCCCCCGCCGATGGAATCGGGAGGGGGATATAGTTTTGGCGTTGTCCGTCTGTCCGTCCATCCGTCCGTCCGAATTTCGTTTCCGGAGTAGTTCTCTGCAACTACTGGCTGGAATTCAACGAAACTTTATGGGAATCATCAATATCAAGAGGAGATGCGCATCTGACCGTCCGTTCGTCCGTCCGTCCATCCGTCCGTCCGAATTTCGTTTCCGGAGTAGTTCTCTGCAATTACTGGCTGGAATTCAACAAAACTTTATGGGAATCATCAATATCAAGAGGAGATGCGCATATCGTCGGCTTGTTCCGGTCAGACACTTTAACTCAGAGTTATTGCCCTTGATTAGTTATGTAGTATGCATATAGAGTAAAAATCGTTTCGGCGCTACTTCTCTGCAACTACTGGCTGGAATTCAACGAAACTTTATGGGAATCATCAATACCAAGAGGAGATGCGCATATCATCGGCTTGTTCCGGTCAGACACTTTAACTCAGAGTTATGGCCCTTGATTAGTTATGCAGTATGCATATGGAGTAAAAATCGTTTCCGCGCTATTTCTCTGCAACTACTGGCTGGAATTTAACGAAACTTTATGGGAACCTTCAATACGAAGAGGAGATGCGCATGTCGTCGGCTTGTTCGGGTCAGACACTTTAACTCAGAGTTATGGCCCTTGATTAATTATGCAATATGCATATGGAGTAAAAATTATTTCCGGTGTAGTTCTCTGCAACTACTGGCTGGAATTCAACGAAACTTTATGGGAATCATCAATATCAAGAGGATATGCGCATATCATCGGCTTGTTTAGGTCAGACACTTTAACTCAGAGTTATGGCCCTTGATTAGTTATGTAGTATGCATATAGAGTAAAAATCGTTTCCGCACTACTTTTCTGCAACTACTGGCTGGAATTCAACAAAACTTTATGGGAACCTTCAATACCAAGAGGAGATGCGCATGTCATCGGCTTGTTCCGGTCAGACACTTTAACTCAGAGTTATGGCCCTTGATTAGTTATGCAGTATCCATATAGAAAAATATTTGTTTCCTCGCTACTTCTCTGCTACCACCGGCTGGAATTCAATGAAACTTTATGGGATACTAAGAGGAGATGTGCATATAGTCGCCTTGTTCCAGTCAGATACTTATAACTCAGATTTATGGCCCTTGATTAGTTATGTAGTATGCATACATCTCATTGGCATTTCCAGATTTTACTATTTAACACAAAGTTATGGCTCTGTTATTTCCCTGAATATTTATGAAGTTCAAAGAATATTACTGTTTATGCCATGATTAATATATAAAATAAAGCCTTATGTCTTCAGTTGTTGTGTTAATAATAACCAGTACTCGGCGGGGGATATAAATTCAACGAATTTGCTTGTTAGTTTTCAACTTGAGGCACATGTAATCCAAAAAATATTTGACCTAGAGTCATAAGATTGACAGAACAGTGTTGTGTGGGGGCATCCGTGTCCTATGGACACATTTCTAGTTCTTTATACAGAAGAGGGCATGCGTAAACAATTTCTTATGTACGCAACTCCTCCTACATTTCTCAACGGATTTTGACCAAACCTTCACAGAAGCTTTGTCATCAAATGCCCTGGCGCACATTGTCGGGGTTTTGTGATTGGGTAATATTTGACCTAATTATGGCCCTTTGTTTTTTTTTCCTAATATAGAATATATAGTACCGTTGGCCTAGTGGTTAAGGCGTCCGCCTTCGGATCGGGAGGTCGAAGATTCGAGCCCCACGGGGAGCGTTAATTGAAGGATGAATGTTTCTCATGGGACTCGTTCCGAAATGGCCGCTTCGTGAGCCGCGAGGTAGTTAAAATGAATGGTTACCGATTTCTATCCGCCTGACATAGTGATAGGAATTGGGAGGTACATGGTATGCAAGCAAAAGGTGTCTCATAAGTCAAAATGGCTGGCCCTTTCGGTAGGGGTGACACTATAATAAACAAGACCTTTACCTTTATAGTGAACAATTTCTTCTGTGTGCAACTTCTCCTACATTTCTCAATGGATTTTGACCAAATTTTCACAGAAGCTTTGTCATCAAATGCCCTTGCATATATTGTTGGGGTTTTCCGATTTGATAATATTTGACCTAATTATGGCCCTTTGTTTTGTTTTTTCCTTATATAGAATATATAGTTATGCCCCCCTTCGAAGAAGAGGGGGTATATTGTTTTGCTAATGTCGGTCTGTCTGTCGGTCTGTCCGTCGGTAGACCACATGGTTTCCGCTGATTATCTTGAAAAGTATTTATCACAAAGTCTTCATATTTCACATAGTGATTGGTCTTAACAAGTAGATGACCCCTATTGATTTTGGGGTCACAAGGTCAAAGGTCAAGATCACAGGGACCTTAAATGTCAAAATAATTTCCGCTGATTATCTTGAAAAGTATGTATCACAAAGTCTTCATATTTCACACTAAGATTGGTCATCACTAGTAGATGACACCTTTTGATTTTGGGGTCACTAGGTCAAAGGTCAAGGTCACAGGGGCCTTAAATATCAAAATGGTTTCCGCTGATTATCTTGAAAAGTATGTATCACAAAGTCTTCATATTTCACATAGTGATTGGTCATCACAAGTAGTTGACCCCTATTGATTTTTGGATCACTAGGTCAAAGGTCAAGGTCACAGGGGCCTTAAATGTCAAAATAATTTCCGCTGATTATCTTGAAAAGTATATATTACAAAGTCTTCATATTTCACACAAAGATTGGTCATCACTAGTAGATGACCCCTTTTGATTTTGGGTGTCACTAGGTCAAAGATCAAGGTCACAGGGGCCTTAAATATCAAAATGGTTTCCGCTGATTATCTTGAAAAGTATGTATCACAAAGTCTTCATATTTCACATAGTGATTGGTCATCACAAGTAGATGACCCCTATTGATTTTGGGGTCACTAGGTCAAAGGTCAAGGTCATATGGGCCTTAAATGTCAAAATGGTTTCCGCTGATTATCTTGAAAAGTATGTTTCACAAAGTCTTCATATTTCACATAGTGATTGGTCATAACTAGTAGATGACCCCTATTGATTTTGGGGTCAAAGGTCAAGGTCACAGGGGCCTTAAATGTCGAAATGGTTTCCGCTGATTATCTTGAAAAGTATGTATCACAAAGTCTTCATATTTCACATAGTGATTGGTCATAACTAGTAGATGACCCCTATTGATTTTGGGGTCACTAGGTCAAAGGTCAAGGTCACAGGGGCCTTTAATGTCAAAATGGCTTTCGTTGATTTTTCCATAATTGAACACTTCCATGTACCCATTTTGGCAAGTTTCTGTAATAAAATTACCAATTATGTGAGTCAATGGCTAGAAAGGGGGGTATATGTGTCATTCGACATTCTTGTTAACAATTTCTTCTGTGCACAACTTCTCCTACATTTCTCAACAGATTTTGTTCAAACTTTCACAGAAGCTTTGTCATCAAGTGTCCAGATGTATATTGTTGGAGTTTTGTGAATGGATAATTTTTGACCTAATTATGGCCCTTTGTTTTTTTCCTTATATAGAGTATGTAGTGAACAATTTCTTTTGTGCGCAACTCCTACATTTCTCAAGGGATTTTGTTCAAACTTTCACAGACTAGCATATTGTTGGAGTTTCGTGATTGGATGATTGGATAAGTTTTTACCTAACTATGGCCCTTTGTTTTTTCCATAAAATTTAATTATTAGTGTAATATATCCTTTTAATCACAACAAACTTTATTTAGTTACAAAACAGAAACTCTAGGTTGTTGCATGCCTGCCAGCTCATCTGTCCTGTAGAGTCAAGGTCAATGTCATTTTTGCTAAAAACAGAAAATCCGTTTTCCAGTCAGGTCACTGTTACTGAAAATAGAAAATAGGTTTCCGGTCAATAATTACAATGTAGTTTGGAATAAGATATTTTTATGAAATTTGGTGTAAAACAAGTTTTTATAAAGACCTCACTTGGGATGGATTTTTGGCCCCCTAGGGTCAAGGTTACAGTTACTAAAAATAGAAAGTTCATTATTCATGATTTACATTGCACATAGTTACATTGTTTGTTGCTTGTATTTCAACTACAATATATATATCTACAATGGTGATAATTGAAAACCTGGTTTCATGGCATTGCCATGTTTCTTGTTTAACTGATATTTTAATGTCAGGTAAGATGATAATATTATACTATAGGAAATACTCTCCATGTTGGAGATCACGTACCGTGGCATAAACCGTTGGATGGTTGTGAGGAATCTCTTGTACAACACATGCTTGTTGCTAAAGATCCACAGTTACATGAACTTCACTCTCCATATGGAAATCTGGACTTTAGACAGGTTGTTGACATTGTTATAACTAATGTTGATTAAATTTGAAATGATATTATAAAAATGTTATAAATGCTGTTGCAAGTACATACAGTTTATCTTATTGGCATACAATATAATGGATAAATTATTTGTACAAAATTTATAAAGTTTCTTCATTTTAGGTTGTTTTGTTTATCATGAAAGTCATTACACAGAGTATAGACCTTTACTAGATTTATGTGAGTTTATAGCAACAAAAATTGTTTCAGCTATTGAATACCAATACATGATAGAAATACATTATTAACAGGTAGTTGGAGTGACAAATGATGAGATGAAAGCTGCGCAGAGATGGAAGGGTGCTGGGGTACTTGAACTTATGTCATCTAGTAAAGGGTATGTCTTCCATTATTTTTTTGCCCGTTTCAGACTAAATTATAATTGTTATTGTGTTTTATAATTGTAAATGAAAGCTTAATTTACAGTTGCACTATAAAGTTTATTTTTTTGATACATTTGACACTATGAGTATTGCTGTTTAAATGGTGTAGGTAGACCACAGATTCTGCACTGTCCTCTCCTTAAGACATGATCTTGCACTTTGTGAAGTCATCAGATAGCTTCCTTACATGACAGAATTCACTGTCTTGTGTGGAACTTTAACCAGCTGTATTGGACGAGTGAGTCCAAGTCAGCTATCTAAACCACTCCACTACAAGAGCACTATTTATCATGTTTTATTATTAAGTACATTGTGTGAACTTAATGTTACTTTCAGCTTCATATAAAGTTAACTAAGTCAAGCACATTAAACTCTGCTTTAATTTCAATATTGTTCAGGCAAGTTGTGTGAGGCAACCAACATTGTGTCTTGTAAAGTGGCTCAAATATATAGGATTACATAAATGTACAAATTTATTTAAATGTGGAATCTTGCTTGTCTTTTTATTAATTTGGCCTAGATAATTCATTGTCACTAGTAGTGTCCAATTACTTATGAAAATATGTATAGAAATGAGTAAAACAAACTCAGTATAGAATTTTATTTCAGAGTAGGGCCATATTTTATCACAGATCTAGGACGTAAACAGTCAATATTTGAAGCTGAAGCTGGTCTTATAGGTAAAGTTAATGAAGGTATTAACATTGATGGATCTAATCTGGGACATGTTACAGCTATATGTAAGTGGGAAGATGTAAACTCGAGGTTAGTTCATCTTTTTTATCTTTTTTTTATTAGCTCACCAGAGCCGAATGCTCAGGGTGAGCTATTAGTATCAAAGGGGGATACTCCGGTGTCCGTCATCCGTCGTCATGCGTCAACAATCGTCTTCTTCTCTGAAACTGCTGGGCAGATTTACCTCAAATTTGGTCTGTAGCATCCTTGTGACAGTCACACTTAAATTTGCTCATGTCATTTCAATTGGCCCCTTTTAGGGGTCAACAGAGCTAAAAATAGAAAAACCTTTAAACATCTTCTACTACAGAACTAATTGATGGATGATCACCAAACTTTGTCTGTAGCATTCTTGGGTAGTCTTTTATCAAGTTTGCTCATATTAATTTGATTGGCCCCTTTTAGGGGCCCCTTCTAGAACTAAAAATAGAAAAACCTTTAAACATCTTCTTCTACAGAACTAATTGATGGACGATCACCAAACTTGGTCTGTAGCATTCTTGGATAGTCTTTTATCAAGTTTGCTCATATAAATTTGACTGGCCCCTTTAAGGGGCCGCTATAGCTAAAAATAGAAATACCTTTTAACGTCTGCTTCTGCTGAACTAATTGATGGATGATCACCAAACTTTGTCTGTAGCATTCTTAAGTAGTCTTTTATCAAGTGTGCTCATATTAATTTGATTGGTTCCTTTTAGGGGCCGCTATAGCTAAAAATAGAAATATCTTTAAACGTCTGCTTCTACAGAACTAATTGATGGATGATCACCAAATTTTGTCTGTAGCATTCTTTGGTAGTCTTTTATCAAATTTGCTCATATTTATTTGCTTAGCCCCTTTTAGGGGTCTCAAAAGCTAAAAATAGAAAAACCTTTAGATATCTTCTTCTACAGAACTAATTGATGGATGATCACCAAACTTTGTCTGTAGCATTCTTAGGTAGTCTTTTATCAAGTGTGCTCATATTAATTTGATTGGCCCCTTATAGGGGCCGCTATAGCTAAAAATAGAAATTTCTTTAAACGTCTGCTTCTACAGAACTAATTGATGGATGATCACCAAACTTTGTCTGTAGCATTCTTAGGTAGTCTTTTATCAAGTGTGCTCATATTAATTTGATTGGCCCCTTTTAGGGGCCGCTATAGCTGAAAATATAAGGAGCAACTATAGCTAAAATGCCCTGGGCCATGGCATTTCTTCAAATTATAGTTTAATAATGAAAGGAAAATAACTCATGTTTGAATTTTCCATTTTTGTGTACATGCATACATGTGAACTCTCCCAATTTGAGCGGGAAACACCTTCTTTCTCCTGTCAAATTTTTAAATATTTTTCTTAGAATAAGGGGTGTTTTAAAAAAAATAAAGAAATCTCCCTTCTTTTTCATTTCAAAATTTCCTGTCAATTAAAAAATCTCCCTCTTTTTGAAGTAAATTCTCAGTTCACATGTATGTACATGTTATGCATAAAAAAAAAAGATTGAATGTCTTAATGTCATGACCTGTTTGCTTTACAGAGATCTGAGGTCAATGTGCTTTGTATCTTTCTGTTTGTGCCCTAGAATTCAGATGGGCATTACATCATTCTAATACCCCGGTCACATATTCACGGAATACGCCCACAGAAAAGCCACGGATTAATTCCGGCATCGTCCGTAGCTACCCGTATTGGCCAGTAGCTCTCCGTATTGTAACCGTAATCAATCGTAGTAGTCCTTGTATATCCGTAGCGATCCTTGACAATTTTTGAACATGCACAAAAATTTGCTACGGAAAAATCAACCGTAGCGTATCCCTGCTAGTCCGTATTAAACCGTACTGATACGTACCTGTCCATACGAAAACCGTACTAGTCCGTACTGATTTGTAGTCCACCAACTTATCAAGAATTTCCACGGTTTTGTACGGAGAACTACGTATTTGTACGGTTACCCTACGTATAAGCTACGGTTTTAATAAGGATTAATACGGCATTGTCACGGAAGGCCACAATCGTAATACGTTGTACTACGGAGAGGCAGGGATTAGCACGGTCTTATACGGTTTATTGCGTTGCAACACGAAACGGTACGGAATGGTACGGTCCACCACTGTTTAGTACGGATAAATTAAGTATCATGTACTTTTTCAAGGGTATAAATACTACCTTCTTGTTAAAATATTTGCAGGAACATTCAATAAATGATAATTGCCATTTACTGGATGCAACTTTATATTGAAATGGCTCAGAATGCGGAGGCAGTGGTCGAGCAGCTTGATGACATGCGGTAAAAATATATTAATATCGTATTACAATTCATAAGTAATAGAGTAACATTTAATGTTACACATTTTCGTGAAATTGGAGTAAATATGTACATAAAACGAAGTGTCTCATAAGCCTCGGACGCTGGCCCTTGAGTGATAATAAGATTAATCAACAAGGTTTTTACATATTTTTAAAACCTAAACATTCACGATAATTAATGTACAGTAAACTCCGCTTATAATAAACTCACTGGGACATTCAAAACCTGTTCCTTATATCCGGAGTTCCTTGTAAGCATATAGCGAATTAGTTTGTTATATCAGGAGTTTTTATAGCAAACAGATTTACATATAACGAACTGATTGTTTACCATTGTCCGCCATTTTTGAAGAGAATTTGATTAAGAAATATATTAGTCATTTATTTATATTTTAGACACACTACCCGAGAGCGTACTTTTTGGAATTTGAAAATCATTGCTATTTCAGTTTTAGTTTTACTTCTTATCTCAATTTCACATAAAATATAATATTTTGTTTCTAAACTATTTTCGTTTTCTTTCCATGATGAAGAATAAACAAGATTTTTGATTTTTCCTTCCTTTTATATTGAATATCTTCTATTATAATTTAAGGGTGACTTTCACTAATGTAAGATATAGATTTCTTTTCATTTAAATCAAGCGTACTTTGCAGTTTGCAATGGATCATGCTTGCAAGCATGCATGATTATGTTGAAAACCGATTATAAATTATTATAATTATTTTACTCGAGCAAAACTATTGAAGAAAATAAATAAATAACCGTTTTATCTTGGTGAAAAGAGCTCATGCTAAAAATATCCAAAATAGAAAACTATACAATTTCATTTGAATAGATGTATTGAAGTACATACAACGATAAACGGTACATTCGCCCGAGTTTTAATCCGTGCGAATGAAAACGAAAGTTGAAAATGCGGGATCTATTTACGGATAGCCAATAATTTGGAGTTCGTTATAAAAGTGTAATTTTCTGTACTATTAACTAAATTGGGACTAAGAAATGAGTTCCTTATACGCGATAATTTCTTATAACCGTGTTCGCTATAACCATATATTTTTATATTAAATAAAGACGGCCAAAATTCGGGCCAAAATAAATTGTTCCCTATAACCGGAAGTTCGCTATAACCGTGTTTGCTATAAGTGAAGTTTACTGTAATTGTAAAATGAACAGCAAATTTTAAAATTGAAAGACAAGCAGTATTGATCAACATTTTTCATTAATGATTACTAGTCCATATCTAATCATGTAAGAGAAGACGACGAGATGGTGGACTAGAGATGGGTTTTTTTACGAAGACCCCTTCATGTTTAGTATGAGGCTCTCATGGCCAAACGGCGTCCTTCAAGAAATTCACTTTAATCGGACCTGATATGTCTCGGGGGTCGGACGCGATGGGGTCGAATCCTCTCCGCCAAAATCATTGAACTCTGCAATTCGTTTTCCAGGTGTTCTTTTCTTGTGAGACATTTTGAAAAGGAGCATGTAAGAGGTTGTGGACGGAAATAATAGGTCCGTATAGATCCGTGGCAATTCGGTCTTCTCCGTATCAACACGTCTTTACCGTATCAGACCGTACTTATTCGTACTAACCCGTGCTTTTACCGTAATATACCGTAGTGTATCCGTAGTGCGTCCGTCCTGATACGTGTCGCTTCGTATCAAACCGTGTCGGTCCGTAACAATCCGTGTCTCTCCGTGGATTTTTGGGGGTTAATCCCCCCCCCCCCCCCCCCCCCCCCCCCCCCCCCCCCCCCCCCCCCCCCCCCCCCCCCCCCCCCCCCCCCCCCCCCCCCCCCCCCCCCCCCCCCCCCGTCCGAACAATCCGTCTCTCCGTGACTGGTGTGTTAATCCGTCGCGACTCCCTATATACGGATTGTCCGTACTGGAACCGTACCGGACTACGGGATTTCACTCCGTAGTAATCCTGCTTATCCGCTCCGGGCATTATCCGTGAATATGTGTCCGGGGCATAAGGTTCATTTGTAGGTCAATCTAGAGAATTTTCCTTAAGGCCTAAAAAAATGTTTCATTTGTTTCTGAAATAGTCAAGGACCTTCAAGGTCAAAAGTCCAAATTTTTGGACCACCACCACCATGTGGACCACCACCAGCATGCGGACCACCACCAGCATGCTGACCACTGCCAACATGCGGACTACCGTCAACATGCGGACCACCACCAGCATGCAGACCACCACCACCATGCGGACCACCACCCACCATGTGGACCATCAACATGCGGACCACCACCAACATGCGGATCACCACCAACATGCGGACCACCACCAAAATGCGGACGACCAGCAATATGCCTACCACCACCACCATGCCGACCGCAACCATCATGCAGACCGCAACCACCATGCCGACTGCAACCACCATGCAGACCGCAACCACCGCTACCATGCGGACCTCTGCTACCATGCGGACCACCACCGGCATGCGGACCACACCAGCATGCAGACCACTACCATGCGGACCAACACCACCGATGCGGACCACCACCCCCATGCGGACCACCACCGCCAACATGCGGTCCAAAGCCAACGTGCGGTTCACCACCAGCATGCGGACCACCACCAACATGTGGACGACCATCCCCATGCAGACCACTGCCAACATGCGGACCACCGTCAACATGCGGACCACCACCAGCATGCGGGCCACCACCTGCATGCCGACCACCACCACCATGCGGACCACCACCCCAATGTGGACCACCACCACCATGCGGACCTCCACCCCCATGCGGACCACCACCATCAACATGCAGACCGCCACCATCATGCGGACCACAACCACCATGCGGAACGCAACCACCATGCGGATCACCACCGCTACCATGCGGACCACCATAAGCATTTATATATATATATAAAGTAAATTTAGATACAATTTAGATATTCAAAATATATAGACAAAACTAATGTGACAAGACAGACGGATTAAATTTATAAAAATGTTAAGATTTGTTCAAACATTTCTTTGTTTGCTTTACGAAAAAGTAAAGAGTTGAGCGTTGCCCCCACCAGAATCACATTTTGCAAACTTTGAAGTAATTTTGCACTGTTTCATACAATGCATGTAAAGTTGTTTTCATGTTCACTGAATACATTTCATCTAAACAACCTTTTGCCTTTTTCCTCTATGTAGTTTAAAATACAATTTTTATCATTTCTATTAGAGAGTAAGATAATTAACCTGAAATGTTAACTTTCTGGTCAAGTTGGCTAGTATACCTATGTTATCTTAAATAAATATTGACCGGTGGTGTCACCCTGACAAACAGTATATATGTATATCTAAATACTGAGATTATATAATTATCTAATTTTTTAGATAATTAGAAAAAAAGAAGAAAGATCCCAATTTTGAAAAACAGTCATAGGCAATTTTTATCACAAATTAATGGATGGATGATTACCAAACTTGGTTCCTATCATTTTTACTATAAAGAAAAAAACAATCAGTGTCCGGAAACCTTATAACTAGAGAGGAGAGTTGAAGTTGACCTAGACTTGTCTTTCTACAATTTTATTTGAAAAAAATATTTCTATAATCACTGAAAAACAGTTGTTTCTGGTGAGCGATTCAGGGCCATCATGGCCCTCTTGTTTTGAAAAATGATGATATGCAACAAATTTTTAGATTTATACACACTGGTCAGTTGCATGTTCTTTTACATTTGATGTTGTTTTCTTTTCTAAATTATACACAAGATGTGATAGTTAAGTTAAGGAACTGTGAAAATATTCATGAAACTTCATCAGTTAGGTTTTACAATTAAAGACATATTAAACATGAATATACTATATTTGACAGATATGATTATCTGACATATCTGTTATTATATGTTACAGTGTATTAGATGTAGAGAATGATATTATATGTTACAGTGTATTAGATGTAGAGAATGTTGATGATAACCAGGAGCCAGAGTGTCTAGAAGGTGTACATCTAATGTTTGATTCTGAGTCAGCTGACCTTCTACCTATGGTTATCAGGTAAAGACTTTACTTATTTATGTCAACATTTTTCTTATAGTAATGGTATTAAACCTACTAGGTGAAGATTGAGTTGACTAAATTATGCACACAGTAAGTCTGATTCCCACCAGGGAATGGTGCACCTTCATGAGAAGATTCTGATGAAGCTATCCAGCTAGGTAACTTGAAGATAAGTTATTGGCATCTTAACCCATAGTCTGTTGGTGGTAACTGATCAGTGATTTTCCTGCTTATATAACAGACTCCGATAAAAGGTCTCTTCCCAATTGAATTTTTCTTTAAAATCATACAGTTTTCCCAAAAATCTGAACTTAAACTTGCTTTTTATGCCCCCGGGCATATAGTAATTGAACCGTCCGTCCGTCTGTCCGTACGAGGTTAACCTAGAACGGCAAGTTGGATTTTTCTTAAGTTCTACCTGTACCAATGGCTTCTAAGTTTATACACTTACTAATCAATACAAAGTACATGATCTGGGCAAGTTACATAACCCTGGCTTTCATATTTGCCAAGTTCTTGCCCTTTTCAGCACTTAGAAAATGAATAATGGTTAACCTAAAACGGCAAGTTGGAAATATCTTAAGTTCTATCTATACTAATGGCTTTATAATTTCCACACTTACTTAGCAATACAAAGTACATGATATTGCCAAGTTATATAACTATGTCATCCATATTTCCCAGTTATTTCCCTTTTTTCACTTTGAAAATAGGGCCTTGTCTGGTTAACCTATTTAGGCAAGTTGGATTTATCTTAAATTTCTCCTAATTGCTTAATTTCTTTAATGAAATCTATCATATTTAGTAGGTGGATACCTTTGATAGTCCTCTAATTTTTTGTGGAGTAAGCGGTCTCTAGGGTCAAGGTCAAGGTCACTGGTTTAAAAAATAAATATAAACATTTTTGCTCATACAGCCTTTATTTTTTAGTTGATGTCTTAGTTTAATACAAACATGCCAAGGGAGGTCCTCCTTCTTTGGGTGTAGTAAGGGGTCATTTGGGTCAAGGTCAATGTTACCAATATCAAGGTCATTAATGTTAAAAGTAGATTTTTACATTTTTACAGGTGTATTGACCTTATTCTATAGACAGATGTTATTAATAATTGATAGAAACATAAACTTTGATGGAGTTAGTTGTCCAGTTGGGTTAAGTCACCAGTACTAAAAATAGATTTTTACACATTTGCTCATACAGCCTTTATTAAGTGACAGATATATTTTATATTTGGTAGGAAGATAACTTGCATGGTATTCATCCTTTTGATTGGGGTAGGGATCAGTGGGTCAAGGTCACTTGTGCTAAAAATAGATTTTTACACTTTTGCCCATACAGCTTTTATTTATTGACAGATGTAATTCATATTTGGTAGGAAGATAACTTGCATGGTATTCTTCCTTTGGATGGAGTAAGGGGTCAGTTGGGTCAAGGTCACCAGTGTAAAAAATAGATTTTTACACTTTTGCCCATACAGTCTTTATTTATTGACAGATGTATTTCATATTTGGTAGGAAGATAACTTACATGGTATTCTTCTTTTGGATAGAGTTAGGGGTCAGTTTGGTCAAGGTCACCAGTGCTCAAAATAGATTTTTACACTTTTGCCCATACAGCCTTTATTTAATGACAGATGTATTTCATATTTGGTAGGAAGATAACTTGCATGAAGTTGAATATTTTTCAACTTCACAAGTCAGAGCAATGACTTGGCAACTTATATTTTCACAATTACAAAATGCCATGACTTTGTCAAGCTATATAACTTGTGTTTACAATTTTTTAGGCAATTTTTCTGTCCATAACTGAGTGAATGGGTAAACATTTTTTGAAATATTGCTACTGACAAGAATCTGAGCCGGGGCATTTGTGTATAACAAACACGTTCTTGTTTACTTCCCAAATTAGCAATTTTAGCGATAATTTTTCCCAAAAACAAGTGGCTAAGGCCTCTTCCCAATTAAGTGAGAAAAATCACTGCTGATTCTATCCAACCAAATAGTACTAACCAAGATCATTTGGCACATCAGTTCCATCCATTATGGTTTGCACTGTTCACAAAATCAATTCAATCAATAAATATTATTAAATTTTCCCTAAAAATGATGAATGGTTTTGTCTCGGGTTAAATATGGTCAAGTACATTTCATATATCTAGCATTGTCAGGGGTAAGACTCCCTGTTCCAATAAACCTAGGAAGTCATCATATGAACTTTACCCAATCAGTGTGACTTAAAATCATTATCTTTGTTGTTGTATGCCTATACAAATGTAGATTGAAAATAATTTTGAATAAAACAGATGATTATTTATTTAGACATCAATCCCTAAAAGCAAAGATTGCTTAGTGAATAAATTCATATTTGTTTTAATTTACAATACTTTCTAGGTTTAGCTTGTGTATTTTGTACTTTCATTTTTTCTGGACCCTCTATATTTATTGATGTTATTATCTACAGAGGCAGGTTACAGAAGGGGCGTTTCTTCGTGTTTCACAATGCTGAGAACCACACTATACATCTTATACCAGCAGAATTTCATGAAGAGGGAATATATGTGAACCAGACTGAGCCATTGAAAGCACAGGGGAGTTACCTTCAGGTGAGATGAAGTCTGGTAATTATATGTTTCTGTTTCCAGTTAGTGTCACCACCTTATGTGAGCTATTATAGTATTGTGTTTGACATCATGGATTACTTATAATATATATGCTATTTTAAAATGGTGTACACTTGATGACTTAAAAGTAAAGTGAAGAAGCATATGTAATGTTTGTATTTTGTAAAACCTTTGTGTTCCTTGATTAAATTTCTATTTGTTCCATATTCATTCAATGTTTATTTATGCTTTATAGTAATTGTTGTTCAGACAAGAGAGTAATTCACAATGTTTACCTTGACTATTAAAATTATTTATATAATCATAAGAGCTGTCCTACTCACCTAGCTATCGGCATCCTTGTCACACTTTCAGTTAAAGTTTTTCTTACTATCATGAATTTTTCTATACACTTTGAAATTTGGAATACTTCTTCATGACCATCACACCTACATAAAGGCAAAAGGATATAACTCTGTTACCAACTTACCAGTATAATTTTTTACAAAGTTATACCCTATATTTTGCTTTAAATTTCTGTAAACATTTTATTGTCACTCCACTTTTTCTAAACCCTTTGAGGAATTGCCTAGAAACTTGTAATAGTTGTTTCAGACCATCATTCCTACTGTAACAGGACATACTGTCTTGAAAATTAAAAAAAAAAAATGCCATAAAATTTTGGTTAAGGTTTGTTTATACCACCTCAATGATTTTTGCCAAGTTATGGCCCTTGAATAGAAATGCATTTTGCCCTATTAATGATTTTTATGTCTCAACATGCAATTGACTATCATGAGGCGACACATGTGATCACTGATCGCTCTTGTTTTTTTTTTAACACATTTAATATTTTACTTCACTTGACTTAATCAAAAGGCCTGTTCTTTTGTCCAGTTTCAAGTATTGTTTTTAAAGACCCTCTCAATTATTCTTTTACAAGGATATTTATTTTCACAGATTTTCTGTTCCAATACGCTTCTAGAAAAAATGTCAGAAGAATTAGAGTGTTTGCATGACAGACCTTGTGTAAGTAGCTATTAAAAAACTTTGATTGATATAAATGGTTTGGAAAATATATTTGTCAATACAGTTCAACTTCTACAGAGTGGCACTCTGTACTCTGTAGAGCAACAATAGCATTATTTAATCCTAAAGTAATCTCAGTAGCATTTAAAATTTTTGTTCTCAAACAGGACTTGCTATGCAGGAGCTTGCCAGGCAAATTTTGCGCCTATGCTGCAAATTTCTAAACTGAATTATGAATATCACTTTACTTAGGATTTACACAAATGATAATATTGGGTTAAACAAATCTCTTTGTCACTAAGCATATCAAAGTTTGCCTGTTAATTTTTTAGCATATTAACAATGACTGTTAATGCAAAAGATTTGTTCATGTTCTGCAGTAAAATAGAGATATCCATGATTATAACATCAGTGCCATAGCAAGTTTAAATGTTATATTTTCAGGATTCTCGCAATTATCCACGGGAATTCCGGTTCACAGATCCAACTTTGATAATCACTGTGTCACCACGTGGTACATTGATTGGAGAAGAGTCTTTAGGGACCATTTAGATGCTGTCTAGTCATTATAAATGTTAGATATACATGTATTTATTACGCAATCCATGTCCAAGTTGTTGTCATGTTTGACCTTGTTTTACTGGCTGCGAAGATTCGACTGTTAATAGATATTTAGTATTTTACCAAAAATGTACCACAATCATATGTGTTATGGTGATGTAGCTTTGTTTATATTATAGGATTAAGTATAAGGAGGGTGATATATTGTTGCTGACATGTTATATGTAGCTTCTGTATTATTATAAAATATGTATAACATTTATACCTTAGGTATTATCCTGCCAAAACAACTATAGTCAAGCCAAATATAAGTCAAACTATTTTTGTTACTACCTCAACTTGTATGAACAAAAAGAATAAAGTATTTTTTTAAAGAGACTATCAAGTATCAAGGGCTATCTTAACATTACACCAATGACAGTGGCCCTTCTCTTAAGTGATCTTTGAAGATGCAAAAAATATTACATTTATATATAAGTTATTTTATTAGTTTAGAACAAGTAGATAATGCTTTGTTTTTTATTATACGTTAAGGACCAATGCTTATTGAATGTTGTCTATTAAGATGTGTTCATATGTTATAATTTACTTTAAACGATGATAAGATAAGTACATATCAAGTGTCCATTGTATCACTGTTATATCTCAATGATACTTAAGGGAAAAATGATAATATTAATGTGAAGTACAGTCAGTTATCAGTATTTTACAAGAATTGACCTAGTCATGTCAAATTGTTCTTGACATGTTGACAAAGGGCGTTATTTGCCTTGCTTTGTATATAAGTAGAATATGAGAGACCTGATTGTTCTCATTGGTGTGATAATTGTTTGTTCTCCCTCTCTTTAAACTAAAGATAATGTACAAACAAATTAGTTACTCACTGAAATGATATATTTACAAATTTGAATAAGATAAATTAGTATTGTAAATGTGTTAAGAACTATATTTCATAGAACAAATAAGACTGCTTTTATGAAGTTTTCATAGAAAACATATAAATGTTTATTGTACATGTATGAGACATTTCATATTACAATTGATATCATTGTAATGCTGTTTTTCAAATGCTTGAAATCTGTATACTTTATTTTGTTTTACATGCGCTGTTTTGTAGAAAAATATTGTTTAACGTTTTGTGAAGGTTAATGACATGAAAGTTTTTTCAGCAAAATACTCCCTATTAAGTCAAGTTTAAATATTTGCTTAAGATATTAGGACCCTAATGAGCACTAACAGGAACTAAAAAATTGACATCATAGGTCAGACGTATACCTTAAAGTACACCTGTATGCAAAATTTAAACAAAGTTTACCGTACGGAAATCAAGTTATGGCCACTTTTCTGAACTCAAGCTAGGATGTTATGAGGATATCCGGACAATTCCCCTCCCGGACGATTCCCCTCCAAGTAAATTTGAATGTTTTTTCACAACCCGGACATTTCCCCTCCCGTTATTTTTTTACGGCGGACAATTCCCCTCCCGTTAATTTTACAGGGCGGACAATTCCCCTCCCGTTATTTTAGCAGAGCGGACAATTCCCCTCCCGCTGTTGTCAGAGCGGACAATTTCCCTCCCGTGGCTGTTGAACATATATATGTTATAATATTGTTTATTTTAAAGGTATTTTTAATGGACTTTAAATACATTTTGCTTGTCTATATTGACATGAATATAAAAATAAAACGCATTTTTTTGTTAAAATAATCTTTATTTCGTCAATACATTTCTGCAGCGGTAAAATAATTGTAAATTATTGGTTTTACAATCAAGGACACATTTAATTAAGGGCAGCATTGATTAAAGATTTTTTATTGACAGTTTGTTCATCTTAAAGCAGCGGCGGCAATGAGTAAAGGCGGTTTAATGTCACCTTTGTGAAGTAATGATTCTAAAAAGTTCTGATCTTTAACAGTTGTTGTTAAGAGTAAAAATTGTCATCTTTTATAAGAATGGTTATAGATTTTTTTATACGCAATGGCGGCTAGGATTAAGGGTCGAATAATGTCGCGTTCTGCTCTGTGAAAAGACGGGAGGGGAATTGTCCGCTCTGCCAAAATAACGGGAGGGGAATTGTCCGTCCTATAAAATTAACGGGAGGGGAAAAGTCCACCCTATTAAAATAATGAGAGGGGAAATGTCCGGGTTGTGAAAATAATATGGAAGGGGAATCGTCCGGGAGGGGGATTGTCCGGGATTCTGTTATGAGGGCCCTTTTTTTGGAAATGAACTTTTAAATAATCTGCAATAACATTCTAATGAAAAATGTTTTCCCATTAATTTTTGGTAAGAAACAAATAGTACCATTCAGCTAACAATCCACATAAGCAAAATTATGGTTTCTACTTAAAATTTATGAAATCTGTATAAAAATGTTACCCTACCCCACCCATTTTTACCACGTGTCTGACCATTTTTCTACTTAAGGAGCCTAATTTAAAAAATTTCTTAAAATTTACCCAAATGAGTGCCTGTTTTCAAAGTTTCCCTAAATTTTTTAAAAAAGTATATTGGTTGATCTTGTAAAAATATGAAATACTTTTACCGTCTAGTTTTGATTATATTACACTTTGAAAAATATCAGGTACCATAAATTTATCACTAGATTTAGCATAATTTAGCCAATAAATACCCATATAAATTAAAAAAATCAAAATTAAAACACTTTTTCTTTCCAAATGGGACATGAGAGATACATAAATAATGTTAAAAGAAATAAAGAAAGAAAAAAAAATTGACCCTTCTGGGGATTGAACCCATGGCCCTCATTTTCAATGTAGTAAACAGTAGTTCTAGCCTATTTGAATACTCTTCAAAGCGGAGGTAATGCATTAGAATGCTAATACCTTAACTAGCCTTTTGGTGGTTTTTATTTTGACATGCACATGAAACATATTCTTAATAACATTTTTGTCTCGATTTGAATTGTTTGCTATAATGCAGTAATTTTTTTTATAATTTTATGTACATTGTCTTTGATTTCCTCCTTTATATTAAGTAAAACTTTTCATTGAATTTGATGGGGAAAAACAACTACAATAACACTTTGCTTGAAAAATTTATCTTTACCTATAACATATTTGTTGTAGAGATGGAATTTTTTGTGTCATTCATACATTTTTATACTGTGTACATTATTTCTAGAGTTTTATAAGTCAAGTAGTTTCTAACATTGAATTATTTAATATTTTGCTTAAGAGAAAATAATGCTTCAACACTTTTGTTTTTCTGATATAAATGTCACTTGTCCTGAATGTTGGTTTTTACCATGCTTATAGATAGTTTACACTGATCATTCATTATTCACACTATGGTTTACAATATCACTAGATTTTCTTATTTCATCAGAAATTTTATGTTTATTACCACCTGTTTTAAAAGTCCCCTAACTCTATCCACTGAAAGGGACTATAGGTTTGTCTTCCAACTGACTTTCCATCCTACTGGAAAATTGGTACTTAGGTAGTAGCTATGAGATTATTAGATCACAATAAGTTTTCTTTGATGCTATTCAATAAGTACAAAATGTACAGGGTTTATATGAAAAAAATGGTTTTATGTAGCTATAAGAACATTGGGGTCGCCACATTATTGCCATTTCAATAGAATTTCCATCAGTCTGTCTGCAAAAACTTGATCTTGTGATAATCCAAACAGTTGAATGTTCTTCGGAACTTGGACAACTTTTGTTAAGTTTAACAGATCACACAGCAAAATGCTTTATGGGGTTGGTTATTAGTATTGATAAAAATGTCTGGCTTCCATAATTAAGTAGCAACTTTCAATCTTCTTTTTTTTTGGATATCTATTGATATCTTAAAAATATCAAATAGCAGTTGTCAATATTTTATTATGGTTCTATTATTGTGACAAGGCCCGTAGCAATAGGAAACTTTTAATAGTCTGCATTGTTTACTATAATCTTTATTAACCACAGTGTTAACCATAATTTGGTCAACTCTCTTGCTTCTTATAATTTATCTTTTCATGTTTATACTTTTTTATGTTTTTATTTTTCATTTGCGGTCTTCCGGTATTTTGTCATCCGAAATTTATACAATTCATTATTTTTTCTTATGTATATTATTATTTTACTTAAATTTTGCATCTACCAGTAGTTGTTTAAGAACATATCCCACTAGTTTCTTTTTTGTTAGGTATTAACTTACATGTATGTATTTCTATATTGTTTACTCATATGCTCTTCCTATCCACTGAACAATTATACTTTGCATTGTTATGTTTACATGTGTAATATTTTTAGTACTATTTTAAAATGACTTTGTTAAACAAAATCATACCATCATTATCTGTTGAATAATAATACAATTATACTTAGTGAAAAATAAGTAGGCTGTTGACAACATCATAGCTGCTGATTACCTTATCAATATATTAAGTTGATCGTATTTGAGAACAAACACAATGCTTGCTGCTTTATTTTGTATACTGATATTTTTATTGTGTAAACGAAAGCAAAAATAGATCAAATCATAGTGAAACAAGCCGACTTTATCTCTTAAAACATGATGATATGAAATGAACAAAAGTGTTAGGGTTTTTTTGTTGGAATGAAAATTTTAAGATAAAATGAAGTATTGATGAGCAAGTTTTCAGTGTTTGCCAGGAAGTTATAATCAGGCTTCCATATTGTTACAGGATAGTTACCTTTACAAAATGTTCAAGCACACTCACAATGTATGTAACTTTCTTACAATAATATACAATCATACACAATTGTTATTCTGAAACATTTATAATTTTAAATGAATCTCATATTTAATACTATTCCTGCCAATAATAAACAGTAATTATTGTAGTTTTAGATGAGTAATAATTATAATTGTATATTTGTTATGGCTAAGTGCTTTATTGCTTTAATGTTGCTGTTACAATGAGGGTTTCTCAAGTACAGGAAGTTCGTTAATGGGTGTAACTGACTCTTAATGAATTATATCATCTCATTGTTGTGAAAATACATAGATTAAAGAAAAGTTAATTCTTGTCTGAATCATTTTTTTTTGTGAAGCAATTTCATAATTATGAAATATATGTTTTAGGATTATAAGATTTAACCAATAATATGCTGGAACTGAAAATTATTAGCCTTTGCCACCAGTATAGAATCAAGCTAGCCTGCACATTCATGCAGTCCAAGGTGTTTCAAATAGAAAATACCAGTGCAGTCTGTCCAGGCTCTATACTGTTGGTATGTCAAGTTTTACACTTTGATACTGAAATCCTTTAAACTTTGAATAGACTGTTTTAAAGCAGGGCAAATACATTACACAAATTTAGCAGGTTACGGGTTAAATGTATTGAGTAAAACATGCAATTATGTGTTTTTTAAATTATATTAAAAGTTATATCTGTAACTTTTCCCCTCCATTTTGTTAAAAAAAAGCTTTTTAAATTTTTAGTTTATTTTTTCTAGATAAGTCATAAATAGATATTAGTATATCAAAGTTATATTTATAACTATCAATTTAATTGGTGTTTTAATTTTGTAATAGGTACTTGTATAGTTTACTTATGTAAAGTTATATAAGATATGTTAATTTTAACTTGTTTAACATTTGCCCGTGTTGCTTTTGTGACTTTGTAAAATGGTATTGAATGGCCTTGCATATATTTTGACACAACATCATTTGTGGTTTGCAGACATAGTGTTAAGACACTCTTTGTGTAAGCATTACTTTATTAGCAGATCAATTAAAATTATGTATTTCTTTTATTACTGTAAACATTTCTTATGTAAAACAAATGAACACAAACATTACAATCATCTGATCTTGATCTTGAAATTTCTTTGTGAACATTGGGCCTGAATGTAATAATGAATGTTAACGTCTTGTAAATTTAGGTAAGAGTTATGGCGTTTTTTATACCTAGATTCATGTGTTTGTGAAGGGATATTCATTTATTTGTGTTTATGTATAGTATCAAATAATACAGAATAAATCCTGTTAGATTTTTGTTTTCAAATATGTACTTTGTAACTGTTTATTCTGATTTTTTTCCTGTCCATAATTTTAGTTACTTTGAGATTTTAATTAATATATTTATGAATTATTAATTCAGATATTGAAATGTTTAGATATTATTGTAAATGTTTAGATGAGTTTTAACAAAATGTTTTTGTACTGTTTTCAAAATACAAGATTTTTAAATGTTTCTACTTGTAGTTTTCTACTAAGGTGAAATGTATGTGCCATTGTTCAATGATTTGTGATATAATTAATGTTTGTTTTAACAAATAATGTACACTGTATATCACTTACTAGTACTTAATTTCCTAGAATTTCATTACATTTTTATGCCACCGCAGCATCTGCGATGCGGTGGCATATAGCGATTTACCTGTGTGTTTGTGTGTGTGTTCTATAGATTATATAGTGAATTTAAAAAATCTTCTTGTGAAAAACCACTAGCCCAATTTTAACCAAACTTGGCAGGATTGATCCTTGGGTGAAGGGCTTCCAAAGTTGTGCAAAGAATTTCATTCCATGCAGAAATCTGGTTGCCATGGCAACCAAAAGGAATTATAAGAATAAATTTAAAAATCTTCTTGTCAAGACCCAAAAGGCCTAGAGCTTAGATATTTTGCATAAGGCATTGTCTGGTAGACCTCTACCAAGATTGTTCAAATTATAGCCCTGGGGTCAAAATCGGGCCGGCCCCAGAGGTCATTGATTTTCACTGTATGTACATATAGTAAAAACTTAAAATACCTTCTTGTAAAGACCCAAAAGGCCTAGAGCTTAGATATTTTGCATAAGGCATTGTCTGGTAGACTCTTACCAAAATTGTTCAAATTAAAGCCCTGGGGTCAAAATCGGCCCCACCCCGGGGTTCAATGATTTTCACTATATGTACATATAGTAAAAACTTAAAATACCTTCTTGTAAAGACCCAAAAGACCTAGAGCTAAGATATTTTGCATAAGGCATTGTCTGGTAGACTTCTACCCAGATTTTTCAAATTATAGCCCAGGGCTCAAAATCGGCCCGCCCCAGGGGTCATTTGTTTTCCTGATATGTATATAGTAAAAACTTAAAAAAAATTTCTTCTAGCAATTGACAAATAATAGAGGTTAGATATTTTGCATGAAACATTGTGTAGTGAACCTCTAGCAAGATTGTTCAAATTATAGCCCTGGGGTCAAAATTGCCCCCGCCCCGGGGGTCATTGATTTTCAATATATACATATAGTAAAAAATTAAAAAATCTTATTGTCTGAAGGTACAAGGCTTAGAGCTTTAATATTTGTTAAATGATATCATCTATAGGTACTCTACCAAAGTTGTTCAAATTTTGCCTCTAGTGTCAAAATTAGCCCTGCCACGGGGGCCATAGGTTTTCCTTATATGTATATAGTAAAAACTTAAAAAATCATCTTCTCTAAATTTACAAAGGCTAGAGTTAAGATATTTTGCATGAAACATTGTGTAGTGAACCTCTAGCAAGATTGTACAAATTATAGCCCTGGGGTCAAATTTGGGCCACCCCAAGGGGTCATTGATTTTCACTATGTACATATAGTAAAAAATTAAAAAATCTCTTGTCTGAAGGTACAAGGCTTAGAGCTTTGATATTTGGTATATAATATCATCTATGGGTCCTCTACTAAAGTTGTTTTAATTTTGCCCCTAGTATTAAAATTGCCCTGCACCAGAGGCGATAGTTTTCCTTATATGTATAAAGTAAAACCTTGAAAAATCTTCTTCTCTGAATTGACAAAGGCTAGAGGTTCAATATATAGCATGAGACTTTGCAAAGTGAACCTCTACCAAGATTGTTCAAATTATAGCCCTGGGGTCAAAATTGGTTCCGCCCCGGGGGTCATTGATTTTCATTATGTACATATAGTAAAAAAATGTTTTTGTCTGAAGGTTCAAGGCATAGAGCTTTGATGTTTGCTATATAATATCATCTATAGGTCTTCTACCAAATTTGTTCAAATTTTTCCCCTGGTGACAAAATTGGCCCTGCCCAGGGACAGTGATTCTCATTATGTACACATAGTAAAAACAGAAAATAAAACAAATGTTTTCTGAATGGAAGAAAGTTTCAGCTGAGATATTTGACTTGAAATGTTGTTTGGTGGACCTGTATCAAGATTGTTTTGAATTAAACCCTTGGGTCAAAATTTTGCCTTGCCCAAGGGGACATTGACCTACTTTCCTGTCCTTTGATGTACAGCAATGAAATTTTGACCATGTTGTAAAATTGAACTTTGATATCAGGTGACCTAGATTTTGATGATGTGACCTACTTTCTTGTCCTTTGATGTACAGCTATGAAATTTGAACCATGTGCACAGATTAAGATGTAGAGTGGACTTTGATATCAGCTGACCTAGATTTTAACAAAGTGTCTTACTGTGTTGTCCTTTGATGTAGTCATGAAATTTAGGCTGTGTGAAATATGACCTTCACCACCAAATTTACTAGACTCAAGTGCATTGAAATATTCCTACTCTGATCTTTTATTGGATTAATAATAGATTTAACCACTAATCTGATAATAAGAATTAGATAGGTCAGGGATGTATGCATTATGACAATCTTCAATTGTATAGAAACAAAAAAAAATCTGTTCCTACACTACTATTAAGTGTTGTATTAATGCGGTGGCAAAGCATTTTTCTCAAATGCAATCTTGTTTTTATTATAGTATACTCTAAATTGCTGATTCAGAAATCATGTGTGCTAAGGTCAGTCACTTGTGGAGATATTTGTAGTTACTGGTTAGTTATCCAGGAAAGTAGTTTAGGCAGATCAACTTTCGAGAGATGACCAAAAAATGTTTGTGTAAAAAACAGAAAACATTGATAAATGGCATTTTTATAGAAGAAAATAGGTCTTGTGTTTGTTCATATTGAATATAATACTGACTTAAATAAGAAAAATGCATGTGAGCTTTCTGTGATAACATGTATTATGTTGCCATCATTTGAAAATATGAAGCGTTGCAATGATAACATAATTATAGTGATACCTTAGTGTTCCAATCAGTTCAGATAATAAATATTTTTTGATTCTGTGTGCTATTTTTATATACCGTTACATGCAGGAAGCTTGCCAAATATTGCCATGATTTCTGTCAAGTTTATAGTTGGTTTAAACATAACTTTATGATTTTGTGAAATTGAGAAAAAGGATCATGTTATGATTTGTTTTGTAAATTTTATAAGTATTTGATATGTTTTGTTTTTATTCTGTAGTTTTTTTTGAAAGACAAATAATTTCTAAAGCATTTGTCTTTCATTTTATTTGTATTATAAATTTGTCAGATCAAAATGATTCCTATATCATTTGTCTTTCGTTTTATTTGTATTATAAATTTGTCAGATCAAAATGATTCCTATATCATTTGTCTTTCGTTTTATTTGTATTATAAATTTGTCAGATCAAAATGATTCCTATATCATTTGTCTTTCGTTTTATTTGTATTATAAATTAGTCTGAACAAAATGACATATGTTTTTTGTGTGTTTTTGATATGGACGTTTTGGAATTATCAACAATTATATAAGATTATGACTGAATATTGTTTATGTTAGCCAAACTTTCCATTGTTAGTCTTCTTTAAATATACATTAATGATTTTATAGTGATTTAAGAATAAAAAACTTCTGTATTGTAGTTAAAAGTTTTATAGGTAAAAGGAATATTTCTGGATGAAAATACACATATGACAGTTATTCAAATGTTTTGTAAAGTTTACAACTTGAAAAGTTAGGTTATGTTTTTTTTTCTTACTTTATCTGTTCACATTCCAAGTTTTTTATTTTATTATATACCAAGTATATGACCTATTTAATGTATTTGTATAATGCTAGCATGTTATTATTAAATACATTATGCTTAAAGTAACTTGTATATTTGTCTATACCAGAACATAGAGGATCCTAACCAAACACAAAATGCTTTATCAACACAAAAAGTATCCTTACAAACACATAAAGAGTTTTTACCAACACATAGAGAGTTTTTACCAACACAAAGGGAATATTTACCAACAAGCAGAATATACTTAGCAAAAACATTGAGAATTTTAACTCTTATTGGCACATACCGATTTTTTTCTTTAGTAAGACATAGAGAATCTTTTCCAACACACTGAGAATCTTATGCGGCACATATAGAATTTTTGTTTTTTACCAACTCACAGATAAACCTTCCCAATACATAGATAACCTTTATTCTTAACCAACACATAGAGAATCCTTACCAACACATAGAAATAATCTTTATTATTTACCAAAATAAGGAGATTCTTTACTAAGACACAGAAAATCGTACCAACACACAAATAATCTTGATTCTTTACCACGTAGATGCGCAGGCTGGTCTGGATCCAGGCTGGTCGCAAACCCATTATGTTGGTTTTCTCATGAAACGGCTCAATTATAATCTTTACTAACACATAGAGATCGCTCTTTGGGAGTCAATATTTAGACAAGTAATCAGTTCTGGCCAATCCATCGCCCTAAAGGTGTGTTTCAAACATATCCTCAAACTCCAAAAGTCTTCTCTATTTCTGCTCCATACTTTTGGAGGGAAATATTATTTTAGTAAATTTTCGAGACGAACGCAAAAGTCTAACATTTATTGAGACAGGTGAGATTTCTTTTAATCACAGATATTTCACACATTGTGCACTTTAGTAGTTATTTTTGAAGCACAAAGTGGTGATAATTTGCCTTTGTGCATTTTCCACACGGTATTCGCAAAATAAAAATGAATTTTGATCTGAATATTAAGTAACTTTACAGCTGCCAATGAGACGTAGAATGCACAGTTACCAGAGACCTTTCAAGATAGCCATTATATGGTATATTTTGCCAGTATAGAGCACCGCCATTCAAGCTGTCTTACGTACTATAGACTCACGCACTCTAGACCGTTCCTCGTCATCAATGCGAAGTAAAAGTGCTGCCTTGTATATTCCCCTTGGCATCAGTCAGGACATTGATCAGGAAGCTGGTCAATTCAGTTTACTTGTCCTCAAATTACTGCTGCTTATACAGTTGTGTTCTCCTGTCTAGGGTCAGAATTTTTGCATATTTTTAAATGCGACATTAGCATTTCAGTTAAATGACTGTATTTTTCACTATCACTCTACTAACATTACGGTACAAATGACAACGTCGTCTATATAATGTTAATTGTAACATAAGTTATTTTGACTGCACACGTTTTAAAATGGCTTTTATTGCAATAAGGATAATACAAATTGTATATTACATTAGCACAAGTTTGCATTTTCGTGTATAAAGAACTTCAAGACAGCATTGAAAGTGGTGGTCTTTGTTTCCAGGAATATGTTCAGTAGTTTGGTGAGGCCGGTGATGGATAGGCCAAATCTTTATATTTTGCAACGTGACAAAGATAAAATAGGATTGCATTAACTGGCATGCTTCCGTGTCAGAGCCGAAAATCTTTTTTAATCTTCACAAACAATAACGATTTTGAGCTGGGAACATAAAGGTAGGAGTTTTAATACATGATGAAATGGGGCACATTTCTTAAGGTGATCATATAACAAATAAAGGAACAAAAATTCACTTTATACATGACTTTATTTGTATAGGTAACTTGTAAGTGCTTGAGTCATTTACAAAACTGCAAACAGAAAAATATCACAGATAAATATATAACTAGAATCAATTATGTAAAAACTAAAAGTGTATTTCTGTTAATAAATATTATATATTCTGTTAAGAAATATGTGGACACGATATTATGTTATGTCCCATGGATTATATAGAAAGTCCAAGTTGAGTGTCTGTTAAAGCCGTCTCCTGTAGGAAATCACCATCTTGGTGCTATACTCGAACTTTGTAAATGTTTGAATGAACTCAATGAATGAATTCAAACATTACGAGAATTATCAGTAGCCATGTACTAGGTGAAATATAAAAAATAAGATGTGTAACAAACATAATAGAAAATGATAGTAGAACTATCTTAAAACGTATAGCAGAATAACACACATATAAACTATGTATCAGTAAATAACATTAAAACACATAAAATATATATTACTCTAAAATCTTACCCTTCGTTTAGCCTACGTAATACTGAGCCCAGTTTTTATCAAGTATGCAAATAATGAGGCATTTGAGTTACAAACGATATATAGTAGTAGATCAAATATAGGAAGATATCATGTTGCAGATGGTGAAGTTAAATAAAATGTCAAATATGAACATAATTACAGAATGTGACTAAATAAATACACTCGAAGGAGTAAATAGCAAGATGAAATAAAGAAATGACAACAAGAAACAAAATAAACAACAAAATGTAATCACACAATAATCACAGTCAGCTCATATAACAAACAACAAATGAAACAACACAACCGGGGAAATAAAACAGTAACATTTTTATCACTTGTAATGGACGGACTTATATGAATACTGAATAGGAAAAAAATACTGTTTTGCTGAATATGTACGGGTACATATAGATTGTACATACCAACACGGAAGCATATTTTGTGTCAATAATATTTGCTCCAAAATTTAACTTCAAAGACCACAATGTAAGTTACTGTAATTTGTGGGAGGAGCTTATATAAATCCGTTCAACACTAATATAAAAGGTAGATATATCAGATACACATCCAAACATCAAACATTTGTGCAAACATCCACAGAGGAACACAACATCAACCATCATGAGTTTATATATACATGTATATATATGAATACATTAAAATTATAATGCATAAAACTAATACTGTATTAAAACCTCCACACGAACGTAAAGGTCTTACTCGCAAAACTGTATTAGCAATATATTTCCAAACATATTCCAATTGAAATTATAACAATATAAATGTTTTAATTACTGTCAATTATCATATATTTAAGGTATTAAAATAAACTTGCTCTAAAAGATGCTTGTACGCTAGTATTTAAATTTTTGTTAAATACCAGCGAGACAGAAAATTTCAAAAATCACAATCGGTTAAAAGATTAGGCAAATGTGTTTAAATTTATATACATAATTCTTTAGAATAGTCTTATATTATACATAATTTTCACACTGGTCGTACACTATGTCGTGTTTCCGGTTTAAATGTCTCCTCAATAAATTTCTCATATTGGATCTTTCCAGACATGTTGTTGTCGAACCTGTTCAGGACATGGTAGACCTCGTCCTCATCTAATATCACGTTTGCAAGTTTGAGCACCGACCTGAACTCTGGGACAGACAAGTAACCATTATTGGTCTTATCCAACTTTCGGAACGCGCGACGCAGATTCTTCCAGTCATTGGCCAACTGAAATGAGTAATAAGTTTGTTAATTTGGTGCATAAAATGAAATAAAAATAGCAATGATGTCCAGATTTACGTATAAGCATTATTTTTCAATACCTATGTACAGTTGACATATAAAGCATGTACTTATAGAAACAGAGAAAACAATACCTTCAAAATGATTGCCTAGAGTTTACAGAGAATATTGACAAGACGCATTTTGCATTGTTTTCTATATTATCTGGTTATGAACAAACCTTTTGTCTGAGTTTAGCCGTGAGTCCATGTAAACCTTTCTGTGGGGGTTCAACTATATCACTCATTGGTAGTTCAGCTTGGGGATGTTGTAACAGTGATAACATATTGTTACCATGACGCCAAATCTGTTTACGTAGAGCAAACGGCTTCAAAAATTCTATATATGATACCCTGAAATAAGTGAAAGAAACGATTAATTAATGTATAGTATAATGTTTTGCGAACCAGCACGATCAGAATCGTTGCTGTTCACTTACAAGCCTTATTACAAGTAGAGAAACTGATAGCGAACTGCATGGATCCTGATAAGACTGCGTGGATGCGCAGGCTGGCCTAGATCCATGCTGGTCGCAAACGCATAATGTTGATTTTGTCATGGCGCGGCTCATTTACATTAATATAAATGTATCTTTATGAAACTGATATTAACAATTTACAGGAGAGGGCCACGATAATGTTACAAAATCTTTTGGCCCAACCATTTTGTATATTGTGTAAAAGATTTGATGTGCCAAAATTTATTTATATTTATACATGCAATAAAATATCAATTAACTAAAAAGAAAGAAGCAATGTTTCGCAAATTACGGAGAGGATGCTGCTGACAAAAAGCAACTGCTTAATCAGATATGCTTCAAGGTACGAAAGGATAAAAGATATAATGAAGACACATGCAGCATAATTATATTTAATGGAGAGATAAATAGTTGTAAATTTATACCTTCCATCTTTCTTCAAATCAAACTTTCTAGTTAGTTGATCTAGCTCAAATTCACTGAGGTGTACACACAGTTCTTTGAGGACATCGCGGAATTCATCCTGGGAGACAAATCCAATACCATATGGATCCATCCCGACAAACTCCTTACGTAAATCTTCCCACATGTAGTCAATCTGGAAATAAAAACAACTCTAGTTGAATGCATGTCAATACCATTGAAAACTTATAGATTTACGAAAAACATAATACAACTTAGTTACGAAATAAGTGTTCAGTTAAGATGCAAGAACTAAATGGTCTCTTAATATGGCATAAGCTGTTTCTATGCTGAAACTTTATATTGTCTTACAACAAAGTTATTTCGTATATGGTTTATAGTTAATACAAATGACAAATCTAGCAAAATTAAAAAATGCATCTTTGATAAAAAGGTGGATCCTGTCTTTTTAAGATTATCATATCTGAACACTAACCTTTGATCTCAAACTATCTTGCAGCATATCAGCGGCACAGTTCAATTTTCGTGAGCGAATCATGAAGTCTGCATCACCATGACGTGGTGGAACTCGCTTCGCGTTCGGGAAAGCAGCAGACGTTTTTGAGAATCCAAAATGGCGGACAAACTCGTAGTAATCCAGAGTTTTATCTTTATTTGTGATGAATGTTTTCCAAAGATCTCTAATTTCGCCTCTTGTAACCTCTGGTCTTACTTCAGGGAATCTGTAAAAGAGATATTTATTTGTACAATTGTCGTTTTTGTTTTAGGTGAAGGAATGCATAGGTCTAACAGGTAGGTCTACGTATAATCATAAGTAATGTATTTGTTATTAAAAGGATTCTTGTACACTATATATTGATGAAATTAAACATTATTATCAAATAAGTCTTAAAGAGAAATAATATTTATTATTAAATGTTAGTTCGGAAAATGTTTAAGTAGTAAAGATGAAGACTTGTAAGCAAAGCTAGAATATGTAGAAATAATTTTATCTGTACCTTCTAAGTAACTGGAACATTTGTTCTTGAGACATTCTCATGGAGTTAATTTCATCTAATTCGAAGAACATAGTTTCAACGTCGTTGAACCTTTTATTAAGTAAATCCTTAATAACTTTGAACATTTCTTGTGGCGAGCGTCTAGCAACGGTATCTTCTAGTAGAGGACCGTCGTCAAAGCTGATATATTCACCCATGTCTGATCTCTGTGACACTGGCATAGGTTTTGGTGGATCTTCTGGCAGTGGTCCAACTTTTACTGGTTTCCTCTCTTCTCTCTCTTTAGACGGGAATAAACTTGCCGCCATTCCTCTATGAAAATAAAATACGAAATGAGTGAATGAAAGCGAAACCAATGCAATTATAGATAATATGCTAGGCGATTTGAGAACGCTTTTTATATAAAATATGTACATTTAATTGAAATGAATAGTTCTTGTGAGTTGGTTCTAATTGAAAACTCTGGATATAGCGTATTACATAAAATTCTGGAACTAACCTTGTATCAAACTGCTGCATGAAGTCTGTATATTTAACGTTACCGTCCTCGTCCAGTGGAATTCTGTCAACAAAACTGTCAAATTGATCTTGTGTTAGTGTCAGATTAAAGCGACTTTCCATCGCTGCACGGAACTCTTCCTGACCGATGACATTTGTCTCTAACTTGTCTATACTCCTGTAACGAACACATCAACACTTAGTTAACAATACAACAAAATATAGATAAAGGTAATGAATATCTCCTTAAGTGAATGCAGTTTCTTTATAAAAAGTACTAACGGTAGCACACTTATAAATGTACTAATAAATGTTTCAACTTGAAATAGTGTTACCACTATGCCATTGCATACCTGTAATTAATACCATTCCATTCACAAATTATCTTTTGTTATAACACTTTAAACAGTTCTTCGCATTTTAATGCACTTTATTTTGAAAAAGCGAAAAGTTGCACATAAATAAAAAAACAACGAAGTAACATTTTGCTATGAAAAACACATTACAAGAAGAAACTTTCTGGTATCCAAGCATTACTGGTTATGGATAGTTACAATTGTTTTCACTATACCAAACTGCACCGTGATCATAATGAAATAATTAGATACTTGTCAACACAAACTTTAATGATTTTAATTGTTAACCATATAATGCTAAACAAAGGCAATGAAATATGATATTCAATCGCGATATAATGATATCCTTACTAAACCTTTATTAAGGAGTTGTCTACCTTCGAACACAATTTGATTAAACATGTCTGTTATGCGATATCCAGCAGGTTTATTTTATTGTATAAAAATACACAGTTCTGTTACACATTTCCATATTGTACAAAATAATTAGAATTCTGATAGACCGTTTTTTACAAAACAAAAACGACCAATGAAATAGCTTCCTATAGATTGTGTTTGCAGCGGTCTATACTTTTTTCATAGAAAGTGAAACAATAGAAATAATGTATTTGTTTACCTACAATTTCTTATAATCCTTTATTATACCTTAATATATCGGATAAAATTATTATAATGATATATTCAGGAAGATTTTTTTCTGTTCACTTACAATATGCAATATGATATACGTATTATTAAACTATTACTTTCTGTTTTGTCACATTTCTGTGGAAGGCTCACTTTTACGACATTCGTATTGTAAAATTACTTTTTTGTAATTTTGCCTTCTTTTTTTCTTTTTAAAAAATAATTGCGATACAAATGCTTCGGAAACATGTCTGTCTTACTATACTCTCAACATACACAGCGATATAATTGAATATCTTAATTAATAACACGTTTATTGTAGGAAGAAACATGACAACGATCTGTAAAAATGGCAAGAAATACGTACTTGAATGTTCCTAGAAGTGCCAGGAAGTCTCTCTGGAACATGTTCATCAGCTGGGCCTCGATGGCACTCAGGTTCGAGCCATTCTCCGATTTGACATCATTGTTAAACCTGCTTAATCAATGTTATAAAATTAAATCACTGATATAACTTTATCATTACTTTCCTTGTAGAAGATACTTTATTATGTACATGTACATATGGTATATGATAAATTAATGTCATTTTATTACAAAGTTTTCTTTCATTTGATACTATGACAGTGCTATAAATAGTATACATGTATTGTTGTTGTATTAATTTAAAATAATTCATTTTGTATATGCAATAAAATAATAGTCATAACGAATTTAATCATTAACTCTATCTTTCTATCTATGACTAACTATATTTTGCTATTCTATAGCTGAAAATTGGCTCTTTATCGTGGTGCTACATCTATATAAAATAAAGTTTAAACAAAAACGTCAACTAAAAATAAAACATGCCATTTGTAGATTTTGACTTAGTATTCACTCTTAGTTTTAATCGGAAACGGATATATTTTTAAGTTTAAGTTAATTTGAGCCGCGTCACGACAAAACCAACATAGTGCGTTTGCGACCAGCATGGATCCGCGCAGTCTGATCAGGATCCATGCTTTTCGCTTATCAACTCTATTACAAGTAGAGAAACTGATAGCGAACAGCATGGATCCTGATCAGACTGCGCGGATGCGCAGGCTGGTCTGGATCCATGCTGGTCGCAAACGCAATTTGTTGGTTTTGTCGTGACGCGGCTCATTTGTTGATATAATGCGCTCACGTGCAAAACGTGAAGAAAACAAGACGCAACATGTGCGTAGAGCTCATACAGACAAAGAATGTTGACTGTGTTACAAAATAACTTAATTAGTCAGATCTAGAGTTCATATGAATGATTTCAGAAGTTACCATAGCCATGTTATATTATCAGAAATTTCACCATTAATGCCTTTACTTACAACAAAAGTAAAAAGAAATGATTGAAAGTATTGCATTTATAAGTAAATAAATAAGAAAATATCTAGATGATATAGTAGAACTAAGAATCTAACAAACACCAGCCACTGTCCGCATTTAATCAATGAATCAAAATAAATGTAAATATTTGAGTAACAATACTATATAATTTTATATTTACACTTTTATACAGATATCCCAAAACCATTTTATGGAAATGACTCGGCAGTTCGGTCTACATTTTATTGAAGTTTCTTTTCAAAAATACTTTACTCTAATTACTTTTAACTGTTACTTCAAGTAAATATTTCGGACGTAAAGTCTGAAATATATATTACTGAACAGCAGGTGGATGGTGTTTGTGTATACAAACCAAACCCGCTATGACTGATGTCTACAAACAGAGGTAGCCACACGGCAGTTGAGGGTGCGGGATCAGCACACATGGTTTGTATAATAAAATATGAAACTAACAGTCTCACTAGCCTGTGTTTGTTATCAGTAAGAATAGTGTGAGTCATGCCCTTCTCACTACGGTCCTGGAATCGGTGCAGGAACTCTCTATATGGAACTGTTCCGTTCTTGTTCGCTGAAACGCTACACCTTGACAGGAACGCTGCCAAATATTTCTTCTCCAGTTTCAGACCGTATGCAGATAGAACGTCCAAGAAATCATCAAAGTTTACCTGAAATCAAATAAAAAACAACTTATTATCACCACCATCATTACTATCAAATGTATGAAAGTAAATATATTAAATAGGATTAAGTGTTACAGATCAAATGATATATTTGACACGAAAATAACTACCTTGCTCATATGATAAGTGGTAATAAACAATCTTACGAAAAAAATTTTTTTTTACTAGTCTTGTACACTGAAACATCCACCCATTAAAATGTTTCTGTTTTTACATGTATATCAATTTTTAATTATGCAAGCAATATACAGTATGTGTGGCAACTATAGTCGAAGAATAATTGTGAGCTGTTTAACAGTGACATAAAAATATCCGGTCTGAGTTTAACAACGTGATAAAATCCGGTGACTTACACTGCCTTCGTTCTTTGGATCTTTTGCCTCAAAACTTTCCCTCATGGTTGCAAAGCCCTCCCTGAATTTATTTTTCAACCAGCGTTCTACATCGAGCTGCTGGCGTCTCTCTACTTCCTTCCGGCGAGGTGTACGCTTGCTGCGCTCTAAAATACAGTATGGTCACGTTACTACCGAATTATAACAATCTTTCCACATAAAATAATATCAATGCACAGCTATTTTTATATAGGGTATTCTATAAATAAAGCCTTTTTTCTAAAAATACATGAGGAAATATATGTCGATTATTTAATACTATAGACTGAATGTACCAAACAAGTGAATCAGACATATTTCGTTATTCGATGTAAAAAGACGTGCGCAGTCAATAAAAGATAAATATAGAGATATCAAGAAAAGATGTCCAGTGGTTAGTGATTGCTGATAGCAGATGTTTCCAACCACCGAGATGAACAAGTACCATTTTCAACTGAGGATGATTGTTTTCAACTCAGGATGGTTGTTTAAAGAGCGGCTTCAAAACCTTTTTGTTTGATGATATGTTTAATGTGATAGAGCGAGAAAACCATGTAAATGAGTTTCATGATGGTTTATTATGCCAGGATGGTTTGCATGTAAGAAGCAAAATCAGCTCCATCCACCCCAAACCACTGACACATTCACGTGCTTACGTTCTAGATACTGCATAAACTGCATGTACTTCATCAGTGCGCTTGACTTACTACTTAGTTCTTTGAATTCCTCAATCACTTTCCGGTCGGAGATTTTTAGTTTTCGAAGATCTATCAATACATGTTTGATATTTTACCTTTACTTTCATATAAGCTTAAGTTAAGATATATGTATCTTCTTTTGTTTCATTCGATTGCATTGAAGCTTTCATTTATTCATAATTTATAAAATGTACAAAGATTGTATGCATACAGGCATGAATCATTAATTAACAATTCTTAAAACAGAATAAAATAAGTTAATCTGTTAATCAAATTGTAAGTAAGTAATTGTCATAAAGTGGAATTAGAATCAACATACAGAAATAGTTTTAAAAAATCATTTTTTCTAAAAAAAAAATGAATATTGTCATATCATTCGATTTTTATAAAATATTCTTGCGGTCGCCGTAGAAATTTTCATCTTATTGTGTTCAACGTTTTCAATTTCACAGAGAGGAAACATTTTCATGACACCCATTAAACAACAGATACTAGTACAACAAATAGTTACCTGATTCTGCTATTGGAGACAGTCTACCATTCTCAGTAATTCCGTTACTGAACGAGATACCGAGTTTATTCATGAATTTCTCCCCACTTATTGTACCAGACGCATCCGGGTCATATCTACACACACATATAACATATTATTGTACATCAATGTCACAATCGAACAAAATAGAGGCAGGTCATGTATCGTGATTTTTTGAAGATATACTCACTTAAAAATACATAACACAGATTATCTGATATAAGATGTCAATAAAACATGTCAGAGAAACGAAAATATAATACGAAATTCATTTATGCATACCACTAAAGTAAAAAGTGAATTCATCTAGAACACCACACACTGATATCTTATAATCATTCAAAACCTAGATTATCAATTGTAACAAATAAGGAAATCCTACTTGTTCCAGAGTTTTTCAAACTCCACATCATCCATATAGAACATAAGTCGGTTGAGAAGTTGTCGAAGCTCAGGTTTCATGATGCGACCACTACCACCAGGGTTCATCTGAGGAATCAACTCTCCAACATCCATTACTCTGAAATATATACAAATAATTATAAAATATCGCTCATTTTGTGTCTATTTATTCATATATTCATATTTACAGTTACATGTATATCGTTTACTGACTTCTTTATTTCGTTTGATTTACTGCTAATGTATGTTTTCTAACCAATATCATATGAACACAACATAAATTGTATATGCTGTTTCGCATGAACTCTTTTAATTGTCTTCTTTCAACATGTAAGTCATTGTGAAACAATTCAATGCACAAATGACGATGTAAATATTAGTACAGGATACCTTTGTCTCGCCTTTTCTTTCAGTTGAAGATGAACTTGGTCACATGTCATTGTGGCTTTCTCCAGGTGAGTTCTTTGAATAGGGTCCATCCATTTAGGGAATGAAGAATCTTCGTCGTTCATCTTTCGGAACAGTGAAAAGAACTCTGTGTAGTTGATAACAACTTTGTTGTTAAACCCTAGTCTCTCTAACAGTTTCGTAAAACTGATTCTGTGACAGCTGTCGACTTAATACTGTCATCAAAATTCTGTACAATGCTTCCCTGAAATAAATCATACATTGACCAATCAAGATAAATCATAAGCTGCTGTTGAAATTATATGTACGATGCTACAGCAACAATGTTTAATTGAACTACTTTTTGCAAACTTATCATAATTTAAAGAATTATCGTAAGGTTGTTTATTTCATGGTCTTCCAACACTGTGGTTATTTCTCCTCATCCATCTCCAGCCATAGTAGCCCGTCAATGCAATGATCAATTGAATTTGTTAGGTACAAAACAGAATGCGTACAAGATGTCGCTTTAAGGCGTTTGACTGTCAGACAATCTCTGAAGAAATATCACAGATACAGATTGTCTGATTATAAAGGCAAGCATTTTCTATAATTATCTGTGTGGTACATGATAGGTCACACATTACTTACCTGGATACGTTGCCTTTTCCTTCAGGATCGTTATTCTGGAACTGTTTCCTTATTTCATAGAAATTTCCCTTCATTCTCTGTCTTAGCAACATTTCCAACTGAAAATATAAATAAATGTCCCGTTGTTTGATGTAATTAAGGTCAGAATTATGGTTAATTAGAAAATGCTTAAGTTATAATGTATTATTTAACTCTTGTGTCTTTTTGTGGAGCACTCTTACTAATCACTATACTGAGAGAAATATGATATATAAAACGATGGTTGTATGCAATGACTCAATAATCTGACATAAATAATTTGCCACTCCGACATGTATCTAATTCAAAAATGGAAATGTATGGACTCTAGCTCCTTACATGTCGAAAAGGGATGAGTAGATGTATATTGTGTTTGAGTTTGAGTATTGAGTTTGCATTGAGTTCTTACTTTTTTCAACATTTATCATTATAATGATTATATATACGATATACAAGTATGTTCGTAAAATGTAGAAAGAAACATACTGTAGTATCGCTCTATTTGTACCACTTTTTCACATCATTTTTTCACTTTAAAAAATCTGTTAAGAATCAACTGACTTTTGACCCATCAACATGTATAAAATGAGTTACAATTGTGTTAATTTAATAGGTTTAACGTTTCTATCATACTATTTGCAAACATAGATTTACATCAGTGCTAATTATTTGTCAGCCATGGTTTAATACTTTGTAGATCATTCACAAATAGATAGCATATGTTTCCAAAAATTTCAGATAATGTCTTTTTAAAATATTTACACACTTTAAACTCAAATTGAGATTAATAATATACGAGTCAATGCAATCGCTATTCATACTAAAAATATCTGATTTCGTGAAGATCATTCTGCCGGTAGAATTCAATGTTGGATTAAATTCAGTCTATATTATCATAATATCTTTACATAATTATGAATCTTAAATAGATCATCGGTAGTCTTATTTTAAATGCGAGTTTACCCAATATAAATATATCGCTAAACTTTTAACTTGTTTCAAACATGTACGTTTTATAAGGTGTGATTAAAAAGCAGATTAAAAAGGTTTAAGAAATCAGAATTAATGTAATACGAGATTAAATCTAAAATCGTCATTTATACAATTACACACAATACTTGATATATTATGAAAATATTTCTTTGTGTATAGTGTCAATTAAATAAAAAAGTTTTCATTTCCTTTGGTAAGAATTAAATACACTTTTCTAAGCTCTTTGGCAAATTGATTATCATGCCGCTTAGACCTTTATATTGTGGCACTTTTTATGATGCCTTCCGGTGTCCTGTGCTTGAGCCAGATGGTACACAGCAATATGCCTACGACAAAAAGCATTGTCTAACACAATAATTATTTCAAGTAATAGCCTAAAATGATTTCAACATATTTTGCCCTGGAGTTAACTATTGTAAGACAAAGCGGGATATTTTTTTTGAAAAAGACACTCTTTTGAGTTCACTTTATCATTATGTTATTATCAATATAAAACATTGTTCATATTGATGACAATTTAATGAAATGAATATAATCATATAAAATGTATTTAACAAGTCAACGTGTCATGACTATGCTTCTATACATCATAGTAGAACTATATCTCTTACTTCGTCTATTTCAAGTCTGGCCTGTGCGGACGCTGTAGACAGGCGAGAGCTGGCACGGCTCGCTGGAACATCCGGTCTGTTTGTCACGTCAGCCTTGTTACCTATGACAGACGAAAAATATACATTATTTTAACAGTGGGTGAAAATGAATAATAATTATAATAATAACGAATAATTTGAATGAGACTGGTTACGGGAAAAATACGTACTGTACAATATTGACTATAATGCTAACGTTAAATCAGCAAATACGCCGAGACAAAAATATTCACAAAATATTTACAGTTGTAATGAGAGCATGACTATGTAAATGAAACTATTTCATAAAAAAAAATAAATAAATAAACAATGCATAATTAATTAAACATGAGTGTAAAGCAAATGTGACATAAGAGAACTTATTTAATCAGTAAGAAACAGTAAATAAACTGTTCACTCAAAGTGAAATTCGGTCAAGTGTGAAAGAATTTTTGAATATTTGAATATGTAAATATAATTTATTGAATTGCGTTAACTTAATGCAGTTACCGAGTTTTAATTCAATAATTTCTGGAGTGTCTACAGCAAAATGTAATGAGAAGCTATAATGGCATCACGTACGTTTTTATAAATATTTTAGATTTGAGTATTGCATTACATATTTCTACATTCAAAACAAATATAGACTGATTCAATAAAACTTGAAATGGGTAGGGTTCAAAAGCAGGTCAGGTGTGTAAAAATATGTCCTAATAATAAATATCTGATATTGTTACGAGACACATAAGCCCTTATACATGTATATATATATATATGATGCAGTTAAACATCCGCTTTATAAATTATATTACATACTGCAGTACCGTTTTCTGTGGTATATATATATATATATATGCAGTATAGATACTAGTACGTTGAATAAGCTTATGGGTGCCTTCATAAATTAATATATATTAAGCAAGAAAATCGTTTATCATTGTGACATGTGTATATACAGGGTAGATAAACAATGCATTAAAATATCAAAAGAAAACACCCAGCCAAATGGGCCTATAAGTCACTAAATACAAATGATATAGTGAATAGTCTTAATTATAATAATTATAATACATGAAAAAGAGTATATTTATCAGTAACAAATGGTTTCATTTATTTTTATGAATATATTGTATAAGTGGGCGGGACAGCTGTAACCCAAAGTCAAAGTCTGTTTCGGTCATATTTGTTACCTGATTTTAACAGACGCTTGAATTCTATATAACTTGATTACCATCACTTTCGACTGACGTGGTTGAATGTCAACATTTAAACAAATTAAAACATGGCGATTTACATCTCAGTGTTTACTTTTCAACGATAAATTACATTTGTATTATTCTGCACAAATTCAGATAATTTTCTAGAGCGTTTGAACTGTTTCACTATTGAACGCGAGTTAAATATATATAAAGATTAACCATTTTGATAACATTCATTTTCATACATGTCGCTTGCAGTAATCGGTGATTGGTAAAATAGGAACGGATCAATGTCATTATAACATTGATCATTTTATTTTATGTAAAATTAACAAAATAGCCTATCTAAAAATCTTATTATATAAAGCGCTTAAATAGTATTTATGATTTCACGTTTATAGCGTCAATAGCGTTTAACGATGGAAACATTTGATTTTGTCATAGACTGATATGAGAAAACAAACATTAAAAGTTGTGTAATTACAGGTATTGTTTTGTGTTTTGTTATAGATCATTTACTTGTATTGTGTTATAACACAGAACGCGAAAATACCATTTTTCTATGATCAGGGTATAAAACTAAAACAGGAGACTATGTCACTGATAGAGAGAGAGAGAATTCATATACAAATATGTAGATACAAACTTGTTATGGGCACTTAAACAGGAATCATTAATATAGCGCCATTTCAGAGCAAAAACAGACATAAATCGCATCGTTTTAAACAAGAAGTAAAAATTGTATTAATTGGCGATTATGCATGCCATCTATAGCCGTGATACCGTTATCACAAACGAACAGACTCCCTGTGTTTCCGCTCTTAATGGTTACCATAATAAAGCCTAATTGAACGACTGAAGCAAAATTAAATCTATTGATTGGGCAATAACAACATTTCAGGAACAGTACTAGCAGGCTCCCTATTGAAAAACTTCAACCTTTAATTGGCAATAACCATTCAACGTGATAGACATTTAGTTTACATTGTGGCGCGGCAGCCCGCTGTACGAAGTACAACTTCAATAACGTTTATTGACAATTTATTGAATTGCGATTTTGACGTCCTTTCACTGTATTCATTGAAAAACCTTTAAAGCTAAAAACCAATCATTTAACAATTTGGTCCCGTTATTGTGATAGTTTGATGGTTGTTTGGTTATCTATGGGCATACCTTTAAAATCAATTTAAATTTGTCAGGTCCGGACAAAAATTATAGCGTATGTTTTGATCTTTAATTTATCGTCGTTTATCTAATATTTACAATCTTAAGTGTACAATTATGATGGGTTAAAGATAGTTCTATAACGTTCTTTGTAAAGAAATGAGAAACTGGTCACAAGGACAGTTTTATTTCAGAGAATATGCCGATAAAATGAATAAATGTTGATTAATCGTGTCATAGTAAAATTAAAACACATATACTCCCAAGTCATATTTAAGGCATTTTTCTATATTTATTCATGTTTTACCCATTTGTCGGGTATCGTGTCCTATTCAATGAACTCACTATATAATTTCCAAAGATGACTTACAAAAGAAGCTTGGTGACATGATAAATGTGACAGACCCCGTACAAAAATGAACGTATGTTGATGATATACATGCAGTAACGTGGAACAGAATGAAGCACGTACAACATAAAGTATGTGAGAAGCGAAGGATATAAGCACAGTATGTGAAACAATGAACTATTTAAGACAATGAACTATTTGAAACAAATCTATACTGAAGTATTTCATGCCTATCGTGTTAAACAAGGAAAATAAAGAATGAATTTGAGACAGAAACTGAGAGCATGCATCTATCAAAAAGACAAAATAAAAATCAATACCATTCATAAAGTAACAAAAATAAAATCGAACAAAAACAATAGCAACAACACACACGAGCTGGACTGTCTGTATTGCACGTGATAATCTAGGTCTATTCTACATCTACATTCTGAACAGACATCGACAAATAAATATGGGTGTTTGAGAATGTACTTACTGTCAGATATACGGCCTGTACATAGATTATAAAACATACAACACATTACAAACATAAATAACTATAATACAGAAAATAAAGTTACAGTAATATCTAGCGACAGTTTACGGATTTTAGTTAAAGCTAACTAGCGTTCTGCTCCAGAAGCAGACATGTTCAGTTAGAAATAAGAGAGCATGGCGAGAGACTATATATTTTCATCTTTATACTTTGTTTTCCCCGTACCAGACTAATCAGATGGTCTGAAACAATTTCGTTAAATTTTGAAGAACATCTGAGCCGCGTCACGACAAAACCATAGTGAGTTTGCGACCAGCATCCGCGCAGTCTGATCAGGATCTTGCGGAATGATGCAATAACTTGAGATGATGATGATGCTGCTGTTCGCTTACAAACCTTATTACAAGTAGTGAAACTGATAGCGAACAACATGGATCCTGATCAGACTGCGCGGATGCGCAGGCTGGTCTGGATCCATGCTGGTCGCAACGCACTATGCTGGTTTTGTCGTGACGCGGCTCATTTATTTTCACAACACGAGGCAGACGACAATGAATCAAAGGCAATTATTGCCCCCTTTGAACCCATTAAAATTTGTATTGAAATAAAATAGACTTCTAATTTGATCAGAGTATTAATTCTGTGTTTTGTGTGGTAATCCGGAGTTGGTTGTTCACAGATAACATGTTCCCTACTGAGAGACTTTAACCCCTAGTCAGTCAATACTGTCTTAGATCAGAGCTTAACTCAATACCATATATCTAGATACACAACTATGTACAACATTTTCTCCAACAATGTCAGAATTATTGAATTCAATGTAGGGGATCTACTGTCTAATACTTGGTTATTAAAACATAAGAAGTAGAAGAATACCTTAATATTATAGTGACATACATGGCAAAAAGTGTCAAGTCTTCACTCTATGTCTCATTTTGATCAACATTGATAATATAAAAGTGTGTGAAATGTTCATTTCTTCTCAAAACCCGGAAGTGAAGATAGCCAGTGTCACGGTACCGACACTGGAGGGCTTTACAAGATTTGTCAAAAAAGAATTACTATTATTTATATTTAAAGGTGTAGACAAACTTTATGATCTTTACCTCTCAATACAACCTTTTTTGAGATTTTTTTCTCGCTAATTGATAAATTATAGAGTATAGATAGAATAACACGAGCCGATCTTCGTTTCGTTTACTTTACGGTAAAGGTGCCCGTTCTGTGTCAATAAATTGTGTTTGGTAAGTAACCAGACATGTTTACACAGTTTTTCAATATTTGGAACAGTAGGAAAAGATTAATTCACAATGTCCTTATCAAGTTTAAAAGAATTTCGAATAAGATATCATGCAAACAATTTCTATATAATCGGTGGTATTTAAAGTCAATCTTCGAGCAAACCGACGAAGCTGTTCAATAGTTGTCATCCAAAAAATCTGCGCCGCACTAGTTACATTCTTTACATTTTAAAACATGCATTTTCACAAGTTTTTACTATAATCTTCTGCAGCGTTTTCTTCTTCTTAATAAGAGAATAGAAAATTCAGAACATTTCAGAAAAGTCTAACATTTAACATTTGAGTTAGAATTTTATAATGTTTTAGATTATTAACATTTTAGGAGAAATAATTACATACCGAAAATCGGCATCCTAGTTTTGCCGGGATCTCCAAAAGTAACTTCAACCCCCTCGGGTATGCTCTCTATTGGCATGGGTGGGGGTGCGTTTTCACGCCCAAGACGACTTGCCTGTCGACTCTCCCGTCCGGACAGGGCACTCAATGATTTCCTGACCGGATAGTGAGACTCATTTGCGAGTGGTCGGCCACCAAGAGGGTTCGACATTGGCCGATCCCCGGACCTTGACACCCCTCGTAGTTCCATTTCTCCTGGGTTGCTCATTCGAGACATCGGGTGTTGAATCTGGGGTAATGTAACCCCCATTCTTCCCGTACTCATCTGGGACGCCGGACGGACGCCCACTTGTGACATAATTAATTCCTTAAAGATCCAATGTATCCCCAAAAATCCTTAAAGTCCTTTTTCTGTCACAGTATAACCCGGTTCCAAAGTTTAAGACACGATACAGAGTGCCTTCCCGTCTCAAACAGCGTAAATCACCGTTGGCAACGCACAGTTGGTTACCTGCATAGGCGCTTTCTGATTAATATCCATATACCGTCAAATACGCTATTATTTCCCCTGACTTTTTTGTTTAGGGTATATAGAAAACAGATCATCCATAAAGAATACGTTGAACGGGCTAATCCTCTATTGTAAAGACGAGGACGATAGAAGGCTATTGGACAGAGATTAACATTGGTATCAAGTATGTCGCACAGTCACACATTATTGAATACAAGAAATAAACGATACAAGGTAGTTGTTAAAGTAAATATAGTTTGGAATCGATACATGCGGTTTCTTTTTTGGATAATACTGATATTAGATAGATAAATTCGATTATTGATATCTTAAATATGATCATAAAAGTGTTTACATTATAATAAATATTACTTATTATGAATCCCTATCGCGTGTCAAAGCTGATATATATTAAACATGTTCTGAATTTCACACTTTAATTTCTATGTGTTAAAATTTAAACCACTTTTTAAAAAATCAAATATTGGCATTTTTTCATAGAAATAAAACAATTCGTCAGTTGAATAAACAAAGATAAAACGGCACTGTCGAGATTTTTTTCTCGATAAGATCTATCAAGATTAATTTTCATGTATTTATTTTAATTCTCATCTCTATATCAAACTGCGAAAGGATTAAGTGGGTGTTTATTTTTTATTTTGTCAGTTTTTATTGTGGCTAAAATTAAACAACAATACGCCTAAAAAGTGCTGTTGTTAAGGGTATTTGTATTTCGTGCAGAATTCAAACTGCACGATCATTACAGACCCGTCTAAATCATCGTTAAAAATCTGTAATTTTTCGTACTTTAGAATTTATGTTGAGGAGAAAAAAAACTTATCTCATAAAATAAATCAAGCACTTGATATTTCAATTTAAAGTTTGTGAAATAATCGTGATAAGGGCATATTTGGTACTACATAGTGATATGTTGCCTATATACGTCACTACAAGTATATCATACCCTAGCTAGCGATACTACCCAACTTATCACAAGTTTGTACAATTTCAAATTAAAATCAATTTAATATTGAAGCTTATACAAACATATTTATATTTATTGATTGTTCCATGTCCTTAAGTCCAACATACTCGAATAGCTGATATAAACGACGGCAAGTACTTCAGATCAATCTGAATGAACTTTTTCAAATCGTATGAACTTTGAGCTGAATTCAATTGATTTCTCTGTTGTGCGCAATTTGTAAAATAAAATTTATCCAAACCTGTGATGAATTTAAAACATGATAATGAACGATAGAGAGTACGAATAGCAGCAGGTGTGTGTAACTGTTATTAATGCAATATCTTTTTTACAAACAGAGAAATCACATTCCGATACTTTAAATGCCATGAATGATCACGCTGTTTATACACAAGACAGTCGAGAAGGCCCTATAACGCTATCCAAAACAAATGTTCATACTAACAAAGTGATTGTCTATAACGCTCACCAAAACAATTTTATACAAGAACCGCGATTGCCCTGTAACGCTCACAAATAAATGTTCACACTAAAACAGTGATTGCCTATAACGCTCATCAAAACATATATTCATACTAGAACAGTGATTGCCTATAACGCTCACCAAAACAAATGTTCATACTAGAACAGTGATTGCCCTATAACGCTCACCAAAACAATTTTATACAAGAACTGCAATTGCCATGTAACGCTCATCAAACAAATATTCACACTAGAACAGTGATTGCCCTATAACGCTCGCCAAAACAAATGTTCATACTAGAACAGTGATTGCCCTACAACGCTCATCAAAACAATTTTATACAAGAACCGCAATTGCCATGTAACGCTCATCAAACAAATATTCACACTAGAACAGTGATTGCCCTACAACTCTCACCAAAACAATTTGAATTACGGACATTTCGGACCACGGACGTTTCGGACCAGACACTTCGGACCAGATTTTTTGGTCATTTCAGACCAGATTTTGGGACATTTCGGATCATGTGATGGTCATTTCGGACCATGATGGAGACACTTCGGACCAGCACATATATTCCTTTTTATATGTAATTATTTGTTATTTCAGTATGTATTTAATATATTTTCTAATAATAAACAAATATTTGACACTGTTATATTTTATGATATTCAAAATGCATGCAGTAATGACCTGTCCGACGAGATTTTAACATTTTCTGTCAAGCTTATTTTACCAATTGACAATTTTTTTTAATATTGAATTAAAAAAAAAAAAACAATTATAGAATACCTTTAGAACTATATTGGTAAGCGTAGGATATATTTTTGCGAATGTCCTCCATACAAAATATAGAGATAATGATACGCTATGTTTAATTTATCTAAAAGAATTGAAATTGATATACGTACCTGTTTAATGAACTATTTGATAATATGCACAATAAGTACACACGCAGAATATATCTTTTTTAAGTCAATTTTAACCAAATTAAATCGTGGTCTAGCAAGTATTAAAGAACAACGACATCATCGTCAATGCAGTTTTTCACACATTTTTATTGCTGAATAGAACTCGTTTAAGTTACGTTTCATTCAATTAAAGAAGCATATGTATGCAATTTTCACCTAATTTGAAAACAAATATTTAAATTGGAATGCGATTAAAGTACAGTTTTAATTAACAATAAACAAACTATTTATAATTGTAAAAAAATTGATGTCCAGACTGCAATATAAAAATGTCTTTTTGTATATATACTTTATAATAATTAATAGGTGTAAAAATCGTTCCATGGTGTCTCATATATTCTGAAGTTACACTTTAATTCATAGAATAATTGATGCATAACATATAAAAAAATACTTATTCTGGTCCGAAATGTCCACAGTAATGGTCCGAAGTGTCTAACACATGATCCCAAATGTCCGACACATGGTCCGAAATGTCCAAAACAATGGTCCAAAGTGTCTATCACATGATCCGAAATGTCCAACACATGGTCCGAAATGTCCAAAAATCTGGTCCGAAATGTCCCTAAATATGGTCCGAAGTGTCCCAAAATCTGGTCCGAAATGTCTGGTCCGAAACGTCCATGGTCCGAAATGTCCTATTACCAACAATTTTATACAAGAACCGCAAGTAACGCTCATCAAACAAATATTCACACTAGAACAGTGATTGCCCTATAATGCTCGCCAAAACAAATGTTCACACTAGAACAGTAATTGCCCTACAACGCTCACCAAAACAATTTTATAAAAGAACCGGAATTGCCATGTAACGCTCATCAAACAAATATTCACACTAGAACAGTAATTGCGCTATAACGCTCACCAAAACAATTTTATACAAGAACCACGATTGCCCTGTAACGCTTACCAAAACAAATGTTCATACTAGAACAGTGATTGCGCTATAACGCTCACCAAAACAATTTTATACAAGAACCACGATTGCCCTGTAATGCTCACCAAAACAAATGTTCATACTAGAACAGTGATTTCCCTGTAACGCTTATCAAAACAAATGTTCCTACTTGAAGTGATTGCCCTATAACGCTCACCAAAACAAATGCTCATACTAAAATAGTGATTGTCTATAACGCTCACCAAAAAATATTCATAATAGAGCCGTGAAGGCTCTAAAGGCTCACCAAAACAAAACTGATCATGCTTGAGCCGTGAAGGCCCTATAAAGGTCACCAGAATAAAAGTTCAACTTGAAATATATAGTTTATGAAACACTGTCGGTAAATTTATATTGTCACCAATTTTTGTTGAGAAATTTATTGTTTTCAATGCTAACTCGGGTGACATGTTGAAACTAGAAACGAGTAAGTAATATACCTTGCTTTTCTTTTAGTTATAGCTATGATAGCTCTTTGACAGAAAACTGTTCCCCTTATTGCTGAGGGGTTGCCTTTTAAGGGTTGAGGGCATCAGAACTGCAGTCACTGTTCATCATTGTGTGATCGTAAGAGGCGACTATATGGATTCAAACTACTAGAGTCTATGCATCTCTTAGTTCTGACCTCAAATAAAAGGGGTCATCTACTATAAAGACCAACCTCCACACCAAATTTCAAGATTGTAGACCAAAACATTTCCTAGTTATGGTTGCATTCAAAGTCATGACTAGTCATGACCAATCTCCAAACCACATGAAAGGACTGCAGGCCAGACTTCTCCAGTTGCTGACCAGCTTTTAGCAGTATTGTCCACAGTGAACTACCTTTAACCTGAAAATCAATAGGGGTCATCTACTGGCCGTGGGCAATGTTCCTACTAAGTTATATAAACCAGTGATTATTCCTTCTCAAGTTATTGATTGGGGCAAAGATAAGTGATGTACATACAGGAGAATTGACATATGGATGGCCCGAGCTTGGAGCATAAGTAACCAAGTAGAAAGGTTGGCAGTTTGGGTCAATGTTACTGGTATGTTTACAGCAACAATACAATTTTTAATAGATCAGTATTGTTTATTCACAAATTGTTCCATACAAATTTGAACCTTCTTACATCAAATTTAACCATCAATAATCAAGAAATTTAAGAGGACTTTTCTTTACTTAAAGAGAGAAACTAAATAAATAAAATGCTTCTTTTAGGATTTTATTTTGTATTTTTTAGTATTTTTTTTCCAAAAAAAAGCACTGTGCACAGTACCCCACACAAATAATGGCTCTTTAACAGAAATTAACAATTTTATATGTACAATCAATTTCTCTTGCAGCAAGTTTTATAATGTGCTGTTTCATTTTTCCTTTCTTTTGACAATTATGGTAGCTTTCCCAGGTAACAAAACAAAAACCACATGTATAACTTTAAATCATTTGTATACATGTTAAACTACATTCATGTCACCGTTCACAATTGCTACAACGACCATGTTCACTACATCTCTGCAGATCCGTTGTTTATCTGTTACTCTGTAATCGAGCACTATTATTTACTCTGCAGTTTTATAGAGTTGATTTTCAGCTGCTCAAATCCATGTCAACTGTTTGCTGGTTCCCGTTTTTTACCCCACCTTGTTTCTCTGTGGAGTTTGAACTGGTACCGGCTGGTTTTTCTTTTGTAAATGCAGGGTTTGGTATGTCAGTTCTCAGCTCAAAGATCTATGGATAAAAAAAAAAATATCATAATTAGAAGACATGTTAGACTGTATGGGTGAATGCTGTATTTTATGACTAGACAATACAGAAATATCACATATCATATAGAATGAATCAACTACTCTTTAATACATCAATACCTAAAACAGAAATAATAAAAGAAATAAATATTTCAAACGTTACATATTTTATTTGGCCTGATATTGCTTGTACATTGTGAAATCTATCTTTAGAAAGATGTCAGTGTCCTGTTCCCGCATGATAAGTAGATTAAGTTTTGTGATAACATCTGTTAAAAAAAATCAGTATGGTAATTTATTGATCAAGCTGTTGTGCCCAATACAGTGTATTAGCCATATTCTGAAATATAGCTCTTATTTTAAAGGCAAAAGCTAAAGGGTTACCAAAATTATTTTTCTTGAAATAATTAAGAATCAAGAAACTCTTTAAGACCAAAAAAAAAATTGTAATGAAATACAACCAGCCAAAATTTAGAAATTTATGATGACTACTTTCAAGAAGACATTTTCAAGGTCATACAGCAGGAAACAGACAGACACTCAACTATCCTTAAATCTCATACTAAACCCTGTTTTGCTTAAAGTGGGCTCAAATATGCAATAAAAATACGTTTTTACTAGATTTATGTTTTTTCATTTAAACAGAAACAAATCTTGTTTTTCAAATGCAGAAAAACAAACCAAAGTATGAGTACCAACAATATATACGATAAGATTATTGTGTAATCTAAGACAGACATTTATTAAGTTAATGATCTGATGCGATATCAATTTCGACTTTTTGTAAGTGCCTTCTTCAGTTTTAAGTGTCCTAACTTCACCAAGGTTATGATAAACATGAAACATCTCCTTATTTCAAAAGGAATATTATCAAGTTAAAGTTGAGGGTTAAAAGTCTACTGTACCGTAATTATACAAAAAAAAATTCTTTAACTTTGATGGATATATTTTTTTGTCTTATATGTGCCAAAAACATAAAATAAAACCAGTCACAAAGCAAATTAACTAAATCCTTCATTAAACATATACGTTCTAATAAATACATTACATTTTATTTTTCCATGTAACTTTGGCAAGAATAATTGACCAGTTTTAGGACTAGATTGATTATGTCAGTTGTTTTTCAATAATGGTCAGATCAACTGGTTCCAGTACAGAGCTTATCATATTGATACACACAAGGTTTAATAGAGTATTTATTGGGTTTTATGTCACACCAACACAGTATAGTTCATTTGGCGACTTTCTAGCTTTACTGCAGGAGGAAGACCTCGGGTGTTCTTATGTGTATTATTTCAGTGACGAACAGGCTACCGAGTAAAACCACCAATGTTCCGTAAGCTAACTGGATATTTTCCTCACATAAAAGAATTCAAAACCTGTCTGGACTGAACCCACAATGGTGAGGGGCAAGTGGTTTGAAGTCAATGACCGTAACTACTTGGGCATGGATGCCCCAGATTTGATAGTTCATGTAATAATGCTAGAATATAACATGTATACCTGTATATAACTCTCTGATAGTGTGATCATCTGAGGGAGAATATCTGCTACATGTAAATCTTGTAACTCATACCATTTACCTGATCCCTGAAATATAAAACTGACTCTGTAATATGTTGTCTAAACACTTTTAAATCAACTATCATATATTGAAAATCTTGCATGTATACTATAACTTACATCATTGAAAACTGGGAACATAATGCTGAATAACAAATAAAGTAATTTACTAGTATTTGAAATTATACATTCTTTCACCTATTTACAAAGAATCCAGAATTCTCAATTAAAGTAACAAATAGTCTCCTGCAGACATTTTCACAAAAAAACTTACGACAATTTTTATCGTAAAAGAAATCTTACGATAAATCTCCTTTTCACAAAAAATCTTAAGTGCAAAATCTGTTGTAACTTTACGATAGGTTATCCCCGTTCGTAAGTGCATTTTTTTCTCTCTTAAGAGTAAAATATCATGTATCTCTTACCTAAACTAAACAAGAGGGCCATGATGGCCCAAAGTCGCTCACCTGTATATAGGCCCCTGGAGTGGGGCCAGTTTAAACCCCAGGGCTTTTATTTGAACAAACTTGGTTGTATATGTAATGCATGTATATATATATATATATATATATATATATATATATATATATATATATATATATGTATATATATATGAATATATACTATATATATATATAATATATATGTATATGAAATATATATATATATATATATATATATATACACATACATACATATATATATATATCATATATATATCTATATATATATATATATATATATATATATATATATATATACATTTATATATATTCAATATATATGTATATATATAATAGTTATATATCTAAAAAAAAAAAAGTCAAGCTAATGAATGACCCCCGGGGCGGGGCCAATTTTGACCCCAGGGCTTTTTTATTTGAACAAACTTGGTAGACACCCATGAGAACATGTTTCATGCTTAATATCTTAGCTCTAGCTCTTTGAGTTCTTGAAAAGAAGATTTTTTAAGTTTTGACTATATGCATATAGGGAAAATCAATGACCCCCAGGGGCGGGGCCAATTTTGACCCCAGGGCTTTTATTTGAACAAACTTGGTAGACACTCATTAGAAGATGTTTCATGCTAAATATCTTAGCTCTAGCTCATTGGGTTCTTTAAAAGAAGATTTTTTAAGTTATTACTATATGCATATAGGGAAAATCAAAGACACCTGGGGCGGGGCCAATTTTGACCCCAGGGCTTTTATTTGAACAAACTTGGTAGACACTCACTAGAAGATGTTTCATGCTTAATATCTAAACACTAGCTATCTGGGTTTTTTAAAAGAAGATTTTTAAGTTTTTGCTATTCACAGTCATATAAGGAAAATCAATGACCCCCGGGGCGGGGCCAATTTTGACCCTAGGGCTTTGATTTGAACAAACTTTGTAGACACTCACTAGAAGATGTTTCATGCTTAATAGCTAAACTCCAGCTATTTGGGTTTTTTTAAAGAAGATTTTTTAAGTTTTTGCTATACACATATAAGGAAAATCAATGACCCCCGGGGCGGGGCCAATTTTGACCCCAGGGCTTTTATTTGAACAAACTTGGTAGACACCCATTAGAACATGTTTCATGCTAATATCTTAGCTCTAGCTCTTTGAGTTCTTTAAAAGAAGATTTTTTAAGTTTTTACTATATGCATATAGGGAAAATCAATGACCCCTGGGGCGGGGCCAATTTTGACCCTAGGGCTTTGATTTGAACAAACTTGGTAGGCACTCATTAGAAGATGTTTCATGCCAAATATCTAAGCTCTAGGCCTTGCAGTTTCTTACAAGAAGATTTTTAAAGTTTTTTCTATTGGTTGGACGGAAACCAGAGTTTTCAATGGAATTTAATTTTTTGAACACTTTTAACGGGACCTTCTTAGGATCATTTCTGTAAAGTTTGGCTGCAATTATTGGCCTTATAGTTTAGGAGGAGATATTGTTTGAAAAGTTTGACGCCATTTTTTGAAGGACGCACGACGCACGACGGACGCAGAGTGATGACAAAAGCTCACCTTTGAGCACTTCGTGCTCAGGTGAGCTAATAAAAACTAAAAAAAAAATGGAGGACAAATATATGTTAAGCAAACAGTATGTTATAAATAACACAAATTAACGTATAATTATTTTTCAACATAAACATTTGTGATGTCATGACAGAGGGCTATGAATAGTTTAAATGTGAAATATACTATAGTATTATTGAAACTAATAATTTGTACAATTTTGTGAGTTCGATTTTATTGCCATCATGTACTAGTGGCACCTTTTTATTTATAAATACCTTAGCAATAAAGTAGCTGAATCACTTAGATACATAAAATTATTTTCAATCAAGATAGAAAATATTTTAGTTTGAATCATTTTTTTTTGTTCTTATTGAAATTTGACTGTGTTCAATACATATTTCAAACTCTTTATTACTTGATTTTTAAACCGATATCAAATAAAGAGCATGCACATCAATATCAAATGAACGTTGCTAGGGATGTTTTTATTGTAAGATTTATCGTAAGTGAAAAATCGTAAGATTTTTTGTGAAAATGTTTTGTGAAAATGAATAATAAAGATTTCCATTTTGTTTCTTCTCAATCACATCACTATAATGGTACAGTCGACTCTCGTTATCTCGTTGATTGACTTAAGTCTTCGGGACCGTCAAAAAAATATCGAGATAACGAAATGTCGAGATAAACGTATGAGGGTTTGAACCTGTCAAAAACTAATTTTTACAGAAGACATGGGCATACCTTATAAGTCAAATAAGTACGATGTTTCATTATCTTGTGTCAATTCTTATAATAAAAATTAACAGTTCGTTACATAATTTAGCGGATGTTTACCAGCGGAAATACAGCATTTAGGTGCTATGTGATTGACACATAGTGAGGTTTACTCAGTTATATACCACTAAAACATAAACGTTGTTTTCTAACTTTATCTATTTAGTATTTTAACATTGCATAATAACACATATAAATTACATGAAAACATTTCATAGCGATCATTTTGTGAGAGAAATAGCACATTTATACAAGAGCGATCAGTAATCACATGTGTCGCCTCATGATGGCCAATTTCATGTTGGGACAAATTTTGTGACAGACGGACAGACAGACGGACAGTGCACAACTAGACTAACCACTTTGTACTGTTCATTCCTGTAAAATTTGGATAAAATTGCACCAGTAGTTTATGAGGAGTAGTCCGGACAAGCTTTTGCGTATCTGGCAAACACACAGAAAAAAACACCTTTTTATCAAAGGGCCATAACTCAGCCAAAAATCATTCAACCGGAAAACCCAAGCAATATGCGCAAGGACTTGAGCTACAGATCAATCCTGTAAAGTTTCACTGAAATTGCATAAGTGGTATAAGAGAAGTAGTCTGGACAAACTTTAAAAATAAGAATTATTAAAGGGCCATAACTCAAACAAAAATCATTGAACCGGAAAATGCTGATAATATGCACAACTAGACTTGGTACTGATCATTCCTGTAAAGTTTGGATGAAATTGCACCACTAGTTTATGAGGAGTAGTCCGGACAAGTTTTGTGACGGACGGATGGACAGACAGACAGACGGAGGAGAAGTGATCCCTATATGTCGCCACTACTCCGTAGAGGCGACACAAAAAGCACACAATTTATGAATAGTTAGCACGTTTATTTAATTTACCGATTATTCGATAAAATTCACTCATTTTCGACATAAGTCAATCAACACGCTAATTAACAATTTTTTCAAAACACCTTGACTTAATTTTTACAAACATATCATCATTAATTATTACGACACGCACTTTAAGCGATAACCATCCGCTTGGTGTTTTTCACACCTCTAGCGGGAGGGGTAGACGAATAATTATTTGTCAAGATAAACAAAGGATTATAGTGTGAAAATAACTGTTGGGGCTGAAATATCAAATCGAGATACTGAAATTATCGAAATAAAAATATCGAGACAAAGAAATATTTTCAATATAGATAAAGAAGGGGAAAAAACGGGACTTTCAGATTTTAATCGAGATAACGAAATATCGAGAAAAGCGATGTCGAGATAACGATAGTTGACTGTATTCAGTTTCATATTTTGGATGATAAAATCATGCAGTTTTGCCAACACATTAAAGATCCCTGTCATAAAAAGAGTGTATATAATAATACTATATAAGGGAGAGGGTGTCCTAGTGGTCCTCTCAACCTAGGGAACGTAGGTTTTACCCTAGTCTGTTACTTTCATGAAATGACACTGGACATGTAAGTGATTAAACTTGTTTTAAACCTGACTTAGATAAATGTTGTTAAACTAAAGTGAATTCAACTTACCTTATGTAGTATATGTGCCCTGTAAGTTCCCTTCCCCGGCCCTGGTGCTCCGTCATGGATTATATTAGCCATTAGGTCATATGTTGTGTTTCTGTGAATGGCTCGCACCTCCGGTGATAACAAATCTCCAAAATCTATGTTCCTTGAAAATTAAATATTCCATATTTCTAAAATTATGTCAAACAAGAGCTGTCACCCAAGTGACGAATGCCCCCAAAAAGGTTTCTTAAGCATGTATGTATTATGAAAAGAAAAGAGAATGAAAGTAACTAATTGCTTAATATTGTTCTTTGTATTATTGTACCTGTAATCTTTAATTGTGATAGTATGAACCTTCAAAACTTAAGTGTGACCTTGACCTTTGAAAAAGGGACGTGGTCCCTTGACGCGAAAAAATGTTGTTATGAGATAGACATTTGTGCCAAATTATTTCAAAATCCCTCAATGCATGACAAAGTTACAGTCTGGACATGATTGTTGTGTACTGTAAGTGGGGACACACGGACAGACGGAAATGAGCCTTAGCCGCGACACATTGTCTTGATGTGGTAGACATTTGTATTTTAAAATCCTTCGATGCATGACAAAGTTACAGTCCGAACATCGTCTTGATGTTGTAGACATTTATGCCAAGTTATTTTAAAATCCTTCCATGCATGACAAAGTTACAGCCCGACCACGCTTGTGTGAACCTATTAATTCTAATTGTGATAATGTGAAACTTCAAAATGATAGTGTGACCTTGACCTTTGAGGTAGAGACGTAATTGTTGGACGATAGACATCGTCTTGATGAGGGAGACAATTATGCCTAGTTAATTTAAAATCATTCAATGCATGACGAAGTTACAGTCCGGACACGAATGTGTGTACCTATTTAATCTAACTGCAATAATGTGAAACTTCAAAATGATAGTGTGACCTTGACCTTTGAGGTAGGGACATAATTCTTGGACGCAACAAATTGTCTGGATGAGGTAGACATATGGGCCAAGTAATTTTAAAATCCCTCCATGTATGACAAAGTTACAGTCCCGACACAAATTAAGTTGGGACGCTTCAGGGGCATAAAAATCAAGCAAACAAATAATAAAATATATGCATAAAGCATTATGTAGTGAAAATAATATGAAACCTTTGATATAAAAAATTTCAAGATTCTGAAAGAGTTCAATAAAATATTCTAATCTCAACAATTTAATCTATTTTTTTCTTTCACAAAAACATGCCCTACTTACTTGATTGGGAAGTTGACTATAGTAGGATTCTTCTCTTGAACAAAGAAATTCTTTGTAAATCTCTGAAATTATACAATAGTATTACATTTATACTGTTACTCTATTTATTATAAATCTTTAAACTTTTACAAATGTTATTCTATATTTCTCTCACCATGAACAATACCAGCTGTACAAGGGCACATGTATTATATTTAAGATGACACAAAAATAATCCATTTAACTGAATGAAATGTTAATATTACAGCTACCTGCAATTCACAAAATTACAAATATTTGGTTTGAATTTTGAAAAAAGAATAATACAAACATGCCTGTTAGGGAAGAAATATGTTGGTACATGTATAATTCTTTTCGAGCAAATGGGGCATGTACATAATCATTGCTAAAAGGTTAATACCTACTTAAAATACATATCATATATGTTGCTCTAAAATATTTTATTTTGTAATCACACAATTTTCATGTGTGTTACTTAACAAACATTCTGTATTACAACACTACGAGGAACAACCATAAGATAATGGAAATAACATAAATTCACCATTTTTAAATTTCCTTAAAACGTTTCATATTAAAGATAGCTTTATAGCCTTTTATGTTATCACTTAAATAAAGACAATACCTTTATAAATGCTAATGAAAGAAGGATTTATTATATTTTAAACTATGCACATGCCTTGGCAAAACACAAATAATACACAAACTCAAAACAAGGTAAACAATCCACAGTCTAATTCATTTAAATTCAACTTTGATTACTTCCCCTTATATTTTTCAATTAATTTATTATATTGTACTTTACATGATAAAGGAAGAATAATTCAATTACTGAAGAAAGGCAAAGTCTCTGTATTGTCACATACAGTCAACTCTGGTTATCTCGAAGTCATCGCGACAGTCCAAATAATATCGAGATAACGAAATGTCGAGATAAACATATTAGGGTTTGAACAAGGCAGAAACTGATTTTTACAAGACATGTGCATCCTTATGTCAAATAAACTATGATATCTTCATGTCTTGTTTTCATAAGCCTAGTATCGCAAAGTCAATATTTAATAAAATAACATTAGCGGATGTTTACCAGCGGAACATCTGGTGTCTGTGATAAAAACACATAGTGAGGTTTACTCAGTAATACCCCAAAATAGTGAAAACATTGTTTTAAGGGTGGTTGATCTGGATATCCTCCTGGGCTAGTTAACGGGTCCTTCCCGAGATTGTTTGACTGTTATATTTTTTGATTTTGTGAAACAATATTGCAAAGATAACGTTAACTATTTCACTATTTCATTTACAGTTAAAGTCATAATGTTCGAATATTTATAGACAACGTAAAATTCACTCATTTTGGACATAAGTCAATCAACGCGCTAATTATATTAAATTTTATAATAACAGCTCAACTTGTTACAAACATTTTCATCAGTATGACACACGATAAAGAGCAGTTATCCTCTAGTTTGTGTTTTTTATACGTTTGAAGGGAACAGACGAAAACTATTAGTCGAGATAAACTAAGGATAATAGTGTTGGGGCTGAAATTGTACATCGAGATAATGAAACTATCGAAATAAAAATATTGAGATAAACAAATATATTCAATATAGATAAAGAAGGAAGAAAATTGGGACTTTCAAAATTCCATTGAGATAACGAAATATCGAGAAAAGCGATGTCGAGATAACGATAGCTGACTGTACCTGCATTGTCAACTCATAAACACACTTAATATTCTATATGTCAGATGAATAATAATTGGAACTCCCATTATTCTGACAAGTTTTGTTCTGTCTCATCAAGACAGTGATTAATTATAAAAAACAAACTAGAAATGTGTCCATAGGACACAGATGCCCCCACATGCCACTGTTATGTCAATCTTATGACTCTAGGTCAAATATTTTTTGGACTACATGTGCCACAAGTTGAAAACTAAAAATAAACAAAGGGCCATAATTCTGTTAAATTTGGTCACAGCAAAAATTCCTTCCTTTACTACCATCTACACATTAAGGTTGTTCATCCCTGGAAGTTTAAGCAAAATCTGCCATCAGGTTTAAGAGGAGTTGCGTTCACAAAATTTCTATATGGTATATAGTGAAAAAATCAACAAAGGGCCATAATTCTTTTAAATTTGGTTGCACCAAAAATTCCTTCCTTACCATCTACACATTAAGGTTGTTCATCCCTGGAAGTTTAAGCAAAATCTGCCATCCGGTTTAAAAGGAGTTGCGTTCACAAGATTTCTATATAGTATATAGTGAAAAAAATCAACAAAGGGCCATAATTCTGTTAAATTTGGTCGCAGCAAAAATGCCTTCCTTTACTACCATCTACACATTAAGGTTGTTCATCCCTGTAAGTTTAAGCAAAATCTGCCATCCGGTTTAAGAGGAGTTGCGTTCACAAGATTTCGGGACGGACGGACGGACAAGTGCACCGCTATATGCTCCCACTTTGTGGAGGCATAAAAACATTTTTGCTCTAAAAAGAAATATTTTTGCTCTATCAATTTGCAATAAACGATAAAACATTTGCTTATATTTTTCAAATATTTTGGTTAATTTCTAGTATGACAATCATTCTTACAGTAAACTAAAAGTAAACTTACTTTAAACAACACAGAATTATCTCTTACCTTAACATAAACAATGATGTATGGTGGTAACCTTGTTAACTCAAATCTCTTTAATGTTGAATCTTTATATGTTTTATATTCCTTCTCAAAAGTACCGTTGAATTTTGCTAGAATTGTGTGAAAGGGAACCTACAATATATTATATCCTTTCTTAATTTATGACTGGCTAAAGCCTTCTTTATGACAGCTTTATCAGTTTCACTTACAATTCATTTCTAAAGACTTGACCAAGAATTCATTCATTGACAAAGCAATTTAACAGAAACATTAACTAGATATTAGACAAAAATTACAGCCAACTTTTCACATAACAATTGACCACAGACCTTGATGTATGCAGCAAATTAAATACTGTGCAGTTACTTAAAAGACAGTTCTCATATACAGTCAAGACTGTCTTATGTGACCTTCTGCGGGACTTCACAAACAAGAGGGCCATGATGGCCCTAGATCGCTCACCTGATTTATCAAACTCATCCAAACAATTACCTAGACAAGCATTCTGACCAAGTCTCATGACAGGTGAGTCAAAAATGTGACCACTACAGTGTTAACAAGGATTATCCATATTTGAGCAGTGCGACCTAGTTTTTTACCCAGGTGACACATATTCAAACTTGACCTAGAAATCATCAAAACAAACTTTAAGACCAATTTCAAGGATACTTGGATCAAAACAGTAGCAACTAGAGTGTTAACAAGATTTTTCTATTTTTAGCTCCGGTGACCTAGTTCCACATGCGATTTCGAACTCATCCAAGCAATTACCTATACAAGCATCCTGACCAAGTTTTGATGATAATTGAGTCGAAAATGTGACCACTAGAATGTTAACAAGGTTTTCCATATTTGGGCGGTGTGACCTAGTTTTTTTCATCCAAGATGACCAATGTTCGAACTTGACTTAGAAATCATCAAAACAAACTTTCAGACCAATTAACAGAATATTTGGATCACAACAGTAGCCACTAGAGTGTTAACAAGGTTTTTCTATTTTTAGCTCCTGTGACCTAGTTTTCATCCGAGATGACCCATGTTCGAACTCATCCGAGCTATCACCTAGACAAGCATCTTGATCAAGTTTGATGATGATTGATGCAAAAATGTGACCACTAGAGTGTTAACAAGGTTTTTTCTATTTTTAGCTCCGGTGACCTACTTTTTCATCCGAGATGACCCATGTTCGAACTAATCCGAGCTATCAACTAGATAAGCATCCTGACCAAGTTTGATGATGATTGATGCAAAAATGTGACCGCTAGAGTGTTAACAAGGTTTTTTTTTTTTTTTTAGCTCCGGTGACCTACTTTTTCATCCGAGATGACCCCATGTTCGAACTCATCCGAGCTATCACCTAGACAAGCATCTTGACCAAGTTTGATGATGATTGATGCAAAAATGTGACCGCTATAGTGTTAACAAGGTTTTTCTATTTTTAGCTCCGGTGACCTACTTTTTCATCCGAGATGACCCATGTTCAAACTCATCCGAGCTATCACCTAGACAAGCATCTTGACCAAGTTTGATGATGATTGATGCAAAAATGTGACCGCTATGTGTTAACAAGGTTTTTCTATTTTTAGCTCCGGTGACCTACTTTTTCATCCGAGATGACCCATGTTCGAACTCATCCGAGCTATCACCTAGACAAACATCCTGACCAAGTTTGATGATGATTGAGGCAAAAATGTGACCTCTAGAGTGTTAACAAGGTTTTTCTTTTTTTAGCTCTTGTGACCTAGTTTCTCATCCGAGATGACCCATGTTCGAACTCATCCGAGCTATCAACTAGATAAGCATCCTGACCAAGTTTGATGATAATTGAGGCAAAAATGTGACCGCTAGAGTGTTAACAACTAAATGTGAACGGACGACGGACGGACGGACGACGGACAATCATCGATCCTAAAAGCTCACCCTGAGCATGCTCAGGTGAGCTAAAAAGGTCACATTTGACAGGGAGTCTTTAAATCCAGTCTCAAATATTTTTGACTGAACTTGTGTTTACACTAATTTAGCAACATGAGTAAGACACAGAGTTATTATAAGTTATATATTCATTACTTTGATAAACAGCATACATCTAATATATTTAAGATGAATCTTACGACTTATTTTGTAAAATATATACATTTGATAAAACTTTCTCTATTTTAAAAGACATCGATAAAAGATACTGTACATCTGTCATAAAATTGAATAATTATATGAAAAAAAATTACTGAGTTAAAACAATCATTTTATGCATGAATTCTACATGATAAAATAATTAAATGCTACTGAATAGACATGTTCATGTTTAAAAACTGCTAAAACTATATAAAATTGTCTGCCTATGACTAAAACTTTTTTTTTTTGTTACAGAAAATTATTGCACATCACTGTACACAAGTAATTTAAGTACATATTACAATTTTCATTCTTTATCAAAAAATGATATATATACACATGCATAAATAGTAGTTTGAAAATCCTGTAGATTGGTTGAAATAAATGTTTTAACTTCACATACAGCAATATACATGTAATTTCTTTTTTAGTAACTTTTTCATTGTTGAAATGAAAACAAGATTTCTGATTAGTGATAAAGACAGACCTGTGGTATGATATTTTCCTGTAATTCATCAGGATATAGTGGTTGTGCTGGGAGGTCACAGGTCAGATATAACCAGGGTATCTCAGACATCGTCTCTTGATATTCCTCTGTAAGTAACAATTTCTGCTTCTCATGTTCTGCCTGTAAATATACAACATTACAAATATAAAACTAAAGTTAACTAACTTGTTTCTTGTTGGCTTACACTGATCTCATGTTACTATGTTATAATTAATAATAGCTTTTAATTAAATATGACAAATTTATGTTTGTCAAAACAAGGTTACACTAACATATACTTCAGGGTAGCAAATCCTAGTGACTTTTGAACAAATATACAGCAGAAAAATCTGAAGCAAGATGGACATCATGGCCCTGGACGCTCACCTGAGATACATTGCTAGAAAAGCTCACAATTTTTATTTTTGAATGTTAAAAATAAGCTCATGTTGAGTTTGTCATTTTTTTACCTAAGCTGCCATTTTTTTTTTTAGATGCCTGCTATGAAATGCTTAATGCAAAACAAATATATAAGCTCTTTGCATTGTAGTTTTACAAAAGAGGACTTCATTTGACGGAATTCCATTCAAAAGTTAAAAAGAAACTGCAAAACTATTTATAAGAGTTTGCCGCCCTGCCAGTTTGAGGATCAGACAGGACCTTAATGATCATCAATGATTCTAGTTTCTTATTTCCCCAAATTTGATAAATCAGGTTTGAAGATGAAAAGCACCCTTACACTGGACTGTTATCTAATATCACACAACTGTTATCTGAATTAATGTTCAAATATTGGAGCTTGAATCAAAATATTTTGTTTCATGTAGACAATTACTTCACTTTAAGAGAATGTGTTCAGTGTTTACAGTAGTACGGTTACAATATGAATCATAATAATGTACTAAATCAAGCTATAGTTTCCCTATACATTAACTTTAAGCCCTCAAACTCCATCCCTACACATTGAAAGCTTAGCTTGTGAGTAACTAAATGACTATGATATATTTTCTTTTGTTTTATTATCAGGTAACAACCAGCAGTAGATAAAAATAATATTTAGCACACCTTTTTTATTTACACAGTCAGAATCTGTGATTTATTATATTAGGTTATCAAAGCTTGTAATCTATATATAGGTTATCTAGTATAGGTTAATTCAAACATCTACACCCATCATCTATACTACAATACTCATGATCTATATTTATCCACTTTATAAAAATTTATTTTATAAGTACTTGATCGTAATATAAAACTTTTTATAATATTTCTAATTATTCTTTATCAATTATTAACATCCAATCAATGTTTTTAAATTGTACCACATGACTATCCAATATATTCTCATACTGGATGCTAAATTATTTAAAATATGCATATAATTTGCCTATATTGGACGGTTAAGTGTGTCTTGCATTTTCCATGTAACATCAATGATAAAAGCTGTTGATGACAAAAGTATCTGAATGAATCCTACTAAGAGCATTTCGAATGTGTTGCAATATCAAATACAGCTTCTATAGCCATGTAACCATCTTAATATATTCTCATATTGTACAGTCAAATGTTAAACAACTTACTATTATTCATATAAGTAATTGTTAATGAGCTCAATATACAGTATGACTGATGCTGTCATGAAATCAGACTTTCTATAAAATTTCATCTTTGATCCCTCAAAGTGATGGACATAAATGGAAGCTGAAAAAGTTCATTTAAGAATTTCAGAAACTTATAGGTTATGTTTATGATATACATGTACATACATATTAACATCAAACAAAGTGGTGGTAGATAATTTATGAACAGACCTATACTAAGATTAGGTGAGACATATTTATATGAGATAAATTATATCATACTATATCATGTAATGATATATCATATGCATGGTTTAATGAGGACAACTTAATGAGAACAAATTATCTCTACTCTAATAACAAGCAGAGCAATAAATGATTGCAAATATAAAATTCACATGATGTTTAATATATAAAATATTTACAATTTTTTTAAACTTCAAGCTACTGAAATGAGCATTTGTAAATATACAAGTTTAATATTAATCAAACATTGGATTTAAAATAAATGTGAAAATATGTCTGATGAAGAGAGGAGCTTGATTCAGCAGACAGATGTACATACAAAGAAAGACAACTCCATTAAATTGAAATATGTGATGATAATTCCTGCTGTATTGTTTCTATTAGTTGGAGGTGGAATTCAAACTTATGTGATTAATGAATGGACACAATACAGAATTCGTACAGAAAATTTTCCAAACATGTCTTCTGTACACAATTTTTCAGCATGTAGTCATAGCAACCATTCTGATGAGACCTATAAACACTACAAGATTGTGCAACAGAAGTCTGCACTCTGGCTAGCTATTTATACGACTGCTCACCACATTCCCATGATATTTGCTAACATTATACTACCCACTCTAACAGACACACGAGGTCGCAGATTTCTGTTTGTAATAACATCTCTGGGTATGTTATTTCGTTACTGCATGATAACTATTGTGATATATTTCAAACTGTCATTTATGTTTGTTGCTGCAGCCTATGCTTTAGATGGCCTAACAGGTTCAAGTTACGCTCTATATAGTTCAGTATTTTCATATGTTGCTGATATAACTACAGGGGACAACCAGCGGGTACAAGGTATCGTCTTGATGGAAATTGTGATTGTTATCTCTACAGTTTTATCAAGCCTTTTTTCTGGTTATTTCATAGACACATGGAATTTTGGATTCTTCAACACTGGACTTATCTCAATCTTTATTGCATATGTTGGATTTTTTATTTTTGCTTTTCTTGTACCAGAAAGTTTAAATGAAACATATCAGAAGAAATCAAAATCAAAATCTATTCTAGCAACAGTGAAAAGATCAACACAGTTTTATTACAGTGCAGAATTCAAAGGAAAGAGGACTTGCTATATATTATTATTGCTGTGTTTCATATTTGCTGAGTTAAGTGAGACAAATAGGTCAACTCTAGAAACACTTTACTTCCTGGGACAACCATTTTGTTGGGGGCCATCTCAAATTGGTGTATTCTCTATGGTAAGGCATGCATCTAAGGGAATTATAGGATTATCTGTTCTACATGTATTTCAAAGATTTATGTCAAATCAAGTTATTGCAGCAATCAGTACACTATCTACTGCAGGATCGTATATGATAGAGGCATTTGCTACATCTACAGTGATGATATATATGGTACCCGTGGTGGGAGTGTTAGCTGTTCTCTTGATTCCAATGATCAGGGGAATAATGTCCGCCATGACAGACAATGATAAACAAGGTGCTCTATTCTCTAGTTTGTCTTCAATACAGGTTATATGTAATTTAATATCTTCATATACAGCAAACGGTATCTATGCTGCAACGTTCTCCTTCATGAATGGATTTGTTTTCCTTGTGTTAGCATCTTTTTGTATGATAGATTTTACATTATTACTAGTATATTGTTGTGTCAAACCTTATGATGCAATACAACCAAATGCTAGAACTCACTATACACAACATAGTACTAATGTGTAACACTTTTTGACACATCTCTTTGCTTATTTTGAGGCAGCAACAAAATAGCATAAAATATTTCTGCATAATGTACCATATGTCTCATTTCAATTTTGTATGTTTTATTGTATCTCCCACATACCACCTTAATAAACTATTACATACATCAACTATGAGTTCTAAATCTTTTATCAAAACTAGGTGAACATTGTTTTGTTGAGTTTGAAGTACCACATACTCAATTAAGGTCAAATGGCAACTTTCAAGCCAACTAGTGGTGGAAAATCTCATGTCAGGAAGAATGAAATGACCAAAATGTGACAGGTTTCTGATATTCTGAAAAGACTTTAACATTGGTCTAATATAAATATCATTATACAATATTTAAATGTACTCACCATTTCTAGTGGTGGAACCTTTCTAGAGTACACTCTCATCTTGCCTCTGAATGTCTTGTTGATTATAGAGCTATTCAATTTCTTTGTACCATTTAAAGCTCCATGCAGAGCATTTAGAAACCAGGACATGAATTCCAGGGCATCTCCTGACATATTAAAAAATAATATATGATTATGTTCTAGTTTACAAGGTACTGTTTGTTTATTGTGACTTATTCAATGAATATTTTACATAAGAATTTATTTCTAACCATTAATAACAGATTTCTGTATAAATAAATCTATTAGTCAAACTCCTAAAATATAAAATGCCAAAGACGACTAAACTTGACCAACATTTACAATACCTTCCTTTAAAATAATGATATGAAGATATCTACAAACCTTGCTGTGTTATCTGGAATTTCTTCTTACTGCATAGTACAACAGATTGTAACATTTCATGTGGACTAACGTGAGCCTTGAAATTACGTGGATTCCACAATTTACGTAGCAACTCCCCAAACCTCTGTACCACGAGAAACATCTGGTCACCTGGTGGTCTCTTGATTCCTTTATAACTCTCCTCTTGTAGAAAGTAGTTCCTCAGTGGTGACACATGTGATAGTGCCTTAGATATAGAAATAACAATATTACTATTGTGACATGGTTAACTATAAAGTGCATGTATAAGAAAAGTACATTTTGGAAGTATATAAATATTTCTTACACAATAAAGAACAGACTATAATACATCTTGGCCAGATAAGACAGAGAATCTGAATGAAGTCTATTATTTTTTCACTGATTCACTGGTTGTTGATTTATTCAATACATTAATTATACATGTTTTGGAAAAACACTTTTTTTGAATGGCAAGCGCCTAAATGTATGTTTACTCATGGTGAATTTGAAAGTTTTGTTGGCACTGAACATGTTGATGTTCCAATTTTAAGGTATTTTTTTATATTTCATTTCAGTTCAAGTTTGAAGGCACATTTAATAATTTTCATTTTGTGCAACTCATGGTATGAAAGTCATGTTACAATCATCATAACCAGTCATACTATTCAATTTGACACAGACATAAAACTCCTTACTCTGCTTTTGGATTCTTTATTTTGCTGAATACTTAAAACATTTAATTATGCATGAATGTAATAATACAGACATGACACTATAGACATTATAACAATAAAATAGACTTTAAACTACAAGACGTGTACTTACCTGCAATATAACATTACAGTAGTCATTTGCCTTTATGTTGTTTAAACCAACAATACCTGAAATCAACAAAAACATTACATAACATGATTAGTTTTTAGAGAATTTATTTCAGTTTGATTGTGTAAGAAGATATAAGTTTAACTTTAAAGACACGTTCTCACCTCTGTTCCTTGAATCAACCTGTACTTAAGAAATGAGTCTAAGGTTTTTTGCTTAAGAAACAACAACTTGCCCTTGACAGGGTTTAGACCAACAGGCCAAGAATCCTTAGTTTATAATAAACTTAAACAATATTCTTTGTTTCTGTCTATCAATAAAACACTGTATTTATCCTTTTCCCTGTTTATTCATCTTATAAATTTCAAGTCAATCCCTAAGTTATAAATTTCAAGTCAATCCCTTATAACTATTTTGCACATAACTTAGAATAAAGTAAGTTAGTAATATGGTTCTAGGACATGTCATTTCCTAATCCGGCCTAACTGTTTGAATCTTTAATAAAACAAGAGGGCCATGATGGCCCTGGATCGCTCACCTGACACAACCGCATCCAAGCAATGTCTAAAACAAGCATCATGACCAAGTTTGATGACAACTGAGTCAAACATGTGACCTCTAGTGTGTTATAAAGATTTTTCCATATTTGGGCAATGTGACCTAATTTTTGACCGGACACGACCCATATTCGAACTTGACCTAGAAATCATCAAAACAACCTTCCTGACAAATTTCCAGAATATTTGGATCAAAACTGCAGCCCCTAATGTGTTAACAAGCTTTTCTATTTTTAGCTCCTGTGACCTAGTTTTTGACCGGAGATGACCCATCTTCCAACTTGACCTAGATATCATCAAAACAACCTTCTTGACAAATTTCCAGAATATTAAGATGAAAACTGCAGCCATTAGAGTGTTAAGAAGCTTTTTCTAATTTTAGCTCCTATGACCTAGTTTTTGACCTGATATGACCCATCTTCGAACTTGACCTAGAAATCATCAAAACAACCTTTCTGAAAAATTTCCAGAATGTTTGGATGAAAACTGCAACCATTAGAGTGTTAACAAGCTTTTTCTATTTTTAGCTCCTGTGACCTAGTTTTTGACCAGAGATGACCCATCTTTGAACTTGACCTAGAAATCATTAAAACAACCTTCCTTACAAATTTCCAGAATATTTTAATCAAAACTGCAGCCACTAGAGTGTTAACAAGCTTTTTCTATTTTTAGCTCCTGTGACCTAGTTTTTGACCGGAGATAACCCATCTTCAAACTTGACCTAAAAATCATCAAAACAACCTTCCTGACAAATTTCCAAAAATATTTGGATGAAAACTGCAGCCCCTAGAGTGTTAACAAGCTTTTTCTATTTTTAGCTCCTGTGACCTAGTTTTTGACCGGACATGACCCATCTTCGAACTTGATTTAGATATCATCAAAACAACATTCTTGACAAATTTCCAGAATATTTGGATGAAAACTGCAGCCGCTAGAGTGTTAACAAGCTTTTTCTATTTTTAGCTCCTGTGACCTAGTTTTTGACCGGAGATGACCCATTTTCAAACTTGATCTAGAAATCATCAAAACAACTCTCCTGACAAATTTCCAGAATATTTGGATGAAAACTGCAGGTGCTAGAGTGTTAACAAGCTTTTTCTATTTTTAGCTCCTGTGACCTAGTTTTTGACCCAAGATGACCAATCTTCGAACTTGGCCTAGATATCATCAAAACAACCTTCCTGACAAATTTCCAGAATATTTGGATGAAAACTGCAGCCTCTACAGTGTTAACAAGCTTTTTCTATTTTTAGCTCCTGTGACCTAGTTTTTAACCCGAGATAACCCATCTTCAAACTCGATCTGTATTTCATTGAGACAAACATTCTGACAAAGTTTGATGATGATCCAATCAAAACTGTGACTGCTAGACTTAACAACCCAATTGTTAGAGTGTAAACAAGCTTTTTCTATTTTTAGCTCCTGTGACCTAGTTTTTGACCGGAGATGACCCATCTTCGAACTTGACCTAGATATCATTAAAACAACCTTCCTGACGAATTTCCAGAATATTTGGATGAAAACTGCAGGTGCTAGAGTGTTAACAAGCTTTTTCTATTTTTAGCTCCTGTGACCTAGTTTTTGACCCGAGATAACCCATCTTCGAACTTGATCTGTATTTTATTGAGACAAACATTCTGACAAAGTTTGATGATGATCCAATCAAAACTGTGACTGCTAGACTGTTAACAACCCATTTGTTAGAGTGTTAACAAGCTTTTTCTATTTTTAGCTCCTGTGACCTAGTTTTTGACCGGAGATGACCCATCTTCGAACTTGACCTAGATATCATTAAAACAACTTTCCTGACAAATTTCCAGAATATTTGGATGAAAACTGCAACCTCTAGAGTGTTAACAAGCTTTTTCTATTTTTAGCTCCTGTGCCCTAGTTTTTGACCGGAGATAACCCATCTTCGAACTCGATCTGTATTTCATTGAGACAAACATTCTGACAAAGTTTGATGATGATCCAATCAAAACTGTGACTGCTAGACTGTTAACAACCCAATTGTTGACGACGCACGACGCACAACGCACGACGACGGACGCCAGACATAGCCCCATCACTATACCTCACCTTGACCACTTTGTGGTCAGGTGAGCTAAAAATAACCTTGGATAGTTTACAATTTATGCTATGGACAAACATGAGGGACTCACAAATGGACAGCTTGAGACTACTAACATATCCCTCACTGCCTCTTTTGTGGGGAGGGGGGAGGGAGGGTGATAACAAGGCTGTAAAAACACCATCAGTTACCTGGTAGATATGTTGTACCATCATAAGCCCGAGACATTTTAGCACTTTTATCCAATGTTTGAATGTGTCTAGTGCTGAATGTTGGATTCAGAACATACTGAAATTATAAAACAAATCATATTAATATAGTTAGTAAAATAACTGTTAACTTCAGCTTTCAAGAAATAACATGCTTTTTATTTTTAAAATAAGGAGGTATTCAAATGTCAAAAATTATACTTTTTCCAAGCTGTGAACGAAATATTGCAAATTGAGCAGCCTAATTTATTTTGAAGAATTGCCTTCGATGAAAAAACAAGAAACAAATAATATGGAAAACATTGATTCTGAATTTGTGAAATGCATCAATCGCAACTACTCGGCCCTTTCCGTCAGTCTTCAGATAAGGACCTCGAACACAATAGTATGAATACACAGAACGGATGCGGTATTTCGGTCTAACCTATGCTAAGAAACAAAACATGTAAACAAATAGTAATTTAATGCTGGGAGTTGTTTGCTATATGTAGTAAACTTTCACCTAAAATAAGTGAATTCATAGGTACAAAAGCAAATAATACATTATTTATATATTTATTATAATGGTTGTAGAAACCGAAAGTACAAAAACCAACGGCAACCTGTTGACATTTAGTCGGATTTGTTTAAAATTGTACATCAGTGGGCATATTAACATTACAAATTGTTGTCAGACATATTTTCAAGCATAACAGTACCAAAACAGACATTACTTTTCTTTTGGATGTCAAATATATATACATTCGTTTTACATTATCCTTGTACTGTTTACATCTGAAACCACGTGGTAGAACTACTTTCAATCCGTATTGTTTCCGAGGTTATTATAGATAATAGCCGCGGCATTTCCGAGTGTGAAATGCATTTGACTTAAAACATGGTTACTAGCTTAAGGAATATAACAAAATGAATACATACAATTATATCTTCTAAAGATGAGTCAATAACTTCATAATTATCAGGAATACAATAAAACTTGTGTGTTGATAAATTCAGGAAGACATGATGGCTATCTTGTACACTGTGTGTATATGCATGTGACAACTTTCCTCTACCTGTACAATATAATAAAATACAGGTAAACAATGTAGTATAATAGCTCTATATGATACAGTAACATTAAAATAGTACAAACTAGAGCTGCATCCGTACTAAAGAAACAATATTTGTTGATGTCTTTATTACACACCATCTGTTCTTAAAACATTTTGACAGAACTTTATTACTTAGAGTACAACAATGATCTGATACGGACTCAAAAAAATGATACTGAGGCTATTATTGATATGATTGAATCCAATCATGATTTATATTAATAAATTTTGGAGATCACATGATATACATGTTGGAGGTTCATTGCTTACATTTTAAAAAGTTGTAATAATACTGATTTAAATTGATGTATTGATCATCAATATTAAATTATTTGTCATCAGATATTGATAGATCATCAATATGCTTTGGACAATGGCAGCTCTTGTACAAACATGAATAGAATTGTTCTTATAAAACAACATAATGTGTTTCTGCTTTAAATCAAGTAACTGACATTTGTATTAAAAGAATAATCTTACCTTGGTAATACTTTCCACAAACAAGGCAGGCATAAACATTAATGTGAGATAGAGATACTGAACACAGCTTCTCAAAGTCAAAGTCTAATACAGATCTGTTGATTGTATCAAGATATGGACAAATCCTACTCTTATCAACTTTAGGGTCTTGAACTGGTGCTGAAAATATACAAAGAGATCTAAATAGAAACTTATTGTAGCCTTTTGAAATTGATAATTTTGTTGATTTTAAAGAATTTTTATACTAAAATTAAAATGACACTGAAAATTCAGATTTGTAAAAGAAGTGCTAAAACTGTTGAAGTTAATTTCAGGATAACTTGCTATTATGAAATAGGTTCTCCTGGTTGACAATTTCTCCAAGCAAAAAGTGAATATCTTTGTGGATTAATAAAAATTTTAACATATCAAATGACAAATGTGCCACAAAGAAATTCAAGTTTCCCTGTCAATTTGAAATGGATCCTAAATTACAAAGTAAACATATAAAATTTGACATATATATGTTCAGTTTTTTATCATTATTTTTTGTGTGTGAAATAAACCTAAGTAAGTCATTGCCAAATCCAACAAGGTATTTTGACTGTGGTTTCAAATTTCTCTTCAAACTGATCACTTGTTACTCCCAAATGCTTTTTATTCAGGACATTTACACAAATCTAACAATAAATTGTGGAAACCCTGTCAACTCTTAAGTAATTTTTATCATTGTTACACAAATGTGGCATGTGTAAATCATAAAATGTCTTTAAATGAATTAAAAACAAAAGCTCGTGTTTGATACCACACTTGCCTCTGACCAATTTTAAAAGCAAGAGGGCCATGATGGCCCTGAAATCGCTCAAATCGCTCACCTGAATATAGAAACATTCCATGACAAGGAACAAGTAATATTGTAAACTATAAACATAAACTATAAACAAAAGCAGATATAAAATTTAAATCTTCAACAGGTATCACAGAGTTCATATTTGTATCTGAAATAGTGCATACTGTGTAAAAACATTACTGGTTGCTATTGCTAAGGGAAAACAATAGTTTTAATTATCCAAAGAATGTGTGCATATGAGGATTATATTTATCAAAAATCCAAATTGGACTGACTAAAAGGCTACCATATCATTTACACATTATTTATCAAAATTACAAATTTGACCGTGGCAAACAATATCTCTTGCTCCGTTTGGCTGCATTTACTTTGTGACAGTCTTGGCTATAAAAATTTTGGACGAAGAATGGCTTTATTAAACATTTGACTTCTTTAACATAAATGTGTCTATGGCTTTCCATACATTTTATCAAAATGAAACTCAAAATTGGACCGACCGAGGCAGGATATACCTTTTTGAACTGTGACCTCCTGGCAGCTGGATCACTTTGTGAATAGTAGCCACCTATGTGGCGATTTTCTAAAAATTTTGGGGATCTAGAAGAGCAACCTGAAGGGACAAAGAAGATCGCTCTGAGGGGATGAAAAAACCATGACCGAGCCCAAAAAGTGTTGCACTTTAGAAGTAGGCATTACAGGGGGAGGTCAAAGAAGATATCTTTGAAGATCGAGACAAGAAGCAACGCTTTAAGATCCACCAGATGAGGGAAGCCAGTATTTTTTACCAGGATTTTGGGAACATGACCCATACCCATGGAATTGGGAATTTCAGCAATGTTTAGTTACAAATTGGGAAAAAATGCATGACTTAAATTTCGCAGTGATTAAATGAATGCAAAGAATCACTGTCTAGGATGGCATCTTCAAACATTTTAGCATCATCACAGTCAAGAAGCACTTATTTTCAAAGATTTTAGAATTTGTTATTCAATATTTTTCAGTGTTTTTTCTCACTTTTTGGGGAAGGGGGACGGTGCCCTTTGGAGGAGGAAAATGCAATAGGAGGGGGAATTTTATTTGTTTACTTATATTATTTTGTTTTCTTTGCGGTAGAAAAGGGGAGCAACTCTTGCAACACAAGTTTAAAATACGTCGCTTTTTCTTAATATACGGATCTAAAATATTGATGTGTCGCATGTTAAACTTGTTGGGACACCGGGAGTAGCTCCCCTTACATACCAGAGAACGATTTGTAAACAACCTTGCTTAACAGTAACTCTTACAGGCATAAAATAAAGGTTTTTCGGCGGTTAGTTGCAAAAAAAAAAATTCATTGCAGGAAAATTCGGGCTGCCATTTAGGGGGAAATTTTGGCATACTATTTTGAGGGGGGAATGGGGCCGAATATTTTGGTGAAAAAAAAAACACTGTTTTTATTTTGTAATTTTCAATGGGAATTTTTTTCTGTAGATTGAGAAAATATTATACTATTTTCAATTGCAAATAGGACTGAATATCGGCTATAAAATAACTAAAAGAAATCTCTGGAAGGAGTCCATGGTCTCATGACAGAATTTGAAAACTGGAAGGAGTGAACTTGTCTGTCTGAAATGCATGTCTGAGGCACCGAACAAATAACACCTGTCCAAAGCACCATTGCTTGCCCGTGTATCCGTATGGCCTTTGTCAATGTACCTTGCGCATTTGCTTCTTGATCCTTTATTTTAGGAAGCAACACATTCAAAATCTTAACATAATGCATATAATGGTCTCATTGGCCTACCCTGCATTATTTCATTAAAATATCATAAAAAAGTTTTGCATTCTCCTTGGTATCATTCAGTTAATAACTTAATTCTAATCAAATAGGTAACCACGTTTGATGTTAATATATTTTAAGGGCATGACTGGTGACATGTCAGGGGTCCGAACTCTCAGGGCCTGAAAGGCGGATGGACCCTCATTGAACATAGACTACCTGACCTGACCTGCTGATATGGAGTGTTTCTTTGACTTACATGCCATATTTTTAGGCTAATTTCCAGAACACTTTTCATTTGGAGGCTGGGGGGGGGAGGGGGGTTGCACTGATCAGCAACCATATTGTTTCTAAAATTTACATAGTGGCATACAACTTATATATCTGGTAAAAAATTTCACAACTTGCAAATTTAATGACAACATAAAAAAGGCAAAATGTCAATAATTATTAACAGTTTTCTATCTTCGTAAATTCAATCAGTCACAGAATAGAATAAAGCTATGTTAAGTAAGGACAGTTAGCCATGTCGTTTAGTAAAAATACCTGAAACTTTCCCAAAATCCTGTAGATTTCATCACCTCATATTAAGCGGTAATTTTCATGGTATTTGAGCACTAATAATTGCCTGCAGGCAGATTAGATTTATGCTGGCCAGTTGTTAAAGTTTATTACACCTTTGTTCAGAAAGCCACAAGGGGTAAACAACTAATCTTTCAACTGATCAAAACTGTTAGTTGGAAGGGCCACATAGATTTACCAATCAAAGGAAAATTGTCACCATTTACTGTATATTGCAATGATGTATGTGGATAATCGTTCGTAATTAGTGTTCTAGAATAGTTAATAACGGGCACCGTTAATAACTTGACAATAAGATTACATCAAAATGTAAAATTTCTGGCTGCAAGAAAGATTATTTTAGATTTCTATTTTTACCGCAACATAAATCATCTTTAGGACGCCTCCAGGACAGACACCTTATTTCCTGGACATTCCCTGCCTTCCCGGACGTTATGGCATGTATGTCTTTGATAATTAAGGGATGTCGGGAAGATAAATGGATGCTGCAACTATACCCTTATGCCTGAAGGCATGTCATGCATGACATGCGATAACAGGCTGGCTAGAACACTGTAAAAGTTATTATGCTAAATTTGGTTTAGTTACAATAAAAAAACATGCAAAAAAGGTGTGTGTGGTGGGGGGGCTTACAGACAACTCACCCCCCAGACAATTCACCCTGAGCCATTTTTTCCAGACAATTCACCCATCAGACAGTTCACCCCGCATTATTGGAAAAATGACACAGACAATTCACCCCTCATTTTCTTAAATTTAATTTTGATGAAATTCATCTTAAAATTAGATGTTTGCAATAAACAAATTTTGTTGTGTTTCTTTACTAAATTGATATTTATAAAATATTTAGTCATATTTAAATTAATTATTATAATTTATTACTTAAAAATAATATTTGTTACTATGTGTTAATATTTTTACATATTATTTACATACAAACTGTAAAAATTACAAATATATGGACGAATTGTTAAGTGAAGTGATAACTAGTGATTAGATAGATTCCTGGCAGAGACATGTAATATTCCCCAACCCAAATGATACTAATCCCCATTATATGTGCTAATGACATGAAATGACAATCATGCAATATTTCCCAAACGTCCCGATTATAGTTTACAGGGATAAAAACTAACCATTTAAGCTTGGTGGCCACCTGGGCCACTGACTGTAAAAATTTGGTGGCCCAGTAAATATATTAGTGGACCAACAAATTATGAACAGAAAAAGGGTAAGCACTGGCAAATTTTTTTTAGCCAATTTTTTGGCAACGAAAATTGCGTGCCTGTATTTTTTTTCAAATAAGGCAAAATGGTACAGCATGAGGTATTTAGAAAAACATAAACTATAATGTCCACTTTTATTTTTGGTACCTACATTTTTTATCACATTAACACATCAAACTTATAAAATTTACAGTCAATAATTATAAAAGCTTCCAGCTCAGTAGCTATGACATTTGCCTGGTTAAGTCAGTGGCATGACAGTAACAGCAGAAACACATTCCAATGTGCTGCTTCAGCTTGCTTGGTTAATGAAAAAGAATTGGCTTGAAGACTTTCTGTATCTGAAATAATACAGAAGAAACAAGTTTGAAAGTAAGAAGAGTGAAGAAAATGATATTGAAAATTCTAAACTAAAGAAAATTCAGGAATATAATCACATGTACTACTGTCATTATAAGTGTACAGGAATCAGTATAAGTTATCTGAAGGCATTTTCTGTTTGTATGTTACTTAATGTTACAAAACTTAAATTTGATTTTAAGTCAAATCAAGGTCAATCTTTTTTTCCAAGGAATTCTCTGTAAAGCCAAATGTCAAATAAATTTCTTGTAAAGGCATAATTAGGTTAGAATAAAATGGCAATCAGCCCCCATCCCCCGAAGAAAAAAAAAAAAAAAAATCATAAAAAAACAACCATTACTCTTAGACCGTGTCTACACCTATTCAAGTTTCTTACATGTCGCATTTAGATAAGCTAAATAAATTGCCCTTTCAACATTTTTTCAGGCACAATTTTTACTGAAATGTCTCATTAAGATAGCCCAGGATTTATACCTTTGTCTTTGCAAAACTATCATGTTTCTGTAAAATATGTGAAAAAAAGCGGGAAAATGATGCAATTAGCTATAACAGAATGGAGTTAATGAAATTTGTCATTCTTTTTTAAAATTGAAAATATGTGACAACAAATTATTTTGATGCAAATTCTTTATTTGAGGAAAGTTATTCACTTTAATGAACAAGATCATTTTAAATCCATTTTGACTTTACTTGAAAAAGAGCTCTTTTTTTATTTTTTTACAGTGTAAATTATTTTTATTTATTTATTTTTTTTTTTTTTGCTCTTCTGTGTATCAGTGTATTGGTTTGTTCCTTTGACCAAGACATTGTAATCATTTAATGAAATTCAAAGGGTATGTACACTGAATCAACAACAAAAAGTCAGAAAATAATAAAAATAACAGCACTATCAAACCTCCAGGCACATGTTTTGTGTCAAACCGGTGTTATCAGTGTCTTGACAGCAAAAAACTTGTAGAAAAATAGAACGTGTTCTAACTTTCTTGCAAGGAATTATCTTCTTGGATGTCACATTATTTCTCTTTAAAACTCATTCAAGTAGGGTGTCTACACTATCCAATACAAGAGAATATGATACTTGAATTCAAGACTTGGAAAGGTGTAGACGGGCTCTAATTAACCAATATTTTCTTTTGATCTGTTATCTACAACGATAAGATTTACTGAATGCAAACTTACCGTCAACAGGTCAAGTTGTCAACTGCAGAACATAATTTGTCGCTATTTCATACCCAAACTTCTGATTTGATTAGCGATAATCTTGAGTAATCTTGGGATGCCGCTACTTATTGTTTCATATTAAATATTTAGACCCGATTTTCCAATGCATATTCAACAAACTGCCAGGTATGTTCACTACAATAAGTGTCATATTTGAATGTCAGACATAATCCCCTTCGGACAAAATCCCCTTCACCTACCCGGACAAAATCCCCTTCATGGGTGGACATAATCCCCTTCATTTTTTTGCAAGGCTGGACAAAATCCCCTTCACTACCCGGACAAAATCCCCTTGTTTCATAGGTTTCTAATGTATTATTATGCTCCATAAAAATTGATGAATAATGAACTTTTTTTATTTATTTATAATTATGTATCAATAGTTACCTTTATTTAGTTTAGAAGTTTTCATTAAAATTATGGTAAATTATCAACTGCATAACACATATTTGATTAGGCAATTTCTTTAATAGTTTTAAATTGATTAGTATGAAAAACATTTTCATTAGCCAATAATTGTTTCATTGATTGTATAAGTTGATAATTCTAATTGATAGATACTATCCATTGTTACAATTTCTACTGATGAAAGAGTGATAATTTAATCAAACCACAGATCACTGCACTACTTGATTGATTGTTATGAATGCTTTAACAAAGCAATTTTAATGTGATTTAAATGTTGCTAATTGAATGTGCTTTTCTGCTAAAATATGTTCTACTCATTTATACATTAAGATATTTACTACACAGCATAATGCAGTATGTGGCTCTCATACCCACTTAAAAAAACAAAAATTCCTCTGAGGGGGATTTTGTCCTAGGTAGCAATTTTATGAAGGGGATTTTGTCCACTTCAAAATTTCACACATGAAGGGGATTATGTCCACCCATGAAGGGGATTATGTCCGGATATACAAAAATACATGAAGGGGATTTTGTCCGAAGGGGATTATGTCCGTACACCGTCATATTTATCAGCTGATGTAAACAAATGGCGAGGGTCAGTGTATTAGACTGTGTTACTTTTCATATCGATATTTAATACAGAAGGGGAGGTAAAAATATAAACCAGTCAATGACCCACAAGAAGTAGACTGTGTCGCTGTGTTTTGAGATAAGAAGCGGTAAAGCGGAAATTGAAAATGGAAAACCAGATGTGTACTTTTCCATTATTAAAATAGCAAATGCTAAATTTAGACTGGAGATTCCAAAAGTAATACTTTTTGGAAGTTTGAGCCAATCGTGATTTTCTTGAGCAAATTTAATAATTTTGTAGCCAATTTGCTCCTTTGAATTTTCACATGAGTTGATTTAATGGCGGATATTAATTTAATCTACGGCCGATTTTTTTGGTCGCCGGCTGGACGACTATTTTGAAATTTTTGGTGGCCCAATAACAAATTAAGTCGCCGTGGGCGACTGGGCGACCGCTAATTTTCAGCCCTGAGTTTATACTTAAATGACATAAAATGACATTTTGAAATCTTAAAATATTCCCAAAAAGAAATGATACAATGTGCTTCTTCTTCATGATATTTTGTTGAAGTGACAATCAAGCAATGATAAGGTGTTAAGTGCTTCTGATAAAAAAGTGCATGTAGAATAGACAATATGTTTTTCAACACTTTAAGATAATGGATAATTAAACAGTTGTACATGTTTGCATCATATACAATAAAAATATCAAGACTCTTTAAAAAATGATAGATAAATATGTCTATGAAAAATGCATACATTATGGGCATTTCCCTCAATATAAACTTGATTTGATTGAATAAAATTATATTTTTTGTTGTATACATCATGGTATACTGTATGTGCTTTTTATACAGTTATATTTTGTAAATATGACATAATAGATAAATAAAAATAAATAAATAAATATCTCGACTTTCTTATTCTTTTTTAACCATAAACATGATTATCATTTATGAGGGGTGAATTGTCTTATCTACTTTTGGGGGGTGAACTGTCTTGAGGGGTGAGTTGTCTTGCTTTTTTGGGGGGTGAATTGTCTGGAAGGTGAGTTGTCTTGTTACCGGTGCGGGGGGGGGGGGAATACCTGCAAGCATGTACATGTAAATTTATTGTATTTATTCCATGTTCCACTAAAGATGTAAAAAGTATATAGTGAAATGTCAATCTACATATGTTACCAATTTCTTCTTCATAGAACTTTTCATCTATTTTTTCTTTCTTAACTTCTTTCATTTTTTTCCTTTCTTCTCTACTTCTTTTGGATTTTTTCTCCTTCTTTCTCTCTTTTCTAGTGTCATCGTCATCATTTTTTGATCGTTTAGAAGAAGACTTTGAGTTGCTCTCTGTCTCCGTTTCATTTACTTTACGCTTAAGGGGACTGACTTCTTTGATAGAATCATTATTATCACGCGAAAACGTTACGTTTTCCGCCATGTTTATATTGCTGATGTGTAAAACGTCATTAAAATAGGGGAAATTAGGCTGAACACCCCCATTTTTGGTTTACAAACAATGCGTTTGAGTGATTGAGATTAATAATAGCACAATTTATGATGACGTTTTTAGAAGGAAATGTATTTTTATGAAACCGAGAGAATGTTCTCATTTTTCTTTGTTGATTTTATTGTTGTTTTTGTTTAACGATTGATATATATATTAAAGCCATTCATGTATTATCAACAATGGCGTGTAATAAGCTTGATTTGAAGCATGGCTTCATGAAAAGTATTATCAGAAATCAAGTAGAAAGGTAAATTAATAAAACTAAAACAACTTTTTGAAAATTTGAAGTTAAAAATATTTATTTTTGTTTAAAACAGGCTGGTGAAAATGCCTTATCGGGCTTATGACATGAAAAATCATAACTCTAGAAAAATGATAAAGAGATTTTTTTAATCTGTGTTTATTGAGCATAATATATAAAAAAACAGAAAGAAAAATATTTGGTTAGTATACTGTCCCCTTTGTGTCGGAGAATTATTTCCCCTTTTTCATGTTTATATGAATTAGTAACGATTCGCCACATAACGATTCGCCACAGTCAAATAACGATGCGCGACAATCAAATAACGATTCGCCACAGTATGATTACAATAATAATTTTCTGAGTTTGAATGGCCCTAGTTCAATTAAATCAACAAACTTTTTAAAAATAATTTGACAATGACAATAATTATGTTTCTTTATATTCATAATATGAAGTTAAGGCCCCCAGCTCAGATTTTCAATTCATCTGAATAACATTATTACTGGTGTACATTTGCAAGAATTTCAGTAAGTATATGTTGAAATAAATATTAAATTAAACACAAACATATATGTCAAAGAACGCATGTCGCATATCTAAAATATTTGTTACACCTTTTGGCTTTTATCTAAACAAACCAATCATCTTAGGATTGTTGTAGAAATATTTAATTTACTCCGAAATATTCCTTTTATTCTCTCAGACTTCCCGAAATAAATACCGATAAATTTTGATCAGGTCCGACGAGTTTTTATTCCGGATCGGTCCGACTGTCCGGCTTTTATCCAAGCCGCATGTATACAAAATGGCGTCGCTAAAGGTGCCAAACATCGGAAAAATAAAAAATCTACGTCAGAGGAACAGGCAAAACAGCAGTAAAAGGATAAAAAGAATAGACCTGAGACAAAATTTAATGAATAATAGAAGCAAGATAGTGAATCGTTTGTGTATGATAGGGAGGAGATGAAAATGCGCTGTAAGGAATGTGCCGATTTTTACGGCGAAAAAAATAAAAACAAAAAGTGTCTTAGAATTACAAACACAAGTCATTCTTTGATTTTGATCAATTTTATTTGGTCCGACAGATTTCGTTTCGGTCCGACAGATTTTCATGGTTTGTCAGACCGAATGTCTGACAGTTTTTTTCAACTTTCGGGAAGTCTGTTCTCTGAGAATGTGATTAGATTTCAAAACAATTAAATCATCAATATATCCATTTATACACTCAGATTTTAATACTTATCAATTTTCTACATCAAAATCAAAAGCTGTTATAACAAAGGAAAAAGAAAGAAGTTTATAGCATAACTAGGCTAGTTTAACGTGTATTTGATCATGAATAACTTTCAATTCAATAAAAGATATTTATGTATAATTTTCCAATTTATTTATATATATAACTAACGAATGTTAACTACATATGTGACTTAATTGTACAATGTATTATGTAATTTTGGTAATCAAATAAGTTTGTTTTCATGTGATTTTATTCAATAAAAGCTGTTTTCAGTATAGTTTTCCAGTTTATTTATATCTGGATCTAACCCAGTATATATATAATTAATGAATGATAACTACATATATGTAACTCAAATGTACAATGTGTTATGCAATTTTGGTAATAAAATATGTTTGTTTTCATGTGATTTTATTCAATAAAAGCTGTTTTTAGTATAATTTTTAAAAATTATTTCTATAATTAACGAAGGAAACATAAAATGGAGAAAAAGATTTCATCAACAATTTCATTAACTTCTTTATGCTCCAATTCATTGCGCCAACACCTGTCAGCATACATTTCGTTCAGTTTTCAAAGAAAACTTCAAAATATAATGTTCAGTGTCAAAGAATTGTCAAAAGTATTTATGTCACAAACAGAATATTAAATCCAAATATATAGAAGAAAGGTACTGGCGCAATAATCTTGAGCAAAATGAAGTTGTTGGACACATTTCTGTTAGGCATTATACATTAGAACATAATATTTAAGGACTTCAAAAACTATGTGTTATATAAACATGAAAAAAGGGAAATAATTCTCACGGTGTACGGACATAATCCCCTTCGGACAAAATCCCCTTCATGTATTTTTGTATATCGGGACATAATCCCCTTCATGGGTGGACATAATCGCCTTCATGTGTGAAATTTTGAAGTGGACAAAATCCCCTTCATAAAATTGTTACCTAGGACAAAATCCCCCTCAGAGGAATTTTCGGTTTTTAAAGTGGGTATGCGAGCGACATACTGCATTATGCTGTGTAGTAAATATCTTAATGTATAAATAAAAAAGCACATTCAATTAGCAACATTTAAATCACATTAAAATTGCTTTGTTAAAGCATTCATAACAATCAATCAAGTAGTGCAGCGATCTTGGTTTGATTAAATTATCACTCTTTCATCAATAGAAATTGTAACAATGGATAGTATACATCAATTAGAATTATCAACTTATACAATCAATGAAACAATTATTGGCTAATAAAAATGTTTCATACTAATCAATTTAAAACAATTAAAGAAATTGTCTTATCAAATATGTGTTATGCAGTTGATAATTTACCATAATTTTAATGAAAACTTCTAAACTAAATAAAGGTTAACAACTGATACATAATTATAAATTAAAAAAAGAAAAAATCATTATTCATCAATTTTTAGGGGGTATAATAATACATTATTCATCAAATTTTATGGAGCATAATACATATGAAACGAGGGGATTTTGTCCGGGTAGTGAAGGGGATTTTGTCCAGCTTTGCATAAAAATGAAGGGGATTATGTCCACCCATGAAGGGGATTTTGTCCGGGTAGGTGAAGGGGATTTTGTCCGAAGGGGATTATGTCTGACATTCAATTCTAACAAAAGTGACAGTAACCAAATATTTTTCTTTCTGTTTATATTATATTTTATGCTTAATAAACAAAGTTAAAAAAAATATCTTTAATATTTTTATAGAAAATTGATTTTTAATGTCATAAGCCCGATCGGGCATTTTCACCAGCCTGTAAAAGTTCTAGCTATATGAGTCTATACACACACTGTATACCATAAAATATTCTATTCCATTCTGTTCTGTTTTTTTCTTCAGTGATAGATAAAAGTAGTGGAGACATTTATAATAAATTAATTTAACCCTTTACCTCATATATACGCGAAACAACGCACTTTCAACCCCCACCCCCTCTTTTAGGCCTCAAAATAGTGAAAAAATGTCCTTTTTGGGCCCCAAACACATGTTTTCGTTTGAGAAATGTTAATAAAAAAAATTGACTACTTTTTCGGCACGGCCCCCGTACCAAAAGATACATCAGGGGGTTGCCAGAAGGGGGATGTGCCAAGAAAATTTTGGACTTGTGAGAGGCTAAAAATGACCCCAGGTCGATTATAAGGTAAAGTGTAACCAACGCTGAAAAGCATTTGAGTCTATCTTTATCCATTGAGAAGTTGCAGCACTTTGAAATTAATTTTGATGTAAAAAATCAACGCAAAATAGTGATTTTTGGCAATTTTGTGATGTCCCCTCGTTGCCATGGTAACAGGAAATTTAAGCCTGAACATGTTGTTACAAAGGCAAAGGTCCAGTCAACATTTGTGCCAAGTTTGATTAGTATTGAAGCAGTTTTTATAGTTTTATAGCAATTTGAACTTGTAACGGGAGACTTTTCAATGAAAACAGCCATTTTTCACAAAATGCTCATGAAGTAATGGGTTAAAAGAAAATTGTCCTGTCCATGAGTCAGATTTCTCTTGATATGAACTGATTACCACCAATTGAATTTATATTATTTTAAAAATACACCCATTGACTGTCTCTTTATGAAGTATGTAAATAACCGCGGTATATCAAGTGAATAAGACAAGTTGTTTCCCTTATCTTCGAGTAAAATCAGTATCTCTATGCGAAAACAATGCAAATTTAGCTGTTTTAAACCGCTAGTTTTGGATCTAATGTCAGGTTTTAAAATTTATTACACCAATGAAAAGCTGGTGATCTTAGCTTCGTCACAGTATATATTTCAACACATTGTTTGACTCTAAAGCCTAAGGCATTTAAATTTACAGTAGTCAGACCATTTTACATACATTTTATACAGTGAAATACGCATCCGGTTATCTTTACTCGCAATTCTACTGGTAAGAAGAGTCTAGCTCAAATTCAAATATGGGTCATCTGCAGTCCAATATTAGGTCACAGCCCAAATATGGAAAAACCGTGTTAACACTCTACGGGCCTCTTTTTTGGTCCAAATGACCTGTAGGTTGTTTAGATGATTTCTATCTCAAGTTTGATATGGAAAAACCTAGTAAACACTGGGGCGGCTATATTTTCCGTCCAAATGTCCTTGAAACATTTGAGGTTTTTTTCATATTTTTTTCTGGGAGAAACCTTGTTTTGCACTGTTTTAGTTGCAGATAGGAACATAATGTTATTAATTTAAGATACTGACATTTTAATCGTTTTCATCTATTGCTAGCAATATTGATTAAGAGCCTAATCAGGTAATCGATATAAGGGCCATCATGGCACTCTTGTTTAAAAAGATTACTGTGTGACTACTTAAAAGAAAATTATTTGGGACTAGCATCATTAACAACTGCATTGATAAGATTAAAAGAAAAAAAACTCAAATCAGTTTCATCTTTTTAGATTAAACAACAATCGTTACATCCTGTGGCAATTTATTATAGTTTTTACATATTTTACTAGACTTGGAAAGTTGAAATACATGAATATATATTAATATTTTGATCATATAGAGAGAATTATTAAAAGATATTAAAAGATAAATATTTCATGACATAGATACATGTATATTAAAAGTATTGATATTGGAATTCAATATATTTTATTTAAGAATAATAAAATCAAGTATAAAGTTTTAAAAAGGATATATTTAATTCTAAAAAAGCATCTGATGAACAACAGATTACAGATCTTTTGTAAAATATCTCACTGAACAACAAAGTAAGAATTAACATTTAAAACTTTACCAGCGATATTCATCATGATTGAAAAATGATAAAACACGCAATGATGCTTTTAATTTCATTAAATAACTTCATTACTTCATCACTAGGACAGACAGTCCTTTGAAACTCTATTTTTGAAACAACTACTCAAAGTCAGTCATTTTAAAGTTTGAGTTGAGTTGTCTCCATTTATCTTTTGAAATTATGATAATTATATGTTACAGTTTACCCAACTTTCACACCTTTTTGAAGGTGATGGCTTTTTGGAAGAGATTATCCCAAATTATTTGCTCAAGTTAGCTTTGAGTAGTACTTTTAAACTGACATCCAGATTTGATTGAATCTTGAAAGTTCTCTTTACATACCATAAAAACAAAAATTCTTCAAATTTGATTTATTAAAAGTTTAGATCAAGCTTTGAGTTTGAGTGGTTCTGTCAGAGCTAACATTTTTATAAAAAATCATTTCAGAAACTTCACTTTATGTTTTTTAAAAACAGGTTTCTTCAAGTTTGATTAAGGAAAAAAAAGTATAAGAAGCAAGTATATATTAATTCTGTATAGGTACTTGAGGAATAATGAACAGGCCAATTAGACCTTTTTTGTGGCGCAGCAGGTATGTTTTCTATCATGAATTATGTATGATACAGTCTTTGAGTTTATGTCAATTTATACAGTTCTAAAGTTCTTTTTGCTCTGTCCATGTATCTATGTCCTGAAATATTTATCTTAAAACATCTTTAAATAGTTCTATTTATATAGATATTTATGATATAATCAAATATTTCAGGGATAATTATGACAAAGAAGTGAAAGCCCACAAACAAGACAAGAGACACCAGTTTTCTTTCAATAATCGACCAAGACGACCAGAAGCACCAAGGTATATCCCTCCAAAGAGAGAAAACTGGGACCAGCCTGAACAAGAATCATCTGAAGGTAAAAAAGAATTTTACAAGATTACTAGAAACTCTTAAATACTTCACAATCTAAATTTTTTTTTCATTTATAAATTACTCTAGATGAATTACTGAAGATTTATTTTTGTTACCTTTGGAATGAAAAAACAATTCATAAAATGCTTTTTTTAGATGATTCTTATATTTATTAAAGCAAGAGCTATTCTTTTCACTTTGATGTTCACATCACACTTTTGGTTAAAGTTTTTAGTACAACCCCACCTTTTTCCAGTACAAGCCCACCTTTTTCCTTTTAGATATTGTTTGAAACTTGGAATACTTTATGAAAATCTTACTCAATGCAAAGAAGGAGAACATAGCTCTGTCATGAATTTCTTATAAAATTGTACCCCTTTTTCGATTCATAATTTGTTTCAAGTTATTCCTTTTTGCTCTTTTGCAGTTAAGAATATTTTGTTATGTTTTGCTATATTGTGCCACACATAATTAATATTTGTCTTCACCTGACTTATTCAATACTTTTTTCGCTAAATTAGTATCAAGTACAGTTTGAGCCTGACTATTCAGAGAATAAGAAGAACTATTTTACTCACTTAGGTGATGCCATCACACTTTGGTTAAGTATGTGCATGCAAGTTGAGGTCTCCAAAACTACAGAAGGGAATGATTTTAAATTTAAAACACTTATTTGAGAGCACAATAAGAAGATATTGTGTAGATTTGACAGAATTATGCCCTTTCTGAAGTTACAAAATTCTACATTATCCAGGGTCTTGTATTACTATTAGGCACTAAGAATTGTCAGGCGCACTTTCCTACAGACAGCTCTTGTTAACGTCCAGTTCTTATTTCATTATCAAGTACCTAATATAGTATTTTGACTTACCAACTCTTCTTTTCTTTACTAAAGTTAATCATTTTCAAGGTATTTTATGACACTTCTACGGATAGAGACTGGATTTTGTACATTTGTCTTTTGTACAGTTATTCTACAGTGAATGAGCAAATATTGATTTTATTTCAGAGGATGATATGCCTAAAACCTTATTCAGGTTTGAGTTTGAAGACAAAGATGGTAAAGTTTATAAACAGTATGTGAAAGAGGTATGTTTTGACTGTTTAGAGGAATCAGATTTCTCTAACACATTTGGTAACACAATCTACTGGTCATCTCTCTAGTTCAGAATATATCATAATAATATGATTAAAAAGTGAACATATTCACAGCAACATACAATTAACAACATTTTCACATGCAGTAAGAATGCTTTATCAATTTGATGTAAAATACTATTATGTAGTCTATTGACAATTCATACATGTAATGGTGGTGGTAGTTTACTCTCTCTATCATGATGGTAAGCTACTTCAAATTCAACAGAGCACAGTTCAGCCAGCGCATTGTTCCTGGGCAGCCTGTCAAGCAGTTAACCAGTACTTGAGTTGCATTCACTTTTGCAAAGATTTGATAACTTTTGTCTATGCCAAAACAGAGATACAGTGTGAATGACCATAGCAAGAATTTCATGATCAATTACAACATAAGTGACCTGCAACATTCAGAAATCAAACCTGGGTCGCTTAATTCACAGGCCCACACACAGTTTGAAACATGTTAGGATGTTTTGAATCTGTTAAATAATATTGTAAAGTCAGAAATTTTTGTGAAAGATTAAATTACCTAATTTCTAATTTTGAACAAATTTAACAAAACTGTGGAAATATTTATTGTATGGTAGCTTATATTTCAGAAATGCTGATATTGGAAATATCATTTTATTATTTTCAGGGAGTACAGGCAGAAGTGTTAGCAATGAGAATGGGATATGATAGAAAGTTGAGTAAAGGAATGGTTAAAGCTCTAGAACAAAGATTACAAGCTGAGATTGATAAAAGAACAAAATCATGACAGGAGTCGAACATCTCACCTCACACACATGACTTGCAAGCCACTATACCACCTGCACTCTGACCTCAGCTTGTTACAGTATACACTGCCACAACCGCTAGTGTGCCAATATAATCAATGTTAACACCTCATCTGTTTTGATAACATACTTGTTTAATGTATCTTTGATAGATATTGTGTAATCAATTGAATATACATGAACCATTTCAGAATGAAATATATTGATAATAGGATTTATAATTTATAATGTATGTTGCCATATATAAAGCAGCATGTAAAATTTCTGTTTTAATGCACACAGTATCTTTTGCTGTACTGGCTTCTTTTTAAATGGTTGATTTTATGAATTTTTTCACAGAAAGACAATTTGACTGTCTTTACCCTTAAATCTTGATTCATCCAGACTCTTGAACTTTGTTATTGCTGTTATATGCAAGACTGGTTTAAAATTTGAAAATAAATAAGCATTAGAAATAAATTATTTTGAGGTGTTTCTTTTTAAAACTTCAGTTAAAAGTGACAGTTTTAACTTGTTAGTATAAACAGTTACCCTATTATGATATAACCCTAAGAATTTTAATGCAAGCATCCTTGTCTTGTAATTCATGTTATTAGCAAAGTAAGTACAAAATTAGAAGGCAATATACTAGTATTTGATTATAGTGCTTAGATTCGCAGTACTGGGCCTATTTTATACAATTTGATTTATTTTAAAGGATGATACAAATTTTAAAGCTGTGGGTTGCTAGTGTTTCAAAGTTAAAGTTTGTGAAATTTTAATAATATTTTATAATTATAAATGTTAGCATATCATTTTGTTGTATTTTTGAATCAACAACTGGCTCTAAGTCAAGTTGTTTATTTATTATTTATGTGTATTTATTGTAATGTTTTTGCTCCCTTAAACTGTTTACAGGGGAAAGCAGTTGCCACTTTGTCTTTCCTATGGTCTTACAACCACATCCACATGACAAACATAGTCATAGAATTTACATGTATCAACTCATGATATTTTATATTTAACAAATAATACATGGGCTTGAGGGCAATATGCAAGTTTACGGACTGGTTGGTCAGACTGAGGAAGGTATATTCCTTCTGAGGTCTGACCAACCAGTCCGTAAACTTGCATTTTGCCCGAAAGGCCATGTTTTATTTGTTATATTATACCGAATCTAAATCCTTTCATCCATTTGTTTTTTTTGCTGTCATTTTACTATTATTTGCTTGAAATAATAATTTTACTTGTTCAGTGTGTGAAATATCTCAAACCCTAGTCGGATTTTGTTTTATTATTTTCAAGCGATGCAGCAAATAATCATGCTCTTCTTTTAATATTCCATTTTTAAAAATCAAATTAAATATTTAATTTTACCAGGCAAAAAACCCGGACTTTAAGAATTTCACAAACTGTATAAATAAAATTTATAATTAAATTAAAGACAAATCATGACTTTTGATCAACATGTAATGAATTTATGTCTCTGATAAAAAGGTGAGTCGCCTGGCCATTTTGGCAGTTATCGTCTGTTTGTGCATATGCAAATGAGGTATAATATAATATATTATGCCTTTCATTGATGATATTTTATATAATAAATTATACCTTTCATTGACCTGTATCTTTGGATGAGTTTTAATGTCAATAAATTGAAAAAGCTGTTCAGATAGATAGAATTTTTATGTAACAATTGTGAAATTGATGTGTTGCTAAGTTTTAAGATTGCCTTAAATGTTTTGCCTGTAATTGCTATACTGTTGTTTACATGGCAAATTTATTGTAATATTTATTAAAGGATTTTACATGCTCAGTATTTAATGCTCCTGTGGCGGAACAATGATATTTACACATAAAAATTGTAGCTTGAGTTGAAAATACATTTTAAAATTTGTTATTGAAACACTTTTTAAAAGGGACTGGTCATTATAAGGTGGCCTTTATTTTCTAAATCAGAATAAAGAGTTTAAAAGTTTTGTTTTTACCGGTATTTAGCTTAGATGTAGTGTAGTCTTCTTTGACGAATGAGTTATTATTATCAACAAGATGTTAAAAACATTATCATTTATTATAGACTTATGAATGAAATATTGATGAAATAAACTGCGTATTTGCATTTTACTTAGTTTCACTGTAAAACATTAATTTTTCACTGCAGTGAAACATATTTTTTTGTATTTTCACTGGTGTCTTGTCAGACTACTTTCCTTTAAATTCAGCCAATACACAAAATTTAAGGGGAAATTTTTCAAATTGTAATATCTAAAAGAAAAATGTATATAGTGATCAGAAAATTCAAGTTTTTTTTTCTATAAAAACATTTTTGTACAGGATTTATTTTCATACCACACGATGAAAATAAATCCTGTATTTATAGAAAGAACTTGAATATCCTTTATTTATTGTTATTAAATGAAGAATATTGCAGTAGTTTTTGTATGAAGAAAATTTAATAAAGCTAATTTTTAACACCATTTATAATACCATTTATTTAATGTATGTAGTAGTTTAAAGTGTTTTTATAATTTTTGTTAATGCATGAATATTTCATTTAATTCAACCTGTAGACCATTTACTAAACTGAGCAAAAAAGAAAGATCTGATTTCAATATTATGTCATGATATTATTTTGTGAAAAATGAATCTCTTCTACAGATAAGTAATTATAATTATTTCAATAGACTTTCCAGTAGCTGGTAAAATGAAAAATGATATGGCCTTTGTTTTGTTTAGCTCTATTTTAATGTCATTATCTTGATATTTCAAAGAAAACATGAACATATTTCACATTGTTTTGTTAATGATGTACAGTAAGATTTTATTTTTTAGTAAGTTTTTGACAGGTAACTTATTAAAGGAACTTCACTAAGGTTCAAAAACAAAAAGGTCTAAAAACGTGAAATTTTACTTTCAAACATAGATCAGCTTAAACTTATTTTGATTTTCACCTGTTCACTAACTATATATCCCCAGATTGTCATAATGTCACTTAAAAGGACCTTTTTTCTATATTTAAAGACATTTGTTCAGTGGTTGAGATTTTATATTGTTAAGAAATTAAGTTAAAGTTTAAGAAAGAGTTATTTTGTTTTGATATAGAAAGGAAATTGTGGTGTTTTGATATTTGTTATATTTTTACTCAACATGACATGTACTGAATTGTAAATAACATATTTATACACCTTAATCTAAATGGTAATGAATTGCAAATAACTCATTTATACACCTAAATAATTGTACAGTGTAACTTCCGAATTCCGGAACTTCTGAAATCCGGAAACTTCTAAAAACCGAACAATTTTTTCGGTCCCGATTTTTCCCCTTCTATTTTCTATTAATATAATACTTCTGAATTCCGGAACTTCTAAATTCTGAATTCCGGATGATATTTTTGTAAAATTAGAGTCAAATCAATGCAATTTTACCTCCAAAAACCGGAAATATTCAAAGGTGTGAAATACATTGTAATTCGAGAATGTTTACCCTGCAGGAAGATTTAATCTCCCTATCGATTGTTTACTAATTAGCGGTGATCGTGTAATTTGACACGCGTTAAAATCACAAACTATGAAATGGTATGTTTGAAGTGATGCGGTTAATCAAAGTAATTTACGGCGGTCAGTTAATTTGAAGTGTTTATTACGGTTTAAATGACAATTATTTGGACAATGTATGCATCAAACGTCTGTAGGGATTTTATTGCATTTGATGTAATTATTAATTAACTAGCATCGGACGATATGTAACTTGTAAGTTTATGCAATTAACAACATTTATACAAACTGATAGAAATTCAAAAACATTTGCAGGTACTTTAGATAAAAATGTATTCTTTTCATTCACATCTTTATCTTGATTAAAAGACTATTATATATGATATTACAGTTATGGCCACATCTTCCTTGATATTTAGTGATATTAAAAAAGTGGCTTAGTCTTGTCCACATTATCATAAACCTCTGAATTCCGGAAACCTCTGAAATCCGAACTTTTTGACAAGTCCCATGGGTGTTCGGTTTTCGGAAGTTACACTGTACTATTATTAAATATTGATCAATATACCCCTGACCTACACAACAAAGTTTAAGGGGTGTATACTGGAATCAGCTCGTCTGTCTGTCTGCCTGTCTTTAATTAATGTTTGTCAGGTACACAACTAGGTATCAACATACATCATAAATGGATAGATCCCATTGAGGTCTATAAGCATTAACTATCCTGTGCATAATTTTGGAGTTATAGCCCTTTGAAGTTTTCCTTCCGAAATATCTTGAGTGTAACTGAAAAAGTGTTGGCAATATAAACTTCAGACATTAGATGAGTAGATCTCATTGTAGTAAATGTAGTTTTCCAAGAACCAAGAATCTTGTATAATTTTACAGTTACTAACCTTTGTATGTGTAGTTTTTAGAAAATAGCTTAAGCTATAAAGTTTAGAAAATATGATGTATCAATTATACCATATTGACAAAGCTCAAAGAGGGTATCTTATTATGTCTCCCCCACCTCGGGGGGAGACATATTGTTTTTGCCCTGTCCGTCCGTCAGTCCGTCCGTCAGTCCGTCCGTCCATTCTTCGTTTCCGGACGATAACTAGAGTTCCTTTTGAGCAGATGATCCCTATTGTTTTTGGGGTCAGTAGTTCAAAGGTCAAGGTCACAGTGACCGTTGGTCGCCGTCCGTCCATTCTTCGTTTCCTTTTGACCTACAGCTCTCAAACTTCATGGGATGAATGGTCTTATTGAGCAGATGATCCCTATTGTTTTTGGGGTCAGTAGTTCAAAGGTCAAGGTCACAGTGACCGTTGGTCAATTTCTCGTTTCCGGATGATAACTAGAGTTCCTTTTGACCTACAGCCCTCAAACTTCATAGGATGATTGGTCTTATAGAGCTGATGATCCCTATTGTTTTTGGGGTCAGTAGGTCAAAGGTCAAGGTCACACTGACCGTTGGTCAATTTCTCGTTTCCGGATGATAACTAGAGTTCCTTTAGACCTACAGACCTCAAACTTCATAGGATGATTGGTCTTATTGAGCAGATGATCCCTATTGTTTTTGCGGGGTCAGTAGTTCAAAGGTCAAGGTCACAGTGACCGTTGGTCAATTTCTCGTTTCCGGATGATAACTAGAGTTCCTTTTGACCTACAGCCCTCAAACTTCATAGGATGATTGGTCTTTATAGAGCAGATGATCCCTATTGTTTTTGGGGTCAGTAGGTCAAAGGTCAAGGTCACAGTGACCGTTGGTCAATTTCTCATTTCCGGATGATAACTAGAGTTCCTTTTGACCTACAACCCTCAAACTTCATAGGATGATTGGTCTTATTAATCAAATGATCCCTATTGTTTTTAATGGTCAGTAGGTCAAAGGTCAAGGTCACAGCGACCGTTGGTTAATTTCTCCTTTCCGGATGATAACTAGAGTTCCTTTAGACCTACAACCCTCAAACTTCATAGGATGATTGGTCTTATTGAGCAGATGATCCCTCTTGTTTATGGGGTCAGTAGGTCAAAGGTTAAGGTCACAGTGACCATTGGTCATTTTCTCATTTCCGGATGATAACTAGAGTTTTTATCAGTGAGGACATTTAACTATTATTGATATATCAGTGATATATCAGTTGTCTGGTTTTATATACTCTGTTCTTTTATCTCCATTTCCATTCCTGTTTCCATTCACAGTTATTCTCAGCAGTGGGGGAGACATGCGCTTTTTTACAAAAGCATCCTCTAGTTAGTTCCTACTTTTGTACAATTTTATTTTGTTATCTAGCATTGAAAATTGTATATATGTTGTTTGAAAGAAATAATTTGTTTAAGATAAATTTACATATTGTTGTAGTGGCTTAGTCAATCCTATGCATGCATTTATATACCAATTTCAGTTAAAAACTGAAATAATAAAATCATTTTCAATAACTATCTCTATTATTTTCTCTTTATGTTAATCATTTTCTAGTGTTGAAAAATGAACTTACTCAAGCATATGATCCCTTGGATCAGTAAATACAACATAATATGAAAATTGCAGACTGTTTGAACGAGCCGGTTTATGAGAAATGATGTAGAAGTACAACAAACTCCAGTCAGCAGTTTAAAATAAATGAGCCGCTTCATGACAAAACCAACATAGTGCGTTTGCGACCAGCATGGATCCATGCTGTTCGCTATCAGTTTCTGTACTTGTTATAGAGTTTGTAAGCAAACGCACTATGTTGGTTTTGTCGTGACACGGCTTAAATAATTATGTTAATTGACTGTCAATAAACCTTTATCTCTCAGAGATTACGTTTGATATATTTGAAATATCATTGAGAAGACTTCGAACTTTTCTCTACCACAATTACGTAACTGACCGGTTCTGTGTTGAATCCCAAAAATGTTATTATTGTTATATATCATGAAGTTATTTGAATAACCAAAAACAGTCCGTCCGGGTATAGCCTAGTGTGAAGCTTTCTGTTATCTTGTAATTAATGATGGTATTGCATATCAAACTGCTAGTTTAATAATATACTGATATTATAAGAGATTTTCAAAAGAAAAGAAAAACGGACTCGTATTGTTCTTTTGTTCTATAAACAAATGTTCAAAAAATACAATGGCACTATAATAACTAACAACTATAGCACTGCATGATGCAGAGACAGGGTCTGCAGTCTTTGTTTTATATACTAGGTCTGTATCATTTAACAGAAATTCCTTAATTCTCTAACCATTGATCTACTGTTCTATACACACGTTTGGATGTTCACAGAATAAATACAGTTCCATAAATACATTTAATATCATACAGTCCCAATGTAGTTCACATTATTTTTAATTAAAGATCCTGTATGTTGTAATTAAGGATGTAACAACACTTGAGTGAAATTTTATATATGTACATAATTATTCTTCAAAAACAATTTTCAAACATCCAAGAATATGTTAAATATGTACTGCAAATGTTTATTCGCATTATAAGTAATCATTAAAATATATGCATTCATTTCTTTTTGAAACATTTGGCTTAGACTTTATAGAAAATAAATTTCTAATTACCTCCCTTTAATTACATGAAATGTAAATTCGGTAATATATTTACAAATAATGATTCAATATTGATAAATCTTTATTTTATCATCATATTTATGATATAAAACCATAAAAAAATTGAGTTACAGGATCTTTAAACTGACAATTTAAATTAAAATATTAAAAAACTCTCGGTGCCAAAACGGGTACGTTTACACTGAAGGATGGGAATCATTAAAACATCCAAAATGTTGACATTTCCAGGTTAATGCCACTTATTTGGTACCTTAGATTTGATTTCAAAGACATTCTAGACGGATGCTTAGCACACTATAAATAACGACAGTCTCTTCAAGTTGGCATAATCATTCTCTGATTAAAATAAGTTATTTGCGGAGAAACATCAATGAAATATTGTGGAACTGTCGTCTGGTAAACTGATTTAAACATTATATGAATGGTATTTCGAGTCCATTTGGGAGGTTGAGACGAGACATATAATCGTTTTTCTTCCTGTTGCTTTAACTGAGAGATATAAATCGATTGCATTTTCCTGAAAATCTCCGCTCACCAGGCACTACGTCTGATCACGTGTGTATAGAGATATACCAGACTATCTGAGAGAAATCGGCATTCAATATGGTGGTTATAGAAAATATGTTGTCTCTTTAAATGAACGAAATTCTGAGGAAACTGGAAATATTGATGGAAAACAGAAGTAAAGTTTGTTTATGCTTATTATACTTTTGTGTTTTAATCATATATTCGTAACATCGGCTGTTAGTGTCAAATTAAATACTCGCGATGGTATTGAAAAAATATTACCGTTGTCTATACGTAGAAGATTTTTTTTATTTCTTTTATGGCTTTTAAAGGAAACTGAAATTTTAGGAAAAATTAACTTATATGACATCAGCGTCTTACTGATTTGTAGAAATGCTAAGATGTAGATGTTTTGCTTCATTTGTACAATATGTACTAGTTTTCTGACCAGCCTTTATATACAACATTGTGCGGAAAACATCGTGAATTACCGAAATATGACGGCAGCGGCGCAAAGATACATTCAGTAGATTCAGTGCATTATGTTCAAAGTTAAACTAACAAAATTGTCCACTTTAATTAAATGTAATAATGTCTCTTTTTTCCAGAGGAAATGTCAGAACAAGCGTCTAGTGAAAATGCCCCTTTGAAAATTTCTGTAGACACCACAGACACACTGGATTTGACACCTGACAGTATTTCTGAGGAAAGGGAACCGGAAACAAAACGGCCGCCTTTTCAGATAGTATGGCGGAACGCAGTAATAATGGTGTCACTACATCTGGCCGGAATATACGGCGTATATCTCATACCAAAAGCCAAAATATCCACACTTGTTTGGGGTGAGTATTTTTATGTAGCATGATGTAATATCATTTACAGAAATTAAAATATGGCTGTTCGGAAAATATAATACTTTTTAAACGGTAGTGACCTTCAACAAATAATGCTGCGTTTAACTGTACATTCACAATAAGCCTACAGAACATTTGCACACGTTACTGGACTTTAAAGAACTGATCGATATGATTATTTACTATTTACAGTTGTGTTATTTTGATGTACTCAATTATTACAGTCAGTTTGTTCAAAACATATTTTGTTATCAACTCCTTCGCCAAAAGTTACTATCCCAGGACATGGAGCACGCATTCTTGTTAGGATCTTCTAGAAATTTTTGGATTTAGAATATCTGAATCCCATGTGACAAAGATTAATGTCCTAATTCAACACTAACTAGGTTGTTTTGTTCACTGGCCCAATGATGCTGAAATATCGGTTTCTCCGTTGTCTCGGTATACGTTTAACTTTTTGGAGAAATGAAGATCCTGGCATTAATATAATCTAATGACTTGTTTTGTATCGGCTATGAGAATACTCTAGAACATGTCTTGTATAGAAACATCATATATCGGAGTTTTGCCGATTTTCTAGCAAATAACAATTTATGTATCGATTTGTACACAGCGTTTCCTCTCAACTTGGATCTCTGAAGGAATTCATCTGCAGTTACATGTTATAGACGGGAAATCTATACGCTCACAAGTTATAACCTCCTCTTTGTTGACACATACAATATTAATTTGGTAATAAAGATGTTTACGAAAGGGAGGTGTCTGTTACGTACCATCGTGAGACTTTGGGGAAATAGCCTTCTGATCTTATATATTAATTAGTGTGGCGTTATATAGGAGCTTATTGTAATCAGATTGGGGAATAGCGAGCAATCACCTTCCTAGAAACTACGTTGTATTTATATATTTATTTTCTGTTTTCAGCTTATATACTTTATTTATGCGGAGGGCTCGGTATAACTGCTGGTGCTCACAGGCTCTGGGCTCACAGGTCTTATAAAGCGGAACTGCCTATGAGGATTTTACTTGCTATATTTAACTCACTGGCTTTTCAGGTATAAATAGTTTGATGTTTAATTATGAAATGATTTTCTTTCGTCTATCAGTCTTTTTATAAGTATTCTTGTTTTTATTCATGTCACTTTGTCACGCACCCGTCTTTAGTTGTAGTAGCAGGTCCGTTTCCGCCCCATTGTCAATCTAGAATAATAATAGCTGTTTAGATAGGTATTTTGGTCTGAGTATCACACTCAAAATTTAATGATCTTTAATTACTACCACGTTTTTTAGCCAGACTTGTTTTCGAAGAAAAAGCAAATAGAGGTATTGTTACAGCCATGGCAGCGTTACCGATGCCGTTTCTGTTGCCGTACGCAAACTTTAACCTTGATCAAAACCTTTTAAGTTGTTGGTGTATTGTCTTTATACATGGCCACAGAAATCTTGGACAAGAACGTCTAGTAGATCTATTTAAACTTGACCTTCGTTCATAAATGACATTGACCTTCAAGGTCTTATGTCTAAATTTTGCTGATTTTTTTCTCTTAGTGGCTATTACTTTGTTATCTTTTTCATGGATTATCTTCAAACTTGAACACAATAATCCCAAAGGACAAACCTTCAAGTTAATTAGGCAGACCTATACCTTCACCTGAAGGTCAAATTATTGAACGCGTCTCTTTTTTGCTGTAACTGGCCTTGTACATCAAACTCAATTGACCTTGTCTCATTTATAATCTTGGCCTTGGAATTATTAAATGTTTACTGATTTTTGTTATAATGTACTGTAACTTGAAAATTAATAAATGGATTATCTTCATATATGGGCAAAACAACCTTTTGGACAATATCTCTAAAAGGTAGAACTTTCTTTGACCTTGATATTGACACCAAAGGTCAAATTTTGGATTTTTTTAAATTCTCATGATTTTGTTATTTATGTACGTATTTGATTTAAACTTGGATAAAACCAAGACCGCCAAGGTAAAATTAATAAAAATAAAAATATCTTGTTTTACCTGTAACTATAACCTTGTTATTTATAAATGGATTAACTTCATATTTAGACACAACATATTTTAGGTCAGGGCTTTCATATGTATAAAACTTAAATGGACCGCGACTAATGTATGACTATGACCTAAGAGGTCAAATTATTGAATTTTCACTGATTTTTGCTATAACTGAATGAATCTTGGAAATTGATAAATGGATTATCTTTATACTTTGTCAAAAAAGCCTGTTAGAAAAGACCTTCTAAAAGGTTGAACTGATCTAGACCTAGAGCTCTATAAGTTAACTTTGGCCGTCAAGATCATATTATTGAATCTGGTTAAATTGTCATAATTTTGGTATTTCTGTACTGTGGTCAAATGGACATGCTGAATAATTTTAATATGACATTGACCTTCAAATGACATTGACCTTTAAATGACATTGACTCTTAAGCTCTGGTAATTCAATTTTGCTTATATTTTCTGAACTCTGTCAAATTTTATGGAAACTATTCAAACTTGGACCGAAGAACAAATGTAACTAGACAGACCTATTTAAAAAGGAAAAATTAATTTTTCTTTAATTTTGTTTTTAAAGATGTGTTTAAACCGTTTATTGATTTGCTTTTAGAAAAAGTAAAAATGGTTTAGAGTTACTCCCGCCCGGCGGTGGCTCTTGTTTTGATTCAAATGCTCTAATCGCCAAGTTGAATTAATGCATCGAGTACAGAAACAAGAAAAATCTCTTTCTTAATGAAGGCTTTATATATCTATTACATGTATGTTAAAATACATGTATCAATGGAAAGGCATTACGTCGGAAAGCAAATTAATTGAACCAAGATCTTACATCTTAACCATAGTAAAACAGGAAGCTCTTAAAGCAAACCATAGTAAAACAGGAAGCTCTCGAAAAGCAAACCATAGTAAAACAGGAAGCTCTTAAAGCAAACCATAGTAAAACAGGAAGCTCTTAAAGCAAATCACGGGCAAACTAAAGCAATTCCTCTTAAACCATTACAGGCTGTCCAGCACCTTCTGACAAACAATTAGGGCAAATTTTAGGGCAATATTTAAGAAATTTTAGGGCTAAAATTAGGAAATTTAGGGTAAGTACAAGAAATTTTAGGGCTAAAATTTGTTTTTTTTTATAACTAAATTATGGCCCCAGAAGACCATGATATAGGCTCAACTTTGCATATTTGACACAAAAGTAACTCACAAATTTATAATGCTCTAGTTAAGTTATAGCAAAGGTGTCTATCAGTGTTTCCATAGTTACAAGTGAATTAAATGGATTCAGTGTTCAACTGCTTTAACTGCTTTCTCTTAATAAGAAGAGCTGGAAAACTACATTAAAACATAACTAGCATGAAAACATATTCAAAGTTATATGAATCCCAGAACAACCAATATTCAATTAGTTAAGCTGTTATTAGCCGATAATAAATGGGAGGGGAAATTATGCTTTAAATCTATTTTAGCTATAAATGCATTTATCAACATTTATTCATTTTAAGGTTAGTATATTTTCAACAAGTTTTAATTTGTCTTAGAAAATAATAAAAACGGCCCACCCAGGTCATTCCAAGGAATTGTTTAACCTAATCAAGACAGCAGGGTAAACACACTGAAGAATCTGTTCCAAGATAAATCAGGGCTTCTAAAAATTGTAGAAATTTTCACAACAGTGTCAGTCTATTCAATGGTTTTTTTCCGGATTATAAAAAAATTACACTAAATGTTAAAGCATATGTACAAAAAGGACAGCTGAAGGTGTCGTTTCTTAATATGCTAATTGGGGTGGTAAAATCATCCAATCATTACAGCCAGTTTACCATACCCACTTTATAATATTACCAAACATTGAAACTTGTCTAGATCTGCCGGCTGGTATTACTTACAAAAGATCTATTCTACAGTCATCACTTGAAATATCTTGATTTCAAATTAAGCTTTTATTAATAAGGACCCCTACATAAATTCGGATGGATATTTAGTGGTACATCATATAAATAGTTGTTTTAAATACATATAAGACTGAGGCAAATGGTAAAACTCTGTAGCCAATAAAAATTTAACTTGCTTGGTTTTTTTTATCCCTATTTTAAACAAGTGACTATTTTGAAATTGTCAAAGTCGGACAATTTTCATTGATCCATTTAAAACAAACAGTTTCTTATTGTTTTTCTGATAACATCTGACAATTAATCAAGCACGTATGGCATTTCTGCAGGAGTTGAAGAAAATACAACATGTGACTTTATGCAATTTAGTCAGACATGAAATCGGCGCCACAGACTGTGTTCGAATAAAGGTTGTGATTGAAAAATGATTGTTTCGGGATATGTTTATAACAAAAGATCAAAAATAGGAATTTAAGAGAAAAATTACGGCATTTTTAGGAATTCCACTTGAATTTTTCATTTTTTTAGGAATTTTATCCAACCTGAACAAAAATAGGATTTTTTAGGAATTTAGGGACGCTGGACAGCCTGCCATTATTATCGTTAATTCATTCATTATTCGTCAAAATATTTTACCTTGAATTGCAATTTCTGCTATCATATTAAAGAATGACGTCATCGAATGGGCACGTGATCACAGAGTTCATCATAAATTTTCCGAGACAGATGCTGATCCCCATAATGCAAAGCGCGGGTTCTTTTTTGCACATGTTGGGTGGTTATTAGTACGGAAACACCCGGATGTTAAAAGAAAGGGCAAGCTTCTGGACATCTCAGATCTCCTCAAAGATCCTGTTCTTCGTTTTCAACGGAGGTATGGTATAGCCTTATTCTCCCAGCTCAATGATTCAGTATAAGGGGCCGATTTCTTTTCCATTAAAGGCACTGTCACACTGAACTGCGACACCTCGCGAGATGTTTGAGACACAAATTTAAGGCAAATTTTGCGAATTTTAGCGACAAAACTCGATCGGGGTTTCACGTCCTTCTATAAACGACATGAATGCGTATGTCGCAAGATTGATGCACGAATGTCGCACATATTTCCTGCGAAATATCTCATATGGTTCTCAAATATGTCGCGAGAATATCGCACGACTATTGCACGATACATTTTTGTCATCTATTTTGCATAATTGCAAAATTTCTGTATACTTGTGAAATACGCGCGAATTTTGTGCGAAAATCGCACAGTAGTTATGAAATGCAATAAAGAAATGAGAAAAGTCAGACAAAAATAAAAGCAAACTCAAATTTCAGTGGTCAGACATTATTTAAGATGGATCAACCATTGGATGAGGACCCTAATTTGGTCGCAGACGACAATGTCTTGCTGAAGGATGTATCATTGCTGCTGCAGCGGTTCAAGAAGCCTCGACAAAAGCCGGAGAGCGAAGAAAAAAGAAGATCAAGAAATGGAAGAGTGTATGGATGAAAGAATGGCTTTCGATGGGACCTAAGTATTCGATGTAAGAGAAGTTAATTAAGCACCATAGAGAAAGTGATGAAAATACTTTAATAAACTTTGTTAAAGTTGATCATTCTGCATAATGGTGGAAGATTTAGGCCCTAAACATCAAAAGAGAGAAACAAACTTCAACTGTCCACAGAGCTATGCCAGGTCATATACGACCACTATCATAAGGAACATTTAAATTTCCAAAAACAGAAGGAAGTAAAGTAGGTGGCGCAGTGTTTCTCATAGCAATGGAACTTTCATCACTGCTTTGGCAAAATTGATTGCAAATATGTAAGGATACAAGCCCCGTCGAGGTCAAACAGCGTCTACTACGATTACAAAGAGGCTTGGTAGACTCGAAGTTTATATAGGTTAATGCTGGCATATATGGTGCTGACTACGATGCTGGAGTGTTTTCTGAGTGCGGCATACTCTGAGACGGGCTCCGTTTTTTCTGTGTGTGGCTGTCGGGGTACATAACTCGGTCACCAGTCATTCCCTTGGAAAAGTGATGATTATTAAACTCCGTGAAATTTAAAAATATTAGCCACAGAGATGAATTTAAGGCCAAAAGTAGTAGATAAATGAACACCTCAACGTACAGTAACCCGAGACTTTATGAAAAGTTGAGGAATGTATATTTGTATGTATGTATGTATGTATGTATGTATGTATGTATGTATGTATGTATGTATGTATGTATGTATCCGCCGTTACAGGCACTAAGAGAACAGACCCAGTCGCCATGAATGTCCTCTGCCAATAGATATCCTTTTAATTTTGAATTCAATTATGATACGTAAGTCGATTTTTTGTGACGTTTAATATTTTGATGCAAAAAAATGCATTGCTGCCAAAAAAAAATGATCATATTTTTCGGACGTGCTTGAGGTTGGCTCAAATGACTGTATTTGTAAGTTTGGGACAAAGTCCCTCCCACATTCTAAAGAATATGTCTCATATGGAGTTGAAAAGAAAAACAGTATTTATATTAATGGATCTAGCTTGTCAAACATTTTAAGAAATTGGTTGATATGGGACAGGTCTTTATTTCACTTTGATTTTAGGGCCTTAAAGTGTTCAACTTTATATTATCTGCCGGTTTTATTCGTAGAAACCACAAAGAGAACGGTTTGTGATGGGTTCGCGATATATGCGATGATTTTGTGAATACATTGAGAGAAATTAAGTCGCACGATTTTTTTTCAACATGTTGAAAATTTAAGCGACAAGATAACGAAGACGTGCGACTCGTGCGACGAAATTAAGAGCTTTCGAAACATTTTTTGAAACTATCTCGCGAATGCCGTTCGCAAGTGTGTCGCTCACATTCGCAGGCCAGTGTGACAGGGATTTTAGTAATGGAATACATGTATTGTGTTTTTGTGTTTCAACATACTTCTTGCTTAAGAGGTTTATTTTAAATTAAAAAGATTATCATAAAATTAGCTGCAAACTGTTTAACACTGTTGGGATTTTAATATAACAATGCCTGGTACAATACCAATGGAAGTTTCACACTTCATTGATGTATGTGTTGTATGAATTCTAAAACCATATGATGGTTTGTGTTTATAATTGTCGTTTATATTCTGAAGGTTCATTCCATGAATAAATGAATATTAAGTTTTAGTCATATTAAATGGCCGTTATTATTTCTGTTTTCGTTTTTCAGGTTTTATCTTCCATCTGTGATATTGATGTGTTTTCTAATGCCGACGATTGTACCGGCGTATTGTTGGGGCGAATCTCTTGTCAACGCTTACTTTATTTGTGCAACATTAAGATATATAATCACATTAAATTTCACATGGCTCGTGAACAGTCTGGCACATATGTGGGGAATGAGGCCGTACGATGTCCGCATTAATCCAGCTGAAAATGCGTTCGTTGCTTTGGTGAGCGCTGGCGAAGGTTTCCACAACTACCACCATACCTTCCCGCATGATTACTCAACATCAGAATTTGGCTGGCGTTTGAATTTTACAAAATTTTTCATTGATATTTGTGCAGCTTTACACCTAGCGCGTGACCTGAAGACTATTCCAAAAGAAATTGTTGAACAAAGACGTCGGAGAACAGGAGATAAAAGTCTTACCAAACCAGTCAACTCTCTCCAGTAGGAGATAAAAGTCTTACCAAACCAGTCAACTCTCTCCACCAGTAGGAGATAAAAGTCTTACCAAACCAGTCAACTCTCTCCAGTAGGAGATAAAAGTCTTACCAAACCAGACAACTTTCTCCAGTAGGAGATAAAAGTCTTACCAAACCAGTCAACTCTCTCCAGTAGATATTTCATGTTACCATGGTGCTACATTGTTGCTGTTTTATTTCCAAGTGTATAAGTGAAACAAAGTGTTCATAACTTTAATACTAGTTAATAAAGTGTGTAGATATGTTTAATGTCAAAGTAGTAATTTTACGATTTTTGCCTCTCTTGAAATTTTAGCCTCTTCCAAAAAATTGTTGAAAGTTTAAATATTGCTCTCTATTTGATGTGGATGATATATTTCTAAAATAATACAATGTACATACTTCTTGGGGGACTGCCCATCAGACACAGATTTCTTGAAGACATACTGTTTGAGGATATATCAGAAACAGACTTCTGGATGACCGCCTATCAGATATTTACTTCGTGTGGAAAGCCTATCAGATGCACACTTCTTGTGGACCACCCATCATTTTGTTAGCAGAAAGCAGAAATGATTCTTGTGAATTTCAATTGAAATATTACATAATTATATTCGGCTAATAATGTATAGGTGAAAAAAAAATATGTATATACATGTATAAGCATCGGTGTTTTTCTGAAGGATTATTGATAACTTTGAGTGTAAGATATAAAGAATAGACAATAACGAACGGACAAGATTTACTTTTATATTTAATGTGTACAATAACTTTAAAATTAATTACAAGATATATGTCATCTGCAGTAGTACTGTCTGGAAAAGTAAACCATTAGATACACCACTTAACACATTTCAAAGAACGACTGTCCGTCAGTTCTAAAAATCTCGTACCCGAAACAAATGGAACCTAATAAAGATATTTTTAATTAAATGTTAGGATAATGGCATATTTTTATCATTAAAGCTTAGTTAATCATTAAAATATTTTGCTTCTGGAATTGTTTTTATTTATGTTATGAGACACTTGTATAGTACCCACGACGAGAAACAAATGTTATTGTATTTACAATATCTAGATGAGAAGTTGTCGTTCATAAATTTGACATAGATTTTATCACTCCTTTGGAAGTAAAAATATCATCTCAAGAATAGCGTTAAAAAATCCACAGAGTTAGATGGGATAAGCCCAAATATTTTACATGACTGTGGTGATTACATAACACCTGCAATAACATCTATAATAAATAAGAGTATATACAGTGGTATATTTCCCGATAAATTAAAAGATGCTTACAATATTTCAGTTTATAAAAAAGGAAATAAGCAAGATCCGGGTAATTATAGACCCATCTCCATTTTACCTACCATTTCAAAAAATATTTGAACGTCATATTGCTTACCAAATGCAATCGTTTTTCGAGAAAACAAATATATAATATAAAAATCAATTAGGTTTTCGTCCGAATCATTCATGCCATAATTCTCTAACACTACTAATTGATACATGATTAAAAGAAGTCGACAGTGGAAAATACGTAGGATCCGTATTTCTTGATCTTCGAAAACCAATCGATCTTGTCGATCATGAAATATTACTGCATAAACTGAAACTTTATCATTTTAATGATAGATCTTTGAAAATCTGGAGTTCCACAAGGCTCAATACTAGGACCCTTGCTATTTCTTATATATAATAATGACATGACATTAATTTCAAATTCTATTAACATTGACATGTACGCCGATGACTCCACTTCATACAAATCCGATACCGATATTCTCGTTATTGAAAAAGAACTCCAAAAAAGTTTTAACTTGGTCAACAATTGGTGTATAAAAGATAAATATGTCTTTGCACCCAGCAAAAAGTAAGTGTATGCTATTAGGTTCAAAATTCAAAACTAAGCGGGCTAGAAAACTCGAACTTGCTATAAATGACACTATATTAGAAACCGTAACAAGTCAAACTATTCTCGGGGTTTGTGTTGATAATAATTTTTAACATGGCATACTGAAGTTCATAATATTATGAATAAACTCAATTCAAAAATGCACTTTTAAAACTAATTTCATATTTTTTGACAGATGATATGAAAATGTTATACTATAATGTATATATTTTGTCAACAATAGACTACTGCAATATTATATAAGGACAAATCTGCAAATCAGATACCGAAAAAATGTACAACATATAAAAGAGGGCACTTCGAGTAATTCTGAAACAACATGTAACAAAAAGTGCATTCAAAACCCAAAATCAACTTACTTTTTTAAACAGATGCAATTACCACATGGCCTTACTGGTTTCCTTATTGGAAAAGTGAACATAATCCAGCACCAATATATATATCTAAACTACTAGTTTTTTCTCATAATGATAGATATAATCTCCGCTCTTCAGAAAATAATGATCTTATTCACTTCAGGCCACGGACAAATTATTTGAAACAAACATTTACATACAAAGCGGTACATTTCCAACTGAAATAAAACTACAAAGTAAATTGTCATCTTTTAAGGGAAAACTAAAGGTTTATTTAATAAAAAAAATACAGCTTAAAGCGCTAAAAACTTTAAACTGATTTTAACAGAATTTTATATAGATCTCTATATCGTTTTGTTTGTTTGTTAACATTGATTGATGATTGTATGTGCATACGATGTTAAGATACTAATTTCTATAACGTATTATTTATAATCCACAAAGATGCTATGTATTTTGTAAGAGTGTTTGTCGTAATTATATTGCTGTTTATTTTAATTTCTGTTTTCTGTTTATATGTATAGAAGGCTATATTAGAAATAAGTTTATGTTTATTATGTACTCTTAATATGTCACCTTCTCAAAATAAAGTTGTTGTTATTATTATTATTATCATTATTATTATTACTGAACTGTTTCAATTGGTTAGTATCTTTTCTTATTTTAGCTTAGGTGAAGCTGACTACAACTTCCTACAACTGAAACCATAGGTCAGTACTGTTTACAGGGAATGCTGACTAACCTGTACTAAACATATGTAAAACACTGGATAATGTAAGTATCGTTATATAAGAATATTTGAGCCGCGTCACGACAAAACCAACATAATGCGTTTGCGACCAGCATGGATCCAGACCAGCCTGCGCATCCGCGCAGTCTGATCAGGATCCATGCTGTTCGCTATCAGTTTCTCTACTTGTAATAGGGTTTGTAAGCGAACAGCATTGATCCTGATCAGACTGCGCGGATGCGCAGGCTGGTCTGGATCCATGCTGGTCGCAAACGCATTACGTTGGTTTTGTCGTGACGCGGCTCATTTGTAAACATTCCGAATTCAAAAATCCTTGGATATTATGAGTACAGTCATCCTTCAAAACATACGTGAAACTAATAAAATATTTATGGTTATGTAATAATGATTTTATCACTCGTAAATTTATGCTGTTTGTTTTACCCATGTCTGGTTGGTTTGACATGGTATGTCACATTGAGAAAAAAAATAAACGATACAGTACCGCCCTTAAAGAGAAATGCATTATATTACTTATTAAACATTACATCGTAAGCATTATTCTAGGCTAAAATATTACAGAAGTCTGCATTTTATCCCAGCATTCGCGGTTCTAGCCTTACTCGGATCACAACATGTTTCCTACTATAAATTAGCTCTGGTTTGTCCCAAGCGCCCTCGAAAGTGATAAATACAAACAACCAAACTTTGCACATATGTTTCTTCAGTTTCCTGCCTCAAAAGCTCAACTTAGTCATTTCGCAAGTGATAAACTGAGGTCAACTGCATTTGCCCTAAGATCCCATTTCCTTGACGGAGGATGTGAACAAGATGCAGATCTGGGAGAAGGAGTGGACCGAGAAATTCATCACTCCAAAAAAGTCAAGAGGAAAAAAAGCGTAATTCGCATTATATTTATGACCAAGCCTGTGCAAATTATCTAGGTCAAGTCATATTCACTGACTATACATATAGTAGGTTAACATGTAACCATAATAACTTACATCTGCATTTTTTTTACAAAAAGAGAGCACATTGATTATTATCCTACATGACACATGCGAGAATATTTACAAATGATAATTTCATAACCCCCCCCAAAAAAAAAAAAAAAAGAAAGAAAAAGAAAGAAAAACAACAACAAAACCAAACAAAAACAGCAACAACAACAAATAAATAACAACAGCAAACATACACAAAAATAATACTTTGTAGTTCAGAAGCATACGGCAGGTAAAATGTAGCCCAACAACAAGTACCTCATATTCATATTATCTCATTAATTTTATGACAGGATACAAACAAATCTTTATGTCTCACACTGTCCACGGTGCTCGTCCAGTCTTGGTGCCCATACAACGGTTACCGATTCACCCCCCCCCCACCCCCACAAAAAAAAACAAAAAAAAAAAACAGCAAAAAACATTTAAAAGCCCCAAAACAACTTTTTCTGTGATAAATGAAAGAAAAAAATGATAATTTTTTTTCCCTATATACTTTTACCACGAATATAAGTACAATGTATAAGTATTACTGTATAGTAAAAAAAAAATCTTTTTTTTCTTTCATTTATCACAGAAAAGTTGTTTTTGGGCTTTTTAAATTTTTTTTTTCATTTTTTTTTAGGGGGGGGGGGGTGGGGGATTAGGGTTAACCATTGTAAGGGCACCAAGACTGAATTAATCTCGTTTCACTTTATTTCTCCCTTGTTGCCTCGAGTAACGTTCAAAATCACCCTTTTATAACATTTCAGGGAGTTTTTTTGTTTGTTAAATCGTTGGACTCTCTTTTTTAATTTTTGTTATCTAAGTGATTTTTTTTTCACATGATCTGTCTTCCTTCAAGGTCAGTCACTTATTTTAAAATTATTGAGATCAACACATTGAAGTGTAGCATTCTTTTAACATTATCCAAGTGCATCATCCCAGTGATGTCATTTTATCACTTAGACTTTGATTTTCTGGTTAAGTTGTTGTTGAATTTAGAGTATAAAGTCTACGTGTGGATGTATTTATTTTGGTGTATCCGATCAACAAACTAAGATTGTGAAACAATAGGAGAATGAACCAAACTACTAGTATCAGATCAACATATAATTTCACAATAAGAGTGCGTAATTAATAATAAATCATTTTATATAGATCAATAAAGCTAATAAACATTATATAATTTCAAAATGTCGAAATATTAAATGCACTGTTAAATGTTGATGAACTAAATGTATGCATTTATTACAGATTACATGTGTTAACTGTTGCATGATAAAGTGTTATAAACAACATACAAACCATGTCGGCTAATAAAACATACATTAATCTTAATTTTAGAAATAACCTATCCTAGCAATGCACATGTTTACCATGATTATATTGACGCGCAATACATTTATTAAGTTAATTCCTAAAAATAGCATATCATCGGTTTTTCCTACCGCCGCATGATGTTTTTATGTCGTGCCAGGTCAAAGGTCAAATAATCGTATCATGCGGTAAACAACGCATGTCCCTTTCTTTTTTTTAAACGTAAACGGATTTCGATAGAGAGAGGAGGGAAATAAAATTGCTCAACAGTATGTATTGATAATATTTCTTTCATTTAATAATTTAGGAAAATAAAATGAATACAGTACAAATCTTTATTACAGTATTTTATATTAAATTTACAATACACGCATTCTATATATATATTGCGTTTCCGGTGGTATTCAAGCTGGGCTGGAGCGACATTGAGTGAGTTTGTAGATTCTACAAAGAAATGTAAAAGCAACCAGTTCGTTCAGGTCCAGAATAAAATAAATGCATTATTAAAAGTACAAGTAAACATAGGGCCTACTTTTATTTTATATTTAATTCTGATACAGATTACGTTGTAGCAACACTAGCGCTAATCGAACGAGAAAATGTTACATATCTATTTTGATATTTCAAATGACATAGAGCTGAATTATCATGCAAGTCGTGTTATATAAATGATATTTTGGTACAAACTTCATATCATGCCAGCTATCTTACAGTATAAAAATCATGGCGCGTTCACTTGACAATGCCACATACCATGCACGGCATAAAATCATGAACCGTATGTTTGTAATATTAATTATAAACTGTTCATATGTCTAGTAAATCTTACTAAAACTTTTGTTCACGTGTCCTTATCGAACTCTCGTAAAAAATAGCATTCATATGAAATAAATGAGTGTTTATCGGCGGGGTATTTATCTAATGTAGAGAAAATTATTTTATTATTATTTTAACGAATTTTGCTGGATGTTCAGACAATAATCGATCATTTCTTGTGCAATATATGCACCCAGTGTATCATTTCTTTTAATAGATTTTATAAAAAATGAAAATGTTTGTTCAATAAATGTATAATATATATAATTTATACTTCATATTTGTTTACATTCATACAGTCAAAATAATGTTCATTTTAAATTGTAGAACGTCGTTAATATTTAAAATCGATGCTATTATGAATTTTATATTCTTTCACAGCGAATCTTTTAAATGATGGAGAACGCTCTACGTGGTATATATGAATGACTTGAATAAAAATCTATATAATAATCTATAAAAGTTAAGGTTTAAATTCGAAAGTCTCGTGCATACTTTTTTCAATGACAGCATACTTATCTTATTATTGACTTTCAAATATCGATCTATATTCCTCGATGAACGTTATTAAGATTTTCTATTTATAGCGGACTCAAGAGCAGGCTCATAATGTAATATTGTGTGGTAGTGTTGATAGAATCATGTGCGCGAAAGTGTGCAGGTGTAGTTAAAGCCCTTCTCACACAGAACACACGGCTTATACGGTTGGAAACCCGTGAAAACCGAACATACAACCGAACCAACCGTGCCATGTAATTACGTGTATGATTTTTAAAACTTAAAAAAAACTGTAGGTACGTATGTCATATCCGTGTATGATCGTATATGCGACCGCACAAGACTGTAAGAGCCCGTGTAAGACAGTTTGAGACCGTATATACAACCGTATTTGAAGTCCACTCCACGAGTGAGCCAAACCGTATTAAGATCGAATGGAATCGTTCAAGACCGCCCCCAAGTCCTACATCCACCACCCGATTAACACCCGAATGTCGGACGATCACGGTACGATTCACACGAGTGTACATACGGTTTCAAACGATCGCCATGCGACCAATACGGTTCAAGTACGAAACATACATGACAGACACGGTATAGTACGGATATACACGGCCTAACCGGCCTCGTATATACGGTCTTACACGGCCTCTGCGTCAGCACGAACTTACTGTACAACGAAAATCACAACTTCCTGCTGACACCCTCAACTGCTACACAGAGTACTTGCTGCATCACACTATAATACACCCAAAGAAAACGGTTCCCACGCACAGAAGAAATACAAGGGCCATCCAGGCCCTCCGACCACTTCAACCTGCTGGCCCTGCCGAGCCTGGTGAGCTTGTGGCCCAACAATGTCTATCAGTCGTATCATGATTTCTAATTCCCTTATCCTGCCATCTGTTGCATCTGCCATTGTTTTATAACAATTATTCACATAGATGTTTCTTCGTTGGAAGTTTGAACATTTATGAAGCCAAGCCATCAAAAGGGATCAATTTATATCAAAACATACACGAATGTGTGATAATTCGAGCATAACTCAAACAAAACTCAGCGGGATCCTATGTAAACCCTGTGAATGTCGAGTAAAAATTGTGTTTAATCGTACCAGACCGTACTAGACCGTACCTGGAACCGTGCAACAATCGTATGTATTCGTATGCAAATCGTTTCCAAACCTTCCTCGACCGAGTATAACCGTCCTTTTTCATACATACTCGTGCTACATTCGAGTCTAACTCGTACCAACTAATCCCCAGGCACGGTTGGAGCTAAATACTCGTACCAGTCAATCCGTGTATAACCGAGTATACCGTATCCAACCGTATTCTGTGTGAGACGTGCTTAAGATTGTGCATAAAATACATATAGTATTATGTATTATAAATTCTGTCAATGAACTCGCTTTTAGACTTTGCCTTATTCATAATTATTTGTTTCAGATTGAAAATGTCACCACGTGCTGGATTAGATGAGAAAATGTCCTCGTTGGAGGCAGAAACAGTGCCAGTAGACAGCCTCGGTCTCGCTCCGATCGTAGCAGAGCAACCGGAACAGGAAGTGAAGCGTCCGCCATTACAGATAGTTTGGAGAAATGTTGTTTTAATGGTAGCCCTTCATATTTCAGCAATATATGGACTATATCTGCTTCCTCAGGCAAAACTGAAAACCTTAGTTTGGAGTAAGTATCTTAATTTAACAAAATGTGTGTTTTTTAATGAAAGAACAAAGAAAAAGAGCAATTGACAATCATGAGTAAATTAATAGTCAAACTTACCATGTATTTCCTAATCAAACGCACTACAGATTTAGACCTAACTAAAATTAACAAAAGTAAAACAGCACAAAACAAAAGATATCATAAGCATGTATTATTTATTTCAGCATTGGTTTTGTACTGGTTAAGTGGAATAGGAATTACAGCAGGTGCCCACAGACTCTGGTCACATAGGTCATACAAGGCAAAGCTACCTCTCAGGATTTTACTTGCCCTGCTTAACTCACTAGCATTCCAGGTATGTTCTCAGTTTATTAATTGAAGACTGCATGTCACCAATATAGAGAATCAAGATAAAGTGGAAATTTATACTACATGGTCTACATGCTACAGATATTAAGTTATCTAAATAATTTATTCAAATAACCGTATATTATCACTTGCATTTGTAAACTTGTATAACATGTCCTAAAGTCTTAATACTGAGACATAGCAGCCACTTTCCAAAATAGGAAAGTCATCTTAGCCAATAAAAAAAATAAAAAAACACAAAACAAACAAAAAACAATAACTTTTTAGAACGTTTTTTGATGGAATAGGGAATTCTTATATTATGTAATAAGTATTTGTAAATCTTGTATAAATAAGATATTTCTCAAATCGATATATATTTTTTTACCAGTACTCACATTCCATATTGTACCTTATTTATAGAAAATATATACAGAGTTTGAATGTAAACTAGCATTATTGCAATATTTAACATCATTTTGCCCATGTAAAGTGATATACATTTGATATTTTAGCATCGCAAGAAGATGTTTTTTTCTATACCGTTGTACCCGAGTAATTATTAGATATAAACCATATAAATACTTATATGCTGACATAAATCCTGCCCTGGTTTATAACTTTACAGTGCTCATGGTGCTATAACAACCATTAGTCTACAGATGTCACATCATTCTTTATCGTTTTGTTCAGTGAGATTCATTCCGCACATATATTAATCACATGATGCTCGTGATATTTTTTTTGGATATTGCAGCAGTTATATAAAAGTTTTGTCGTCTTCGCACCAGATCTCCACACGAAAACCTGATATGGCACCTGGTACACTTGCACTTTTTAGAAATTTCTAAGAAATACAGAATCTTTAAAGAAATATTAAGACTTGCTTTTCATTGTTAAACAGAAATCGATACAGGTTTAAATATCAACAGCGTGCAGCATGCTGCACTCACTTATTTTTACCATGGCAATGCAAGCTATCTGTTAATCGATAGTTCACAAACAATAACACTGCACTAGATCTAGGACAAAATTTTGTGAGAAATATCTAAAGTAATTTTTTTGAAATATTTTTTTAAACTTTACACGTGGATCTGAGGTTATAAATAATTTTTCTGATATCAAATTCAGAATGGCCGGACACCAACATAAAATATAGACTGACCAATAAAATCCGAAATTTGAGACTGAGCTCAGTTTTTTTACAACCTTTAGGTCAGTTGACTGGCACTTGCCTAACAGAATATTTCTCTTGGAAGACAAAAACCGTTCACTTGTCCTACAATGTAGCTAAATTGAGCCGCGCCATGACAAAACCAACATAATGATTTTGCGACCAGCATGGATCCAGACCAGCCTGCGCATCCGATTACAGCCCTATAACCAGTAGAGAAACTGACAGCGAACAGCATGGATCCTGATCAGACTGCGCGGATGCGCAGGCTGGTCTGGATCTATGCTGGTCGCAAACCCATTGTTGGTTTTGCCATAGCGCGGCTCAATTTATCGTTTTTACTTGTACTGAAAGAAATTTCATTAAAATCAGGAACGTACTTCGCCTTATTTTTAGTGTACGCCGAGTGCAGGTCTTTGGCCGGAGGATCACAAGAGACTTATTTATGAAATAATGCTATATGCTATAACTAAGGATTTAAGGGATATCTAAGCTGATAGTACTACTTTTGTCTTTATCTATAGTTATAAAAAACATCAGGTAAATATATTGAATGATGTTAAAGAAATTGCACGAAGTCTAACGTGTATACTGTTTTAAATAGTTCTAGAAAAACAAAACATAGCCAGGGTCTCTCTTGTAATAAAAATGGGATTTAATTCCTTTTGTAACAAGTTTAGTTTTTTCTTTATTTTTCTTTTGTTTAACCATAACTTAACATGAGATATAATCAAGGAAAATATGCCTTTACAATGATTTGTATGACTTAATTACAAACACAAGAGCTTAAATGTTTAAGTGTACTGAAAGTTATTGTATTTTCAGCTAAAATGAAGTACCGCACGATCATTTAGCTTCCTTAAAATGTTTTTAAATGCGTATTATATCAATGTTGTAGAAAATGAAAGCTGGATACAACTACACTAAATCACACGTGTATGCAGTTTCCATAATATTAAAACTACTTGTTCTCATTTATATATGAAGGCGAATGATTACACTATTGTAGTATTTTAGCATTCTACAGAGTTGTAAATGACATTTATTTATTTCCTACATCATGTAATGTTTTTCAAGGATAAAAAAGACGATCAAGTATAGTATTTCCTTTATTTTATTTCTAGAATGACGTCATTGAATGGGCACGAGATCACAGAGTTCATCATAAATATTCAGAAACTGACGCAGATCCGCACAATGCAAAGCGTGGTTTCTTCTTTGCTCACATAGGCTGGTTGATGGTGAGGAAACACTCGGATGTGAAAAAGAAGGGGCAACAACTCGATATTTCTGATCTTCTGGACGATCCTGTACTCCGCTTTCAACGAAAGTAAGTTGTAGTTTTAAAGTTTTGAAAAAAAAAATGCAAATCCAATCAAATTCTTATCTGTTTAAACTGAATACTGGCTTTTAGCTAGTTAATTAATCTATAGATCAATTATCCTGTAATAAATTTATATAGCACGCATGGTTATTACATAACGTAATTCATATATAGAGACCGTAATCAAATATTTCTTTTAATTTTTTTTACTTCGAGACGTTTTAAAATGTTGCTTTTGCCAAAAATAAAATTATCTTTAGTGTTTTACCTCTTAAATAGTATATTTACTAATCATAATATGTCATTATGTGCTGTATAAAATAAGTAAGGAGTGTGTGAATCATCATATTATAATTTGAGTGCAGTACACTTAAACACATATTTCGTATTTACAAACGTCTGTTATTTCCTGTAGGGTTAAATAAAGTCATCATTTGATTCAAACTGCACCGGATAACATAGATAATAATATGATACATTTTATATTTCAGGTTTTATCTTCCTTCTGTAGTTTTGTTCTGTTTTGTTGTGCCGACTGTAGTTCCGGTGTATTTCTGGGGAGAGGATATTATAACAGCTTATATTATATGTGCCTTGTTTAGATATTGTGCTATATTAAACGCCACGTGGCTTGTCAATAGTTTAGCTCATTTATGGGGTATGAAACCATACGATATCCGTATAAACCCCTCTGAAAACAGTTTAGTGGCAACCGTTGCCATGGGCGAGGGATTTCATAACTACCATCATACATTTCCACAAGATTATTCCACTGCCGAATTCAAGTGGTTCCTTAACTTTTCTACACTTTTCATTGACATTTTTGCATTTTTTGGACTTGCCTACGACAGAAAGTCAATGCCAAAATCTGTTGTAGAAAAGCGCAGACAACGGACTGGAGATAAAAGTGAAATGGCATTACGAAAGAAAGAGTGATATACTTTCTGGATTGTTGTGTATTATGACGTCATGATTTCATATGTATTATAGGTGGCATTAAATTATACAATGTAACAGTTATATTGCGTTGTGAGGATTATGATAGTTCTCCTTTATATTACACATTAGTAGGGGAGTTTTACATAGATTCTAACTGGTATTTGATTGCGAAATGAGAACAGTAAATTACTTGCAATTATGCATTATGAGTTTATTCTCTAGTATTGTTGATCTCGTTGTTTTATGTGTTATATTTTGTTTCCACATCTGTGCTATAAGTAAAGTTATTACATATTGTTTATAATTGTACACTCCAAATTACTTTGTTTGTTCATTGAAAATAAAGAAAGTTTAGCAGTTGAAGTAGTTTTATTCATTTCCCCTGAACAGCTACGCTGAAGAGTTTGTTTGTGTTAAATACGTGCGTTAAAGATCCTGTATTTTGTTAATAAGGTTGTTACCACACTTAAGTGAAATTTCATATATTTATATAATTATACTTCTAAAACAATTTTCAATCATCGAAGAATATGTAAATATGATCTGCAAATATTTGTACATATTATAATTCGTAATCATTAATATACATTGTGTATGCATTTATTTCTTATTGAAAAATTTGACTTAGACTTTATAGAAAATAAATTTCTAATTACCTCCCTTTATTAACATGACATGTAAATTTAGTAATATCTTTACAAATAATGCTTTTTGGAACTAACTATATTGATAAATCTTCATTTTGAGCATTATATTTATGATATAAAACCATAAAAAATAAGTTACAGCATCTTAAAATCTTTTAAAACTTACAAAACGTATATGTCCTTGTTGGTACTCCGATTTCAAACTAGCAAATATAAACATCTTCCAGTCAAAATGGATAATGAGTATTAGCTTAATTTATCGTCTGCTTGCCTGATTACAATATCATCATTGTCCAAGACTTTAACAGATATACACAAACCTCAAGTTTCGTCTGGTGTAGTCAGTCAATCAGACCAATCTCTACTGATGAAATCACAGAAGCAAATATTGTTATAAAATATATTGTTTTGTATCAGGCAATACTGATTTTTTAAAAGAGAATTTGTGGATATTGGTAGTTTACAGTTTTGTTTACGAAACAATATCCTGAACTATTTTGATGGGTTGTATCTTGAAGCAATCGACAAGCGTATAGCATCAATCCTGTAATATTCCCTTTATTATGATTGTATAAAAGAAAATAATTTATAAACAAAGCTGAATGAATAATTCTTCCTAATGTATATATTTCTCATTATTGGTTTATTGTTTTGGCAAGCCTATTTATTGATCCCGGCGGATGTATTTCATCAATTGAAAAATCACCTTACTTTCATCATTAAACGTGTAAGTTATATTTTAGGTTTTATTTTGTCATTGTTCTTTCAAATGAAGATGTCGTCTGGAGCAAAGTATGGTACATAATATGATAGCATAACCGAATTTATAAACATGTATCTTGAAGCAGTCTCACAGACAATGTTGCTATCACATGTCATTAAATATATGAAATAGGACAAAGAAAACAGATGTGTTACTCCTGATCAACAAAGTTTAGTGAACAATTAGCATGGAAAGTTCAGGGCTTAACCAAGTGTTAAGATTTACCTCTTTCCAGGGCTTAACCAAGTGTTAAGATTTACATATCAGGAGACAGTACACAATTTTTGACCAATTAGTTTCGAATTGGCCAGTTACACATAAAAGACAGTTTTGAAATTGAAGCTGATATTTGAGGGTCTGAATATTTGAGCAGTCTGATCAGGATCCTTGCTGTTCGCTATCAGTTTCTCTACTTGTAATAGGGTTTGTAAACGAACAGCATGGATCCTGGTCAGACTGCGCGGATGCGCAGGTTGGTCTGGATCCATGCTGGTCGCAAACGCATTATGTTGGTTTTGTCGTGACGCGGCTCATTTATATTTCAAATTTCAGTGACTAGTATTGTCCATACATTTTGAGAAAGTACACGTCGGATGCGTAAGTCTATATCACGGATCAGCTATTTGTTTTAAAAAGAGTAGAACTGAAGAAAGAAGAAGCGCTTATCATCCAGTATATGGATGTGAACAAGAAACAATGGAGTATGTGAATCTTGCTATTGACATTGAAATACTTTTTTTTTTATTTCTCAAATTGATAACAATACATGTATATTTTTATCATTAATTTTCACGAAAAGAAAATCCAGAAAGAGATGTTTTGTTGACTGTTTGCTGTGATATACACATGTTAACTATGGAGATACATATACATATGTTTATGTTATTTCAGGTGTGTGAGGTTTTCATTGTGACTAGGTCTGTTCTATGCCGGAAATCTCTGAAAACTGCCTGAATTATAGATAAAGGAATATAAAGTTGAAATCTATATATATTTAGTACAGAATATGTATAGGTATGGAGTAAATGTTCAAAGTAAAAAAGGTTTGGAATCATTTAAGAAATTTCATGATAATTCATTCAATAAACCGTTAAATTTATTACAAATTAATCAGGAAATTAAAAAAGGAACATACATTATTTCACAACCAGTGTTTGTATATAAGCACGTCTCCATATATAATGCCATAAGTTATCGTAATTGCACATTATTTATATAACAAAAACATAAATTTTATATAAAATGATTTCAAAATTTTGTGAAAACTAATCACTAAACAAGTCAATGAACATGTAAAAAATCGGCCATTTTACTGAGATCTAAATGACTATTTTTCAAGAGGATTTATTCCAAATAATCACAGAAAACGAAAAGTATATATCAATAAGGCACATAAAACATGTAAATGTTTCATTCTCGTACAAAAATACATCCCTAGCGTCTCGGTGTTATTCCTCTTATTGTCTAGTAAGTTCACTTTTATCTCCGGTCCGTTCTCTCCGCTTTTCTACCAGGTATTTAGGCATTACCTTTCTGTCGTAGGCAAGTCCTAATATGGCGAAAAAGTCAATGAACAGCGTAGACATATTCAGGAACCATTTAAACTCTGCGGTAGAATAATCTTGCGGAAATGTATGATGGTAGTTATGGAAACCTTCTCCCATGGCAACCGTAGCTACCATGCTATTTTCTGCCGGATTTATATTGACATCATAGGGTCGCATACCCCAGAGATGAGCTGCACTGTTAACAAACCATGTGGCATTTAAAACACAACAATATCTTAACAATGCGCAAATAATATAGGCTGTCATGGCGTTCTCTTTCCAAATGATCACCGGAACTAATGTTGGAATGGTGAAACACAATAGAACTACCGACGGAAAGTAAAACCTGAAATAAAAATATCACATTGTTTAAGATATGTATAGCTTTGCTGAATACTGGTAATCAACTGGCATCACGCTTTACGAGTATCTCTATACCAATACTGTAAGTTGTTCGTGTCCTTTATTACTTCAAAATTAACTCGTGTAATAACCATAAGTGTTCACTACGTAAGATTTTGTTGCTACTGACATTTTAGTCAAATAAATCAGTCAATTGTATACGCAATATATGTCATAAAATTACTTGTTTAATGCAATTAGTAAACTGATTTGTTAATTTATGTTTCCTTTAGAACTAGCGTTAACAAATGACTTCAACATATTTTATGTTGGTATAATGTTCTTGCATGCAGCTCACTAGCTTATAACAGAGGTAACACATTCGTGGGTGAAAATAGTCTAGAGATATGAATATATATATATTTGATGGTATTTATGTTTTATTTAGTAGAATCTATTCTTAATTTCATTATAACCAGTTTGAAAGTGTAAATATCCTATTCAAGAAAATTTGACCAAAGACCAAAACGAACGAAACCAAGAAGTGACTTATATACAAGTATAGTCACTCATTCTTTTAGTTGGCAAATTTCTAAACATGAATTAGGAGAACCGTAATATTTTATAAGAATCCAAATTTGCAGAGCATCTGACAAGCTTTTACATGCGTCAACACTTACAAGAGAAAGTAAAAGTAGGCAGGCATTGACCAAACTTTCTGATAATTACGTTGTTCAATGACTTTTACTACAATTTGAATAATATGTTTTGTTGTGCATATGTTTTATGTGACGAGGATTCTATTGCTGCGTTACTAGAACACTTTTTAACAAAACTACCTACTTTCGCTGAAAACGCAGTACAGGGTCAGCGAGAACATCCGATAGATCGAGTTGCTGCCCCTTCTTTTTCACATCCGGGTGTTTCCTCACCATCAGCCAGCCTATGTGAGCAAAGAAGAAACCACGTTTTGCATTGTGCGGATCTGCATCAGTTTCTGAATATTTATGATGAACTCTATGATCTCGTGTCCATTCGATGACGTCATTCTGTTAATTAAGCACGTAATTGCAATGATCAGTTAGATATCAGTGTTGAAAAACTTGATGATGTTGTAGTGGCATATGAAATGTCATGATCTTTCTCATGCTGAATCGCTCACCTTAGACACATTGCTAGAGATGGCCACAATTCTTCAATGCAGAAGTAACAAGGTAGGTCATGTTTGTTGTGTCAATTTTGACCCTACATAATCTATTAAGCATTTCATTTTGAAGACGTTCGCTAGGATATGCTACATGCCAAATATTTAAGTTCTACGTAGAAGACTACTTAAATGTGTTATAATATATAAGTATAAATACACTAATTGACTTCCGTGGCGGGCCAATTTTGATCCAAATGATTTATATTTGTAGATGATTACAAAGTGATGCTTCATGCCAAATACCTATAAGCACTGGGCATCGTAGATTAGGAGAAGATTTCTAGACATGACTTCTATATAGATCTATAAACTCAGTAACCTCTAGGCTGGGGCCATTTTAAAACCCAACGGAATGATTTATGTTACGTTTGAAGAGATCCGCGCGAGGAAGTCCTTTTTTAAAATGTGTTTTTCTTATCTATGTCTATATAAAAGTAGCAAAAATGGGACAGTGGCAATTTTGACCCTCTGAAAATGCTTTATATAACTTTTGTAGAAGATCACAAGGTAATGCTTTATGCCAAACTTCTATTATCTGGGCATTGCAGTTTCAGAGGAGCGAATTTTAAGGTACATTGTATTTAACTTGGATTGGACACCAGCGGCACATTCGTGTATTTTTTAAGCGGTAGACTAGGCAAAGCCACATGCCAAATATTTAAGCTTTGGGTAATGTTGTTTTCCACAAGAAGCCTTAAATGTGTATTTACATATAAATTTATATAAACTAAGTGACCTGTGGGATGGGGCCAATTTTGACCAAAGATAAAAGATTTTTATGACTTTTGCAGATGATCACAAGATGATGCATGTCAAGTATCTATGCTCTATGTATTTAAGATAAGGAGAAGAGGATTTTAAAGACATATAATTTAAAGATACATGTATATAAGTTTACATAAAGTGAATGACACCCATGGAGGTGTTTTGATTTTTGACCTCAGGAACATGATATAACTTTTGTAGATGTACATTGCAAATATCTAAGAGACGATTTTGAAAGATTGGATTTTTAAAGTGTATTTATAGCTCGTGTGACCAATTCATGCATCAGACCGGAACCAGCTATATAACTTTATAGATAGCCAGCTAATGATAACTCATGTGAAGTTTGATTCAAAGCAAGTATGTGATTTAGGAGGATATTGTTTAAAATGTAGACGATGATGACGACGACGACGGGGATCGACGTACGACTGGCGACGGACACATTGCAATCACAAAAGCTCACATCTGAGCACTTTGTGCTCGTATGAGCTAAAACAACAACAACAGTGAGAAAAAAATATGTATTTGCGTGCTTTTTTCGATTTAGTCAGTGATTTATCCTTTTAAATACAACATTTACAACAGATAAAGCTATAAACTTAAAAATACTTAGATGATAAATTATTAGAAGTTATAGTATATCACGAATGCATATACTGTGTATCAAGGCGATGAATATTCCTTTCTTCCGTATTTAAGATTATTATTTTAATTTCCCGACAGATTAATTTCAAATCTGCATATCTTTAACATATTTAGTTATTGTAAATGGAAAAATATACGTAATACTGGCTATATATGCATTAGAATAAAGTGTGAATTTTGTCTTCGAAGAACTCTTTACATTCATGAATAATGCATCCCGGTTTAATGGTTATAGTTTTAACGATTAAAACAAATGTACGGCATTAATTTTACAATTTACAAGAGAAATTTGTATTACAGATTTTATTATTTCAGATTATTGTTTCACACATTTAGTCATGCTCTGAGAAAGAATATCATTCTAGGAGTACAATACGACTGTCAGAATGAGTCATAGCTATGTATGCAGATAATATGCTTCTGCTGATTATACATAATGCAAGTTTTCACATATAGAGAGAAAATGTCAGAAATAAGTTTCAGATGCAACAGAACATAGAGATAACGTAACGGCATATAGCATATAGCTTAAGTAAGATAACCTTATACAATACCTGGAATGCTAGTGAGTTAAGCAGGGCAAGTAAAATCCTGAGGGGTAGCTTTGCCTTGTATGACCTATGTGACCAGAGTCTGTGGGCACCTGCTGTAATTCCTATACAACTCAACCAATACAAAACCAATGCTGAAATCAAATAAAAGTAAATAAAAGTAATTCTTAAAATAGAAAAAAACATGACAGGCAATATCGTGCCTCTGTGACAATATATTTTTACAATAATTTAGAAAGCATATCGATGTTCACAATATTTAAGAACTGTTCTTCTGCTGCTAAGCAAATATATTATTGACTGGATTTATTACATACTTTTACTTCACTTAAAGAGTCACAAATAAATAAAAAGATGATTTTAGCTCATGTTAAGAATTGCACCGTTGTCAGTTTATCAACCGTAATGAAATTGTTAATACATTGCAGATTAAAATCATTAAGTATAGTTATTAGATTTTTCATTCTTACTCCAAACTAATGTGTATAGCTTTGCTTGAGGAAGAATATAAATGCCATATATTGCTGAAATATGAAGCGTTGCCATCAAAACAACATTTCTCCAAACTATCTGTAATGGCGGACGCTTCACTTCCTGTTCCGGTTGTTTAGATGACATAAGACTGTCAACTGGCATCGTCTCGCTCTCCAACAGTACAATCCACCTTTTGAAAGAAAGAACCCGATGTCATTTAAGTTAATATTATTTATCAATCATGCATTTTATATTTATTTGTATATTTGTTAATACATTTCAAATGAGTTTTGAGATAAAAAGACACTCGTTTCTCAATGATCTGAAACTACCGTAAAAGTAATAATTAAAATATTATTCCATATATTCCATTTTGCGACATGTGAATTTAGTAAGCTCTCAGAAAACACATTTAAACATATAATATAGTTTTGTAATCATGATAATTACAAAAACTCACGCGAAACTTACACTAAAGGTACAGTAACTGTTTATTTCAATATATCTCGTCAAACTTTATATTATAAAGAACACATGAGTTACAAGTATAAACTATGAGATAGATTACAACATCCCAGGTTTACTAGTCTCGTCATCCTGCATGCGCTCATAGCGTGTTAAGAATATCATATGCTATAACAGAATAATCAATAGCACTGCATTACGTATATGAATATATGTAAAATTTACAAAATTACAGTGCCTGTTATAAAGGCATAGTCAAAATATTGCCTTGTTAATTAATAATATTTCAAATCATCAATTTCATAAGCAATTAAACAGTTATTTTTATAGTTTTATTATTTACTGCTCCAACTTCCGAGTTTATAAACACGAACGATTTAGGGGGAAAATACTACTCATTAGTTTTCGTTTATTTCTTTATATGTTTGAATATTAAAGTTTCTTCAATTTAATTTGCTACCTTATCTAACAGATCTACACTTTTTAAATATTAGACCATCTAGGTATTTATGAAAGGGGGGGGGGGGGGGGAAGCGACCTTGCCTGTGGCTACTAGTATATATATGTCTACCACAACATTTACATTTTTATTGCTGTACAGAAGTTTTAAACTATCATCACAAATCAGCTTTAAATAGACATATTTTATATTATACTGGTATGTTTAATAATCTGAGGTATACGTAACAAAAATCAGCAGTTACTGTACTGTAATGAATATGTCACACGATCGTATAAACCAGTTGAATCCAGATGTACGTTATGATTATTTAACATAGATGTAACATTTTACAGCTTTATAACAGCGTGTAAATTGAGATGCAGAAAATAAGAAATCTGCACTTCTGGTGCATTTTACAAGCAAATTTTAAATTAAACGTTCCAGTTTTTTTTTCAGAATTTTTCAGACTTATCTACATGCAAGAGTTTAAATGCTAGTCTGTCTTTGAAAAAAAGTTAATTTTACATACATGTATCATTTTTATATGTACATTTTAAATTATCCGTTTCTGAAATTTCCCAGAAATTTCCAGGCTTAAACACAGGGTCTTAATTTTACTTTATAATAATTAATTTTACTGTTTTATAATTAATATGAAGGATGTTGTAGACACGATCATCAAACCTATAAGAATTAATGTTGAAATCATGCTTATCAGTTTAAAATTCATTGACTTATTAAATATACACTAGTACATTTTGAACCTTTATATCGTTTATATGTATTATAATCACTTTTCTTAAAACGTTCCAAACTATCAGATATCAATATGAATATCAAAGCTGCGGATATTTAGCAGTCTTGCAGATAAATAAGGAAACGGTCTTAAATGCGTTATAGATATTTTTTATAAATACTTTGTAAGGACTCTACAAGCCTATTTAATATGAAATGAACATAATAATATATAAACTTGATTTTTATTACATTTTTAGGCTGGGATGTGAAGTAAGCAGCCTAATATAGGAAATACGGAAATGACCAGAAATGCATTTAAATCACTTTCTTAGCATAATACAAACTCAAAATGCTTTTCCAACCCAAAACTTGAAATATCCATTGAAAAGGACCAACATTTTTATAGCTTCCAACACTTTTATTAGACTAACGAGTAGAGGGAAGGTTTATCTTGTAATTTCCTTTGAAAGTTAATTTAATGATATTCTGACAGTGTCCGTATTTCCTACACATCACTTACTTTAGGCTACTGTTTCCATATTTCTAATTTGTTTCACCTACTTTAGACTACTTTGTGTACAGCGGAGAGCACGAGTTCAAATCCTTCGCGGGTTATATATATTTTATACGCACACGTGTGTTATCCGTGAAGGATAACTATGTTTTACTCATTGAAGTTAACAACGTAGAGGTTGTCTCCCATTAATCATGATTAACACTGATATATACGAACACGATGTAAAATTTACAGAAAACCATAAGAAAGAAATTGAAGTCTGAAACATGGTCGTTTCATTACTTCCTTTATAAACCTCTGCCTGAGAGTTCCTTCACCATTTTTTCTCAGAGAAAAGTCGAAATAACGATACCACGTTGTTGAAAACTCGATATCACCAAATTCCTTTGGATTTTTCACCGTCGGGGATTCGTTATATCTAATTTACACCATCTTACTTTCGATTTTTCATCATCAATTTTCGACTTTTTAACCATAGTGGTTTCGTTATATCGTATTTTCGTGATTTCGTTGTTCTGGGCTATGTGTGTGTCGCGATGGCCCTTATACACAATGTCCTTACCTTATACTAACATCATGATGAAAAGGCATAGACATTATTTTTTCTTTGTTATTGTTCTCTTGGTAAAAATATTGACTTACATCGTCATGCATTGTTATGATCTCTGTGCGCATGTCAGACAAAAAGGATAAACTACGATGATAAAAAGTCGAAGGTGCGATGATGAAAAGTCGAAAGCACGATGATGAAAAGTCGAAAGCACGACGGTGAAATGGCTAAGGTATGATGGTGAAATGTCGGAGGTACGATGGTGAAAAGTAAAAAGCACGATGGTGAAATGTCGAAGATACGATGGTGAAAAGTCGAAGGTATGATGGTGAAATGTCGAAGGTACGATGGTGAAATGACGAAAGCACGATAGTGAAATGTCGAAGGTTCGATGGTGAAATGTCGAAGGTAAAATGGTGAAATGTTGAAGGTACGATGGTGAAATGTCGAAGGTACGATAGTGAAAAGTCGAAAGCACGATGGTGAAATGTCGAAGGTACGATGGTGAAAAGTCGAAAGCACGATAGTGAAATGTCAAAGGTACGATGGTGAAATGTCGAAGGTAAAATGGTGAAATGTTGAAGGTACGATGGTGAAATGTCGAAGGCACGATGCTAAAATAAGATACTACGGTGAAGAAAAGTCTAACTGAGGAAATGACGATGGTATGCAGTAAAAATATGGCGTTGAAAAGTCGAAAGTACGATGGTGAAAATTCGAAATAACGAAACAACTAAAGCAGGAATCTTAATGGTCGACAGTACGATGATTATTCAAAACTCGATATAATTTCGAGTTTAACTCGATATAATTTTTCCACTTTCCACCATCGTGGTACCGCTATTTAGTATTGCGTTTTCGTTGTTTCGAGGTATGTGTGTGTCGTAAAGGTTCTAATGGGAAACCGATCATTACACGTAATGGTTTTTTATTTTTTTGGGTCGTCAGAATTGGTGATAAACCCCCCCCCCCTTTATTAACCCATTTTCAAATGACAGAGTTAAATAGTAAGACACTTGCCAATTTAAAAGAATGAGTTTATGGGGACTTGGTCTGTCACCACAGTGAAAGTAATATATGGCGCGACTAAGAAAATGTGATCTTGCAGCGGGTCAATGAACATTCGATACGTATAGTGGAGTACATTTTATACGTAAAGTACACTTTGTACGCGAGGTACATTCTATACATATAGTACATTCTCTATGTAAATTACATTTTATACGTATTTTAACTCTGCACGTGAGGTATATTTAAACATATAGTACACTCTGTACGCGAGGTAAATTCTACATAAACTGTAATTCTAAAATATACACATAGCAATCTGACTAAAGTTCAGATCTATACGTATTTCTGTTATGTAGATCTATGACCGTATATGTTTCGCCTTCTTTATAATTTGAATTTTCCAAGAAAGCTATTTTTAGCCATGCAATCAACCCGATTTTTTACATAGCCATTAGAAAAAGTATCAAAATACCGTTATCCGTAGAAGTTAAACAAATTGTTGATTTTTGTTAGAAAAAAAATGTTTGGAGTAATTTTTAACAAATTAACTTAAAATAATAGAGTCATTTTTTAATTGGCAAGATTGTTTGCCAGTTTACCTCATAGGAACTGGAGAACAGGACCGCAGATTGCAGCGCATTTTTTCGATCGTCTAATGGTTTTTAAAAATGTTTCTGCTACATCTAAATATCTTTTACATTTAAAACTGGTCAAATTTATAATATATTATAATATACCGTAAATTTGACTGATTTTTAAATTAGCAGATTATATTAAATTGAGATTATATAATAAAATACCACCCACACGCATAATATGAAAAGATATTCAAAGATCAGGCAAACAATATGTAAAGCCTGTACGGATTCGGATTTATGCGCCGAAATTTGTGGTCCTGTTCCAGTGTTCCTATGGTTTACCTGTCGGCTATATATGGACAACTCGAAATCGTGACAATTTTCCTACTCAGCATTGGTTTTCTCAGGGTTAAAATTAGAAACCGCATCGCTTTCAAAATTATGAAAGTTTGCCGATGATTGGCCTTGTGAAAGATCACCAGAAATATCTTCATATTAATTGGTCACTGTGAGATCTAAAAGCGGACCGTTATCTAGAGCTAATTTTAATCAGATTGTACACATAGTACATTATATAATTACACTACAGCACATTACATACAGTGCATTCTACACGTTTAATACAGTACAGTCATTTCTCTTTTTTTTTTAAAGTAAATTTAAGATATAATATCGGTCTTAGCGGTGTTTATATGAAATTATTCTCGTATCGGATATAGCTTGAATGAGTGTTTATGTACGGTTTCTGTACCTTAAGTTAAATATGGAGTGATACCTTAAATATTTTCTTTTAACGGTGAACGTGTATTTCGAGGGTTAGTGGGGTATATATATAGTGTTTTCGCGGTTTTTCTTCACTCGACGCTTGCATTTGGTGGTAATTAAATAACCTGTTTAAATACGCCCCACCCGACCCCATCCCTTCTTACAACAAACGTTTTTGTAATGAAGTATTTTAATACACATTCTTGCTGAATATTTAGGCTTTTTTCATCATTCTTCACATGACACACAAAAAATCTTTTCTTGAAATATAACTTATTAAAGTTGCATAATTTAATGAATTTTCCTTGTTTTAATGAACATAACTTGTTATTTAATATTTTACAGATTACACAACACGTATTCAGATCTGTTTTAGTTTCGTTTCAGAGTTTCGGATACAGCAACAATGCTATACATCTGATGAATCCCAAATACAAGAACATAACAGATACAGATAATACCGATTGATTCTATTGATTTGTAATATGTACTACCAAATATTAAGCGTTATTCCTATGTATTTGTTGTTGTTTCTTGCTATAGTAGATTAGAGAA